ATTAATATTTTGATGAAAGGAAATTTAATGAAAATCAACAACAAAAGAAAATAACAAAATAACAATAAGAAAATGGTCTCAACAAGAAGAAATATGTATAATTCCTCCAATAACACTTCACAATTTAATTCCGAAATTTCTCTGGATAATATTGTGGGTGGAACAAGAAAAAGAAATTCAATTGATTACAAAACATTGAATTCTATTGGAAGTGAAACAAGTAAAACTTCCAAATCTCAATCACATAATACTTTAGAAATGAGAAACAAACAATTCAAAATGTGGTAATCTCCATTTTACTCAAATTTTGTAAAACCTAGGCAATCATTGTAAATAAATTGTAAAATAGTAACTGGAAAGAACAATGCCAATCAATTTTTCAATCAAAAAAATTGCCAAGAAATGAAAAGTATCATGTGAAAAATATTTGGTCAATCGAGAAAAATAGAAACCTTTCAAAAATTCACCAAGTTCAACAATAGTTTAACAATACATCATAGTAGTTTCGGATCATCATCATTTTCTTCCAATTTTAATATAAATTTTGATGAAATAACTGTTGAAAAAGATGATGATAATCCATCTGCTCTCTATTTGCACAGTTTAGTCTTGTTGGATTATTCGAATATTATTAACGAAAATATCAATGATTTACTCTTGTCGGCATCAGAGAGTGGATTCCAATTAATTGGCCATACTTAGAGGAAAATAGAAATATATAAACATTTCCAAATTTGTAGTGAATTATTCATCTTGTGCAATAAGTGAAATATCACAAAGCTTCGAATTGTTGGCTATTCTCCAAAGAACTGGTTTCCATTCTCTTCCACTTTCTCTCAAACATTTAGAAATGAATGGAAACCTAGATTTCACTCCACTGAAAATCAAATCCTTAATCCCATTAACCTCCTCCTTATTTAGCAAATTAACAATGTGATACTCTGTTTCGTGTTCCTCAAAAAATTCACTCATCATTGAATTAATGACCATTCTTTCGTTTTCATTTGAGATTCGTTTCAATTCTTCCCTCATTTCATGATTCTTCAAATTTTCATAAACAACTCCTCGTTTCAGTTTTGATTGCAAAATATCTGGTTTGGTGAATAGGACTATTATTCTACAATTTGGATTAAACTTTTGAAATCTTTTACAAGCAGTAACAGTATAATTGAACTTTCGTTTTTCATATTCTAATTCAGTGTAGGGATTATCAAAATCTGAAAGTCCATAAAAAAAGAATAGGAAATGGACATTGTCAAAACAGGCGAATACTTTCTTCCATTCATTTCTGGATCCTCCAATTTCTATCATTTTGTATTTAAAGGAGTGATCAATTATTGGATTCGAATATAAAAAATCATGAACAATAAAACCTGTAGTCCTTTGCGAAGCATAAATTAAAGGATTTTCCAAACGATTATCAAAATTTCCATTCAATAAGTGTTCCATAAATAAGGTTAAATTTTCAAGTCTCCAAACATTGAAATACTTTTCCAATAAGATTCGTCTCATTTCGTCATGTTTCCAAATCCGTGTAAGCATCTCCCTAGGTCTTGGAATTCTATCAAATTGATTCAAATTCTTCAATCTTGCAAATTCTTCATCCATTGAACAAAACTCATCAAAATCTTCCATTCGTGATAACAGAACATTACAACAAGCATCAATTTGATTCTCATCACGAATTGTTTCATTGATGAGTTGTCTGCTGAATGTACTTGCTCCGGATCCGGGAAAGAGCCAAATGTTTAGTTCTTGTGTTTTGGAAGAGGTTGAACTTTCGTCAAGTTTCTTCTCAGTGTTTCTGCTTTGCTTTGAACCCATTTTTTTCTTTAGAAATTCAACAAGTTCATTAGCTGATCGTCATCATTTAACATTTATCCTAAACTATTCTTCTTCTTTATTCGAATGAATACTTGAACTCAATGTAGTTGACCAAAAATTAATCCCAAAAAAAATGAGTAAACGATCAAGAACCCTTTCACGCGGATGTGAAGAAAATTTCCCCACAGAACCCAATCACAAGAAAATTTGCCCAATTTTTCATCAAATATTTTCGGATGATTCAATTTTTGAAATTCTTTCATTCATTGATCATGAGAAGGAAGGCAAATTTATTTTGATGAATTGTGCGTTGATTGCAAAGCAGTGGATGAATGTCATTTTGGAACGTTCTAGGTTGTCACTTGCCATTGAAATTGGAAATTTTAGTGAAATTGTGTCGTGTCGATTTTTACAAAATATTGTCAAGTTTAGAGTGAGTATTGATAGAGATGAAAGTGATGGGAATTTTCAGGTTTTTGAAATGATGAAGCATTTGACTCATTTGGATATTCGAAATAATGGTATTGGATATGAAGGTGCACAGTCAATTGGTAAAGTGATGCAGTTGACTAGACTTTGCATTGCTGGAAATAATATTGGAGAAAAGGGAGCAAAATCTATAAGCCAATTGACACAATTGACCACTCTTGATGTATCATTTAATCAATTATGTGATTATGGAACTAAATTTATAAGTCAATTGTCTCGATTGACTGATCTCAATATTCGTGGAAATAGAATTACTGACAAGGGAGCTATTTTTCTGTCAGATTTAAAAGAATTGAGGTTTCTCAACATTAGCTCTAATACAATTCTCCTTGAGGGAATCAAATCCCTCACTAATTTAAAACAATTAACTCAACTCGATATCAGTTACAATAACATTTTACCTTCATATGCCCAAACAATTAGTGAAATGGATCAATTGACCAATCTTAACTTGAGTTATAATGATTATGGTTGGGGAAGCGATAGCAATGGTGTGAGATATATATGTGAAATGAAAAATTTGAAAACTCTGACTTTCGGAGGTATCTGTATCCGACAATACATTTTCAACTACATCAAGGAAATGAAACAATTGGCTTGCCTTAATATAAGAAGTAGCTATATTGGCTCTTCTTCTGCCAAGTTGATATCAAGCATGAATCAATTGACAGAACTAGATATTAGCTATAATGAAATTGGTGATGTTGGAGCGAAACATATTAGTGAAATGGACCAATTGACTTCTCTTAACGTTGAAGGTTGTAGAATTAATTCTGAAGGAACTGAATATCTTAAACAAATGAAACAATTAACATATCTCAACATTTCTTAGACACACACAAATTAAATAAACAAAAATCAACTTGTCAAAATTTTATTAAAACAAGAAAAATTTTATTGATAATTGACAGGGAAGTAGTTCCGTATTTCTGATCAGTGTGTTACAAATGGATAAATTGTTTTGATGAACAAGCAACATTATCCAAAACTCTGATAACTATTACTGAACTTTCCTTTGTTCCCCACCTCTCTTTATAATTTGATCAAGTTGGATTTGATGTTTCCAACATGGCATATAGTACAAGTGGTCAAAAAGTGGATTTACAGCGGCTGAATTTGATGTGGCAGGAGAAGATGGTGAACTGGATTGTAATTGTATGCTAGCTCTAGGTGTAAACATTCCATCGGTTGAATTGAAATTGGTTTTGGAATTTTCTCTCTTCTTCTTTAATTGATACTTCCAGTTCTTTGAACATTTGTTAATTGGATATCCAATATCTTCTCTAGACAAAACATCTTCAGTTGATGTGACACTATCTGTATGTGTTTGACCTGATGAAATATTTTTAAGTGAGAGCGATGATAATGAGCTGGCATTTCTCATCTCTTCCTCGAAAGCAATAGGATCCCATGTTAATAAATCAGGCTTCTTCTTTTTCATTGATTCCACAACAAAGTTATATTGTAAAACTTCTTGTGCACTCATGGTAATAATAGGTGTATCACAAGCACTTTGTTCATCAAACAATGGATTGAATAAAAAGTTGGTATAGTAAATATCTGGCCCTTCCTTTTTGAGATCATCAATAGAAGAATTATCAAACATTGGATCCTCAGTTGCAACAGAAACGCTACCTCCATACCAAGTGGCGATTTCCAATGGACGAAGTGGTCTAATAACATCAGATCCTCTATCCATCTTTTTATCCATCATTAATTGTTCGGGTGTGAGTAATTTCAATCTGTTGCCCAAATCTTTAACAACACTCTTAACACCCTTTTGTTCTGGAATATCGTTCATACTCTTAGAAGCTTGATGTGGAGAACCAGTTGTTGCAGTAGTTCCTGTGTTTACAATAGTACTATGACTTTTGGCAGCCGTAACAAGTTTTGAACCGAATTCAGAGTTTGTTGAATTGATATTCTTATTCTCTGGTGTTGTTGTTGTTGTTGTACCATTGGTGGTGACTGCTGATGAGGTTGAAGTGGTTGTTGAAGTGTTAGTAGTAGTAATTGCATCACTAGTCTTTTCCTCTGGCTTATTAATACTTCTAACTCTACGTTTTGGAGTAGTTGGTGCTTCAGTGGTTGTTGGAGTAGTAGCTGTTGTTGTTGTTGTCGTATTCCTCTGTAACCATCTATCTGCAACATTAGTTCTTGGAGTAGTTGGAGTGTTAGTAGCAGTAGTACTTGTGGTAGTAGTGGTAGTAGTCGTAGTATTATTATTATTCACTTCATTGCTTGATGTTGTTGAAGCTCCATTTGTGTTATTATTATTATTATTACTCGATATATTATTGTTATTAATAGTAGTAGAATTATTTTCATCTGGTGCAGTAGTAGTATTATTATTATTATCATTGGAAGGAGTTGATACAGGTACAGCAGCCTCGCCAACAGGACGTTTCACAATCACTCTCCTCACAACTACCTTCTTGGCTCCTGTTGTTGTTGTTCCATTGGTGGTGGAGGTTGTCGAATTGGCACTCTCCGTTGATGAGGAGACATCGGGTGTATTATTGCTTTCTGTCGATGATGATGTTTGTTGTTGATCTACTGTAGAGGTAGAAGATGCGTTGTTGTTATCAAAAGTGGTGCCGTTGTGCGTTGTTGAGTTATTGTTGTTGGTGGTGGTAGTGGAAGCAGATTTTGATGAGAGCACACGAACAACACGAGAAGGACGGATTGGAGGTGAGGCAGTCGAGTTGTTGCCTCCAACAGTTGGAGAGTCGACAGAGTTGTTGTTGCCTCCTGTTGTTGTTACATTGCTCACCTTTCTGACAATGGTTGGAGTGGACATGATGGTATACAGAGTGATCCAGTTTGAATTGTAGATTTGGGTGATGAAAATACTCTCTTTTGGTTTGGTTATTTAATAGTGAGAGAGAGGATATTGTGGTGGAAGTGGTATTTGGTGTTGTTGGGTAGGAGTTTCAATGAGCGAATTTTTTTTAAAAGTGGCAACTGACAAGTTGAATGCAAGCCAGAAACAAAAGCCTTTTCGAATTAAAAAAGTCGGGAACCGGATTGATCACAGTGTTGTTGAAAGGCTATTGAAAATAAGTGTTGATTCTCATAATAATTGTTATCTGATCGCGTACAGAATTTAAAAGAGTCTGAAAGATGGTGGAAAAATTTTATACAAAATTCGAAATATTCACCTCAATGGTGTGATATGATTGTTGTGTTTGTATTTTGTTCAGTTTTTTGGGAAGATTGATCAACTGTTCCACTGCACGTTGGTTATAATTATTAGTGTCGTATTTTCGCGCCAATTCTTAAAATGCATAGTACAAACATTTTTGGGTTTATTTTCGCTCATTTGAAAAAACATCAGAACGCATCAAGGAAACTTGGTTTGTGTTCATCAAATAATACCTCACCTCAATAATTTTTATGACAATTGATAAAATTGAGGACAATGATATCGGAATGAATTTATTCTCCTATTAATTGAGGACAAAGTTATTGGAATGAATTGTTTCAAATTTATTTAAATTGAGGTACCAACAACATAACCCACTTTTTCATCAATTGATTTAACTCTCACTCTGACTTCCTTGGTAAAGTTAGCACCCTTCAAGAGAGCAGTATTGACTGCATTGGATTCACTTGAGAAATCTTTTGGTCCATAATTATTGGTTAAGGTGCCTTTTGGTAATAATCCCATGCTGACAAAACATGTGGCAACCAATTCGGAACAGAACAATTCTGATTCATCATTGGTTTCATTGGATTTGAAAACAACACTGACCAATTGCTTACGAGAGGTTTCGTAAATGGCATCTCTAATCTTGATTAAGTGTTCATCCAATTCAGGGAATCTCTCCTCGTTTGATTCATCAATTGGTCTGATTGGATATTGTGGTAATTGTAATTGTCTGACAACGAGAATGTCATTGACAGAACCATTCATTACATTGTTGACCCATTGTCTTAAACCCACCAATTGAGAACCACCACCAAGTTTTCCATCCAAATTAGAAGTGTCAGATTCGACAATGTAGACAGATTCTCTATCACTTGCAGCATCAGTCCAGAGACCATACTTTTTGAGGACTTGTTCAGAAGGATTTCTCAACACGAAGGAAATGTGAGACCAAGTGGAGGCATAGGCTAATTGAATGGCCTTTGAGAAAGCTTCACGACCAGATGACAAGATAATATCACCTGTTCTAAGTTGGTCATATAATTCTTCCAAATAGACAACTCCAAAGAGTCTGTCTAATCTTTGAGATTCCTCAGTTGTAATGGTTCCAGTGGCAATTGACTTTAATGATCTACCACGATGATCAAATGAGGTAACAGTACCTCTCTCATCAGTGTAATCATCGAGGAAATTTTCCAACTTGGCTTGTGGAATACCCAATGACTGTTCTCCTTCCTTAACAAAACCAGTCTTGATATTAAAATCTACAGCAGTGATACCAACTTTGATGCTACCCTTTGGAACTCCTTGTAATTTCAATTCCATATCAAATGTATCTCCTTGAATCAAGTAGAGAACTGACAAGCTGACAGCTGCATAACCCATCTTTCTGTCTTTGAATGCTCTGTTGTGGTCATAGAGCTTGAAGATAACCAAGATCTCTTCAGCTGTAATATCATCAACAATAAATTCAAAAGTTTCATTCCAAAGAGGATTGAGAGTATTTTCCAATCTAGTTGAAGTTTTTGTTTGCTTTTCAATGGTAATTTCACAATAAGGATCAGAGAGATCTAAATGAATTGTGAAAAATGTTAAACATATGAATTGTAGAATTATTAAATGAGATGTGAAATGTCATCATGATGAATATACTTACCAGTGCTAGACCATAAGGAAGTGTCAGCATTGATGAGATCCTTTCCTTCGTACAAATGAACTTTAACAGTAGAAGGTTTCACACAAGAAATGGTGTCATCTCTCTTGAAAACAGATTTGATTTGCTTGTTTGTGGAAATAATTTGGCTAGAAGAAGCAGCACCTTCTTCGATATTGGTAGTAGTAACAGCATCAACAACTGAAGTGGTATTTGGTTCAGCAGACATCTTGTTTAAACAATTTTTTATATTGTAATAATAATTTAACTGTGAAAATAATGTTGATTTAAATGAAAGACATGTCACTGACATGTCATGTGAAACAAAATAGACAGAAGGTGACTCTTTGGAAGCCAACTTGAAAAAATCCATTTCTGATTTAAAAACCACTTTTGATTTGAGTGGTTGACGTATTTCTCGTGGTATGGCTTTGTCCTACTTGATCAGTTAATGATAAGCTGAAGACAAGTGATGTATTACACTTATTAAACATTCGACAATCAGATTTTCTCATAGATTTTACGCGACGGCAGGGTGAAAATCAACACACAAACAAAATGAAAAGACTATCACCCCTTCTCTGTTTGGTGTTTGTTATTGTCTGGGTCAATTCAGCTCTTGCAAATAGTTCTTCTTCTTTCCTTTTATTCGAAACTAGCATGAATGTAAAGCAGCTTAATGCATTAAAATCGGATGTTGTTTCTCACGGTTATGATTATTTGACCATGTTCATATGGAAGAGCAGCATAAACAAGTTTGATTGGTCATCATCAGAAGAGCAATATAACTTTACTACTTTATACCAACATTCGGCTGATTTCTCCTACTTGGAGCAGAGATTATCAAACAATATGCTTGCTCAGGTGAAACGTGTGGTTTCGTCGACGAGGTCCAAATCACTCCAATCCGTGATCCCATTGGGAGTAAAATCTCTGACACAATCGTCTTCAAGCTCCACCTTTTCCATTGGTATTGATTCTGCAGTTTCTGATGAATTTTCTAATTTTGCCTCTTTCAACAATGTTAGAGTTGATGCCAACTCTTTACTATTTTCAATGAATTTGCAAATGTGTAGATTAACAAATGTCTATGAAGATTATGATGTCATGATTACAACAATGAGTCAATTTGTTAATAATATTAGGTATTATAGAGAGGGAAGTGGAAAGAAAAAGTCAGCTTCTGAATATATCAATACTAGTGACTTTTATATTGTACCACTTGTCCCATTCTCAGTGGTGGTCAACTCTGATTCAATTCAATCGATAAGTGTTCATTCAGTTTCTAGTAATCCAATATCAGGAAGTGATCAACTTGAAAAATTGAAGAATTCTGGACAGGCCCTCTATGTCATTAATAATGAAAAGGAATGTTTCAGTAATCAACTTTATTTTGGAGATCAATCGGATAAGAATTCTTTATTGATGTTGACAAGAATGGGACAATTAACAAGTAGAGATCAATCTTATTTAAATACGAAATTTGGAAGTTCTATAATTTCATACAATACATCATTGTACAATTCTCTGATGGATACTTTACAAAAAGATTACAAAAATATTAGAAATGGATGGACTATGAACGAAACTATTTCATCACTTTTGACATCATCTTGTCATCCTTGTTCAACAACCTATTGTATTACTTTTAATGATAATGATTATTGGATTATTCCTCATTTTGTCATTTGTATTTTATACTTTAGTTATTTGTTTTTATCAAGATATTTCAAGAGGCCTGCAATTTCTAGAAGATTACTCGTGCCAATAATTCCTTTCCTCGAATGTGTTATTTCTGAAATTGCTTTTATGAACTTTTGGGATCCAATCTGTAATAGAATATTTTGGTACATTTGTATGTTTGTCAATTGCTTCTCTGCTCTTCTCTACGTTTTTACCTTTGTTAGATTTTACTATTTGAAGAATTTGCACTTTTTCATGACGAGGGTGCAGAAGGAATCTCACATCAAGTTATTGAAATATCTTGGAAGTGCTTCCTTTGGACTCTGGGTAACACCACTGGCCAGTTTTATCATTACTCTATTGTTGACAGCTCATGGTTTGCCAATGTTTGCAATTCCTACCTATTCTGTCCATGAGGAGAGTATAATTTTTTATGTGGTGGTCGTTTTGTGTGCTGGTGCTATTGTTCTAATTGTGGACGTTATTGTGAATAGAAAGTATATTAAGGCAAAGGGAATTAGAAGTTTTCTACTCTTTGATGATCCATTTTACTTGAGAATTGATATGATAGCTGTGGTATGTGCCTTAGTTGCCATCATTGTCTATATTATACTCAAGTTGGCTGCCACAGATGCTTTATCACCAGCAGTTATTGGAATTCCAAGATTTGTTGCCAATGTTTTTGTAATTTTGTTCTGTGGAGGCAATGCCTTAATTGGTGAAACTTGGAAAGATATCAAATATAGAAAGCAAAATAAGGATTTGAATGAGAATGATGAAAACTTAAATCGTTCAGTACTTCTTCAAACATATTTACAAAATGCCGATTTTCATGAATTATTCAAACATTATTGTGAAAAAGAATTTTCTGGTGAGAATATGAATCTTTTCGATGAATTGGAGAAATTGAGATCTAATGGAAATAAGGAACTCAAATTGGAAATAATCGCCAGGATTGAAAGAGATTTCATTCATCCCCAATCCAGATACAGTGTCAATATTAGTGCTGAGGCAAATAATAATTTCTATGGACTACTCAAGACAGTGAAAAACAAAAATAGTGACAATGTCAGTGTCACCTCAGGAACCAGTAATGGAGATAGTGTTAAGGTTGAGCAAATGGTGAAAATTCTCTCTGACGACATTTCCACCAACATGTACGATACCTTTACAAGATTTTGCAGGAGTAACGAATATGTCAAGTGGAAACATGTTTACGATCTTCAAAAGGCACAGGACAGATTCTAAACAAATCGTACGTCCATAAGGATGTACTATTATTTAAATTATTATTTTTTAATAATATAATACTTTACAATTTTACAAGTTTGAAAAAAATGTTTCAAGATGATCATCTTTATGATACGAAGGTGATCATTGAATTGGATTCCAATTATAAATCACATCATTTACAATTTAAATATTCACTCTTTAATGAAGCACTAAAGGTTAACCATCCGATATTGTCCCACACCTTCTTTGGTAATGATTTTATTTCGCACTCGAATGTTCAAAGGCTTTTATCTTCATCATCAGAGGATTGGAGGTACATTCCGAATGCCATGTCATCTAATAGGGAATTTGTTTTACAAACTGTTCAGATTTATCCAAATTCTCTCGAGTTTGCTTCTTCCGAAATGAAACAAGAGAAGCAAGTTATTTTGAAGGCCATTGAAACTGAGTGGAAAGAGAAGGAATCTCGTCCAAGAAGAGAATCTACAGAATTTACGTTATCGAGAATGAGTGAAAGTTTTCTGGTTCTTAGAATGGCAAGTCTTCTGCTACATAACGACAGAGAATTCTGTTTGGATGCGAACAAGTATTGTAATTATGTACTTTCTGTATTAGAAGTTAATAGAGATTTGGTATTGGATTGTGTGAAAACAAATGGAAAATCACTTGCAAGTGCTTCACATTTTGAAAAAACATACTTGATGGATTTGGAGATAGTTACGGAAGCTCTCAAAGAAAACTTATCTGCATTGGAAAATGTTTTTCATGAATCGATTATTTACAGGGATGGATTTATTGATAAATTGAGGGAAATTTACAAGTATAGGGAGTTGGAGAATCGAGAAAATTTACTGAATGCTGTTAGAGAAAATGGATTCTTCTTAATGTTGGCCAATGACGATCTCAAGAACGATAGAGAAATTGTACTGGCTGCTGTTGAGCAAAATGGATGGTCCATTCGATTTGCAAACAAAAGATTCACAAAAGATAAGGAAATTATCAAAGTAGCACTGGATAATGATTGGAAGTCTCCTGTCATCTTTAGGGATTACAGAGCTTTTATGTATGTTGACAAATCAATTATGAGTGATAAGGAATTCATCCTCGAAATTCTTCCAAAACATTCAATTCTAGCATATGTGGATAAGGAACTGCTACAAGATAGATCTTTCGTTTTAAAAGCTGCCCAATCAAACCCACTTTCCTTCAAGTTCTTTCCGAAATATTTTCAAAACGATAGAGAAATATTTATTGCAGCGCTTAATCACCCTCCTCAAAAGACAACTTATTATAATCAAATTATATGTTCCCACAGAGGAGATTCACTTGTTTCGAATGAAATATTGGGTATGGTTAATGATAAGTTTCGATCAGATAAGGAATTGGTATTGTGTGCTTTGAAATTATCTGGATATAACTTGAAATATGCTAGCGAGTCTCTAAAGGAAGATGTAGAAATTATTGATGCAGCTCTTTCTCATTCACCCTTGTCAATAATGTATGCCGGTGATTCAATTTGTGGAAATGAGGATTTTATTTTACAAATTGTTAAGAAATATGGAGTACTACCAAGAAACTCTGAATACGATAGGAGTTTTGCCCTTAAAGCTGTGTCTGTGAATGGTCTAGCATTGAAATATTTCAAGGTTTGGAAAACAGACAAGGAAGTAATCATTAAGGCAGTTCAACAAAATTACAAAGCAATAGAATTTTCTCCTAGGTTTTGGGAAGATCCAGATGTGATAAGAGAGGCATTGCGGAATTTCTATTCGAAATAATCACAACCTCAATCCATGAACCCATCCAGGATTCTTTATGAATTTACTTGAATTTACTCACACACATGACACAAGTTTGTTTTTCAGTTGGCCTTGTTTCACACCATTTCAACCAACAGTTCTGATGAATGAACTTCCTACATGTCACACATTGAAGCAGCTCACTCGGATCATCTTTATATTACGAATGAATAATCTCTGAGATCGCCAGTAGTTGTACAACTTACCCATTTCTTGAAAACAAACAACACAGTCATCAACTTCATTCATCACTCCCTTAGTAGCAACAACAGAAAGTGATTGAAATTGTTCTACCAAACCATCATCGTCTTCTTCGTCCTCTTCTTCACTTTCATCCTCTTCCTCATCACTGTAATATTGTTGTCTATTTGATTCTTGATTTCTTCTTCTACTTGTTTGTAATCTCTCCATATATTCTGAATAATCATTCATGACCGAATACTGTTCTCAATTCATATCATCACGATCAATTAATAATCAACCAACATATTTATTTAATATACAAATACTTACCATATGTTTACATTGTCTTTTCCTGAATCGATGATCGGGACATGAACACGACACAGGATGACCATCACCACTGAATTGAATATAATACTCTTTACCTGAATCGAGACTGTAAACTTGATAATATTGTGGATTTCTGCAAAGAATTTGGACACATGAAAAAGAAGACATTTTTTTGATCATTGGAAATTGACAACAAACAAGAATTGTTGTAAATATTCAATTATAATTGTATTAAATTATAATATTAAATATTTAATTATTATTTAATTATTAAAAAAAATGTCGACAGGTAAACTTGTGCTTTTCATTCTCTCTGGCATTTTCCTCTCTGGATTTGCCATGTATTTCAACATGACCGAACAAGATTGGACACAATTAGTACCAACCGTAATTTTATCACAAATTAATCATCAACAATATTCAACAATCGGATCAAACTCTGATCAATTATTATTATCGGGAAAATCCTTGTATGATTTCTCTGTTTTAAATGTTGATGGAGAGGAAGTTTCAATGAAGAATTATTCTGGAAAAGTCTTGTTGATTGTTAATACTGCTAGTTATTGTGGTTTTACTCCACAATTGGGATCTCTTCAGAGATTGTATGAAAGATTTAAATCGAGAGGGTTTGAAGTATTGGCTTTCCCTTGTAATCAATTCGGAGCACAGGAGCCAGGAAATAAGCAAGAAGTTTGTTCATTTGCTGCTGAAAAGTACAATGTTTCGTTCACTATATTTGATAAGGTTAAAGTGAATGGAAAGGATGCTGTGCCATTATTTAAATTCTTGAAGAGTCAATCTAAAGGATTTTTAACTAGTGATGTAAAGTGGAATTTCACCAAGTTCCTCGTGGACAGAAGTGGAAAGGTTGTTGGAAGATATTCACCAATTACTGATCCAGAATCAATTGCACCAATTATTGAAAAATTGTTCTAAAGATTTTCACATTATTTAATTTATTATTATTACTAAAAGAAATAAAATCCAGTGAATGGGTTTTATTATAACAGATGCATCTATATAACATTACATGGTTTTGAGGAGTGGAGAGGATGAAAGAGAACTCAATGAGGAAGAATATGTCGATTGATCAAAAATTGAATCACTATGTTGTCTTGGAGTGAGTGGAAGTGGTGATTGGCCAGTAATAGTTGATCTTCTACCTGCATTTTGTTCAATATGATGTAACAAGCATGAAAAGAATTTTTCCTTATCTTGGAATGTACCAATACAGAGCTCTTGTTCTTCTGGTCTGAAAATAACATCATCGACCAAATTTTCATCCCTCGAAATAATTGGGAATGGATTATAGTACATTAAATCATTTTTCACAACCAAACACTTTTTAGAAATCCAACAAGATCGCAAATTATCTGCCACTATAGCTGGGTCCATATCATCATAAATGAATTCCCATAACCAAGCTACCATTGGATCGTTTTCCATCATTTGATTAACAGATAACAAATCATTTCCATTGCTTGGTTTCTTATAGAGTACGTAATCATTGTGAAGAATCTTTGTTCCAACAAATAAACTATTCAGCTCATTCTCATCCATGAGAGTTCTGACACAATCCAATGAAGGTAAAAATTCATAAGTTCCGTAAAGAATATTCTCCAATTCTGTTGAAATGTTTAACAACATTAATCTCATCACCGATTGTCTTATGAGTTGAATCTTGTTATCTTCCGAAACGTTGGTCGACATGATTTTAGCCAACTCCTCATCGTGACTCAAATGGAATTCCTCAAGAATTTCCTCTGGAATGAGTTCTGACAATTTCTTAGAGCCATCTTGCCTCTTTTCAACAACATGCTTCAGGGCCAAATATTGACTTCCAAAATCTGCAAAATCAGTAAATTGAATTGGCAATCCCAACAGGGTTTTCAAAATGACATGTGTTGGGAAAAAGTCCTCAATAAATAGATATGGCTGAATTATTATAAAGGCCAATAATCTTCCCAAACCTTTGTAAACTTCAGTCATGTGTTTACAACCAACTCTTTCCACTATCAAATTTGGTAATTCATCAAATGGTTTTGGATGTAATTTGTAAGTATGCTTAGTTGTTTTCACAGTGGTAAAGAAAATTTTGAATAGATCCTGAATGTGAATGGCCAATCTTCTGGAGGATGAAGAGCTAACTTGAACATTTCTCAATCGTTCAATAGAATCTGGTTTACAAAAATCAGCCAACAATGGAATATAGCTGTCATAGTTCAAGACAGTCAATTTGGCTTCTCCCATTTTCAAAGATACTTCTCGAATGTACATGAATTTCTTATGGAGAGAAGTTCCTTTTCTGGATTGTAGAACTTCTTGATTTAAAAGTTCGAGAGCATGTTTAGATTTTGCTACGAGCTCTGTATCGTGACATGTTACTTGATGTGAAATATTGAGAACAAAGTTGAATCTCATTTCAGGAACCTTACTCGAATTACTATAAACTTGTTGAATGAAATTAATTTTAGCTTCCATGGATTCCATTTCTGCCAACTCCTTAAAATGATTCTGAATTATTTGAGCTACTTTAACTGGATTTCTCATTTCTAATACTTTCTTTGTTGTAATGGTATAGTAAAGGTCAGAGAAGTTGGAATTACAATACTTTTGAGGAAGGATAGCTTCAGTTGGTGGTGAAGACATGTCCACTGAAATGGCAGATGAAAGAATGGAGGGAACAATTAGAATAGGTTTCTTTGAACTTTCTAATAATGACTTTCTCAAAATCAAATTCTTAATGTACAACTTTTTGTAACAACTATACATTACAGTAAAGGTGGTAATCAAATCAGTTCCAAACTGATTGGTATGAGTCCTATCAAGAACTAGATTTTGTAAAAATGTAACTCCAAGAATCTTTTGTTGATATTGTGAAATTGGTTTCGTTTTCTGATCGTGCAAGTTGTAGAGCCAAACTTCCATTCTTGCTTGCATTGAATTCCAACCAATCAGATAAATATAACCATTCTTACTGACTGGAATTTCAACATACTTGTTGGTGGATCCACTCTGAGAAGTGGAATTGCTGGAATCCTTGGCAGAGAGAGCAGTTGAATAACCTCTATCTCTTCTTGATTTTGAAGGTGATTTTCCAGCCAAATTGCTTGGTGATGAATTCAAATTCTGATCAAAACTCTCTGGAACCTGATGCAGGAAGAATTGATTAATATTGAAATGTACTCGAAAATCAGCTGGATGTTTTGCCTTACCAGTCAAACTAAAGATTGAAATGTCATTGGAATGTGAAACGAAAAAGAATCTCGTTCTAATAGTGTCCTTTCTAAATGAAGTGGTAACAACTTTTGTGCAGGGAGAATCAAATTCCTTCATGAAAATCAATTCACCTCCAGAAATTGTCCAAATCTTTACAAAACAATCATTAGAGGCAGTAATTAAAAGCATTTGATCTGTAATTGGCTCCTTGATATGATAATTCACCTTAGTATAGTCAACCTCTACAAATGTTGAAGCAGCACCACTTGTTACTGTGCTACTACTGCCACCACCAGCACCACTACTGCTGTTACTATTCGCAACGGATGAACTCTGACTTGTCATTGAAGAGGTTGATTGTTGTGAAGCAGTAACATTCAAAGATGAAGCAGCCATACCAGAATTTCCACCACCACCACTACTGCTACTACTACTAATTAATAAACTATTCGTATGTGCACTACTCTTATTCAATTCATAACATTCCATCACTTCTTTAGAATTTAACAATCCAATATAATTAATTTGTCTGAAATGTCTTGGTGTATAATTTCTATTAAATGATTCATTAGGTATTAGAGCAGTGCCGACCCATTTTCCCAATTTCGAATATTGTTTCTGAATGGAATACATGTTAAATTCACCATTCCTCAAACCAACACAAACATTTCCAGCAATATTCATATCATTTGAATTATTTGTACATTCAAATGCAAATATACAAGTAACAACTTGATTACACTTAATTTTAAACATTGGTTTCTCATTGTGAATATAAAATAAAGTCAACATCATGTCATCTGTTGAAACAAATAAAAATTCATTAAATAAATGTTGTGTAATTATAAGAGAAGGTAATTTTTCATACATGAAATCCAATTGAATTGATTTTGAAAAATCTTCAATTTCTGGTAAACTTGAATTTGATGTTAAACTTGATGAAGGTAAATCAATTTGAACACTTGATCTATTTTTTGAATGATTTATCATCCATCTACATGATATTCCATCCATTCCTGATGTATAGATGGTATTGTTCTTATGTCGATTGTCAATAGAAATTGATGAAATTTTGTTAGTGTGTTTTTTGGATTTTGACATTTTAGTGAAAATATCGAAATAACTATTTGGTGAATAGTGTGCAGAGTCGGATGTTGTTTCTGATGAAGTAGGTGTTGATCCATCAGTTTGGGTATTGTTATTTGATTCGTTTCGTTTAGTTTCTAATAATCCTTCATCACTTTCTATTGAATATCTCTTTGAATTCTTTTCATATTCTTCCATTACATCGAGAACATCATCATCAGTAGCTGATGAAGTAAATATTCTTCTGATCATTTTTTAAACAAAATAATTATTCGAAACTACTTGAAAGATGAAGATAATAACAAGTAGACGAAATTTGAATAGCGAGAGCAGCAAGCCGAATAGCCCTTTGATGACTTTTTTTTTACAGTAGTTTTATTCTATTCGAAAGGTGAAGGCAGACCTGACGACAAGCTCATACTCCTCAAATTTAGAAAGTGTATATTAGCATTTTACAATGTGATATTCGGTGTTTGTTCTCATTGTATTATTGAGAAATCTTGTGCCTCTTAAATGGGCGCCAATTGTTATTAGAAACGAAATACGAAATTTAAAATAAAATCTTTTTGAATTACAAGTTTCAATTTTTACAAACAAACAATACATTTTCAACAATAATCAACACGTTATGTATCATTGTAAAGTGTTAAATTTGTAAAATTAGAAAATTTCATACACCTCAAAAAGGCCTCGATCAAATATTTCCAAATTTGTATTCAATCCAAAATTAGTCCCACATTTAAAAACAATCACTTTTTATTGAAAACACTCAAAAAAAAACAACTTTACACCTCTTCCATTTAACTACCAACATACAAAAATGCTCAGATTACGAGTTGCCTTTAAAAATCATCGTTTAATTGTTCCAATTCAAAACCCAAAGATTTTGATCAGTGATTTGATTAAAGACTTGGAAGTCAAGTTTTCCTCACACTTACTTTCCGAATATCAATTGAATAATAAGGAAGAGAAGGAGAAACATATCAAGATTTATGATTTAATAACTGAACCTCATCAACAACAACAACAACATCAACACAATGGTTTGGATCTTTCAAAGGAATATTTGTTTAGTAAGGAAGATATTGTTGAGAATGTAATGAGAGATGGTGATTATGTGAGAGCTGTTGATTTGAATTCTTGGATTGATTATCAAGGTTTGTTTTCTTCAATAATTTTAAACTAAATTCAATTAAATATGAATGATCACTTTCTAATAATAATCATTTCAATGACGTGATGAAATAGTTTCTCACTTTTGTGATAGAAAGAGAGCTTGGATTCATCTTGAAAAAGATAACATTTTTGGTGAGATTGGATACCACAAGAAGAATAAGGTCTATTGTTTGTTCGGATCTAATTCACAAAAACAATATTTTGAATTTTCAATTGAAGATTTAAAGGCAATGAGTGAAAAGAAATCTCATGAAATTGGAATTGCCAAAGATTTCAGAGGCCTGTGGTATGTGTGTGCCAAGTTTGAATTACCAACAAGTGATGAACTCAAAGATGATAAGAAAATGTTGTGTGAAATGAGTATTCACTTAAAACCAAGCTCTGAAGAAGAAAAGGTCTACATTCACCAAGTGAGTGTTCATGAAAAGAATGGTCACTTGTTGAAGGGTCCTTCTAGGTTCTTTTAATTCTTTTTTGTAAATAAATTGAGAAAATCTAAATTCTAGCTGATGAAATTTAATCCTTTCAGAATTGGAAAATAAGCTGCTATTTCTGTACTTTCAGTTTTAGCAATTTTCAATTTACCCTTTTCTTTCAAAATTGGATAAAATTTTTCTTGTTGACCGAAAGTTCTTACAATTTCCAACATGAAAAAAAATGAACTCAAAATCACGAGCAAAAGCTGCAGGAAATTATCAGAGCACAACGTTGACTTCGTTCGGACCTGCTAGAAAGATACAGGAAATTATTTCTCACATTCTGACCGATACAATGCTTTCCCCACTCGAAGATAAATTCAAATTGGAAGTTAGAGAATCTAATAATTCAACACCACAGATTATTCCTTTCGGAAAGAGAGGAACCGTTTCGAACAAGAATCATATCAGTCGAGTGTTTTTTGAGCAACATGTGGTGTGGGAAAAATCAGTGCAGAATGATGCTGTGAGTGATGCTGCTTCGATGGCTCTATTGATCATGTTGAATAGTGGACAAATTACAATACCCACACATCCGAATACGATTGTGGATGCTCATCAGGCAGAAGATCCAGTGGCACTCTCTGCATTTGTTAAACAATTTTTAATTGATGGATATTTGGTGATTGAGGCAAGTGCACTCAAGACGACTAGTGCAACATTCCACAAATCCATGTTCGAGTTGGGACGTTCTGTGAGGAATCATCTCACTACTAAGGTACCACAAATTGCTCATGTATTTTCTGATATGACTTTGAAGAGAGTATTGACTAGATTGGTCGGTATTGATTATAGAACTTTGGATACTACTCATATGCATTTATCTCAGAGAGGAAGAGCTGATCAACATTTTCATAAGGATGATTTCGAGGATTATGAACGTCCGTCGGTTGAACCTTCCAAACATTTGGATGAAATAATGGCCATGTATTATCCACAAGGTAGGTCAATAATTTTTATTGCAAATTATTAATTTGACTTGTTGAAAATTAGATACAATTTTGGAGATGGGACCAACAAGTATTAGAAGAGGAACTCAATACACATGCTACTCTACCGATTATGTCCCAGATCGTTTTGTCTTTAAGGATCAACCAGATGAAAATGAAGTAAGATTGTGTTGCAAAGCAGGAAGTATCGTACTGTTACATTATGAAATTGTTCACAGAAGAATGAAAAATACTCTCACAGATAGATTCATGATGAAATTCCAATTTAGAAGAAGAAATGCCCCAACTGAAAAGTCATGGTGTTATGACATTGAGAAGGAAGAGTATGCAAACTTGCCAAGTCCCAATTATGAACAAGTTCCACTATTGGAAACAAACTTTGATCCGAGTGTAGAACAATATGCAAGAGAAATATGGAAATATTTACATTATCAGAAATAATAACATTACTCATTCTTGGATTCTTATAAGAATTGGGGCAACCGTGGATTCGGATTTAACTTTTGAGTTAATTGGGAAAACAAGCATAAATCAACAATGTATGGAGTAAAGAACGTGAACTAATGAACTAGTTACATATTATGCAAAATAATTATTGTCGAATTTTCTTCGATTCAATAGCCTTATTTCAATCCCACTCAAGCAATCTATTTCAAATACTCATCCAATCTTTGTTGTATCCCATCAACCCACATCATCGTACTTTCTCCATGGAATCTACCTAAAAAATACTAAGCACGTGTACATTCCCGACTTCAAGTTATTTACAGTAGTGACTGAAGAACCTACAACAAATATTCTTTTCAATAAATAAAAACGTTAATCTACAGCACACATCTCCCCCGCTCATGACAAGGAACTTTAAAAAAATGAGCCTATTCGGTAGTAAGCAAGCCTCAGCTGAGGTTGAAAATATCAAAGTGTTGCCGCCTCTCCCTCAAAAGACGAGGAGTCCTCTGAGTCCTGAAGATCCGGATACTGATGTTCATTTGATTATTTGTATAGCAGGAATGGGTGCTAGAAAGGGACATTTTCTGAGTGATTCACTTCTCTCGCAATTCGGAAAGTGGTTTGATATCAACAAGTGCCAATCTGCAATGAGGGATACAATGCAAACAGCTATTCAAAATTATGGTACTGAACAGATAAAGAAGAAGCCTCCAAAGATTGTAGTAAAATCTATTGATTATTGTTCGGTAGTAAGAGAAGAGGGAGGTTATAATGACAAGTTGGGAAGAGTTTCTATGAAATCGGGAGCAGCTCTATTGAGAATGATTGCCAATGAAAGTATGATTGATGTGCTAATGTATAATAGTGAAAAGATTAAGAAGCAAATTCTTAGTGTAGGTTTTTCTCTGAGTTTTCTTAAAATTAATTCCTTTTTATTACGCAAACTGTCACAAATTAATACAATAATGATTGAAAATAGGAATCTGTGAAACAAATCAATGACATTTTTGAAGAAATGGAAGGAATACCATTGAAATCTATTTCCCTAGTGGGTCACTCTCTAGGATCTGTTGTAGCTTTTGATTTGCTTCATCAAAACCAAGAATCTGGAAAGACCTTGTTGAAGATGCAACCAAATTTTTGTTTCCTTGTTGGATCACCACTTGGATTATTCTTGACAATGGATTTCCAAACTGAAAAGAAGCAAATGGAATCTTTCAATTATGTGAACCCAGCTACAGGAAAGAGACAATTATTGAAGGAGGTGCCAATCTTTCACTTGTACCATCCATACGATCCTGTTGCTTATAGATTGGATCCTCACTTGGATCCTGCATTTTCAAATTATGATCCATTTGAACGTAAGTTGAATTAATAGTTAAACAATTTCTCAATAATTTAAAGTGGAGTTCTTTGTAAGAAGATCAAAGGGTTCAAGTCTTCCTGTTGTACAAATAACCAATGCTGTAGGTTTTATAATTTTTAAAATTCTATAAGTGTATTAATTAATGTTCCAGTTCAATTCTGTTTTAACTACTTTAGGCGTAAACAAAAAACCAGATGAAAATTATAAGAGATTAGTTAGATTATATGAAATGTAAGTAACACTTATTGAGGGAATTGTCTTAATGATTTTCAACAACAGTGTGGATCATGCTCTTCCAGTCATGTCAGAAGTTGTTGTAAATGAATATTTGAATGCTGGTGATGTTCACTTGAAATATTGGTCGAACACTGAAGTGAATTGTTTCATTCTGGAAAAGATTGGAGTTTTGAAAGTTGAGAAACAAAAACAATCAGCTTAATATAAAAATAATTTAAATTCTTGTATATTATTTACTTTGATTCTAATAATTTAGAAGAGAGCGAGCATCAACATCATGATCAAAGCAGCTCCGAATGTGAAAACAGTTGAAGCACTGCTCTTACAGACACTCTTAAAGTTTGAACATCTTTGAGTTGCAGGTGGAACATATCCGTCAGTAGAAAGTGACAAACTACCATCAGAATTCTTTGTATATGTCTGTTGTTTTGGAATATTTCAATTATTCATTTGATTTCAATCACATGTTAATGAAATTAAGGTTAATAATGAAATATTAAACATACAGTTTCTTCATAAGTATAATCACCACATGGTCCACTATAATAATAAGAATTCTTGAAAGTATCAACAGCCTTGGTACCAGTAATGACAATATTTGAACAACTGTGGAAAGCAGTTTGACAAATAGTTGAAGTATTGGTAGAAGATGGAGGATATGAACAACATGTACCCATTGATTTGGTTTGAACGTTGAACATGGCAAGAGAACACTTTGGACAATTAATATCTGGAATGGTGACAGTAATTGAATAGTTGAATGAAGTCTTATTGACAACATCATTGGTGGCGTGTGGAATGTGATCCAAGAGAACGTACTTATTGTAATCATCATCACCTCCAATACTCAAAGCAAGTCTATATGGAGAACCATCATGACTATTTTCCTATAAATATTTCATGACATTTAATCTTCCTTACTATTAAACACTTACAGTTGGATACAAAGTACCCTATAAATAGTTGTAGTAGTTGAAGTTGAAGTATAACAAATATTTCATTATAATCATCCCACACAATTAACTATTTACTTACTTGGAATTGAACAGTGAGTTTACCTGGAGCAATAGTGGTAATAGGTTGTCCATCACCAAAGAATTGAACACCACCACATGGATAGGTATATAAATCATTGGCAGAGGTTCTTGGAGGTGGATAGACAAGTCTGGTGTGAGCAAGGGCTCCAGTAACGAGGCATACAGCCATCACCAAGAAGGTACAGAGAAGAATCTTTTGCATTTTGTTTTTTAGTTTTCAGAAAATTCAAACATTCTCTTTGGAGTTTTTAAGAGTTTTTTGAAGAGCATGATTCACACCTTTCATGTTCTAAATTAGGGTATTTATCCATTGAACGAACACTCGCTTAGATGAACACTCTTAGAGATCTGTTGTTTGATGAGGACATAATTGGGGTTTTGAGTTGGCTTACTGCATCATGTGGTGAAATACATTGCAATTAGCCGAAAGCCAAAGGAAAATATTATAAATATATATAAATATTATATTGCTTACTAATTGCTATTGTGTGGTTGGTTTTGTGTGGAAAGAAGAAACCGTTTTGTGATCAAAGAACATGTTGCATTGTTTAACATATTGTGTCCACAAAATATCTACTCATGTGTGGGAACCAAGAAGTAATAAGGCAGGAATCAGTGCACCTATTACTCAAAACAAGAAGCAAATTGATAGGGTTTTGATTGGGTGCGAAATATTTTGATTGGATTTTGATTGAATGCAGAAAGCTTTGTTGATAGGTGATGTCCAAGAATGGTCTTTCTATTTTATTGGTGGAAATTTGTTCTTTTATGGAGTTTTGAATGCAGGCTATTGGTAAGGGAGAATTTGTTGATGAGATAGATATTTTTCAAATGAATTATTGGTGAATTATTTACAGAATATTTAGAATGTTGTTAGGTTGTGTGGAAGGATAAATATTAACTGTAATACGATGTTGAAGCCTTAATGAGTTGGAATGATTTTAAGGAAAATATCGAGATGTAACCTTCATACCAAAAATCGATAAATAATGTTGAGTAATAAGAATACATCACTCACTGAAAAAACCAAAGATGTTTTATATTTATTTTACAGAGACAAAAAGGTGTAGGAAGACAGGGAATCGAACCCTGATCTTAGGAACCACAATCCCATGTTCTACCACTGAACTATCTCCCTTCATGTGAAGACAATTACAAACTAAATTAATCAAACCCTCTTTGATTCAAGATGGTGTAAAAAACCTTGTCATCTTTAGACAGAGCTTTGCCAATAAATGACATAAGGATCCCAAGAATGCTTTACAATATAATATGAACTAGTACTTGAGAATCCCTTGGTGTGATCTTTTATTATTATTGGTTGAATGGAATAATGTCTTGGAATTAGATTCGATTCAAGCCAAAAAAATTGTCGAATTTTAACATGTTATTCGCTGCCCTGTATTTTCTCCTGTATCTTTGCTGTTTAATATTTGGAGCCTATTGTGTATCTGAAGGAGGTGATATTCTCGGATCAATCTATGATGCCTCTATCATTGGTGGTATTGTTATTTCCACCTTGAATACATTACCAGAGACTATTTTCTTCATCACTGCTCTCTCCTCCAATCAACCAACCTTTGCTTTGGGTGCTATTAGTGGTAGTGTCATTGTTGTGTGCACCATTGCTGTTGGATTGTGTATTATTATAGGATCAAAGGCTAAGGAAGCTAAATCTATGAAACGATCATCGGTTTCCTTGACTGAGAGTGCATCAAACTCTTCTCATAGTCAACAACACCAACATCAACATCAACACGGAAGAATTAATTTATTTTCCAAAGTTAAACAACAAGCTAGATTTTTGAGTTATAGTTTAGTCTTTGTAATTTCAACTCTTTTATTCGGATTCCAAACATGGATTGGGTAAGTTTTAGTAATTTATTAGTAATTATTTAAATATTGTTTTAATTACATTTAATATTATTATTATTATAATAATATATTTACTATTAATTTAATTAATTTAATATAATTTTGCAACTATGAATATAGTATCGGAGGATGTATATCATTTGCTGCTTTTATTCTCTTTACTTTATTCAACAAATCTCAAGATGGAAAAACAGCTCCTGAACATCATTTGAGCGAATCCAGTGATGAAGAGGAAGAAGAGCATGAACCTGCTTGGAAGGGTGGTCTCTATTTAGCCCTCGGAGGAGCAATGATCTATCTCTTCTCTGATCCATTCATTCAAAGTGTTGTTGTCATTGGTGAATCATTGAATATTACACCATTGACTCTTGCATTCTTCTTTGCTCCAATTGCTAGGTAAGTTTTAGTGATTGTTGCTGTGCTAATTACAATTTAATTATTATTAGTGAAGCACCTGAGATTTTGGAAAGTATTTCGTTATCTAGACAAGGAAAGACTCAAAATATTAATATTGCTTTCAGTAATCTTGTTGGTGGTACAATCTCAAAGACTACTTTATTGACAGGTGTATGTTTATTATTATTGAATTATTTATTTAATTATTGAAATTATTTACTGAAATATTGAATTTCCCTGATGAATCATTGTAATGATAGATTTTAAGTTTGTATGGTGTTCAAAGAGGATTTGAATGGATTAGTCCAGCCTACACTGTCAGTACCTTGTTATTATTGATTTGTGCTGCTTCTGTTGCTTCATTTGGTTATTCTGCCAACCATACAGCAACAAGTGGTTATGCATTGATTGCTCTTTTCATTGCTAGTGGATGTGTTCAATTTTTCACTGCTTTAGCATATGGAACAACTGCTGTTATTGTTCCTCCAGTCGAGTAAATTTTGAAAAACAAATTCTAATATATTACAATTATTTATTATAATTTACAAGTAGTTACAGTTGACATTTCTGTGCCAACAACATGGATTTAAACATTTATATTGATAATTTATTGAACTATCAATATTTGTTTAAAGACCAAGATTGGATCTAATTCCAGCAATGAGTTCTTCTTGTTTTTGCTTCATAATCTTCTTGGCATCTTTTTGGTTCAATTGTCCTCTGAGTCTACTTTCCAATTTTTGCTTCAAACTATTAACGTCCTTCTTAATTTGATTAGCTTCCTTTGGATGTTCTTTAGCAACCTTTTCAATTTTATTAGCAACAACCTTTACAAGTGGTTTGACAACAAATTCATGAAGTTCAGCAACTTGATCCTTTGTAGTGACACCAATTGGAAGAGTTTCAATTTTAGCTCCACTCTTTTCCAAGACGTTATCAACAACTTGAGAAGAGTAGACGCAACCAACAAGGAGACACAATAATAAACCTACAATGAAGAGGTTACTGAGAGAGTGTTTGTACATTTTTTTATAGTTTTTGTTATCGTTCTATTCTTGCTGTTACGGCACTTGAATATGGTTGTCGTTGTTTGGAAATGTTGATGTTGGCCTAAAAATGGGAGAAAGGTTTCGAACAGTCGGAAATACAAATTGTTCAAAGATGCTCAAAAGAAGAATCTAAATGGCACATAGGGAAGGTAATAGCTGTGCTTGGTAAAGGTTATTTGTAAAACATGAAGTCTAAGGTTAATAATAAAACCATCTATTTGAATTTTTCATTGTAAACTTGCAAATTTCAGAGTTTCATTAATTCAAATCCAAATTCCAATACCTTCAAAAATATTCTTTCAATTTATTACAAAGAGAGAGATATCTTTATTCATGATAATTGAAATAAACTCCCTTCAACCATCTCTCACCCTTAAACGAAGTTCTTGCATGAAACATTTTTTGATTATTGTAAAATATAAAATCTCCCTTCTCCAATCTAAAATAGAATTGATTCTTTCTATCTCTCACAATATTGGTAAACTTGTTATAGGCCTTGTAAAACTCGGGAAGATAATCAAAATCAAAAACATGTGGAGCATAGGTAAAGTAGCTGAATCTCAATTGTTTGATTTCCTTTCCGTCTTGACTCAATTCAATAATTGGCTTGTACAAGATACTTTCGAATTTTTGTTGTTTTCTGTGAAATTTCACTGGAAATTCACTCAAAATCTTGAAGGCAAGAGGATCAATCTGTTTCAGATACCAAGCTGCTTGGACAGAGTTGACCACATAATTATCACCTCCTTCTGTGGCTGGAATGATACAGTGCAGGAGTTGGAGCTCTGGTGGATTCTCAATGAATGGTTGATCTGTGTGCAGGTCAACTGGGGCATCTGTGTAACCAAGTTGATCGTTGTTTTGGTTGGTGGTATTGTCAACTCTCAAATCTTCAAGTCTTCCAAAGTGTGTTGGAATAACTGAGAGATGAGGAGAGAATGCATCGCTTTACATTGTAAATTTTACTAAAATTCCAAAAATTCGAAACCTACATGATTAGTTCAGTATCGATTTCTATTCCTCTCACCAATACAGCACAGTCCCTTTTCAATCTTTCCAAAACATCAGAAACGAAACTCTCTGGAATTGATTCTTGTAAAGTAGCATATTTCGAATAGTGCACTTCAATTAAACTCAAGTCATGATCTGGCACCTTAACCTTCTCTATTCTATTTCTTCCATAGGCATACCTTTGAAGGAAACTCTCCTTATACTCTGTAACATGTCCATCCTGCCACTCTATTCTCAACACTGCTTCACTAGGATTAGTTTCTTCATCATTCGAAACGAAAGTATCCACAAAAGTCTTGTCATGTTCTGGCAACTCTTTCAACAGAAATACCTGAACAGAAGCTGGTTCAATAGCAAGATCCACTTGTGAGGAATCAATAATTCTCTCCAATGTTTTTGCATGTCTTGATTTTGGCACGTGATTACAATTGTGTCGAAGCCAAAAGTAATGGAAATCAGAATAATCTGATGAAGGATTTGAGAAGTGAACTCGAAGAAATGGAAGATGATCAGCCTCTGAAGATACTTGGTTTTGATCAAGAGCAAGATCTTTTGATGGGAATTGAGTCAAGTGCATTGTTTGCTTTTTTTTCAATCTTGATTCGTAAAAGGATGGAAACAGAAGTGAAAAGGTTTGAAATTCAGATTGTGAAAAATGTGGAATTTCCAAGCATTTCTTTTTAAAAGCAAAACAAGAATGTTTCGAATTTTCATTATTGTAATCCAAATGTCATTTTGTAAAATCTTCGATCATCCAAGTCAACTACTGTTTTTAAAGCTGTGAAAAATCAATTTCCCTTATTCCCCTCTATTCTATGTAGGAAGATTTGACCACATGATCTTCCATTACTTTCAGCGGCGAATATTAACTCAACACTAAAATTCCATCATGATGAAGAGCTCTGAGGTGGAGTGGAAGGATAATCCATTATTATTATTATTGAACCATCAAATCAAAGTGGCCACTCACCAAGCAGCTGCTTACCTTCTCATCAACATATTTTCCTCCTGAGGAGGTTGTGCATATCTTCCTTCTCAATAAAAACAACCAGTCCGTCCGAGAGAACTGATCACAATATGGTTGATCATCAGGGCAAGCAATTTGCAAAATGTCTTTGAAAAAAACAAAATGATGAGAATTAGTAGCATTGCATTCCTTTTACTTTCAACATGTTTAATTGTTGCTGTTGGTTGTGCATTTGGACAACAACCAAAGAGTACACCAGTTTGGCCAGGTACATTCCGACAAACCTTTACTGAAACTACACAACTATTCAAATTCATGTCACCTTTTGTTACCAATGGTACTTATTATTATGATGTAACCAATCAGAGACAACGTATTGATAGATTGGATGGAAGTCATGATAGATATTGTGGTTCAGTTCACTTTGACAAGTCCACTCCATGTGTCCATTTAGTTGTTAAAGAAAAGAGATATCTAGTTTTCCCAGAATTGAAATCATGTTGTATGTGTTGTACTGCAGAGAATGGATGTGGTGTCTTGAAGACTAATTGGCTTTTCAATTCCACCTATATTGGACAAACTACATATAATGGATATCCAGTTCATCAATGGGATAAGAAGGGTTTACAAAACAATTACTATTATGAAATGATTGCAAATAATGTACCAGTTGCCATTGATCAACAACCTAATGATTTGATGGTCTTTGATCCAAAATCATATTCAACTACTCCACTTCCTGATTCTCTCTTTGCTGTACCAAGTTATTGTACTGATGATAGTGGAAAGGATCATTCTTGTCCATTCTTCTCTATCTGTACTATTGCTTAAATAAATATTACATTGAATAAAAAGCAGTTCAATGAATAATAATTATTTTAATAATACAATTTCATCAATTAGCTTGCAATGATGACACCACAGAAGAAATAAACTTGGAAAGATTACAATTTAAAATATTTAAAAAAAATATCGTCATCATGATGATCAATGGAAGGAGATCATTCCAATAATCCTTTACATACACAATTATGATCAATAATTAGGAATTAACAAAAGGAATATATCCTAAAGGGAACAATTAACAAGGAATATCAGCAAGTTTAAAAGCAAGACATTAGGAAAAGAATGAAAGATAAAACAGAATCGCCCACCGTGGGGGTCGAACCCACGACCACAAGGTTAAGAGCCTTGCGCTCTACCGACTGAGCTAGACGGGCTACATATCACACTCTAAAAATCTCAATAAAAAATTATTGAGCTTTAATGATTCTCATTATCTTGGTATTCTTTGTGTTTGGTTATAACCGTGATTTAATAATAGAATATTAAATAATCAAAGAAATTTTCCTTAATTTATTCATGTCAGATGACATGCTGCTATTTCGCTCTCTCGGTTAGTTCAGAGTGGATTCTTCATCGTTACAATATCAACCTCGTCCAATCAGCAGGCGAGTGTACGGCTTTATTATTGGCCAAGAAACAACGCCTCCCTGGTGCGGTTGCTTTATTGGTAATCAAAACGCGAGTAAACACAACGCTCAATGTTTTTCTGCAGAATTTTAATTGAAAACCGTCTCAAAAAAATCAAAGCTAGTCTCCTTCTCGGCCGCTTTACTTTCTTGACGTTTCCGTTTATCGACAACATCATTACTTCTTGCTATTTTGAAAAGCTTCCACTTTTCAAGTACATCATCTGATAAAAGTTACTTTATGCAATTTGCTGAACAGCAACCTATAAAAGAAAACCGTAGGCAAAACAAAGAATTATTGTTTATCTTAAAAAGCAATGTAAGTACCACACTTATTGTTTGTGGTATATATATGATTTCTGTTTTTTATGTTGCTCCGAATATCATGTGATGATGAAATAACGGTTTTGGAATATATTTATCTCTCTAGGCCATCCTCCACCCATCCTAGCACTGAATGCGACCATTGTCAAGAATCTGTTGCTGCTGAAGTAGAACATGTCGCTCAAGAAATGACCCACGTTAATGGTAAACCAATTCTTGTTAACTATGCCGAAAAGCATGTTAAACACGTTGATTGTGAATGTTGTGCTGAAGCTGGATTCGAAGGTCCAGAGAAGAGATTAGAATTAGATTTCCGTCCTATTGCTAGTGACTTGCCAATTTATCAACAATATAAGGATAAGCATAGAGATGGTTCTGAAGAAGATGACATTTCAAACTTCTACAACTTGATGAACGTTACTGATGAAACTTGGCAATCCATGTTGGACTTGGCTTGTTGTAGAATTCTTTCCAAGAAGACTAACGAACATTTTGTTTCTTATGTTTTGAGTGAATCTAGCTTGTTTGTTTTTAAGAGAAAACTTGTCATCAAGACTTGTGGTACCACCACATTGTTGGGTATTTTGAAGAAGTTGAAGGAAATTGCTGCCACTCAAGGTTTGGAAGCTGAATTGGTTATTTTCAGTAGAAAGAATTATGTCTTCCCACATAGACAACCACATTACCACTCCTCTTTCGAAGAAGAATTGAAATACTTGACTGATGATTTCCCAGGTGGTGAAGGCCACGTTGTCGGTTCAGTATTGTCTGACCATTGGTATATTTACATTTGTGATATGCAAGGTGTTGATGATCAAATTACAAAGGATCCTGACCAAACATTGGAAGTTTTGATGCACGATTTGGATCCTGCTGTTATGAGACAATTTATGGAAGAAGCTAGAAAGGAAAGAGCTCCTGGTGTTACTATCGAACAACAATCTGGTATTGATAAATTGTTGCCAGGTTCCGAAATTGATTCCTTCGAATTTGATCCATGTGGTTACAGTATGAACGGTTTATTGGGTAAGACTTATTGGACTATTCACATTACTCCAGAAGATAGCTGCTCATTTGTCAGCTTTGAAACTAATGTTAAGACATCCAAGATTGAAAATTACTCTGAACTCATTGAAAGAGTTATTCATACTTTCAGACCAGGTCGTTTCACTGTTACTTTGTTTGCTGATGACCACTGGGATATTCAACATGAACTCCACAGAACTCCAAGCAAGCAATGTTTGTCAGACGAACACACCACTCTCTTGGACCAAGAATCCTTCCAAATCCACAATTCCAACTTGATGAAGACTTACAGTGCTTTCACTAATTTGGCTCTCGGTGATGAATACAAATTGAAGAGTAAGACTTTCTACGAATTCACTGGTGGTTACAATTTGACTTTCACTAACTTTGCCAAGATTAAGTAAGTGAGATAAAATTTGGCAACTATTGTTGTTTTTGCTAAGATTTCATCTCTCTTGCACTGTTATTCAGTGTTGCGCGTGCCATAAACCCTCATCACTTATGTGATGACAAGCTCAACAATAAAAACAAGTTTTCTTAAATTATATTTGATAAACTTGATATCGCGCTCAGTGAGATCATTTGAATTCATTAGAACGGCATTATCTTTTATTATTTATGGCAAGGTCCTTATTCACTAGTTTTGGTTTTGTACTCTTTAAGTAGATCGTAACTATCTGATTTTAAATTTACAGCTACATGTACAGTGGCAAGTTCAAATAATTCCTCAATAATTGCCATCTCCGATGAACCAGAAACATCTTCTGTTTTCCATTTAGAAAACAGATTCTTCCACTGAGCCAAAACCTCACATAATTTTTCTTCTGCAAACTTCTTCAATCCAAATAACATGTACAAATCACTGACAACAAAGCATTCAATCAATGCCTCACTAGGTATTGGATTTCTTTCAAATACAGAGGTTCCACTGTACATGTATTGATTAATAATCCAAAGGGTTGTTGCGGAAATATCTTGAACAACGAATTCATCCATATTGGTAGAATTATTATGAGATAATGATTCATATTCCAAAACCTTTCGTAAATATTCACTTCTGCATGCTAAAATACATCTGTGAGAAGGAATTCCACTTTCTTCCTTAATTGTGGTTAAAACTTTGTTATAGTGTACATTCTTACTAGATGCAATTGCTTCATCCACAATATTTCCATAGGATTGTAATTGAATGTCGTAATGTTGATCTAAATTCAAGTGCTGATTTGAAAAGTATGCCTTAAAATCAGCATTAATGGGGGAAATTGTCTTATTGTAAGATAATGATCTGATGTATGCCTTCTTATAATTCTCAAATTGGTTTTGTGAACCGTATGAACCTCGCACGTGGAGGGTGAATAATATCTTGTCAGTATCGTCAAATAGGCAAGAATATGCTTGAGAAACACTTGAACTGAGCCCAGAGTTCTTATATTGAGGTACAATAAGGCGAAGGGATTTTTTGGTTTCTTCATTATGAATAAAAATACTGAATGAGTGTAAAGAGTCACACATTTCGTCTTCCTTCTTCTTGATTTCATTTTGTTGTTCTTGTATACCCAAACTGGAAGGTACTAATTCATTCAAATATTCAAAGTCAGATTGATATTTCTTAATATTTCCACAATATAATACTTGGATAAATTTAACAAAGGCAAGAGTGTTTCTTGGATGGTGATCTCCTCTCAGAATATAATATCCAGGTCCATTATCGTTATCTTCTTCGACGAGTCCTGTTTGTGGATTCCATTTCAAAACGTTGGCTGTGTGAAGGAATTTAGAGCCAGTTCTTGCTCTAATGACAGGATAGTGAGCATGAATATCGAAATCTTCAACAGATAAACGTAGTTTCGACCCAGTTATATACAGATTAAATTCATTAGGATTCCAATCTAGTAAATCTGGAAGGTCCAGAATTGCAAAATGAATATCACTTGTAAATCTGCCAAATTTTTCATTCATTCCAATAGTTGGAAACCATTTTGGATTTGCAGTAATAAGTAATTTTTCAAAATCGTCTTCAAGAGCATACTCTTCAGTGAGAGCGTTCAGAATTTCTCCAATATGATACAATATACTAGTGACAGTTTCACTCACAACAGAGTCTACTTTATACCACTCTGTTTTCTGACCTTCATTCTTGAGGAACTTGTCAATATATTGTGAATAAAATTGAGAAATATTCCACAATGTTCCAAACATGCCAGATTGTTTCAAAATTTCTCTTCCTCTCGAATGATCTGTTATTTTGAAAAGTATAAAAGTTAGAGCCAAGAGTGAATTTTCAATAAATTTGCTACACTGAGCATTCAATGACTTGTCAATAATATGAGGAATAATAAACACTAAAGTACAACAAATGTCACAAGCATGAGTCAACCCTCCCAACTTGTATAACATTGCTCTAATATCATAAGTTGTAATTTGATTACTGATAGCAGAGAGAACATTCTGAATATCCTCAAATAACTGAGCATTTTGATGAACAATATTCACATCAACCTCCAACTCTGTTACAAAACTCTCCAATTCAAACAATTTACAAAGATTTCCATAATATTCTTGCAATAATTTACACTTCTTCTTCATTCCCTCATCTGGATCAATATAGACCAATCTCAAATAGTAGGCCTCACCTAATTCCATCATTGAGCTATTAGAACAACCAACTGTCTCTAACAATTTTTGAGGAGACATTCTAGATAACACCTCAATCGGTTGATGACTCAAGGTAGAGGCACTCATATTATTGACATCAGCATTTGTACTATTATAGTTGGTAGAAGAATTGTTACTATTACTAATAGTAGTGGTAGTGGATGATCCACCACCTGATCCTTTGCCACCTCCACCACTATTTCGGAGATGTTTTGGTAGGTGATATTGTCCTCCTCCTCCCTTCTTCTTTGTCATGTTATTTAAAGTTTTGTTTGAATATTTAAATATAATTATTATAAATTAATATGAAATATTATCAATGTTCTCTTCTGATAGGGTGGGATGCAAATTGGTATGCTGCGTTTCTTTTTTATGATGTCAAGAGTTGGTTCATGTTCACAGGTTTCTTTTCAGCATTGAAGAAAGGTAAAGAGTGGAATTGAGCCATGATTTTTTCCCGCCAAAATTAAACTATTAAACATTTAAAAAAAATATTTGACAATTTATTGTGAATAATTAAAAATAATGGGTTGTTGGGGAATTGGCATTGCTGCAAATGATGAATTTTGGGATGTTTTTTCCAATATACATAAAGAATTACACTGGAATCAATATGATGGAAGAGAAGAAACAATAATCACTCCGGAACACTTTAATTCCAAATATGAATTGATTGCGAATCGAATTCAGAGTGGATTTACCAAGAATTATGAAACTTGTTGGTTTCAAGTGGTGGCTTATTTGGTGATGGAAATTGGAGGAAAGATGAGTAGAGAAATGAGAGATAATTGCAAGTTGGCTTGTAGAATTGAGAATGATTATTTGGATCCAGGTGCTTGGTTGAGTGAAAAAGATTTGTCTGAGAGGAGACAAGCTCTGGAACAGTTTGCACTCAAAATTGATGATTATTATTGTTCGAAATCTCAGGGAAATAATTATTTGGAAAAGGATTATTAGCAAGTCGATCCTGATTGTTTATTGAAATGTTCATTGACAACTCTTACAATACGTTTCAAATGTCCAATTTTCTTCATTCCAATCTTATCACGATAATCATCTGCTGTAAAATGTCTGATTTGATCTAATGTTACAAGTTTCTTTTTGGTAAATGTTTTGGAATATTCTTCCATTTCATTATCGACCAAAATATTCGAAATTAAATGTTCACCAGGAGTTCTTGGAGATGTCTTTTCCATATCTTCCATTATCGAAGATGTTTCACTCGCACTAAGTTCTATAAGTTTGGTAATTACAAATGTCTTGAATTCTGAACTCTTCTTAAAATGTGTCATTATTTCATTATTGAATTGTAATTGAATATTAAACAATAAAGTATCCAAACACTTTTCCATCCTCTCACACAGTGTCTGATTAGGTATTTCATCTTGAGAAAGTACTTGAACTTCCTTCAAAGTTTGTGTGAAAGATTCTCTGATAGAGCTTGCAATATTCATACATGTTAAACTTTCAAAATTTACAAAATTTTCATAAATGGTTTTAAATTCTCGCACTAAAGTTATACGGCTCATATTTACATCATTTGCATAATTCTTTCTCATCAGTCTGAATTCTCTGTTACTTTCCAGATAGATTAACATTTCGTCGTTTCTTCTTTCGGATAGATAGGCTCGCAGTAATTGCAATCCTTCATCATTCTTCTCCAGCAGTCCTTCAATTTTATAGTATTCCTTGATGGTCTTTCTGACAGAATTCTTTTGCACTGAAGTAACTTGTGGTGAAGGTGGAGAATCCATGGTGACCAATATTTCCACTTGTTGACCAAAATTACTTGATGAGGATGAGGATGAATTTAATGAAGATGTTGACGAAGATGGTGAATCTGACATGAGAACATTCTTCTTTCTGTTTGTTGCATTAGTCACAACAGTGGTGAATGGCATTGTATTATTATTCGAAACTGGTTGAGAATCTTGTGTGAAATTATTTATCGTGGTGGCAGACAATGTTCGAGTTGGAGAGACCAGAGTTATGCTTGAAGTTGTTTTGGTGGCTTTTTGTTTGTTGATGTTTGGAGTGACGCTTGCCAGAATGGTCTTCGTACTTTTCGCCACAACTCTTCTGTTTTTGGTAAGATCCATGGAGTGGATTGTTGGTGCCGCTTCTTGTTGGTTATTAGTAGATATTATTTGATGGGATGTTTCTGGGTGTGAGTAGGAAATACTTTCCTCCTTCAACACCATGCTGCTGCTGCATTGCGTGGAGTTGAGAGTTTGCATTTTGGATTTCTGCTGTGCAGTTTTCTTTTGAGTTTTTTCTTGACCTTTTTCAAGGGTTGATTTAGGAAGTTTGGAGAAATTGGTGTAAGGTTGGTGCGGAAGGATTTGAAGCATTGTGTTAGTACTACTGGTAGTACTGCTAGTAATTAATAGTGGTTTCATTTCGAGTGATTTTCTTTGAGAATGCAACTATTAAATGTGTGGGATTTAAATAGTGATGAGGATAATATCTTAAATATTCCGCTGATTATCAGGATGCACATCAAGTATGATACCTGACTTTAGCTATTCTGTGAGCTATTCTTGGACAAGGATATTGTGTAAATGGAGAAGGAGAAACTCTTTGTCGCCAATTTGTTGGATACAGATGTAATTTTTTTGCTTTTGATTTTTTCATGGCTGTTTATGTTTGAGTGTCTTTACGAAATGGAAACCACAAGCCATACGACCTTACGTCGTAAGGATCAAAAATTCTCAATCGCCACTAATGGTTCGCTACTAATCTCAATGTATCTCGTAATTTTCACAATGATGTAAAAGGTGTCCTCACAATGGATTCCGCAATAAAGCAACTGGGACAACTCATATTTGTGATTGATGCACGAAATGAAAGATCTAAACAAAGGCTATTTCCATCATTGATTCAAATTAGGTATTGATCTACAGTATTATTGAAATTTTGTAAAATAAATAGTTTAGAGTTTATTCATCATCATCGTCAATGATCTTATTCTTCTTTTTGGAGACAGATTGCTTGGCTGGAGCTTTCTTTGGTTCTTGTTTGGTTTTCTTTGGAGGTGGCTTTTTCTTAACTTCTTCTTCAGAGCTGCTTTCTTCTTCAGAACTGCTTTCCTTCTTTTTTCTCTTCTTTGATTTATTGTCCACTTCTTCTTCACTGGAGGATTCTTCGCTTGAAGATTCATCACTACTGGAGGATTCCTCATCATCATCCAAAAGTTTCTTCTTCTTGGCAGGAGCCTTTTTTTTAGTGGTTTTCTTTGTGGTCTTTTTCTTTCCATCATCTTCTGACTTGACCTTTTTTCTTGATTTCTTTTGTTTGAGTTCTTCTTCCTCTTTCTTTAATAAATCTTCTGGAATGTTTGATTTGATAAGGTTAGCAATCTCTGTATTACCTTGACGTTCGGCCAAAATGTAGGATGATAAGCCCCATGCATCTTTGGACATTAAGAATTCTGGAGATTTATCTGCGTCAATTAAGGCCTGTACAACTTCCTTGTATCCCCACAAGGCAGCCATATGCAAAGTTGTTCTCTTACACTAGTATAATATTGTTAATGAAAAATTATACATATCAAATTACTTACTGATGCATGAACATTAAGTTTAGCTCCAATCTTGACAAGATAATTAACAATATCGACATTTCCAAATCTGCAAGCTTGTAAAATTGCAGACCATCCATCAGTATCTCTAAGAGAAATTACTTCACTATCTCCTTTGGATTTTACAATATTTTTGACTTTATCCAAATCCCCTAATTCACCTGCAGCTTTGAAAAGAATCCTCATATCCTTGTCATTAATTTTTGATGTTGTCTTGTCGACTGGGTATGGGCAAATACTAGCATTTTCCGAATCGGCTGCTTTCTTCTTTCCACTTTTTGGCTTCTTTGCTGTTGTTTTCCTAGTGGTTTTTTTCTTTTTCTTTTTATCATCATCAGAAAAATCGTATTCCTCGGATGATTCTACTACATCATCTGAAGATGAATCTGCTTCATCATCATCAGAATCATCGGATTCATCCTTCTTTTTAGCTGGTGACTTTTTTGTTTTTTTTTCTTCCTTCTTGACTGGTTGTCTTTTTGCTGTTCTTGATCTCACAGGTGTTTTTATGACTCCATCTTCTTCTGCCTCTTCTTTTAGTTTTGGTTTAAAAAGAGTAGAAGGTTTTGATGGTGAAGCTTGAACAAGATCTCCTAACGTTGCCATTTTTTTTGAATTTTCTTTTTTTTTGGCGCGAACTTTTATTGTTACCTAGGTGCTGTTTTAGTTTCAATTATTGCATAATACCACGCAGCTTTCCATTTGTACTATTCAGTTATTCTTCAGAAGTGTTTCTCCTAAATCATTGATTTGACCCTAAACTGTTTCAACCTTTTCTTTCACTTGAGCCTCAGCAGTGGCTTCCTTAAGAACTTGATCCTGAGTTGTTAGTGAGGAACTATTCCAAGGTTTGTGTTCAATGAGAATCCAACTGGTACAGCATATGGATACGACAATGCACACACTTGCAATCAAACCAATAACTCCAAATAATAACAATTGAAATCCAACATTGGTGTAATAGTTAGAGTTTTGAGATGAAGGTTCCGAGAGAGAAACCTTTGATTCATCTCTATTCGTATAACAAATATATTCCTTCTCTTCTACATATTGACTCGAGTAGGTGTAGCACGTGCTTGTGAGAAGACTTCTTGTTTTTGCTGTTCTGGCTTGGGTGGATTGGTTGGTTGAGTTTTGATCTGAACTGTCCCTTAGAAATGAGGGAAATGTAACTTTGAATAAGGTTCCTGTCAAATCCCCATCTGAATTGCATTTACTCCTCCCAACTACAAAACAAGGAAATCTTGTGAAAATAAGTGAATTTGCATCTGAATCTGTTGAGCTTTCGAATTTTGACGATTGTAAATAATACGTTCCGACTGAAATTAATGGTATTGGGAATGAAAGAAGGAAACAGCTAATTATCAATGTGGAAACAATAATGCATATCAAAATCTTGTCCACCTTTTTAGAGCATTTCTTGATGAAATAAAAACAGTTCGATATTGATGATGGTGGTTTAACGTCATTGACAGTTGTTTGAATTTCCACAACTGTAAATTGAAAATCCTCAACTCTATTTGTTGTTGAAATGGTTGGTGAGGCAGTTTCCTCTTTGATTTTAAAAGTTAAAGAAGGAGATGATGGTGATATCAGGCCACCACTCTCAGTAATTATTGGTTCTATTTTTCGTTGCATGATGTGGTGATGGTGTTGAGTAGTTTTTTCTTGATTTGTTTCATATTGTGATAGAGATAGTGAGGTATTAGTTTGGAAGGTAGTATTATTATTAATAAGTTTTACCTGAGTGCGAGAAGAAGGGTTTCGGAAACTTTGATTGTCCTCAGTGAGCAAAAATTGTTGAGGTGCTGTTGGCGCATTTTCTTCTTGGTCCACTAACAACGATGAAACTATTATTGGACAATTATTTGAATTGATTTCATCAGCTGATTGGAGGTTTTGTAATATTTCCGATGAGGATGATTTAGAAGGATTTTCAAAGTCTTGAGTATGGTATGATTCACTGGTGTTTGAATGATTGTTTGATACAACTTGGTGTTGCTCTTCTTCATTTTGTTGTGGTTGTTGCTCATGATTAAGAGAGATTAAAGATTGAGATGTGGTAATGCTGCTACTAGTATTATTGTTGTTATTGGTCAATCCTTCCTCCTCCATTATTTGCGAGAGAATGAGTTTCTCCAATTTATTTTCGTCTATAGTGTTCGACATTTTCAAATAATAGGAAAGTGATCCAACTATATCTCTAGAGTCCATCTTTGCAGCAAAGAGATGGAAAGGTTTGAGTTGGTTTTTTTTCAAAGATGGATTTTTCTCTTTTACGAAATTGTTTCATAAATGTAGTAGTAATTGGCGCCACTTTCAACAAGGCGAAAGAAGAATGACTACAATCAGCCTTAAAATTACACTTCACGAATCCAATAGTCATGGTTATTAGAATAAATACTTTGCAACTCTTGATTATCATTAATGTTTCGATATCAGACTAGTTGCCTATTTTTAAGACATTAATGTGAGTGCGCTTAGCTCAGAGGAAGAGCATCGGACTTCGAATCCGAGGGTCGTGGGTTCGAACCCCATAGTGCATAAATCCTTTTTATTCTTTTACTATTTTCATTTCAATTTCACTTTTTAGATCTTTAAACTTTCTATATCTTCAAATTCGAATATTACTCTACCTAAATATGAAATTTCACCCTCCATATCTAAGAATGTATAGAGAACGAGCTGTTCTAAATTATTTAGCTTGAATTTTTCTTTGAGGATTATAATTTACTTTTTTTTACATTGTTAACATTCAATTACGCAGATTGGTTGTTAAACGATAATACTTTATTAAAATTGGAATCCCAATTAATTCTAAAAAATGTCCTTGTTTTTCCATTAACAACACTCTTTGAAAACTCAACAAGTTCAGCACTCTCCTTCAATCCATGTTCAATAATTTCCGATCTGACATACTTGAAAACGATTAACCTGAGTTCAGAACATTTCTTCACGGCAGCAGTCCCTTATTAATAGGTGAATTTGTTTTGGAGATTGATCAATTCTTGTTTCTTCCTTCTCTTCAAAGGCTTGCTTCTAATAGCATTGTTTGAAACAATAGACAACTTACAACAATTGAAAAATTGTTTCCTGTCTGAAGGTGTAGTAAAATGAAAACATTTCAAATCAAAAAAAATGTCGGAACGTAAAGTCCTCAACAAGTACTACAATCCAGAAATGTGGGACAGTAAAATCCCAAAACGAAAAATTCCAAAGAATAACCAGACCAAGATTAGGAATATGGTTGCAATGACCATTCAGTGTACAGTTTGTGGTGAGTATATCTTTTCAGCCAAAAAGTTAAATTCAAGAAAGGAGGTTATTGAAGGTGATGAATATTTGGGAATGAAGAATTGTCGTTTCTATTTTCGTTGTACACGATGTGCCAGTGAATTGACTTTAAAAACTGATTATGAACACGATAGATATGTTTGCGAACATAATTGCAAGTCTATTCATGATCGTTCGGAAGGCATTGCAAAACAAGAGGATAAAAAACAAGAGGATAATGTTGAGGACGAAATGAATGCATTGGAGAAAAAGGCAATTTCTTCTAGAGAATATCAAGAGGATATTGATCAATTGGAGGAAATTAAGGAAATAAATTCTCAGAGAGAGGCCATCTCAAATCAATCTTTGGCAAGAAAGGAAAGCAAAAGAGAAGAATCTTTCAAGTTTACCTCAAAAGAAGAGGATGAATTGTTAGAGTTCGTGGAGTACCAATCCAAATTGGGAAGACGTAAATTTCAAGGTGATGAAGACATTGAGATACTTTCAAAAATTGATGACAATATTTCCTCTGAAAAATCATTCATTTCAGAAATTCAAGAAATTTCAATGCAACCAAAAAAGAAAAGAAAGCAAAAAAGGTCAACTAAGGATAAAATTAGCCTTAATATTGATTATTAAAATTAAAAATACATATTAAACAAATCATTCAAGGTTTAAATCTTTGGAATTACTTATAAAGCATCCTGCTTAATTAATTTCAAACAAATAAAAAAAGAATTTACAGACAATGGGGCTCGAACCCACGACCCTCGGATTCGAAGTCCGATGCTCTTCCTCTGAGCTATGCCTGCTACGATTAATAGTTTAAATATTCTAAAATCTTTCATGATACATATTAAGGTATGGATTTAAAATTTTAAATGCAGCATATAACTTCCATATTAGAGAACATCCTTAAATTACCCTTTATCTCTCCTTAATAAATGCCATTGCTTCCATATGGTGGAACTGCGTGCATGTTATCCAATACTTGAAAAAAACAATAAGGTGATCAATCCTTTAAATCTACAGCAACCATTACGATTCTTCAAAAGGTTCATTATTGCTCTAAAATTTTGTTGTCAACAAATTGTTGAAAACATTTTCCACCCATACAACAATCATTTGGAAATGAGTAAGCATTACACTGTATTAAGGAAGGAGAGAACCAAGAGAGGCTCCTTCTTTGAGGGTACTCCTCCACATCTTTCTTCACTCTCTCCACAACAACAACAACAAAAGCAACAACCTCTTTCTCCTATATCAAAGACATCAACCTTCAGTGGCTCCTTCTTAGATAAATCCCCAACATCACCCTCCTCTCTTAATAATTCCCTTGTTCAACAATCACCTAGATTCAATTCATCCTTCATAAAAGCATCTCCCACCACTCCTAAGTCTAATGCACTGCCAAGTTCGATTAACAAATTTCCACCTCCACCCTCATCACCAAATGCCAGGCAACCTCTAACAAAACAAGAACTATTCATGAGGGAAACCAGTTTTAATTTGCAAACCTTGAAAAAACCTGGCTCTCCACAGTTTTTATCGTACTCTCCCGAGCAAGATGGTCTCATCACAGCCGATGGAGAAGTTATGAAGCATCTTCCAGTTGATAAAGTGATTGATAAGAAACAAAGAAAGAAGATTATCAAGCAAATCTATCTTGGCTATGAATTACCTGATAAGAAACCAAGTCTTCCTCGTTCTGATAGTAAAGTGATGAGCAAGACTGTGGCTAGTTCATTGAAAACGCTTCCAAAGGTTGTTAAAGAATCTTACTATCAGAGACCACCAACAGATTCTCACAAACAATCAGCTAAAGATATTTTCAAAAGAAGATACTCTACCAAGTTAGGTATTCCAACACCATCTACTCCTGGAAATCCAACAAAACCACAAGCAAGAATGAGAACTTTTTCTCTGAATACCCAAGCAACTCCTCTTAATACAACAGCCCTCAGGCCAATGCAAAGAGAAGCAATTTATGAACCAAGAAAAGCATTTGGTTCACCAGTTTGTTCTGGCACAGAAGATAATTCAGATCCAGATTCAGATCCTGACTCAGATCCAGATTCTGATGATTCTGAATCTGAGCCTATAGAAAACATTCAAGATGATAATATTAGTTGTAATAATTATATCGAGTCTGTGCAAACTTCAGAGACAAGCTCTCTTATATCGTCTCCATTTCATGAACAGTTGGATGATTATTCGCCTATGGTGGCCCAGAGTACTGTATTTGTAAAATTAGAAAAGGATTCTTCAACTTCTTCCCTTACTAATAGCATGAGTTTGAAAGATTTTGGAAGTTTTTCATTATCTGTATCTGAAATGGTGAAAGAAGAGCAACAAACTAGTGGTTTACTTATGTACCCAGAAACTCTTGTTGAACAAAATACACCTACAAAAGAGCTAATCATTGAAGAAAAAGCTATTGAAGAAGATGAATTTCTTAATCGTACTGATCTTGTCGTGTCTAGAATGGAAACACAAACACCATTAGATGAATCTCATCAAGTAGATGATTTGGAGCCTGAAGAAGAGGAGGAACCAATTCAAGAAGCACCAATGAAAGTAGAAAAGGAAGAATCATCAATATCTGAATCTTCCCAAGAAGATTTTTCTGCATCAGATGGTTTGGAAGTGGAAAGAATTGATACACCTGTTTTTGAGCGGAAAGAAGAAATTGTTCAAGAAACAGTACCATTGAATAAGGAGGAACCAGTCGTTCAAGAACCCATCGTTAAGGAAGAACCCTTTCTGGAGGAATTTGACGAACACATAGCAGAGGAACAAAAACCAATTGAAGAAACCGAAACAAAGGGGCCAGTTATTCTGACCGAAACAGAAGAGTACAAAGCTCGAGAGGAGAAAACAAAGCCAATGGAAGAGGACAAGAAAGAAGAAAAGAAGGGAAATGCTTTAGTAAGATTATTGAAAAGTGGAGGTAAAAAACTTGAAAGAACTCTTTCCTCCAAGTTCAGATCAAAGAGCGTCATGCTCAATGAAAGACCATCTTCATCTCCTTCAAGAAGAGATTCTTTTTCTAGTGTGTACATTGCTCCAGATTTGACTCAAGAACAGCAAGTATTGCCAGGATGCACCTGAAAGTTTAGCAATTGAAGTTGCAGTAGAAAATCCTCCTGAATTAGTTGCAATTACAGAACCCGAAGTTCAACAAGCTCCTCCAATATATGAAGAAAGTCCAAAGAATCCAGAACAAGAAGTTACCTTGGAAGATCTTTTATCACACTATGAAGAATCATATGTTGATGATCAAAATGATTTCTTACAAATGGTAGAAGGTGAATCGCCAACATTTAATGGTTTGGATGAAAGCCCAAAGAGACAATTTGAAAATGTAAAACGATTTGAAGCAATACCTTCAAATATTCTAAATAGACCAACTACAGCCTCTCAAAGAAGAGGATCTCGAAATACGTTTTTCAGAGCTAAAACAGTTACAAAAATTCACTCTAAGGATAAAAAAGCAAATATTGACGAATTCTTGAAGGATGAAATGTCTGAATCACCTCCTTTGGAGGATTATATGTCTAGCTCTCGTTCAAGTCAAAGTGGAGAGTCAGATGAGGGTAAGTCAGAAGAAACGGGTTTGAAAGAAGAAGCAGTGCAAGTGCATAGAGAGGTTTCATTTACTGATAACAAGTTGACCAGACCAACAAGTGCCCATACCAAACAAAAATCTGCAGATAAATTGACAAGACCAGCAACTGCTCATCATTTGAAATCAAAGGAATCGAAGAAGAAACCTCAATTCCCTCAAAAAGATTTCGAAGACGAGGAAGTTCAAATTAGAGAAGATAAAGAAAGTAGTGATGATGAACCACAGAAATCAGTGAAGAGAGTTGCTTTTGCATCTAAAACCAATGTTGAACGATTTAATGAAACTCAACCTGAAGAATTGGAAAGACCATCAAGTGCAAGAATGAAAAAGGATAACTCACAAACCACAAGACCAACAACGGCCTCACGTATTAACTTTAAAGAAAACAGATGCGATGTGGGGCCTTCTGACATGGAAATCTATGAATACGACCCAAATGACGGAGTAGATAGACATTTGGAATTATTGAGAACAATTGAAGAACAAGAGAAAGAAGACAGATTCACTGAAGATTTTGAATGGACAAGACCAATCACTCCAAAGGTTGAGTACTATGATGACTATGATTTCATTTCAAGACCTGGAAGTGCCAGAACTATCTTCTCAGAACCACTTGAAAACGATGCAAATTCTGATACAAGTAGTTCTCACTCTTCTGAAAAAAATTCAATTCTGTTTGAAAAGTTACATACACTTTCTAGACCTTCCTCCTCTCCTTCTTTTAGAAAGCCAAGATCTGATTCATTAACAAGCTCATCTCAATCACTATTAATTAGAAAGGCCTATCTTCCGTATCAACCAGAATCTCCTCACTCAGAAGAAGAGATTGAAGAAGTAGAGGAAGAAGAAATGGAAGTGGGAAATTTATCAAGACGTTCCTCAATATCGTCCACAATTCTTCTAGTCCACATACAGTTGTAAATTCACCAACAGGAACTTCACCAACATTTATTTCTTTAATGAAGAAGAGAGCTGATTCTTCTACTTCATTTGGTCAGAACCCCTCATCTCCATCATCTAAAAACAGCTCTCGAAGAAATAGTAAGATTAACCCTTTCATTGTAGAAACAGAATCAGATACCACAAGTGAAGCATCTAACCTTAATAATACTTCCTCAGCTGTTGATCTTCAAAATATCTCAACAAAATTCATTGATTTGAATAATGGCGGTGGATCTCTAAACTCGAGAAGAAATTCTGAGAAGCTTGACTTCACGAGCACATCAAGTTCTCCTAGAAGATTGATAGACACTCCAACTTATCCGGGTTATATTCCAAAATTCCTTCCTCGTCCATATTCTCTTCCTTTATTATCCAAAGTTAGACATGGTGTTGTCAGATTGAGTGTGTTTATGGAAATGCACTTGGCTAATGATTTCCAAGTTTTGAAGAAAAACTCAAGCGTAAATAATGTACCATACATGGAAGAAGGATTTGATAAGAATGAATTGAATTCCATTATTAATGATGAAAATCCATACATGTTTATTAGAAGAACTAGGTTTAGTACTGGATTTTTGATTTGTCCACTTTCAACCAGACCAGGAACTAAGAATTACTTGCTGACCTCAGCCAGAAATGTTCAATCTTATTTGACAACCAAAGTAGCTCCTGACAATACTTCTATTTATATTGAAAAGAAGGTTGTGAAGATTTCAGCCAACTTCCTTGATAATATCGAAGTTGGAGAAAAGGAACGACATCCAAATACTTTTGCTTCGGTTGCTGAGGTTGAATGTCAAATAGAATATTGTGGATCGTTTTACAGTACGCTTAATGTCAACCAAGATTGGGCAATTCTTTCATTTACATTCAATGAAGATATCAAGTACATTGATAGGGAGAATTATAAATTCTTAAAATCCGGAGTTATCACAATCCCTTCTCCATCTCAATTGTTCTTATTGGTAAAGCACTTGGTAACAAAGACAGCTGAAAATAAGAGAGCAAACTCTGATAATGTTGTTGGAGATTACATGATGTGTGTTAATGGATTGTATAGTGACAGAGAAGAATTATCCAATATTACTAAGGTAACCAATATTGATGACTATTCTATCAAAATTGTAAGAGATTCGATGGATCCTATGGCTTGCTCATTGGCTTTCCTTGTTAAGGGTTCAAGCTTTTCTCGTTTCGAGTATGCCAACTATTCAACTCCTTCATTTACTGGTGCTCCAATAACGGCTTGTGCCATTTCTATGGAGGGTTTGGAAGAAGTTCTCAAGGAATCTGATAGAAGGCATGGTAAGAAAAAAAATACCTTAAGAGGAAAGATTGAAAATCAAAATATTGCAAATTTTGCCAAGACCAACTCGTGTGTTTTTACAAGATACGTTATTGGTATTCACAGTACAGTTAGTGCAAATTCAAAATTCCATGGAGTTGGTTGTTCTGTCATGAACTGGTTTGAAACGTTCTTCAATTTAGTTTACAAACCTAACAGAAGAAGATTCTCACAAACTGAAAAGGAATTAATTGAGTTAGAATACGAGTCTTACATTTCTTTGAGCAATAGTAGAGTTCCAAATATTCCTGGGGCAGGATCTTGCAAAGTTATGTAAATAAATTTTGCTTTGGTGACTTGATTTTTAGAATTAAATATTATCGTAGTACATATAGTTATTCTGATAGAGCAATTTATTCCAAAGTACATCCAACCAAAAATTGTCTATAGTGGCTGTCTGATAAGATTCTGTGAATTTCATTGATTTCCTGGTTTTCAAAGAACGGTCTCAATTTTTCAATATCAAAATAACCAAGCGTATTAATTGCCAAAACTAATTTAGCAATAATAATGAAAACTGTAGGTTGGAAAGAAAAGTTACCAACCCAGAAAAGTCCTATTTGTTGCTTTCTTCTTTCTGACAAAATTTTGAGGACAAACAGTAATTGACCCTCTAATTTTTGTAATACTTGTTGCCTAAATTCTGAAGAAATGTCCAGTTTGTTCAAGTAATATGATCCAAGTTGTGAAATGGCTAATTCTTCTGTGAATACATTGTCCTCTTCCTTTTCGAACAACATAACTTCTTCATCTGTTGTTTTGAATGGCAAAACAACCTCAACAGAGTTGTTTTCTTCATTAATAGCCTCCTCTAGTTGAATACAAGATACCAAGTAATTGTGACATTCTGTTAATTTTCCATAATGGTGACTAATAAAGGCAAAACTTCGCTCCAAAACATATTCTCTTTGGAGTTCTGCACACTTGGCTTGCTTTGAAGTTGTGCCCTTATGTTCAAATCCAAATATCAAAGGAGAAACAATTAAAGCAGCTCTACTTCTAATAATATCATCTTCATCCTGCAATAAGGTAATCAAGGCAGTCCAAACAGAAAATTGGTTTCCAGCACTCTTTAAATCATTGGCAGATATGGTTAAAATTCCTGAAGAAACAATAGAGTCCAAACAAGCAGCTCTAACATGACTTTGTCTAGCTGGATCAGAAGCATGGCAAACAATCTTGAGCCATTTCTTTACAAGTGGATTTTCTGGTTGAGATTCTATAGTGCCTGAAATGAATATTCCCAACAGTGCAATAACAAGTTGATGGAGAACAGTATTGGTCTCATTTACATACAGATAAACCAATCTAGTAGGAACAGCATCAAATACATTATCCAGATAAGAGGACATAACAGAAAGATCCTTGGTTAATTGACCAGCTGGTGCCTTATTGTACAAATTAACAAGGGATGCGAGTCCAAATCTGGCACACTCAACATCAGTTTCTCTGAACAAGGCATGTTCCAAAATAAGAGGTCTCAAGTTTTCAATCTTGGCATGGGCGTTCACACCAGAAAGAGCTTGAACAACATGTTCCTCCTTGTACAAGTATTTGAAGGTTGCTCGTCTTACATCCATAGCAGAAAAGTTCAACAAGTTTACAACTAAATCTTCATCTACATCTTTTCTGAATAAGAGATACAATTCTACAATGAAAGTTGAATTGTTGAAAAACATTTCTTGTTTGGCTGGTTGCCCATTAGTAGACGTAGATTCCAAAAATACAGAATTTACAGAATTATTCCATAATGTTTCCAAAGTTTCTTGTGGTATATTCTTGCACATTTGAAGTAAATTGTTGATAATTTCATAGAATAATGATCTAGTGGCAAAGCATCTATTTTGTATAGTTCCAATGAAAGAGTTTGCTAACTTGTTCAAACAATCAAGGGCGAATTGTTCTGAATTTTCCATTGCCTTGAAGCTTGTCGTTACAAATCTGTTGAGTTGGAAAAGAACACCATGAAGCTCATTTTGATGGATAGTCTCTTCAACAGTCTTTGGAAGGGCATTAATAGTATCAAGAATATATTCCTTTACCATTGAAGACGGAATAAGAGGTTCCAAAGCTCTAGCACCTATGGATCTAGCCATGTGATGGATCATAGCAGAGCACTTTTTCACAAATGGAATAAACTGAGATACAGAATTAGCCTCTGTCTCTGTACTTTCATCCAGTGAAGGTCTCAAACGAGAAAGGAGTAATAGCATTGGGTAGAGACTTGGGTGAAGAATTCTCTTGTGTTCTCTATTTTCATCAGTTACAGTATTTAATTGTTCCAAAAGGAAGGTTCTCAATCTAGGATATCTACTGAAATATTCAGTACCTGTCTTGATAGAGTCGTTATCACCCAATGATCTGTGCAATAATGCTGTATACATCATGAGAGAAGAGTTCTTGATGGCCCAAATAGTTGATCCAAATCCTTTAAGTGAAATAATGAGACCATCCTCAACGAATTGTTGAACATACGGACCCAACTGTGCATCATGGAACAGGAAACGAAGTACATTCAAGGCATTCACAACTTGACTTGTCTTGTAATTGGATTGATTGAGAGCTACATTGAGTAAATATTGCATAGTTTCAGGGAGTAATTTTCTTGGAAGGAAAGTTGGCTCAGATTTCATAATAGAAGCAAATGTCCAGGGCAATCCAGCCGAACGTCTCATCATACTGAATGTATCATCCTTTCCAATACCATCAAGTAGGTATCTTGTCCATTTTTCAGGAATGTTAACAAGTTCAGGAATACCACAAGACATTAATCTTTTACACAAAATATTAAATCCTACAGCACTCTTTTCAATAGCTCCGTTATGTTTTGTTGTGAGAAGAATGTTAAGCAACATTTTACCCAATTTTTCGATTTGATCAAAAGTAATAATACTATCTTTTGAAAGTTTGTCATTTGAATGAGAATCAGGATACAATTCTACATGGTGAACAATAACAGAAATGAGCATTGAAGAACTCTTGACTGCCAGCCAGCTGTTAACAGTGAGAGAGTGAGTATCTCCAGAGACTTCTTCATCCTCTCCAAAGAAAATGTGACCACGACAGTCAACATTGTTCATTGCAACAGAATTATCTTCATTTTCATCCAAAAGAGGTGCACCTGCAATAATCTTTACAGAGAGCAGGCATGCCTTTTCTAAAATACCCAAAAATTCGGTCATCCATTCTCTCCATTCACTAATAGTGGTTCTCTCCTTGGTAAAATCTACATCAGAAATAACATAGATTAAAGTTTGTAAAATACCAACAAGAGCACTGTCCTTGGTTATGTTGAAAATGTTTTGAGCACAATTTTCTGTTTTTTCCTTGAGTAAAGCAACCAATTTCTTGCAAAAACTCAATTGTGGAGATACACTGCAACTAGTAACTGGTTCCTTATCAAGAAAAACTTCCCATCCTAATTCACAGACATACTTTTTGAAAATAATTCTATAAAGCAAAGCACCAGCATCTGATTCTCTGAGTCTTGGACTTTTGATAAGATCAAAAGCATTGTTTGCAATAACCTTTACCTTCTCAGGAGTTTCGAATCCAGTTAGAGGAGCCATGAAAGATGCCAACAAATCATAAATAACAACTCTAACCTTGTCCCAACAACTTCCCAAAGTATTAAGTAGGGTCAACACAGAATTAGAAGAAGTTAAATGAATTCTCTTCCAAGAAACAACTCTATTTGTGTCTGATGGATTAAACACATCGATAGAATTATTTAAAGAGAACGTGTCGAGTAAGCTCTTGTAGCAGTCTAAAGCAACAAGTAGTCTTTCGTGTGGACAACCAGGATATAAAGAATTGATTACCTCTGTTGCATAATCATATAAAAATTCCATTAAAATTCTATATGAGTGTCTGTCCTTGTTGAGCTCTTCTCTCTTCTTTTGAGGCATATTTCCTTCTGGGGTGGATACGTCCAAAAGGTGGTTCAAAGTTTGGTTCTTTTGGTGGGAGGCAAAGATACGAACACAGATTTCATTCACTCTCTTAATAAAACGTTCGATGGCATCACCAAAGCCAAATCTGAAAGAGCTCTTACAACCACGCAAGTTGAGTCTTGCAAACTTGATTATAATTGCTAATTCTTGCTCTGTTGGCAAGGCAAGTTTCTTAGTAGAAACAGTAATTAATTCAAAGGCATCCAATCTAATATCATGATCATTATGAATAAGCCCCTCTTCTATCAATTCCAAATCATTCTTGAAATCCAACTCATATAACGACAGAGATTTAGCTGTCTTTAAAGTAAACATTAGAGAGTGAAGAAGTGCAGAACGTTCTGTAGATGATTCAGTTCTTTCAATACCTGCCTTGAAGCATTTTACGAGGAAAGCTGTTCCCTCATTATTAACCTTTAAAATCTTTGACATGAGATGGATAAAGATAGCAGATCTTTGCTTCTTATCACACATAGCCAAAAAGTCGGAAACCGGCTTGAGGCACATAATCTCCCATTCAGCAATCTTTTCCTTATTCTTCTTGCAGTCTTTGAGCAAATCTGAGAGCATCTTTTCAAAGAACAAGCTTGCATTTCCGTTAACACTACCATTCAAGTGACCCAGAGATGATAAAATGTTGGTGAAAATTTCTGGACACAACGAATAAATTTTAGATGCTGTAATTCTTGGAAGTAATGCAATTAATGAAATGTACTTTCCTTTTCTTGTCCAATCAGAATCCAGAATAGAATTAGTCATGGAAACCAAATCAATTTGAGATTTAACTTTATCCAAAGTGAGGAAATCTCTTAAATCCAAAAGATCCATAAAAAGTTGTCTCATCTTGGCAAAAATGTCATAAACTTGATTTTCAATATTACTGAAAACTATCTGAATACCTCCTTTGATAAGTTTGGAAACTCTATTTTCAAAATTAAATCTCTCTATATCTTCCATCTCTGATGACTTCCTAGCTTTTACATGGTCATGTAAAAATAATAAACTATCACTATAACTCAAAATTGAAAATAATTTTAGGTCAGAATCCTTAGATTGCATGCAATAGTAGTGTAATAATGGGAATAAACCATCAAATAAAATGTTAATATTGTGCCCATCATGAGAAATAGGTGCATCTAATCTTTGAACTGTGATTGCATTAATAACTCCTGAAAATACTGCCATCTTGCTTACGTTATCACTCAAATCTATCACTGATTTTAACTGAGAAGCAATATTAGATCCAGTTACAATATCCTTTGAAACTTGTTGTACATTTACACTGGATTCTAATTTTTTGAAATCATCAGACAAATAAGTGAATTCTATCAACCCATTCTTGATGAAATCTTTCACAAAAACATCAAAAACAAGTCCTAAGAGAACATTCTTTTCCGAGAATGAATGATCCACAATTCGCATTACTATCAATGCTCCAATTCTCTTACAATCCCTTGGTGATGTTGTTGTGGCAAGTGTATTCAAACTAGAACAAACGAGAGAAAGTAAAGCCTCTGCAAGTACATGATTTCTATGGTTTGATGACTCCTCCCCAAGTAATTTAATCATCTCGGAGCATGTTCTTCTTTCCGAGAGTGAATTCAATGATAAAGAGCTTGCACTTGTCTTGATGTAGGAAAGAGCTTGCACAACTGTAGAGGAATATCTGGTAATATATGAAAGTGCAAGTTTCATAGCTCCAAAAACTACAGAAAACAACCAATCAACTGTTAAAATGTTATGTGATGTACTCTCTATAATTTTAGCAATCTTATAGAGAATAATAAAAGCAAAATCTACATTGATACTATCAAAGTAAATGGATTCAATTTCTAGAATGTGTTCTAATTGACGACACTGATAGGCAATACTAACAAAATATTCATCTTCTGTAACGGAAACTTGTTCATGTTCAAATTCTAAAATACCTCCACAAAATGCTATCATCTCTGTTCTATATACATGTTGAACAATTCTATTAATTTCCACATTCAATTCAATAAAGAGTTGTAAATTGTGTTCACCACCAACAAGAGTTGATAATTTATCATCTACTGATGATGATGAAACAATACGGAGATGATTCTTTAATTGTTGCAAACCCCATTGGATATGTCTATGTAAATGTTTAGCTTCATTGATGAAGAGAAGAGAAAGAATACATTTGATGAATAATTTAAATGTTTCTGATTGGTCGTAAATTAATTGTTTGTAGGTTTGCAATAATTCTGTGGAGAGTTGTGTTGGGAGAACACTTGCATTATTGGCTTGTTCTTGTTTAAATGATGAAGGTTGATCCACAATGATGAAACACCACCTCAAAATTTCACGAAATATATTCACTAGAAGGTCTTTGTTATTGGTTGTTGTAGTTGTTGATTCATTACTAACTTGAACCAATTTTTCAAGGAAGGCTACTATTGGTGTCTTGATGATGTGATTTTCCACAGAGACACTTTTCAATAGGCTCTTCACTTGTTCCACATATTTTGATGTTAGTAATTGTTGTTGTTGATTCGTTGATGATGGTTTCATATTGTTTGTGTTTTAATAATGAAAACAAACTCCGTAAGATGGTGGAGAAAATTTTTTCACTTCAACTTTATTCATAAACAATCGGGATGTTTTCCAAGGCTACAACTTCTTACATTGTGTCTTATGAACCTTCCAATGTGAAGCTTGGCATTCCTTTGAGCAATAAACAACAGCTTGACAGGCACCACACTTCTTTTTAGAGTTTGGTTTACCACAACATGCACAGTTGTAAGATTTTGAGGCAGATTCATCAATAGTTGTCTTTTCTTCAGTTGGTGGTGATGAAACTGAAGTGGTAACAGGACTAGCAACTACCACTTCTTTCCTCTTTTCTTGTTCGATAATTGGTGGAGAGGATACATTTTCTAAAATGATTGGTGAGTTAGAGGAAGAGGTTTGAGATGTTGGTAAAGATGTTGGAGGGTGAGTTGATGAAACATTGCATGATGGTTTTGCTTCAGACATTTCAGATTTCTTTTTAGATTTCTCAGTCCTTACTTCATTGACACCAACAGAAGCAATGGCACTTGGAAGAGATGATTCTTCATAGGTTTCAACTCTTGGTCTAGTTGGTTTCTTTTCTAAACGTGCTCTTTCTTCCTTTACAAAACTCATACGTAAGCTATCTATCTCGAATATGTCTTGTGGAATAGAAATATCCATCTTTTCCGCACTGATATCAGACCAAACAGAAGAGAGTAAGGATGTAAGTTTTTGGTGAGACATTGAAATCAACAATGTAGCAGAAAGTTCTCCCATTTCAGGATGCTTGGCAATGAGAGGTACAAGCTTTTCAAATAATGTCTTTAGGTTTGGAGCCTTCTTTCCTTTTTCTTTTCTTGCCATGCACCATTTGGCCACACCTTTCGATATTTCAGTAAAGACAGAATTTCTAGGTACGAAACGAGCTGGAACTCTAGATCTACTATTCTCTAATGCTGTATTAATTGCATGTTCAAAACCATATGTTTGGTAAATCTTTACAAGCATGGCATCAGGAAGCATTTCTTGACCATCATAATATAAGCTTCTTTCAATAAAGGCTCTTATGAATGGTACATTAATTGCCTTGATTGAACCATCTTTCCATTTCTTCAAACTTTGATACATATCAGAAGCAATATCAGTATTTCCATACACTTTGAAATAATGTGCAGCAAATGTAAAGATATTTACAAGGAATTTCTTTGCTTCTGGTGCATGATCCACTACATCACACATACAAATAATCCAATCCATAACTGATTCAGTTGGTAATGGAACCATATCATGAATACTTTGAATATTCAAACCGCTAATAGTCTCAAAAGCCATCATAAATCCAAAATCAACCTTCTCAGCAATAGCAAAGTAAAAGTTGTGGAAAAATGGAGTGCAAAACATTTCACGATAGAATCTAAATGTGTAAGGTGTACGAGGAGGTTGTTTCAAATCTGAAAGATTAGTCCATAATACTTCGTAGAGTGTTCTGGTATTTTTTTGCTTTCCCACCTTTGGTCTTCCAAACATCATTCTCCAAGCTTGGACTACCTCTTCCTCTTCACTGTTTAATGGTCTGATCTTAATGGTCTCGTTAATAGCTGATTCTGCAATGTCAAGAGCAACGTTATCAGAGATAACAGTGAAGCAAGCAAATGGTTCATCAGCAAATTTTGTTTTGTATGGCCTGAATTGTCTGGTTGAGCCCAAATAGGATTTCAAAAAGTTATCACATTGTTTAGTGGAGGGAAAGGAGGTTGCCAGTTGGTCTCTGAGTACTTGTGTATATGCATTGAATAAAAGACAAGTCACAACATATTCTCCTCCCATATTGTCAACTCTCATTATTCTGAAAATGCCATAACCATCTGAAGCAGTAATAATAAACTTTCCAGCTATTCCTTTAGTTAACCCTTGCTGTTTGATTTTTTCCTTTAAGGAAGGTTGAATTGGAGCTAATTCGTTTGTTGCAAATTTAGGAGTGGCAGCAAAAAATTGTCTACGTTCTTCATTGGTAAACTTTTTAGAAGCGTCAAATTTGGAGACGAATGGTATTCTTTGTTTCTCACCACTTGTCATCCAGTCCTTTGATGTGGCTGCCATACCAGCCTTAATAGGATCCAGCTTTGAGGTCTTTGGATGCACTTGAATTTGATAAATTAATTGACCAAAACCAAGACAATGAAGCCCTCTCTTTAAATTTGGAATGGTAGAAAGTGATGCTACTGCCCTAAGAGTATTTAAATCAGGTAAAATATCTCTATCAATCTCAAATGTAGAGTCTAAAGTATGGTAAAGAGCAGGAAGTAGTGCCTCAAGTAAACACCCCAACTTGTCACTAACAAATGCACCATTAGCAATGAACCTACATAATGAAGGAGATAGAACTGACTTGGCAGTACTTCCAAAAGAAAGTATGATTTTGAAGAATTCACTGTCTTTCTCGAGAATATCTACACACTTTAAAGATTTTTCGATATGTTCTGGCTTTAAGTGAGCAACTGCAAAAATGTTGGCTAATACTTCAAATCCATTATCTGGGGAAGCCTGTAAAAACTTTTTCAAACATTCTAATTGATTCTTTTCAGTAATAAGCTCAAACACATGTTCTTCACACTTTGAAATGTAGTTAAATGCCTCTTGTCTATCCTTAATGGAGTTTTGGATATTACTAATAGTATTCAAATGTTGTTGGTAATTGAAATCAAAGCTAAGAGCTAACAGGCTGAATTTTTCGTCGTCAATTCTTGGGCACATTGGACAATGCTTCTTTTTCTTTGCAGCATAAACGGTAGCTGCTTCTTTAACTTCTTCTACTTTTGATTTACTCATGCTGCTAAGTGTTGCCTTTTCCCATTTCTTTGAAACATCACCACTATATGTTAATAGGAAAGTGATTATGTGCATTAGAGTTTCCCAACCACCAAATTCTGGATCATCAAAACCAAACATTAGTGGTGAAACTTTTTCAATGTGGTGAGCCTGTGTCAAAAAACTAGTTGGATTGATCAGTTGGGATAGTTTGACATTCTCAACACCCAAATAAATAACAGCATCCATCATTTGACTATATGTATCGACATCAATGATGACATTCCTTAACATATCAGAAAGCTTCTCATTATTATGATCAAATTTTGTAGAACCTTCAAAGTACTTCAATCTTTGGTCTTTTGACATATTTCTGAGGTACGAATAGATTTCTCTTCTGTGAGGAGTAAATTTCTTATCAATAACTATTAGGCACTTTTTAATCATCTCGTCTAACATTTCTCCTATTTTCTCAGAGTGTTCATATTGCTCTTTTGGTATTGTTGCTTTCATCTTTTCCAAAATACTTGTAAATCCTTCTTTCTCTACCATATCCTTAAAGTATGAGAAATCATTTAAACCCTTTTCCAATTTATCAAAATCTGTCTCAACAGGTTTTTCAACTTCTTGTTGCTTGAGCTTTTTGAAAAGTGTTACCATAGATTCATTGTCAGGATCCTTTGCTAAAGCAATTTTGACAACTTTGATTGCCTCATCAATTCGTTTCAAAGCTTCGAGTGACATTGCTTTTCTAAAATAACCTTTCACAAAATTAGTATCAGCTTTGATAGAGTCTTCAGCACATGAAAGAGCTCTTTCAAAATGCTTCAAATTAAAGAAGCAAGCAGACATATTCGAATATAATATTGGTTTTAAACTAGAAGAGCATTCAGGGTGCTTGATTGCCTTGTTATAGAAATCTAAAGCCTTCATACAGGCACCTTTTTTGAACTCTTCATTACCCTTATTCTTCAAATCCTCAGGAGACTCTGTTGATGATTCAGATTTTTTGGTTTCAGATTTAGCATCAGTTTTAGGCTCAGTTGTGGATGTCTTTTCGCTTGTTGATGTATTTCTAATCTTGGAAAGGAGGTTTAAAACTTCAGAATCTGTAACTTCCAAAGATCTAGGTAATATTAAAACAGAACCATCAGCTCTATCTAAAATGTATTTGACAAGTTTGTCTTTTGAACTAGTTCTGTACAATAAGTTCTGAATTTCCTTCTTAGATATCTTTAAACCAAATAGAAATAAAGCATCAATACATTTTTCGAAAGAAAGATCTTTCGAATGTGGCTGGTCATGATTGTCACATCGTTGACAGGTTTCACCACCTTTTACACAATCATAAACACTGGTTGAAAATATTGTTTCAATACCAGTTAGCAAAATGTCATTTGTAATTTTCTTTCTTTTCAATAGATAGGAAAGAATCTCGACTGTTGGCCTCCAATTTCCTTGATTAACAGCCATTTCAAATGGGCTCGGCATACCACCACTTGAAAAAAGAGGATTACCTGATTTTTCACAGAAAAATTGCACAATTTCTCTTGAGCGATCATAATAGCATGAAAAATGGAATGGATTAGGTTCATATGGAGTTCTAATGGGTGCTCCATGCTCCACCAACAGCTTGACAGCCTCCAAGTTGTTCAAATCAACAGCCTTATGGAGAAGTGAAAGATGTACCTGAGTTCTGGCATTAGGGAAATATAGTTTAGAATAAACCTGGAAGAAGTTTTGGACTGGTTTGCTATGGTCGAAGTGTTTTCTTTTTAGTTTGTGCTCTTCACCACTAAGACAAAGATGAGAGTTCACAATATTTACATTTTTGATGGCATACTCTAAAGCATCAGGATTTGCAAGCCATAAATCAAGATTATCTGAAACGTATTGGGAATCAGCACTAAATGATGGAGCCTCTCCAACTGTACTAGAAAAGCTTCTAGGAAATCCAACATTGGCCAACTTTCTTATTCCCAAAAGATATTCAAAAACGTAAGAAGACCATTCTCCAGCTGCAGAAAGTGGGCTTTTTACAATGGCTACATCTTGGTCAACATTTTTACGTTCTGCATACTTGATTTGGTCTTCTACTGAATTATATTGTGGAGTCTTCTTGTTTACAATATAGTCACACAATCCAAAACTCCAAAGTAAATATTTGGAAGAACTCAATTTTAACATTTCCACATCTTTCTTCATGAAATCATAAGCTTCCTTCCATCGTCCAAGTTTCATTAAGCATTCTGGAATATTAGCTTGAAAATTGCAATATGAAACCATCATTCCATGAATTTCTGAATCTAACTTTTGAGCTCTATAATAGGCATCAAGAGCTTCTTCATACCTTCCCATTCTTCGTAAAACATTGGCTTCTCCAATTATTGCTCTAAAATATTGTCTAAATTGATGATGAAGCCAATTTCCAGTCTTGTCAAGTTTAGAATTGGTTGGATGGTAATAATTATCTTTTTTAGATTGTCCTTGTCTATAATATTGAAGTGCTTCCTCAAAATTCTTTGCCTTGTACATTGCTAAGAGGTTGTAGGCTTCAATACAATTTGGAGAGAGTTTTAATGCTTCGGAAATTTGTTTCTCAAGCTTCTCTGGGGTGTTAACATAGTCATGAGCACCGTGTGCAATTTTTGAAGCTTGATAATCGTTTCTAGTCTTGTACATATCTGGTGATTGATGCATCATGTCATGAGCAGGAGAACCAGCTGCATTTCTGTGTTCTGAAAAGTCTCTTGAAAGAGCCTTCACATCATGATCATCTGGATTCTTGTAGTATTGTTCGATCATGTAAATCTTCTTTTGTTTTTCGTTTAGTTCCGAAGGTGCAGAATCATGCTTTTCATAAATATTACACAACCTGAGAACTCTCAAGAGTGTATCTAATTGCTTTTCAGTTAGGTTGTTCAGCACACCTGATGGTCCAAAAACTCTCGGAAGTGATTGGGTCAAACTTTCAAATTCACATGGTTGTGTTGGATTATTGCAAGAGCTTTGAATTGGATAACCCAATTGTTGTGCAAACCAATTAGCATCCATTTTCTTGTTAATATTCTGATGTGACTGTTGTATGATGTTGTTTTAATTTTTTTGTTGTTGTTAGGCTTCGTTTATTTGTTCGACCTTGTAATGGCTTTGTTGGTTACCAATGTTTCGAAGGCTTGTTTACAAAAACTTCAAAGGCTTGTTTAATCAATGTCATTCTAAAGCGATGTGTTTATTTATCATCATATGTGGCGTGTCCTAAAACATCATCTGCCACAGAAATTTCATATTCTTCGTCACTGTCTTCATCTTGATTGACTCCTCTGTAATAATAATTAGAGGCACTCAAATCCAAACAGTCACCACTACACAGCAATCCACATAAAAAACAGAAAACTCCAATTATTGTAATAACAATTAAAATTCCAAATGAAATCCACTTGTAGTGACACCAAAAAGAAGCTCTTGTCAAGTAATCTCTTGTTATTTTCATTGGGCTAAAGAAATCATAATGAAAAGTTGCTGATATAGTATTCAAATGTTCTAATACTCCAAATATTACATGAACTATTGGTGACAAACACATGACATTGGCAAGTGTTTTGTTCGTGGACGAAAATATCGAATATAATACACATGAAATAAATACAGAAACTGAAGGAATAAAGTATAATAAATCAATCAACTCGTAAAGTAAATGTAAATATCTTCCTCTTGTACCAATATGCTGCAAAAATTCAACTCCCAAACTTCCATCAAATCCTCGCAGTGAATTATTCAACATGGTAAACTCGGACGAAATAAATAATCGAGACCAAACATATTGAAAAATCCACGTGCCAATAATATTTAAAAACAATAGTAATATACTTCGTAGATTGGCATTTGATTTTATAAATCCTAAAAGGGAGACTATTCCTTCTTTGCAAAACTCAGCAATATTTAATATGATATATTTAAAATAATTATTTGATGGTAGAGAGGATCTGTGTGATGATGAGGATCTTCGTGATTGTGTTGTAGTTGTTGATGTTGTTATTATTGTGTTGGGTGATGATGTTGTGGAAGATCCTCTAATAGTGGCTGAAGAACCACCACTCTGCAAAGACGACACATTCACAATTGTGTGATGTGCAGTTGATGTTTTGTGCATTTTTTGTAATGTTGTTTGTGGATTAAAATCAATTAGACAATGACACTTATTTGGAGACAGTTGCGGGTTACTAATTAAAACTGTTATCTTGAAACTAAGTGCATTAGTTTATTATGGCTTATTAATTGGTGGACGAACTGTTGTAAATTGAGTTTGTGAAGGGTTCGTGTTAGGAGTTGGTCTTGTGGTTTGGATTGGAGCATTGTGTGTTACTGTAGGCATTCTAGTAGTGGCAACAGATGCAATGTTAGAGTAGTCAATATTTGGTAAACTAGTGGTTGGAGGACTTGTGTTGGCATATTTCTCTTCTGCAACTTCGAATGGAAGTAATTTTCCAAATAAAAAGTGTTGAATGACAACAAATTTGAATAATACTTCATCGTAATACATCTTAATTAATCCTGAATTAATCTTGGTCCATCTTGGAACTCCACTAATATCATTAAGAAGAGGAGAATGCTCACCGAATGGTCCCTTTTTAACTCTATTAATGAAATCAATACCAGCCAAATACAAGTATCTATCAGAGTATCTTTCCACAAGGCCTCTGTCATGAATTGAGGTTGGTTTGATTTCTTCTGGATTATTAATTAATTGAGAACTTCCCCAAATATAAGTTAAGAATTGGTGATCATCCAGACCCCAAACACCATGAGAACCAGCAGGCTCTAATTTGTAGAATAATAAAACCTTTCTCATAAAATCGATATATCTAGGGAAAATAACAGAGACAAGAGCAAATGAATCTCTGAGAGTTACAATATTCAATCTAGCTAAACAGCACATCCAAGCACAAAAAGTTGCTTCGTGACCAGTACCATAATCAATTCTAGTCTTGTTTCCAAAACTATCCTTCCAATATGCACTTAATTCTTTTCTATGCCATTCCTCTTTCTTATTATACATTGTATATACACCTGATTCGTCACTTGCTGGTGAAGAATGTTCCAAAGCTTTATCTAACAATGAATCCATCATTCTATCAGCTTCCGAAGACATTTTATCAGACCAATCACGATATGATAAATTACCAAATCTTGAAGTTTGTCCATCTCTAAATTCTACTGGTGGAAATTGTTCCATATAAGCTTCCAAATCGTCGAAAAATGTTAATACCATCTCCAATACTGGTGAGAGTTTTATATTTGCATCACTAGGAAGAGGTTTGGATTTTATCGATTCATTCAATTCACGCACAAAGTTATCAAAGATAAGAAAGGCTTTCGATTTTTTAAATTTGATCATATCATGTTGTGTTTTAATCTTTTTATGTGGAACTTCCTCATCATGCACCTCCAATTTTGCTTCAAACTCCTGTTCTAATTTTTGTTGCATTGGAGAGTGAGCAGTGGTTAGAACGCTATCGTTAATCATTTTTTTTAATTTTATTAATAACTCGATTAATTAATATTTAAAATTATGTACTATTATGCTTTTGTTTACAAAATTAAATAGTATCAGCTGCAATAACATAGAATAAAAATGCCAACAGAGGAAACAACAGGCAACAACCAACAACAGAGGAAAAAAAGACTTACCGATAGTAAGAGATTTTATGTAATAGCAGCCTTCTTTATTTATGTGTTGGCCGGTTTTGCTGTTTGGTGGTTCTCAACAGGAGCCTATCAATCACTTTTTCCTCATGAAGATATTAAACAACTCTTGGAAAAGGATGCTTCACATTCCCTTCTTCCTTCAATTATTATAGTGGCCCATTATATTAATTTCAAGTCATCACCATCGGTGGGTCATAGTTTATCATCTAAAAAGTTTATTGGATCCATCAATAATTGGACAATAGAACAATTAAATAATGTAAATGGTGATGATCAGAAAATTGATGAATTATTGAACGAGTGGATACAAGCAAAGAAACTTGATAAACCTAATCACTATCATTTATTTATTATTTCCGGCCAAGACAAGGAAACTACTTTATATTTAGGAAAACATAGACATGCTTGGACAATTTTAGGTGCTGATAATGGAGTTTCCTCTATTTTCGAGTTGTATTTTAACATTTTAACTAATAGCAATACATCACCTTCAAAATCTAATCAAATCAAGAATATGTATGATGAATTTGGAGATTTAGCATCGGATATTATTGATGATAGTGATATTACTGTCAGTAAGACTGCTATGAAATATAGAATTACATTCAATGTTGTAAATATGGCTCCATTCAGAAATTACATGTTTGATTGGGGTTCAGAAACTATTAATTTTGAGAATTATATTAGATCATTCACTGATTCTATTTCTAATTTAGCAGATTTTCTTATTGAATGGAAGACAGTAATGTATGGTAATTTACCAGTTAGTGGTCTTCATTCAAAATCAGCTGATGTGTCCAAGTTAAGGAAATATAAAACCTTCCAAAACTTTGAAAGGAGAAATTCAAATGATGTCGATGCTGCCAATGCTACAGCTTTAGTTCCAGAAGGGCAAGAACCTTACTATGAAATTGATGCCAGATCTATGCAATTCTTATTGAATGAAAATAATGATTGGAAGTTTGTTTCACAGGATGCCAATGAAACATCCATTCAATTTTTAGTTTTAATTCCTCCAAAAGAAAGCACTCCACTCTTAGTTAGAAAGTATGACGGATCAGTGAGTCAACACAATTCTTACATTGTACCAAGATGGGGAGGTGTTCTAGTTTTTAACCCTTCTAAACATGTTTACAAAAATACTGGATTGAAGACCTTGGATTCGGAAGATGTCCAATACATTATGGAAGTATTCACTAATCAATTGAGAAGACTTCTTTCCATTCCCCCACCAACACCATCCACAGTTAAGATTGATTCGAAAGGATTATCAAAGGTAAAAATTACATACATTTCCTCCTTGAAATTTGGTGTATCACAATGGGAAATTGATCAATTATATAGACACAGAATTCAAAATAACTTACTCAGAGCTGTTGAAACTCTCAAATCCATGTCTAGAGTAGTTTACAATATGCCTAATGTATATGTGTGGGATATTGTAGCTGAACTCACAAGAGAATCCATTGAGAATGTCCACCAGGCACTTTCAATGATTAATAATAATGAGATTGAGAAATTAGATGAGCTTTTGGCCAAATCCAAAACAGCTATTTATAGTGCTGAGAGAGCTTTCGGTCATGAATCAATGCTCTCAATGCTTCACTTCCCAGATTCTCAAAAATTAGCAATTTATTTACCTCTTGTTCTTCCAATAGTTATTACAATTCTTGTTGGTTTTAAGAGAGAGAAGAATGTTCTTGCTGATAAACTGAAACCAACCCCAGCAGCTCAACAAGAATAAACTAAAGAGTTTCGTAAGAAAAATCCTCCTTTCCACTCTTAATATTAGAAAAGGTTGAAGATTCTTGATAATTTAAGAAAAGTTTGTGAACTAGTGCATAGGAAATAATTGCCAAACTAATAACATAGTGAATGAGTGCAATACCAATCTGAATTGATACAGTTATCACAACCGATAATTGTTCATGTGCTCTCCAAAAAAGGATGATTCCAATCAATAGCCCAACCATTTGAGTAGCCATAGACATTACTGAGGACATTAAAAAAGAAGATGTGAACAATTTGTGAATTACAACATGAGAATGATTTTCAAATTCACTATAATACTCAATTTCAACTCCATTTTCATGCCTTATTTCACCTACATTGTCTTGAGGAGAGGCCTGTTGGATAGCTAATCTTTCAGCCTCCTTCTTTACAGTTTTGAAAAAGATGTAATTCAGTCCAATCTTTAAAACTGCCAACACACCAATTACTATATACAAAAATAGGAAAAGTGGCCACAAGGCAAAAATGTCCTCTTTTCTCTCTTCTCTGAGAGGGTAAGGTTCACTAGAATCGAAAGTTTCACTCACAAACTCTACAGTTGATATGATTAGTAATGCTAGGTTGACCACTATCAAAACTTCTCCTAAACTATACGAAACCACAACAATTTTTTGAGATTTTTGCAAACTCCTCATAACTGATTGGAAGATCATTTTTTTTAATGATTTGTTTTTGACTTCTGCCTATTGAAATTGTTTATTATTTTGGAGGTTATTCTTAATTGGTACTTTTGGAGTGAAAGAGACAAATTGAATTAATTTGTAAATAATAAATCTAAGGAAAATTCTATAATTGGAAAATCGTTTAAAGTCAAGCGAATGGACAATATGATTTTCATCTCAATACCTTAATTCTTGTAAATAAAATTAAATACAAAGAAAATATAAATATTAAATAATTAAAAAAAAATGAAAAATACATCACTGTTGGTTTTATTAGTTTGTTTGGTGCTTGCTGTCTTTTTAATTTCGGAGAGTACACCACAAAAAACCACACCACATCACCATCACCATCAACAACAACAACAAATAATGATGACGTAACTAGTGTGCGAACGAATGTATTAGGACAAGTCGTTGATATTCCAAAACATTTGAGAAAGGATGAACAACACGATCCGATTAAAGTGCTTGTTTTGAGACAAGATAGGCCTGGACAAGAAGAAATTTATTATGTACGAGCTGATGGAACATTTTCTATTGAAGGTTTGACTGTCGGATCACATATTGTACAATTAGCTTGTAATAGATTTGAATTTGCTAAAGTTCGTATTGATGTATCAAAGAGTGGAAAGATGAGAGCTATTGCTATGGTTCCATCTAGTCATCCTTCACTTTATTCATCTGAGGAAGAAAGAAAAGCTGCTGTTGCTTCTGTGGACGGATTCGGATTTGTTAAACAAAATATTCCTGTCGAACCAATTCTCAAAATTAGACCATTGAATGCTTTGAATTACTTTGAAGTTGTTCCTCCAATGGATTATCTTGGACTCTTGAAGAATCCTATGGTTATCATGTTAGTTGTTGGTGTTCTTGTTTCTGTTGTTTTCCCTAAACTTGTTGACCCAGAAGCTATGAAGGAAGCACAAAAATCAATGTCACAAGGTGAAGGAAGCTTCCGTGATTTAATGAATAATTTGAATGGTGCTGCAGAAACTACAGCTGCAAATGCTATAACTGGTCAAAAGAAGAAACCAAAGAAGGATTAAATTTTATTTATTTTGAATTTACCTTATTTAATGCTTTTTCATATTTGACATCATTATTATTTTCAATTTATTTGTTATTTATTAAACTTCAATATCTGAAATGACTGAATGTAAACTTTCACTGCTGTGTGATCTTTCCATGGAACAAGTTTCAGCACTTTCAAGACTTGAAATGCTATCCACAGATTTTGATCCAATAGAACTACCAAACGACAACTTGTTTGAAGGGAAATCAGTTGCTGAGAGTTCCATATCATCGTGAGTATACTCTGTATAGTTTTGTACTGGAGAGGACATGCTATCTTGCAATTTGAGAGCTTGTAACTTGGTTTCAGAGTTACCTTCTTCAATCAAGAATTGAGCCTTATTCATACTCTTTTCACCAACAATCTTTCTCCATCTCAAATAGAAGAAAGCAGGAATGTTGATACCAACAACTGCACAACCATAGGCAACAAAAGCACCTGCCAAAAGATTCCATGAGAACATAGTTGGACAAGCAATCATTGAATACAAGCTTACAGAGCATGAGCCCAACATCATTGGACCAACAGATTCAACAGCCAATGTTTCGTCTTCATTACCAATCCACAATGTAAATAATGTGGTCATGTAAATAGTTGGGAAAGAGGCAAATAAACCAGCAAGGAGAGTAAGTTGCATAGCATTGAGGAGAACACTGATGGAAACCAAACAGAATGGCAAGCCAATTCTCAAAGCAAAGATAATGAGACGAGACTTTTTGAATTTCTTCTTTTCTGGACTTGTTGGAGTGTTGCTATTAGTATTACTCGATTGATTGAGAGGTTTGTACACCTTATAGGTCCAAGAAACCTTGACAGCCAATACAAGTGTAGCAACAAAACACAAAACACTAATGGCAATGTGGATTTCATCTCTCCATTGAATGAGACTAATGGCTGTCATATAGGTGCTTGCCATCACTGTCCAAATGCTCACACCCAACAAACATACCAATAAACCACTCATAACTTTGATGAGGGTGTCGCTACCCAAAGCTTGTAATGCCTTGATTTGGAAAGTTGGTTCATCATCTGCTGAATTACTATTTTCAATTTGAATAACAGTAGTTGGGGATGATTCATTTGGTGATTCGTCCTTTTCAGAGAGGATAATTACATTGGTCAGGTCTTCTTGTTGCAAAGATTCCTCTTCATTAGTGGAAGAAGCAGTTGGAGTTGGTGGCACCTCAGTGGATTCTTTCAATTTCTCACCTTCTTGGTCATTGTTCTTGTTGACGACTTCAATGGTAGTAGAAGGTTGAGATGAATTAACATCCAAGTCTTCAATCTTTGAATTGGATGTCTTTGCTTTGGACTTTAATTGCTCAATCTTTGAGGAAATGAATCTTCTCCAACGTTTCACAACAAGTTGATCAATGTGTGGAGGAAGCACCTTCCAACACAATAAAAAGATGGCAGTCATAAAGGTACCAATTGGAATAGTAAAGAACCCTCTGGTCATGACATGTTGTCTAGTGGTACTGTCTTGTCCAAACTTGAAGAGAGCATCCAATGCAAAACCCAAAGTTGATGGAACTATCAATTCAATGAATATACAATATATATTTCATTACTTACCAACAGCAGTTGGAATAGAGGAGATGACACCACCAACTCTTGAACCTGCACGTTCAATAATGAGAGTAATGGTGAATGAAATTAAAGAGGCACACAAGCCCATAAAGATTACATTAAAATACAAGGAAGAAATGACTGGATAAACCATTGCCAAAAGACCTTCCTGATCCAAGTTTGAATCAATAACAGTAGAGTTTGAAGTACCATTTGTTGGATTGAGAGTGGTTGTTTCATTCAATAGCACTTGAAGCATTTGCACATTAAGGTATTGGAAGAAAACTTGACTGGTCATTTTATGAGTGATGATTATTAGTCTTATTGAAATGAATGTTGTTGGATGATATTATTGTCTTGAAATGTTCTATCATGCGTTTTCAAATATATTTAGCCTTTGTTATTCTCGTGTGTTGTGAGTGACAAAGAAGCTTTGTTGAAGATCTTTTTTTTCAATGGTAACCACAACAGTGAGAGGAATGAAGGAAAATTAATGTGCACCAATAATTGATGTTTTCAAAATCGAGAGAAGGAGACAAGGTTGGAAATGTGGATATTCTCAATATTCTCTCATCACCTGGGATTTGTAAAAACTTCGCGTGTTTCCTTGTTAAGAAATGTGGATAATTTTGGAACGGAAGCCTACACCACCTCAATTAGAATTATTATTGAAAAATTCAATAATAGACTTGCACGGGCGCGAAACGATATGTTGAAAATTTAACAATAGCAAGTACATTCGCTAGGGGAAAGTCGGGAGCAAACTTTACTGGATTTTTTATCACCTCCTTAATGAGTTGGAAAACGTTTCAATAAGTCTGCGAGTCTATAAATGACTATGGAGGTTCCGCTATCTTCGTAATTTGCCCATTAAATTGATATTGATATTTCAAAGCAAATATTCCATGTTTTTTGAAGTTTTACATTCTAAAGCTTGAACGGGTACCTTTTAAGAATGCACCTCGTATTGAGGTGTAGGGTTGTTGCATGTGTGTACTGCAGTTTGGAGAAAATAGAAAACAGGATTATAATAATATATTCTTCATGATTTCAAGTTAATGGTTTCAACACATATTATCCAATGAACAATTATCCATGTTGTGAAAATTCTAGATATGTAGAAAACCAATTTTATTGTAATAGTGTATACAATTTCATGGTTCAATTTGATATTGAATCATCTCTAATTCAAATTCAACCAATTAAGCCAAATGATAAATTCCTGAAAACTAATAACACTATCAGAATTAGTATCCAAACTCTTCATTGCCTCCTCAACTTCCTTCATGGATGCATTCTTATTTTGTTCATATAATTCTCTATAGAATTTTTCAAATTCACTCAGAGAAATGACACGATTAGAGTCAACATCATATTTTCTGAAAATATCAGCTGCTTGAGTCAATAACTCAATTCTCTTTTCTAAAATTGATAATTCTGAAGTGGATGCAATTTTAATCCAATATTGTTCGAATTCTTCAAAGGAAACGTGGCCATCAGAATTTTTATCAAGATACATTTCAAGAGCTTGAATTTCTTCCTTGCAGAAATTGAAACCCAAATCATCCATAATCTTCTTCAAATCAGAAACTCCAAATACACCTCTTCCGCTCTGTTTCGAATAATATTTTGATCATTTGAAAATAAAAATTATATTGGAATGTTTAAAGAAATAAGAATATTTTACATACAGTATCATACTTTAGACACAAGCTTTTAATAACCTTTGGATCTGTGCAGTACACAACTGATGTCATTTTTTTAATTATGGTGACGTCTGGCAATAAAGTTCACAAGTAATCAATCCATTTACACGAACAACTCAATTAGTTCCTAATCATTAATCTTTCTTCTCAGCATCTACAGTTTTTCCCCTAATAATCTCACCAAACACCTCGTACAGCAATTTTGTAATCTCTTTCAATACTTGAAGCCATTCCAGTACCAAATCCGATCCTCCAATGATCCACACTACAAATAAGAAGAGTAACACCATGAATGCATACTTGAAAGGAGCAAAAAGTATTCCAAACACAACTTCCACCATAAAATCTTGAATTGTTTCCAAAATCCATGATTCCTTCTTTTCCGAATTGTTTTTTAAATTTTCCTCAGTTTGTTCTTGACTATTATTTAATTCTTCCTTCTTATTGTTGGGTTTTTCTTCCTGATGAAGATTTTGTTGTGGAAAATTCATAGAAAAGTTTCTTGATGCGTGCAATGATGATGAAGATCGGAAGAGGAGTTCAATACTGGAATTGCAAGGTAGTTTCGTGTTTCGTGGAATTGTGTTGTGAAGGATTCCTCTTCTAAATATTGAGTTGCTAATGATTGATTTTGTTGAGGAAACAAGTCGTCCGCTCTTCATTTCTGATTTGTGGTATTGATTGTTTTTTGTAATAAAAATTATCAAATAAATTATTAAATTAATTATTTATTCTTCTTAATTTCTTTTTACTTTCTCTTTTTACCAAAGGAAATTTGTAAATCATTTTCTGCAGCTAACATTCGAGGTGTTTGATGTTTGTTATCCTTCACATCAGGATTAGCTCCATTTTGAAGTAAATATCTACAAATCTTTTCAGCTGCTGGTTTGTCTTTGACCTTACAGGCTAAATGAAGTGGTGTTTCACCCTTTTCATTTACAACATTCACAACTTCCTTAGTTAATAATGTTAAGAATAAATTGACAGTTTTGATGTTACCCTTACTGACAGCCAAGTGAAGAGGAGAATTACCTGAAGCATCTTGTTCTTGCATCATTGTTGCACATGATGTAGGATTCAAGAATGCAATTCTATTCACAAGAGCATCCAATCCTTGTAAAGCAGCTTGATGTAGAACATTTTGCTTTCTTTCATCTCTTGACATTGGTCCAAAGACAACGTTTGGTTTAGAGTTAGTGATGATGTATTCCACAATGGCAATGTGTCCCTTAGTGGCAGCTCTCATTAATGGAGTTTTTCCAAATTTGTCCTTCGAGTTCAGTAAAACTTTGTTTCCACTTTGAGTTGATGAAGCAAATGCTGTACCAACACTTTCAGAAATGTTAATATCATTTGATTCACTCACTAAAAACTTGACAGCTTCCATTCTACCTTGATCACAAGCCATATGTAAAACAGTCGATCCTTCTGAGGTTTTGAAATTGTAATCTCCTTCAAACATGTTGCACATCATTTGGGCAGCTTTGAAGCATTTTGTGGCACTTTCCATTTCGAAATGTTCTTCATCATAGAATGCCTTTGCAAAGAGAAGATGAATTGGTGCCTTGCCATACTTGTCTCTAATGTTAATTTTACCTCCCAATTGACACAATACAAGAATCGAATCAATGGCTCTGTGAGAAGTTGCCCAGTGAAGTGGAGTTGATTCCAATTCATCTTCAGCATCAATAGAACATTGATACTTGGTCACCAATAGGAAAATAAGAGATGACCGATTTTTCTTGGCACTTTGATGCAAAAGGTAACATTTTGGTTTTTCAAAATCTCTCATTTTAGGAATATCATGTTCTGAAAAGTTGGCAAATTCTTTCAATTCTTCATTCTTTGACTCATCGGCTTCCTTACAGAATGCCAAGTATCCAATTATGAAATTCTCAAAATATTCAGCACATTTTTGATCATCCAAATTGTGATTATTGATAAATTGTTCTAAAACAAATGAATAGAGTTGCTTTGGTTTCACTTCTCCAAAATTTGTGAGAGGAATGTATTCAACAACAGTCACAATACTTTCCTCATCGTCTCCAACCTCATATTCTGGAGCAATGGTTGTGTTATATTCTTGTGAGCCTGGAGAGAGAGCTCCTGTTGGGCTTGTTACTGTTGCTCTCAAATTATCAATACTTCCTAGAATATTAACAGTCGATACTTGTAAACTAGAGGATGTATCTTCAGAAGATTCAAAACTATAGGCAGAATCATTGGAAAGTAGTGAAGATATATTTCCATTAATAATATCCTCAGTAGTTCTTTTGAACTCTTCATTATTAAAGTTCAAGGTTGGCACAAGATTTCTTGGTGTCGATGAGAGTGTTGGTGGTGGAATTGGTTCTTCCTCTTCAGGAGATTTTTCTTTTTCGTCAAGGAGAGTAGAAAGTGGATTCGTATAAGGAGTGTTAGCTGAGTGGTGTTTGTTGATTAATCTTTTCAATTTTTCATTAGTAGAATTACTCAATGTTGGAGTATCGGATGGTGATGTTGTCGCAATGACTGGAGTCAAATCATATTCTCTTTTACCAAAATCGAATACAGACTTTCTCTTATCCTTCTTTTCGTCTGTAAAGGATCGAGAGAGTCTATTCTCTGAATTTCCATTTTTGAGCCAGTTAGCAATCTTACCAGAGACGCTATACTTTCTCTGAGATAGACTTATACTTTCCTCATTCTGAATAAATTGTTGAATTTTTGATGAGACAATTTTTTCATTGACCAATCTTTGAATTTGTTCGTCATCTGCTGCTCGAGGTGTCTTTGGAGTTTGATCTTTGAGCATACTTGCTTCAGTGGAAGATCGTTTTTCAAAGAGTTTTCTCTTGTGAGCTACATCCAACAAAGCAGGATCACCTTCATTACTTGGAGAAGTTATTGACTGAGTTGCCTTTGAAGGTTCTGATTTTGAAGAAGTACTCTTCTTTCTTCTTGGTGTTAACATTGAAATCAATTTTTTGATATTTCCTTTAGTTTTCCTTGTTGTTTGCAGAGCTGGTTCATCTGAATTTTCGTTTGGTGTTGGAGGTGTATATGGTGATGTATTATTGTTTACATTGTAATTTTCAGTCAAACCTTGTTTTTGAATAATCATTTCATTTCCTGATGATTGAATTGAGAGAGGAGATGTCACCCTCTTATGAGTTTGTATTGTTAAATTCTCGGAGAATGGAGATGGTGGACTCGTTGTTGTTCCTCTTCCACTATCTACGATGAGATGTGAGAGTGGAGGAGAAAATCTTGAAGAATCTCCATTCATTATTGTGGTAATCATTGGATTTTCCAAAACTCCAACACTACTCAGAGTACTACTACTCATTGGCGAAACAATTGAATTTCCACTACTTGATGATTGTAGAAACTGATTGAAGCTAATGACACTATTTACAGAACTGGTCATACTTGAATTGCTACTGCTTGGAGCATGGTGTGGCGAGAGATGATTAACTAAATGGTTATTATTATTCGAATCAGAAATGCTTTCTCTGAAATAATTCTCTGGAGTTGTTGTTGTATTATACAGTGAAGGAGAAGATTTCGAAGAATGAATCAATGAAGAATGATTACTAGCTGATGAAGGTAAAGCTGCAAAACTATGACTGGCTACATCAATATTGTTATTCGAAACTTGTGTAGAATAGTTTTGCACAGCCGAATCTCCATACTGTTGTTGGAAAGATTTTAAACGGTCGGCTGAAGGTTGCTGTTTAGATTCCCTCTTAAAGGCGCTCTTCAATTTTGACCAACGACTTTTAGATGAATTATTCAATTCTCCAGGTGAATTCATTGATAGTCCATTATTATTCATTGCAGATAACTCTTGTTCATTAAATATCATGGTGGGTGAAAGGGAAGATGCCAATGAAAGTCTCTGTGATGCTCTTCTAGGTGAAAGTAAATTATTATTTACACTCTGATTGAGTAGGAGAAGAGATGGTGAGGGAAATTGTGTTGTAGGAGAGGATGGTGAAAATGGTTTCTCTTGTTCTCGTTCTCGTTGCTGATGATGGATGAGGATGTGGATGATGAATATTATTATTATGATGTTGAATATTAGGCTGATTTTGATGATTTATAAAGATTGGAGAATCATCATCTAATTGACTTGTTGTTGCTCTCCTATCGTCCTCTGCAAATTTAAAGAATAATGATGATGAGGCAGGTTGTTGTTGATTATTGTTTTTGGATAATGCAAATTCAGGTGATGAATTTTGCACGAGAGATGATGTACTTGTTGAACAGGTGAAATTTCCAACTGTGTTGGCAGTAGCAACTGTTGTATGGTTGTTATTTGTTGTTTTTGCCTGTTGTTTCATCTTTCAATTGTTAGTGTTTCTTCAATATGATGTCGCGGTCACAATTATTCGAAGAGGAAAGTAACTGCAGAGATAAAAAATCGAGCTGAACCAAGTTTGGCAACAACTGCCGAGACACAATTTTAAAATTGATTGTTGTGTTGGGGGTTGGATTACCTCTCTCTCTTGATAATTTCCTTGGTAACAGTTTATTAACAAATGTTTTTTGATTCACCACCGCTCAAAGGAGTATCAATTGATTTTTTATCTACTTTGCTCATCATATTGAAAAGTGATACTGTGTGCACCTTGTTTTCATGACTCGTAATTACGGCAACCATAGAACAACTTTGGAACCTTGATCTATCTATACTCTAACCAGTCAATGTCATCAATCCTTACTTTTTAAGAGGTTTCAATACAAGCCACGAATTCGCTATCTAGAGAATAAATGATGACAAGTACATTATTAACATCTTATTGACAACACATTAAGGTTATTCTTGTGAATGTTTCAAATGTTTCAGTTGGTGGAATGGCTCAAATTATTTTCGGACGAATACGATTCCAATACCACCTTACAAAAGAAACACGTGTAATTGGTTTTAGAAACAAAAAAAAATGAGCAACCAACAACGTGCACCAGTCTACTCCTTGAATGCTAGAGGAAAAATGTTTACTGATGATGCCTATTATGAAAAACCTGTTTCCTACAGTAATAGTGAGGAGGTTAGAAGAAATTTGAGTTATACTCGTAGAGTGAATACAAGTGTTGGTAGTAGCAGTAGAGATTCTTCGGAAGATGATCGGAAACAAAGAAGGAACAAGCAACAGAAGAAAAAACCTTCTTCTATTTTCTGCTGTTTGTTATGCCTTCCATTTAAATGTATTTATCAGGGCTTGAGAGCAACTGCTAAATTGGCTTGTTATTCCTTTATTGCTGGTATTGCACTTGTATTAATTTTCCAAATATTGGTTTACTTTTCACTCTTTTCTACTGCTTCAAACAAATATTTTGGAGGAGAAACAAACAGTGAGAACACTCCTCACACTCTTTTTGATAGAACTGCTCATGTAATTGGAACTGCTTTAGGAGCAACGTACTTCTCTGCAGAATCTGGTTATGCTGCTGCTAAATGGACAATGAATACTGCATCATATTGGCTTGGAATCATGTTGGATTTTATTGAATATTGGAGAGGGAATAGACCTTCTTTATTTACAAAATATAATGAACAATCTAAGGGAACTCAGGAAAACTATCATGACCACAGATATTAGAATGTTATATTTAGAATATATTTTTTATGATTATTTACCAAATTTGATGAATTGATTTAATTACGAAAAATACTATTAGTAATTTGTGTTATCTAACTCATGGAAATTTTACAAATATATTCTATTGTTGAATCATTGTTATGTACTATTTAAATGACTTTTTTATGGATAACCAATTTTCACAACAAAATGACTAGACAACAAATGCTAAACTCGAGTAAGCTTTCAAAGCTTGCTATATTATTATATTTGATTGTGACTATTGTGTTTGCCAACCTTGTACACAGTGATGATAAATCTGAATTGAACATGGCTTACACTGTAGATCAGACGAATTACATTCCAACCTCAGTCTCGTATTCTAATTCTGCTAATAACAATGGTGCTTTAACCAAATCAAGCACAACCACTTACTATTCCTCTTCAACGTCTGGCTATCCATATGGAGGCGGGGCAGTTCCTATTGGTGCAGCACCAGTTGCACAACCTATTTTACAACCTCAACAAGTGATTGTTAATCCACAACCAATTCCACAACCTATTCCTCAAACATATGCTCAACCAATTCCTCAACCATACCCACAACCTATTCCACAAGGTGTTCCTATAGCAGGAGGGGCAGTTCCACAACCAATTCCTCAACCTATTCCACAAGCTGCTCCGTATGCTCAACCTCTTATTACTCAACAACCTATTCCTCAACCTCTTCCATATGCAGGAGGAGGTGTTCCAATTGCAACAGGAGCCCCATATGCTCAACCTCTTCCATATGCAGGAGGTGGTGGTGTAATTTATGGAGGTGGAGGTGGTGTTGTAGGTGGAGGTGTTGTTGCTCAACCAATTCCACAACAAGCTCCAATTATTTACTCTGGAGGTTGTAGTGTTTATGGAGGTGTTGGATGTGGAGGTACTATTCCACAACCTATTCCACAAGCTGTCCCTATTGCTCAACCTTTACCCCAACCTGTTCCTCAACCAATCTTGCAACCTATTCCACAAACTTATGCCCAACCTATTCCACAACCTCTTCCATATGCAGGAGGAGGCATTGTTTATGGTGGAGGTGGCGTAGTTTACGGAGGTGGAGGTGGTGTCATTGCTCAACCAATTCCACAACCAGCTCCAATTATTTACTCTGGTGGCTGTGACGTTTATGGAGGCGTTGGATGTGGAGGTGGTGGTGTAGTTTATGGAGGTGGAGGTGGCGTAATTTATGGAGGTGGAGGTGGAGGTGGTGTAATTTATGGAGGTGGAGCTGTACCTATTCAACCATTTACAGTTGACACTGTTGCACCTGTATCCTTAGTGACATATCCTCAAACAGTGGTAGTGAGTCCACCTGTAACAGCAACACCTTGTACCACTGGTAAATGCTCTTCTGTGGATACCTACGTACCTAATGTTATAGTCCCAGCTTCAGCAGGTGTAGCAACACCTTGTACCACTGGCAAATGTTCTTCTGTGGACACCTACGTACCTAATGTTATTGTCCCAGCTTCAGCAGGTGTAGTAAGCGTTCCCCTCAAGAGTAATAATGTTGTTGTTGGATCTGGATCTACAACTGCTTCTACTTGTTTATTGACAGTAAGAGGATTGACCACATTAGCTCTTAGCCCATCCTCATCCATCTGTTCTTCAGTTGTCAATTGTATAATTACTTACATTTCAGATTATGTGCAATATGCTATCAATGCCCTCAATTACGACAGTAGCACTTCTCTCACTGTGAACTCTCAAGATGAGAATGTAGATTTGTGGAAGGCTTTAGAGAATATTGCTGGAAGTATTAGCGAAGATGGATATGGACCTGCAACAACTACAGCTTCAGCAACATCAGCTGCTTGCACCAATGATTTGGCTCCTGTTTTTGCCAGAACCTCTAAAGGTGGAGCAGTATTTGTTAATTCATGCTGGGCAAGAATGGCAAAGGCCTATCCACCATTTGTTCCAGTTACACTCAAACCTGGTTCTGTTTCTAGTGGAGGTCAATTTGATTGGCCAGATGATGTTCAAAATCCAAACTATGTTGTTGCCAATTACTATGTATTGAGCGCTTTCAGATTGACAAACTTTGCCTTGTACTACTTTAGACCTTGTATGAGTGCAAGCACTTACACTGTTCTCTCTAATGCCCTACAATCTTTGAACGACATTTCAGCCTTAATAACTGCTGGCAATGTTACAAGAGCAAACGCCTTATTGAGTGATTTACAAAAAAGTTTGAGCACATTATCTAGTGCATAAGAGTGTCATTATATCTATAGAGTAGTTTCTTTATCTTCACCTAAGAGTAGTGTGATTGAGTATCTTTAAATTTTTGTGAATTGTAAATTCAAATAAAATTCAAACCAAATTTATTTCTTTTAAAAAATTATCATCACACAATGAAGCCATTTTCTCTCGCAAGAGGATTTAAACTTGGATGAAGTGATATGCTGAAGATAGGAGGTTCGGAACTTCAATCTTCTTATTCACACACTTCTTTATCAACAATGAATCACAATGTTGAATCGTCCAGTTTGCTATGGACAGTCCAATAGAAAAATTCAGTAACACTTTACTTTTGTTTATGTTTGGACATGAAATGGTCAAAGCTTTGTCTCGACAATAGATCATGAACAGTGGTGGAGAGTCTAGATGAACGTGGAGAGGCTTCTCCTATTGTATGCTGTGGAGGAATATCAATGTTGATATGACCTTCTTGTTCTTTTGTTGTGTGTACGGAGGTTGTGGACTTTCTTCGGAAGGCACGATTCACAAAATCTGAAAATTTACTTCTTCTTCCACAGAGGAATAACTTATCTCCTTCCAAGAGGATGATGGATTGTCTTGGATGAGTATAAACATAATAGAAATCATTGTCAACTGACTCTAGAATGCCATTTACAAATATTCTCTTGGGTCTGTAAAGTCCAATCAGAATCTTTTAGAGTGGTTTAGTGTACTTGATATAATTGAAACTTACTGTATTGGATATTTCACAAAGTTCTAGAAATACATCAATGGCTGCTCTACCAAAACAGTTTGGAGGACAATCTTCTTGAAATATAGAACTCTTGCTCATATTGCAGAGACCATCTAAGCTCATATGCTCAATAATTTCATTCAACTTATCAGTGTAGAACGATTGAGCCAAAAGCTTAGGAATGAAACTAATTGGAAATATTCTACCACTTGAGTAAAGCTCAGACAATAGACAGAACTGATCATACTCATCACTCTTGTCAGAAAGTGAATGTAATGGATCATCAAAGGCAACAGAGGCACTGCTAACATTACGGAATATTTTGAAAAGAGAGTGGTTCTCTCCATATTTCTTTGAAAAACATCCTCCTTGTTTTAGAAATTTGATATTCTTTTGGTTATTGAGCTCCATGATGAAGAATTTCTTGCTGTCTATATAGCTAATTGATTCTATGAGTTTGATAACTTCTGCATCCCTAAGGTATTCAGATGTGTCAATAAGATCGTCTGTGGCTTCATGAGAGTCACAATCATTTTCTGGTTTAGAATTGTGACCATGAGAGCCATATTGCCTGGATAGATAGACCACTGCTTCTGCATTTAACAAGCCACATCTGTGTAGGTCAAAAACGTCTGTTGCATTCCCTTTCAGAAAGAATACCTGATCAAAAAACTTGAGCCTGTCATATAGATAATCTACGTATGGATTGCCGTGAAGATTTGTATGAGAGACCATAATAAGTATTGGAGTGAAATGTCTCTTTCTAATAGATCTTATTGTAGCTAAGATGACAAGAGGATATTTCAATTCTCCCACAAGTATGATATGATTCTTTAACGAGCATGTACTAGAGAGAAGGAAAAAATCATTCTTTGGTCTAGCCTTGATGAGTAGATTGTAGTTTTCTAGAACACTTTGGTAAAAGTCATTAAGAAAGCGCTTGAAAGATACTCCAGAATCATCTAAATTCTTGTAAAAGAAAGTTGGAGGAGCTACTGACCTAAACAATCTCAATAGATATCCTTTGTTCATTTCAGTCTCTGAAACATGTGGAACATTTTTGATATCTATGATTTGCTTGTCTATACCTGACATGGTACTGACAAAAGATATGGGATTATCAAAGTCTGAACTATTGGTCAATATGGAAGGACTTTCAGCTTCTGGTGGAGTTTCAATATTTGAAGAAAAGGAAATATTGGATTGACTTGGACCTAGACTCTCAATGCATTTTTTGGAACCTCTTTTGGGTGGAAGTCCATGTCTTACTTTCAACACTTTTCTCCGAGTAGGAAGATATTTTGGTCTAGTTTCTACTTTTGGTTCATCCATTTCTTCGTTGATTGTCTTCTCATACGCGTTCTCCTCACTTACAAAGAATGTTTCAAAGGATTCCATGTCATTATTGTCATTTCGTGCTGGAGCTTCTTTCAAGTCTATTGGTTGTTGTGGAATATCTTGAGTATCTGCAGAGCTTGTTGAGTGTTTATCTGATTGGCTGTCGTCTTCTGCTTTAGCATTCTCAAAAAGGTAAACTAGGTTGGCATGAAACGTGCTCTGAGCAATCACGAATGCTTTGCATTTATCCACATGAATTATTTCATCAAAAGGATTCAATGATACACTTTTTAGACTTTCATCATGATTATCCAAGTATTCCATGGCCAGTAAGGTGAGATCAAGATTCTCTCTGATGAAAACGACTGCCTTAATGAAGGTCATTCCTTCAAAAAATGGCGAGAATCTCACACAATATATTTCATTTCCTAGTCCGTCCAGATATTCAAATATCCACAGACTTTCAGCAGAAGTTACAGGATCTAACTTCTTTTTAAGGAATGGAATCCAGGGCTTTTTCTTCTCTTGTTCCATAATCATCTTGTGGGTTTCAATGGCATTTCTAACATAGGTTGTCGTGACGAGATTGATTAAGAGTGTACTAAATCCATGATATACAACACTCATACCCATAATCTTACTTGAAATAGTTTCTGTGCAAATAACTTGTTTGGCACCTGCTTTATACAAGTATGCTCTTGATTCAGGTAATGTCACTTGTGCATAAATATCCAGATCTGGATTAATATTTTTCAGACCAATAGTTGCCACCATTATTGACGTATCATTATGTCTAGGATTAGAATGTTTAATACAATTGAGAAGGAACACAGAGTGAGCTTCATGAACTTTGATAATTCTACTCGTCTCATAATCCATCAAATCTCCATGGAAAACTAAAACCTTTTCTTGAAGGTATTGTCTCACTTTGATAACTTCCAAAATTGAATCACACAACTTCTTATTTCTGGAAACAACTTTGCAATTGAAATTTTGGATGAGTATTGAACATGAAATAAGGTTGTAACTTACTCAAGGATTTTTTCGTATTCTTTCCATGCATTGAATGATAGAATTCTTTTAGAAAGTCCAATACATCTTGCTTGTGAAAGTATCCACAAACAATGACATGATTTTTCAAATTGGCATGTCGAGCTCTGAAAATTGCCTTTTCGCTTGTCGATAATAACAAAGACAATTGATAGGGAATGAATGTAATTCCAACCAGAAAGCAGCCAATCGTCCAATATTTACTCGCAAAAGTAGTTGGAGAAATATCACCATATCCAATGGTAGCCATGGTAATTACCATGAAATAGATTGAATCATCTTTACATAATATATTAAGGATGAAATACGTTTCAAAATACCTACGTAATGAAAGAACATGTCCACCAAATAAGAATTCAATCATTTGAAAAGTTCCAGCAAACAAAACCATCAATGTAACAATTAATGCAATAAGACAAGCAATTTGTACTTGTAGAGTTGGTCCAAATCCAAAACTATTCTCCAAAACATAGTGTAGTATATTCCTCTTCCAAGTCAAGACAAAAACAATCCTCACCAATCGAATTAATCTGAAAATTGAAATCATTACTGAAATGTTAAACATGTTCACATAGAGCATAATCTTCTGATCTCTATTCACCACCAACATTCTATCATTTTCCACACCATACGCATGAATACAATAGATGATGTAAATACATAATGGAATCATTGGAACTACAGTTATAAAATCCAATATAGAGTTGGGATGAATCAAATAACGGAGTTTATGTTTGGTGAGGAGAAAGGAAACGAACCACAATGAAACAGTTATGGTACACAGTATCAAATCACAAATGAATATACTCTGCAACATGAATTGAATATGTTGATCCGAGAGTGAGAAGGAATTTTCAGGAGTTGGTCTTGATTGAGGATAAATTTGCGAATAGAAAACAAAATTTGTGTAAACGTCCGCAATGAAAATAACAAAAAAGAGAAAGGAAATTATCACCTGAAGAATTTCCATATCCAAAAAGTAACCATTATGTTTCATATAGTTTTTGATTTTGGATCGAAGACTGAGTTTTAGAGGTTTCGGCACGTTTGATGCATTGAAGAAGAATTCATTGTGATGATTGCCTTCTGTTGTTGGTGTTTTGCTTTGCTGTTGTTGAGTTGTTGGTGTAGTCATTTTAATTCTTTTTATTAACAAATTCCTCAATAAGAAGGTAATCATTTCGATTGAAGAAGAAATAATTTTGCAATTTCGAAATTAGATTTGATTCTGAACTAAAAGGCTGATGATCTTTTTAACAAGATTCCCAAATGAATCATTCAAAAACTCTCCTAAAAACAATAAAATAGGTTGTATCAGTTTGAGAACTTTCGGATTACATTTATTTCCAAATCACAAACAATCACAACATGATTCTCATTGAATGTCACACCATCGTAATCATTGGTAGCATGTTTCTCTCTAATTCACAAAGTAACAACCTAAATTAAAAAATGTCGATACATCGTTCTGGATCAAAGCCACTCATTGTTTCAGAGGCGTATGGCAGAAAGTTGACACCAACAACATCAAAAACCAACAATGAAGATAGTTTATCAGATTCTACTCCATATTTTGATGCTTCGGCAATTAAAGATTTTAATACTAAACCTAATAATAATGGAGGTGGATCAAATAATAATAATGGGTCGTGGACTGATACAGTAGCAAGGAGATGGAAGAAATTTTCTAGTTGGACGATCGGAAATAGAAGATTAAAGATGTATATTTATTCAGTTCTAAAGGTAGGTTGTTGGAAAGGATAAACTAAACTAAATCACACGAAAGTTTGCTACTATTACATACGTTCAAGCAAATGACGTATTGGGCAAAGCTTCAAACACAAATAATCAAACAGAGAAGGATATGCAAATGGCATTCAAAGTTCTTTCATATCTATACATGGCTATTTTAATTTTACTTTTCACTTTCAGATATGTTAGAGAATTGATTGCAATTTCCAGGAAGAAACCTCTTTCAATTTGGGTAAACTGGATTGAATCATCTGTTTTTTTAACCTATATTTGCTATTCGATTGTTACTTCTGTCATTCACGTTGTTTACATTACAAAACACTACAATGCTGAATATGAAGAAAGATTATTGCATCCAGAGAATTTTGCTTACAAAACAGTTACACTTGAGGAAGAGTTGGCAGTGGAAATTTTGGAAGTTTTTGTTCACTTGTACATCATCTTTGATAAGTCAACGCATTACCTACATGCAGGACACAGTGTTTCTCTATATTTGGCTAAAGCTCAGCATATTCCAAAGAATGCTCATCCAGGGCATGATCAAAATCAAAACCATTATCATGATGCCTTCGATCATCATGCTCATCTTTACACAAATCAATCTGAAACTGATGACGAAGAAAAGAGTGATGAAGTATATGATGATTTTATTGGAAAACCAAAAGAAGCCACAAAACCAACAACAAGAAGACACACCGTTATGGCAATGACACCACCAAGACAAAATATTGATTCTGAAATTTTATTGGAAGAGCCAAGATTGGCATTTAATAAGTTTTAATTGGAAAATAGAGTTGTGTGAAGGGAATGCACATCAATAAAGATCAACTTTCCAATTTTGATGATTAGTTATATTTGAAAAAACAATTAAGGACATGTAGAGCTAAGATTCTGCACCATCAAAAGAAAAGTCTCCCACAAGCATAAAGGAGAATAGTAGCCTTCAGGAATGTCGAAGTTGATTATTTTACCTTTTTTTAATGCTTTTCTTGGTATATCAACTCAATGTCACAAAAGTCAGTACTCATCATCTTATGTCTTGGATTTGCAAATCCAATGAAAAATGCTTCTTTTTGAATCAGAATCTTAGCTCTTCTTTGAAACCATACTTTCAACACTAAAAGCCATAGCTCCAGAACAATCGCATAAGGTCAATATAGTTTTCTCTACTTTTGATGGTCGTGGAATCACCAACAAGGAAGGGATTGCTGGAAGCTGATTACTATTGAAAAATAAATCAAACACGAAGTATCTGATTTGGTTAAAAGTAATCTAGAACATGATGATGGAAAATATAGCCTTCTATTAACAGGATCGTTGCTAACTCCAATACGTGAAGGAAGCAATTCAAAGATAGCCCCACACAACAATCTGCAATTTAGACACTCTGTTGTTGGATTAGAGGTACATTTTTGTAAGCACTCTTCATTGCCCATTTGTATTTTAAATGGTAAAGTTGTTTGTCATGGAAAACCCTTATTTCCTCTGAAACTTTTTCCTAATGAAGATTGGGCAATAGTAGAACTCGATAAAACAAGTGGTGAATACATTTTCGAGAATTCTTTTGGAAGTTCAAACCATGGCAATAGTTTCGGTGTGATCTAAAAGGTGTTTTGGATTTTGATAAATCGGAGTGTTTATCTGTTAGTAAGACCTCATGCTGAGTAGATAGAGTCTCAAAAATTACCGGCTCATCACTGAAAACATTTTTTTAAGGGTTGTTGTAATTTTAAACTCGAATTAAGTATGTTCAAGAGTTTAGACCCTTAAGGCATTGAGAGAACAATAATTCAAAAATTGTTCTTCTTATTCAACACTCAGGTTCAAAAGATAATGTCGCAACCACAACCATTTGCTACAAATCAGTAAAGATCAACTTTCCCGCCAATTTTGATGATCAGCAAAAATTTGAAAATAATAAAATTAATTAAAAAAAACAATTAAGGACATGAAGAAGCTTTCTCAACAAGCCTCTGCATCATCACAGAAAGAAAAGTCTCCCACAATCATAAGGGAGGACATTAGCCTAGCTACTAAAAGGAATGTTGAAGCTGATAATGAATTAGACTTTACCTCATCATCTTCAACTAGTAAGGGGGTTGTGTTTGCACTCTTGAAAGGAACAAAACGAACAATTGATATTAATCAATCTAAGGTTTTTATCGGAAGAGATCCTGTTACTTGTGAGGTGTGTTTGGCAAATTCACCAACAGTCTCAACAATGCATGCACAATTGGAATTTATTGATGATAATTCAAAAGAAAAGCCTAAAGTTGTTTGTGTCTTGAGAGATTTAAAATCAAAGAATGGAACACTAGTTAATAACGTTAAAGTGAGTCAAAATTTATCATCGATTATTAGGAATGGAGATTTGATTCAATTCGGACAAGATGAAGTATTTAGATTCGAGATTGGACCTTTTGTTTCAGAAGTTGTAAACAAAGCACCAATCATTGATGCAGATGAATTTACTTCAATAGACTCACCTCTCTCATCAGATTTTGAAATTCAAGAGAAAGTGAAGGAAATAACATCTAAGGAAGAAAATGAAACAGATTTTATTGAAACAGAAGGAGATAAATTGGAAGACACATTCTTTGAAACAATGGAACCAACAAATAGACTCATTGATAGAGAGGTTTATAAGGATGAAAGTCTGAGAATGCACTTGTACGATGAAATTAACGATCTAACCTCTGAACTCTCAACTAAATTAAACCTTCTCAATTCCGTCCTTAGTGAAGACACTCCTTACCATAGAAATCAAGTCCCTTTCGAGTTTTTAAAGTCCATGCACAACCTTTCTGAAAGTATTTCATTCCTCACCAGAGACACGATATTCGAAAGACAATCAGAAATCAAATTTAGAGAACTAGAACAGTATGCAAACTCCTTAGAAAGAAAGCTCGTAAATTACAAAAAACTTGGGAAGGATTCTGAAGTTTCACTTGCTCAATGTAAAAAATTATACACCAAATCTAAGGATGAAAGCAATAAGAAGATTCATGACCTTACCACCTCCTTACACGGAAGATTGGATGAAATACAACTTCTTAAAAAAGGACTTTCCAATGAAAAAGATATAACCAATTCTTTAAAAACAGAAATTGATAGACTCAAATATAGACTATCAATTGAGGTTACACAAACAGAGAGTCTAAGAAAATCCAACGACATTCTCAGACAGCAACTGCTCAAAACACAAGATTACTCCAACTTTTTACACAAGGAAATTTTGAAAATAGAGGACTTTCCACTGAATCTCAAAATTTCCAATCTAGTTTCTAATGAAACAAAACAATCACCAAACCTTAATCAAACGATCAATGCAACTTCAATAATTGAGCAATATAAAAACATGGATCTATAAAATTAGCACTTTAAGAATTGTGTCACATCTATTTTCTATGTTAATATTGCGGAAGTGCTACTGAAGATGCACCATTTTCAAAGAAATTGGAAATTGGCTCTTTGGAGAATTCTACTAATATGATGGCTTTATTACCTTCTTAATTTCCGAATCCTCAAGAATGGAATTCCTCATTGGATGATGTTGTTGAGAGGCAGTAAGGAGAGGAGAACTGGGTGATGATTTATTCCTTTATTATTATTAATCTTCTTCTTGTTTGCACAACATATCGAAATGATTGATCAGTTCTTTGTCAATATTCACACCATCCACTAAAAAAAGTTTGTCAGAAATGAATCGTGAGTATGTAGCGTTGACACAATATTGGTCTTTAACTTTCTCTAATAATTCAAAGCACTCATCTCATTATGGAGAAGTTTTTGCATTACAGGTGTGTTTGCATTATTCAGTAAAATAGAATCAGAGGGATTTAACTTTTCGAAAAGTTGACCAATTTCTTCTTTTGTTCCATCTATTACCATTAATTTCCCAAATAAATAAAATTTGTGATGGCCTAGATTAAGATTACCAATATGAAGAGATATTTTGGGGTTTTGTTTATGTTGGAAGACTTGGCGTAAGATAATGGTTGTAGCAAAGTATTCTTGGTGTGTTGGTTTGGCTTGTTGATCGCAAACATTATTGAATATATGTTTGGTGAGTTCAAATAGTGAATTTTTTGAAGCAATTTCGTAAGAGATGATACCATTATCCTGATGCTGTTTTGTTTTACCTTGGTATATGAATGAATTTTTTGTTTCCAAATTACTACCATGAGCAGTAATAGTTTGTCTTGTTTTTGGCCAATCACCTTTTTCAATAGAGCATACATTAGGTTCTATTCGAAAGTAATTGTCCACTATTATTTCATTTCTAACGTGTTTAAAATCGTTTAACGGGGGCTCACTTTTATTGCAAACCAATTTAAAGTACTTTGCCACGACGGTGTGTTCTGCTGTTTTAATTTTTTCCACGTTATTTGCATCTAAGGGTGGAGTCATTTTTTTATTAAGGATTCATAGTTTGGAAAAAATGGAAGATCAATACATATTTCTCGTAAAAAATTCTTTAGTGAAATTTTTTTTCCTAACAACTACTTTATCAATTCAGGTGGCACACATTTAGCCAATTAATCCTGGTAAACATTAGTAGAAAGCACTTTGAGGTCGTGGATTAGGAATAATTTCTTTTGATTCAAAATACGTAACCATTTGTTTGGGTATTTCAGCTAGCACTTCAGAAGCTAATTGTGTTAAATCAGAACATTCAGAAAAGCTCACAAATTGAACAATGTCTCTTGTCATTTTAGTTCCATTACTGTGAATGAGTGGTTCATCATCAGCATCGAATTTTCTACAACTTGGGAAACTTCTACCACCAATACCAACAATTACAATTGAGATAGGTTTGTCATTGGCCTCTATAATTGAATCGATTGTGCCTTGCATGTCAAATGCATCCCCATCAATAATTAACAATAGAATATTGTAGAATTGTTGTTGTTGAGTAACAGGAGGAGTTCTCTCAACGACATGTTCAATAACTCTATAAAAGTCATCTCCTCGATAAGGCTTTCCAGTTTTTGGATTAGTGGCACTTCCCATATCTCCAAATGATAGTCTTGGAACTGCCTTCTCATATGCTTCAAGTATTTCTCCTACACAAAGTTCCTCCTTATCTGAGAGTGACAGATTAAACATTGGATTCATTTTTAATTCCTTATCTATCCTTGCACCATATCCATATGCTTTCGAATAATTAGTGAAAGTGTTAAAAGTCAAATACTTACCACCATATATCTTGTCAGAATCATAAGGTTCCAAAATTTGCAAAACTTGTGCAAGGGCTTGTTGATAGTGATTCTTCTTGGAACTTAAATAATGGAGGGAGCTACTACTGGTGAAACCACCGTTTGATGCAGTAAAATCAATGCCAACTGATACTGAAATGTTACATCCTCCCATAATGTGGTCTAAAAATTGATCTTGGCGGTTTTCCTTCCTGGCAACAAAGGATTGGTAGATTTGATATTCTGGATTTGGTACTGGAACATGTTCTATCTGAATAGTACATATTTCAAACTCAAACACTCCAGAGTTTTTGTAATTCTTCTTTTTTTTTTGAAGGGATGGCTCAATTAAATGGAATTGTTTTACATTATTATTCAGAACTTGGTCCAAATTATATTTAAATTCTCCAATTAAATCATCCTTCGAGTACTTGTCCTTGTCATAGCATGTCACAAATATATCCTTGTTGTAATCATTGTTGAATTCATCTAAATTGAGTTTAAAGGATGTCCAAGAAGGGTTCAGATTCTTATAGATAACTTCACTTGTGTAGAGTTTGACTCTTCTTCCAGCAACTTCCTTTTCAAAGAAAAAGTAACAATCTGACTTTCCAAAGAAATCCTTCTTATCTAATCCAATACCTTTACATTTGAATAGAACTACTTTCATATCTGAATTAACAGTAGTTGGTATCTCAGAACGTAGAGCATTCAATTCAGCCGAGCTCATACCAGAAAATTTCAAAGTGGCATTCCTTTCAGAATCAGCATTATTAGTGTTATTCGAATCCGATTGCCTAACAACCTTCTCAACATGAACAAAGACCTCACCTTGTACTTTCCCACTCTTCAAAACAAGATCTAACTTTAATTTACCATCCCTCGAGCAAACAGCTTGTGATAATGAAAACTCTCTAGTTTTGCCAATAAGCTCACTCTTATTTCCACCATCGTCATCATAGATTTCAATATAAAATTTCTGTACGCACTCAAAATAATAATGAACACTAAACTTGGTCTTGAACACTGGATTATGATTATTCTGAATTGTTTCGGTATTGCCCAGAAACGTGAATTTATCAACACCACCCGATGATGAACTTGTGTTACTTTCGTACAGTTTAGCAAACGGATCAGACTTGGACATCAAGTCCATTCTAGCCAAATTGCAACATGATAAATAAATATCAACAGATTCTCTGGCGGAATTCATCTTTGAGCGGTGGTATTTACCACTATTCGAAACTATTTTTTTGTTGAATTTGAAATTAAAAAATCTAACAAAATACTATTTTCACACTATTTGAATCAATGCCACTTCAATATTTGAGAAATCTAAAAACACAGATCTATAAAATTAGCACTTCAATAATTGTCACACATCTCTTTTCTATTTTAGCATTGTAGTGGGAGTTTACAGCAGTTCGTTGTATTTTTCCCTCCAAAATTTTCCCTCCAAAACTTTACAATTTGTTGTACGGTTGAAGATATCGCTACCCTTTAAATACAATTCACTTCTTCCCTAACCAAATTTTTCAACAAAAAAAAAATCGCTCGTCCTCCATTATAGAGAAACTTGCAAAACGCTCGTAAATAATAATAATACAAAATGAGAGAAGTTATTTCAATTCACATTGGTCAAGCTGGTGTTCAAGTCGGTAACGCCTGTTGGGAACTCTACTGTTTGGAACATGGTATTCAACCTGATGGTTTGATGCCATCCGATAAGACTATTGGTGTTGAAGATGATGCTTTCAATACCTTCTTCTCTGAAACTGGTGCTGGTAAGCACGTTCCAAGAGCTGTCTTCCTCGATTTGGAACCAACTGTTGTTGATGAAGTTCGTACCGGTACTTATAGACAACTCTTCCACCCTGAACAATTAATCACTGGTAAGGAAGATGCTGCTAACAACTATGCTAGAGGTCACTACACTATTGGTAAGGAAATTGTCGATTTGTGTTTGGACAGAATTAGAAAGTTGGCTGACAACTGTACTGGTTTGCAAGGTTTCCTTGTCTTCTCATCTGTTGGTGGTGGTACTGGTTCTGGTTTGGGTGCCTTGTTGTTGGAAAGATTGTCTGTTGACTATGGTAAGAAGTCCAAGTTGGGTTTCACTGTCTATCCATCTCCTCAAGTTGCTACTGCTGTTGTTGAACCATACAACTCTGTCTTGTCCACTCACGCCTTGTTGGAACACACTGATGTTGCTGTCATGTTGGACAATGAAGCTATCTATGATATCTGTAGAAGATCATTGGATATCCAAAGACCAACCTACACTAATTTGAACAGATTGATTGCTCAAGTCATCTCCTCATTGACTGCTTCTTTGAGATTCGATGGTGCTTTGAACGTCGACGTTACTGAATTCCAAACTAACTTGGTCCCATATCCAAGAATTCACTTTATGTTGTGTTCTTATGCTCCAGTTATTTCTGCTGAAAAGGCTTATCACGAACAATTGTCTGTTGCTGAAATTACCAACTCTGCTTTCGAACCAGCCTCAATGATGGCTAAGTGTGACCCAAGACACGGTAAATACATGGCTTGTTGTTTGATGTACAGAGGTGATGTCGTTCCAAAGGACGTCAATGCTGCTGTTGCCACTATTAAGACTAAGAGAACTATCCAATTCGTTGACTGGTCTCCAACTGGTTTCAAGTGTGGTATCAATTACCAACCACCAACTGTCGTTCCAGGTGGTGATTTGGCTAAGGTTCAAAGAGCTGTCTGTATGATTTCCAACTCTACTGCCATTGCTGAAGTCTTCTCCAGAATTGATCACAAGTTCGACTTGATGTATGCCAAGAGAGCTTTCGTCCATTGGTATGTCGGTGAAGGTATGGAAGAAGGTGAATTCTCTGAAGCCAGAGAAGATTTGGCTGCCCTTGAAAAGGACTACGAAGAAGTTGGTACTGAATCCCAAGAAGGTGATGGTGAAGAAGGTGAAGATGGTGGTGACCAATAAATTAATTACTCCATTGAGACTTTTTCAAAAAATTAAGACGTATTCTGTTTAAATCATTTTAGATTCTTTCTGTCACGAATAAGCCAACCTGGTTAAATTAAAAAAAATATTGAGCTTATCTAATATTATTGAGATGGAAATAAAATTTATAGCTCGAATAAAGATTGCCATAATGATTTTGGTTGTGTCTTGTAAATCTCATTAGATTGTTTCTTCCTTTTTCGAGATTCTTCTTGTGATTGAGATGAAAATTTAGAATTTGTTTGGGTATGAGATAAACTAATCATTGGGGTATTATCATTCCACTTGGAGTTGACAATTTCAAATTTTCTCTTTTGATTTCGTTTATCTAAAAGTGTTGATCCTGGAAATACACTAGATGAAATTCCCTCCGATACAGTGAGAGCAGCAACTTGTGGAGGTACATCATGTATTGCTTTTCTCTGTATTGGTTTATCTTTTTTTACATTAAAATTTGTATCGGCCCATTCCAAACCTCCACCACTTCTCTCTATACTTGAAGCCACTGATGTTGTTGGGCTTGAAGCCAATATAATTTCTTGTTCCTCATCCTCATCATCATTTAAATAATTATTTACAGGTCGTTCCAAAAACATGAAGGATTTACTCTTTGTGAGTACACCTTTACGATCCGAATTGGCTGTTTTACTTCTTTTTACATTTTGGTTTTGTTTTTTGACTTGTCCAATACTTGGTGGTTCACTGTAGCGAGAAACACCACATAACGTAGAGTAGAGATTAGGCATTTTTTTTGATAATTATTTGAAATTCAAAATTATTAATTATTTCTTCCAATTTAAACAATCAGTAAGCAAATATCGTCCTCTGTAATTGGTCTCCAACCATGTTCAATGAGATTAAAACTGACTGAGAAATTAATTGAAAATACTTGAGGGAAATAAAAGTTGTATTGCCAACTAACTGATTTGTTGTCAGTGTGTTTGCCAATCAATCATGAAAACTTTCTTGAATTCCATTTTGTGATATTTTATTACAATATATAGCTTACAAATACGATAAACAGATTGGAATTATTGCTAAATTGCAATTAAATGTTTCTGAAATATTTACAATTCCCAATCATCATCACTTTCCTCATCTTCACTGGAATATTCAATATTACCACGACGAAGTTCCATAATACCTGCAATCTTGGCTGCCAAATTGTTTTGATCACTTTCAGCCATATTCTTGAATTCTGGTAAATCTTCTTGCTTTACATTTCTCAATTTCTTATTTTTAATTTCAGAAAGCATGTCAACACCACCTGAGGCACCACTATCAGAATCAGTTGTTGGACTTGCAACAGATACTCTAGGCTTAACAGAGTGATCGACAACTGGTGGAGGAGGAACATTGGTTGGTGGAGGAGGTACAAAACCACCAACTCCAATGGCACTTGAGCCAGAAGGAGCATTTGAGCTAGCTCCCTTGAAAGGAGGTGGTGGAGGGGTTGATCTAGTTCCTGGGGTTGGTGGAGGTTGTGGTCTTCCACTTGGAACATCCAAAGAAGGAGGTGGGGGAGCATCTGATGTGACAGTGACAAGTGTCTTCATTAAAAATTTGGCAGTTTTCTTATCTTTCAATTCAGCTTCTGAAATGCCTGCCTTCTCAAATATGGTTTTTAGCTCTTGGGGTATTTCTGTAAATCCACTTTTTGGATCAAAACCAATGTGTGAAACGTGTTTAAACTTGTCAACCTTTGGTCCAGAAATTTTGATTTGTGACCGGTCAGGAATTTGGTCCTTATTCTTTGTTCCGAAAATCTTGGAGAATAAACCACCTCCACTACTGCTACTACCTCCACTACTGCTATTGCTAGGAGTGTGTTTCTTTTCAGGTTCCTTATGGGAAGAAGTAGTATGTACAGAGCTACTGGCAGCAATTGAAGTATTGACAGCTGTTGGCTTGTTAGCAACTGGTGGAGGAGTGGATGGAGGAGGATTAGTCTTCTTCACTGGAGTAGGTGGGGCAGTACTGGAACCAGTACCAGTTGGTGAAGAAGAAGAAGAATCAGAACTGTCACTTCTCATATTAACAGAAGGTTTAGTTGAAGGCAAACTTGGAGTTGAACCACCATTGATAGAACCAGTTGCTTTCAAACGAATGAGTTGACAAACTTGCTTGGCAAATTGATCAGCATCAAATCTTTCAGCAAATAACAATCCAACAAAACCTTCATCAGATTCGAATGCATGAAAATTGGAAGAAAGTGTTTGATAGTCGAAACCTTCATAACATTCTTGTTCCATAGTAACTGATTTACTCTTCAAATCTACCAACCGAATCATTACTACTGATTGCTTTTCAACCAATGTAACTGTCAAAATTCCATAAGAATTGGCATATGACCATTGATTACCATTGTTGGCTTTGTAGAGACGAACTGGTGCAGAATACTTGATTTCGAAAATGTTTGGTAAAGACAAGACACCTGCAGCGAGTTGTACAGCACGTTTACTTCAAGTTTGACAAGATTTGGGGAAATTAAAATTGTTTTTTTTAAAATTTAAAGTATTTCATCTTTCAATTTTGATTTGGCAAGTAAACTCAACTCCATTTGAAAAGAATCTGTAACGATAATATTTTATTCAACAAAATGCTAATTTCTCGATGGAATTAAGGTAGTTTTGAAATCTGACTTCAAATTATGAATCCTCGCATTGACATACCCCTTGGGGTGGCAGCATTCTCAAAAATATGTAGAAATGAGTAAGAACGAGTTGTTAGGTGTTGTTCTATTGAAATGCTTATTTTGGATTTGACAGCAGAAGAACAACAAAATTTTTTCTAAATAATTTATTTTCTTTCAAAAAACGCGTCAAATTTGAAGTAAACGTGCTGTAATTCGTCAGGGAGAATGTTGATTCTTGTTGTCATTTTTTTTTAACTTTATTATATTTTTATTGATGAGTGACGTTTGTTGTTCCTTTGCTATTGTAACCTTTTTGTATCAATCTTTTCAATTTTTATCTTAGAAAAGTAATATTATTCTTGTTGTCATTTGTTTATTGGGTACGCAACGTTCCTAATTTGCGTTTTTGCGACGAGCTACGTATTTTTAAGGAACAAACAACGATCCCGTGTGGTCCAATGGCTAAGATACCTGGCTCTCACCCAGGAGATCCGGGTTCAATTCCCGGCACGGGAGGATTCAATTTTTAGGCAAGATAATGAATAATTTTTTTTAGTTTATTAGATTTCAGTTCTTGTCTTATTAACACTACTCTCCTCACTTGAACTAAATTCTGTCATTTCAATCATTGAAACACTAATGCTAATCTCACACACATCATTTGCTTGATGAAGCACCTCTCCAATGGTTGATGATTTTTGTGAAATTTCACTTCCACTTGCGCTGTCAGGTTGTTGAACAGTTTCTGATTTTGCAATTTCTTCTTTCGAATTCTCCTTATGAAGCAAGTATTTGAGGAGAAGTCTATTTCTCAAAGAAGACACCAAACTTGCACACATGAAACTCAAACCAAGAACTAAATAAATACCAAAGAGTACCAAAATTACTGCAAACCAAGGTTTCACATAAAAATTGAGAACTGTATAAGGAAATTCGGAAACTAGACGATTTCTCATACATGTGAGCATCCATACAAAGTAAGCACTTGGGAAACACATGATTGTGAACACGTGCCACTTTCTATATTGAAAATTAGACAATAAAAAGTCAATCAAGCTCAATATTCCAGTCACTCCATGATAAGCCACAGAACTATCACAAATTCATTAACATTTTTCAATGATCATCAAGAAACAACTTACATGTAATCTACTCCATCTTCCTCCTCTCCCAACCTTGCAAACCAGTAACCAATCGAAACAACCAAAGAAGCCACCAAATTCAACTCTCCAACAATCCATATAATACCAGAGAGTGCTCTCAATACAATCACCAACCATTTGTTTCTTCTCTTCAACACACTAATAGATTCTGAAGTGAAATTCACAGAGAAATCCCTAAACACAATCAAGTAAAACATTCCAAACACGGTTTGAGAGCTGAAATATGTTGTAAATACCATTACCATATGATGGGTAAAATAAGTTGAGGATTTGAGAAGTACATTGTCCGTCTCATACTTTCTCATGAACGGATACGAAATGATTGTTCCAATAATCCAACAACAGACTGTAAATCTGAAAATGTACAGAGCAATTGTGATGTACTTGTTGTAGCCAAATGATTCAAAGACGAATTGTGAAGAGTTTCTCAAGCTGTGTGAATGTTGTGTGTTAAATATTTTAAAATTCAATTCTAATCAACTTACCCATCAAGAAGTAAATCTTGCTTTCTGATTTCATTAGAGTTAGTGGATTGGTTGTCTGGTTCCTTCTGATCACGGTTCTTTCTCCTAGTGTAAAAGAAACCTTTCACTAGAAAGAAACCCACCGAAACCATAAAGATGAAAGCAAATGTCATACTGCTCTGTACTAAGAGTAGAGAACTAATTAAATTAGCACCTCTTGTTTCAGAAGATGAAGGAATTTTATAAGGGTCCATTATAGAATTGTTTGAATTGTTGTTTTGTTTTTTATGAAATTATCAATTCTTTGGTGTAAACTGTTGGGTTTTATACGAAACCCAACAACATGTGTTTGTCCATTAGATTCCACAGAAAAAGCAAGGTTTCTGTTCGTACCTGTTTAAAACCATTCAAAAGGAAACCGAATTTGTGTGAATTTTGTAAAGTGACTGGTAGTTTTGTTAACAAAACATTACAAAACAGTTCGGTTTCCATAAATAGGTTCATTCTATATTCGCACTGAACCTTTGTTTGCATAATCTTCGTAAGTACTTATTCTGTAAATAGCTAGCGAACATTCTGGAATCACTTATTTTGTAAAAAAATTCATTTCAAGGGCGGCAATTTACAAAAATCCCTTTCGGCTGTTTAGTCTACCAATTACAGAACTTTCTCTATTAAAAATTATTTATTTCATTGTTATGGTAAGCAGAGCTCAATCACTTGAATATTTTCGACACATTGTGCATGTGACACTTCATGACGTTTCTATTCGAAAAACGTCCAACTTGCAAACTTACTCAAACAAGCAGCAAGAAAATATTCGTGCCGAAACTGAGATTAGGAAACAAAAGAATTGCATATTTTGACTTTACTCAATTGGATGAGTAAGAATTAAGAAACATTATCGTTCCTTCTTTCTAGGAGTTGGTGGAGTTACCACAATTGGACACGTGCTTATTGAAGTTGCTGTCTCACTATCATCATCATCATCTTCATTACAATTTGGATTTGTCTTCTTGGGTGGCTTTACAACATGCATATCTTCAGTTCTCACCATTAGAAATCCATCTTCATCCTCTGGAGTGGAAGCCAATGAATTTGTCTCTTCATTGATTGAATATCTCGAATAGGCCATAATTGTGTTTGCTTTCTTTTCTGTTAGGAATTGAGAACCCATCATCATGATGAATCATTTAAGTGGTTGGAGAGAGAAGTACCTGGTGAGAATCAGAGTCAGCAGATGTTGATGCTTGTATTATTCTGTGCTTTTTTATAAGTGATAGATGTTGATGTTACAAGTATGTGGGAGGCCTTTGCATTGTTGGCGTTTTCTACTTGTAGCATATTCATATAAAAATGTGTGTTCTGTATTTGGAGAGAGACATCTACTCAGAATCTCAATACAGTTTCTATCGCTTCTATTTAGTGAGGAGTCAGTATCTCTCTAAAATTCTCGCTTCATGCAATCATGCATGTCTCTAAGGTTTGGCAAGAATGCTTTTATTTACAAGTGTATTGTACCACTAAGGTAGTCCATTGCATTTATTTCTTAACAAATCAAGCATCCAGAAGAAGATCCCTCAGAAATGTCCTTTAATGTTTGGTCACTAGAATGGAATGTATTCAGTCAATATATATATGTGTGTTACTACTTTAAAAACTTACATAACAGTTGGGTCTAGTGCTTCTCCATACTCTAGAATGATTCCATCTCTACTCTTGAGAAGGGATGGAGGTAGTTCAGAGAGTTTCTTGTCTGTCGGCAATTTAACTCCATCAAAATTGAATAAATTCAATCGCTTACTGAGATCCAATTCTGTCGAGTTGTTATTCTTAACTTTTCCTTGTTCAGCAATTTTATCCAAAACTTTTCCAACTGACCAAGTCTTACTGAAGAACATGTGAATTGGCTGTATTTGATTATTGATTGGGAAATAAACATCCAAAAAGTATCTATCCTGAGTTGCAATTGAGGATTGACCAACTGGGAATAGAGGTTTGTTCTGGAATTGATTAGATAATAATTTTCCAGCATCCTTTCTCTGACCTTTCCATTTGTTTGCAGTTATAGGAACAGAGGATCCACTCTTGATATTAAAAGGTCCAATACTTGATGAGCCGCCTGATCTTGATTTTTGTTTTTTCAACGAGTCACAATTATGATCGAAATCCAATCTATGTCTATATTAAGAAAGCAAATTAATTCTCCACAAAATCTAATTCAATCACACACTTACTCTACACAAAATGATTTGTTACATCCTTTACATTTGATAATTGACTTTTGACCACATCCTCCCAAAGCACACATTTCAGCACTACTAAGAGAAGAAGTTGGCTGTTTTGATGCATTTTGATTCATTGCTGGACACTTTCCACTGCTAATGTGTCTTTCAACAACATCATTAGGATTCTCTCTTTCACTGGCACGAAATGGAAGAACCTGATTGCATAGAGGACAAAATGGTGCAACAACTCCTTGTTCTTGCAGATAGGAACATTTGTGAGCATCAAAACTTCTATGCTAAATATCAAGATAGTGTTATTATACATTGAATTCCGTAATTATATTTAAAAATTCCGAATTATTAATATACAATTATTTGTTGTATAATATTTCCGATTAATATACATATAATACACAATTACAAATCATCAATTAATAATATTAATATACAACAAAATCCATCATAATACAAAACAACATTCATCATCCAATAAAATCATCATCCACCAATACCTTCTACTACTACTACATACATTCAAACAAAATGTCTTTCCACAATGAGTACATTTGAACGGAAGAAAATCCTTCTCATGGCATCCATCAAAACAACAATGTGCTCCAAGATCGTAGAATTCAGTCATTTTTTTTTCTTAAATGTATTTTAATTTGTATTGACATTTAAAATTTTGTAATCTTTTTTTCATTACCTATTTTCAAACAAAAATTACAAGAAATCAATATTGATGATATGATGATTCTCTTTTAATTAAATCATATTTACAGTAAAAACAAAGAAAATTACCAAAATTACAAGTAAAGGAATGGAAAGAGAACTAGTTCCATTATTGTGTGGAGTTGTGCTGTGGATAGAGTTTGGATTTGGATTTGGAGGATTTGATTTTAAAGTACCAACAATGGTAATGTATTTGGGATAAAAGTCGTTTTCTCCAATTTCAGGAGTGCAAGCAAGTTTTTGCCAACCAGGGAAGACGGCTGAGCCATATTTTTGGACGAAACCTTGTTTTTCATCTACAATGTATAAACATTGAAGAGATTGGAAATCAATATCAACTGATTTACCATTCTTATCAACAAATCCTTTAGTAAGATCAAAACTAAACATAAAATCACGAACAACCATTCTCCCTTGATAAGTTGGAGGAAACATTGGACTAAATGAGAAGGAAACTATTTCAATCATTTGACTGGAAGGAAGAGCTATTTGATTAGAAACTAATTGTGCAACATATTCATGGGAAGGATAGGTAAGAGGTCTATTGACAAAAGCACTCAAATACTGATTTAAATTCTTGTGAATTTCATATTTTAGAGAAGCACGATAGTTGACCAATGTGGAAACTCCAAATTGAGCTGGAATTTCACTCTCAATACCCATAATAGCAATCGTATAGACTTTAGTCTGAAGAGGAAAGATCACTTGTTGGGTGAATTGTTCACTTCCTTTTGTAAAATCAATCGGAACAAATGTCTTTTTTTCCATGTCCACACCAACAATACACAACTCTTTCGGATTAACATTCAGTATTCCAAATGAAAAGTCATGTGTGAAGGAGAATGAAGCATCATTGGATGGGATGGACAGCCTTTTGCAAGTCCAATTGAAAAACACCCAACAATTCATATCCATTCAAAGTTGGAGGAATAGAATAGCTTTCGAATATTTTTGAATCTGATAAATCACTATATGTTGCAACACCAGATGTATTGGCTGTGAGGAAGTTATAATAAATCTTGGTGAATGAATCTGTTTGCCATGAGTATTGACCTCCTACAGTGATATTGAAAGAAACTGAAAAACTTTCACACATGCCAAGGAAACCTAAAGAAACCAAGATTGCAATCAAGAAGAGGTGTTTGCTCATTTTTTAGTTTGAAATCTATCAAAATAGGCTACAGGACTATTCATCTTAAAAAGGGAGAATGAAACTCCGTGTTCCTTGTGTAATATCTGAAAAAATAGTCGAATCCCTTTGTGTTTCTAATTAACTACTTGTTTACAATAAAGATTCTAATTTGTAAAGGTTAGATAATAAAATTTTCATGTGTTAAATTTTCATTGTATTGAACTCAATATTAACTGTTGTAAGAGGTGTTACTATTTCTCTTTCAATAATTTCCAGTTTGGTTTCTAAAAATCCTTCTTACTTCATTTTGTTGAAAACTCTTTTTTTACTTGGAACAGTAGAAAAATCATCAACAATCCACAAATAATCAAATGATTTCTGTTCGATTGTTTGCTCTTTTCATAGATTGGTGGAATTGGCAATTGATAAAAATTCGAAACTCTATGATATTGAACTCTATTTTGCAACAATTCAATAAACTTGTGTGGATATCCCTGCGAGTAGAATGCATCTCTAGGAATTAATCCATCACTTTTGAATCCTTGATTGACAACCTCTTGTATTTCTGCCTTATATTTTTCAATAGAATTAATAATGGCTTGTTTAGAATTTTCATTGAAATAAAAGACCTGAATAGATTCTACTGATTCGTATACATCAAAGGCCAGGATATCTATTGTAAAACCAACATCATTGTCCATACTGAGATATACCTCTTGAAGTGAAGTGTCAGTTTCACGAAGATTTTCCAATTTGAACGGTATCTCCTCTCTTGAAAAGACTTTTGCTTTTTGATTGGTGGAATCAGATATTTCAGATAGCAATACGAATCCTCTATTGTCAATATCAAAGAACTCCCTACTTCTACCTGTAATTGCTAAATTATTATCATTTCCACCTCTCAATCCAATCATGTAAATCAAACCATCACTCTTCATTCCTGAATGAAGCTTGGTGAATGCAGAAGGTTCCTTCTGGAATAAACTCTTCCAATCACTATCATCAATTTCCTTGTGATCTATTATTCTTGGTATAGTCCCGGACATGTTTCTTCTCCATCCTCTCGTTTTCAGCAATTGATAACTCTGAAAATGTTGCTTCTTCAAGCAAGATGCAAATTTGAGGGTGTTTTGTAATTTGTGCATTTTTTTGATTTTGTTTTAATTTTCTTAAATTGCAGGATTTAGAAGTAGAAATTTCTTCCATTTTGCTTCTATTATCAGGGTTTAGATTTTATTATTGGAATAAATTGAATTCTATCAGTTTAAACTGATTGAGTAATACCAAAAGAATCAAAATTATCTGGACATAATTTCGAATAATGTTCAACACCCTTCTCAAAATCCTCATCACTAATTAACAATTCATCCAACACTTGTTCCAACCCTGTGAAATTATGTCTCAGTCCAATGAACACAATTTCCTGTCGTCGGTCGCCAACTCTTTCAACAAAATGTTGTTTAACATTCTCAAAAACTGTCTTTCCATATAACTGGATGGATTCTTCTTCACCTAAAGTATCAAAGAATTTCAGATATCGTTCAGTGAAAAGAAAATTGAACAATTTTTCAGTATGGAAAGGCTTTCGTCTTCTGTAAACAAAACTGTTGAATCCATATTCGAAAGTTTCTGGGGTTTGCATTCCTCTGAGTTCTTTTAACCACCAGGATTGAATGCTGCCTTTTCAAAATCAAATAGTCCAGTATTCAATACTTTGGAAAGATCTAGCTGAGAATTCACTGTTTCATACATTGGCGTCTGTTTTTATTATGGATTTAGTTTAGCCATTAAACTCTTAATCTTTTGAACTTCTTCAATTGAAACTAAATCAATCTTATTAATGATAATTACATTTGCAAACTCAAATTGATCGATCAAGAGAGGAGCTATATTTCTTCCATCATATTGCGACAATCTATCAACAAACTTTTCCTTCATTGTCAAGACAGAATTCAAATCATGCATTAAATTTGCAGCATCAACCATAGTAACACAAGAATCTAATCTTGCAAAATCTGAAAGTGTAAACGAATCATCTTCATCCAACTCTCCATCTTCATCTTCCACCTGGAATTCAACATATTCGAAGGTGAATGTCTCTGCAACCTGAAGTGGCTCTCCAATACCTGTTGATTAAATATCACAATAGTCAAATACTTCAGTTTGAGATAATTCAAAGAGTTCAACCAGCAAATCTTCTCTCAATGTACAACAGATGCACCTGCAATCAAGAATTATTACACATGGAATCAAATTACTTCTACCACTTCCTAAGAAACCACTCAACAGAGTAACTGGTATCTTCTTTCTTTTATATTTATCAAAAATGGATTTGCACAGGCTAGGAGCTTGTGCTGTTTGTTCTCTCCTTAAGATCCATTAAGAATTGTTGTTGTTGTTGTGCTCTTTTTATTCTTTTTATGAATTTAAAACCCGTACCGCAGAATTAAAAGATTTACGGTGCAATTCTTTGAATTGAATATTCTATGAAGTATAGCAAGGTATTTGTGAGTTAGTACGATTGAAAAGGAGGAATTAAGGGTGAATGAGAAAACACCAACAATTATATGAACGCCTTAATATTCTTCAAATCTTCTCCAAGAAGGGAGATAGTTCAGTGGTAGAACATGGGATTGTGGTTCCTAAGATCAGGGTTCGATTCCCTGTCTTCCTACACCTTTTTAAATATTAATAATACAAGTTTATTGTAAGGCAGAGTCCAATTTAAATTACATCATGGTACAAGCTCCCTTCTTTCTCTTTTTCACCTTATTCATAATTTGGACAGCACAATCCATAAAGCTCTCCTCAACATTTGTTCTAGTTTTTGCAGAAGTTTCAAAGAAGGTAATATTTCCAAACTTTTTGGCAACTTCACGTCCTTCATCTGCTGAAACAACTCGTTCATTCTTCAAATCTGCCTTATTACCAACCAAGACAACTGCTGTCTCACTTGCTAAATTACGATATTCATCAGCATTGTCAAATTCTTTAGCTTGAGCAATTTGTTCAAGGAATGAATAAACTTCATCAAATGAATTCCTATTAGTGACACTATAAACAATGACGAAACCTTCTCCTTGTCTAATATATTGATCACGAAGTGTACTATTTCAATGTGACATTTCCACACAAATTAAAATGATCGTTAGTTTCCAACATGATATATAGTGACACATACCAAAATTCTTCCTGTCCTATTTACGTGCCAACAACAATCACACAAAATATTTGGAAATTATTTGACGTTCTCTATGAACAACAATTTCCACACAACAACTTACCAGCAGTATCCAATATATCCAAAATTACTGGTTTTTTTTCAATATGTGTATCTTTTCGGTATCTTCATCATCAAATATATTAAATTTGTAATATAAATATATATTAACAATTATCATATGTGTTGATTATGACAATAAATATTATATAATAAATAATTTAGTGTGATGATGTAAATTTGATGATGTAAAATTTGTACAAATCCACAAATAATAATAATAACAAGAATTGTTATTCATGATGAATTTCTAATAAATTAATAACATACGAATCTTCCAAGGTCGGATCATATTGTTCTACAAATACATTTTGAATAAGTTGGACGATGAGAGCTGATTTTCCTACACCTCCTAATTTCCATGTTAAACATTCCAATAATTTAGACGAAACATACCTGAACCGAAAACAACAATTTTCAATTCTTCTGGTTGCTCCTTTGCGTTCTTGTCCTTCTTTGGTGGCATGTATGAAATATTTTATTGTTATCGTGTAAATGTTTGACAAGTGGCATGGGACAGGGAACTGTTTTCCAATATTCCTTCGGAAGATAAGCTGAACTGTTAATATTATTGTAACCGGTGGCCTTTCAACTTGTTTGGTCAATTGTTGATTGGTTTGATCAGATCTGTAAATCGATAGATCTGTTAAATGTGTTGTAAATATTATAAGTGTACACAACAAGCATTGAGAATTAACTGATTATAAATTGTTGTTGTTGTAATAGACTGATAGTTGCACAGTTCCAATTGTAAGCTGTTTCACTTTTGGAATTAGGCGGTTAAGTGGTTATTCGAATCTTCAACGTGAGATTTGTGAGAGGAGTGATTCACCCTCAAGATAATTTTGAAAGTGCTTGAATTTCTTTAAACGAATCAAAAGGAAATTTGCTAACTATTTCTTCCAGTCCAATAAAATATTAATAATATTCGAAAGGGATAATGAAAACCATTCACACAGCCATGGTTGCAACAAAGTTTCACCCACTGATGCATTAACAGAATATCTAATCACGAATCATCACCTTAATCTACTATCTCTGCAATGGCTTGTACTAATTCATCATTACTTTCGTAATTCTTGGTTTTTCATTCTCACTATGAAAAGGGTTAGAAAGCAAATATATGGGGAAGGTGATTTTCCTCCTAACCTAATTTACACTTTAACTCCAGGAATGTTTGGCGTTTACCTCCAATTTCCAATCAAACATCCTCAAAATATGGGATTCTGTATCCGAAACTAATTGAAAGAATTTAAATAACCACAGTAAAAAGAAAAAGCAACACCGCATCATTAAATATATTAACTCACATTACGCAAGCTTTGGATTTCTATCACCACCTTGCTTGTGTTTCTTCTAATTAATACGAAACTGTTGCTTTCACTCATCATCAATTTTACCTTGTACTTTTAACACAATAGAGATTAATAGACTCACACTAACAACAACCAAATACTAATACCACAAATGTCATCATTACCCATCTCCTATACCGGCTATTGTGACGACGAAAGCAACAGAGAATCATCACATCTTGATTCCCAGTCCATCATCCATACTATTGCTCAATAATAATAGTCCTCATTCTCATCATTTGCATCATCCACAACAACACCAACAGCAGCATCAACATCCAAATCATCACAATCACCGATCCATTACCATGAGTATGCTTCAACATCAACAATTGGTCGAGTGTTTTGCTCAAGATCAGATCGATCTGGAGAGCGTTTCATCGTCCTATTGTTGTTCACCTCCGTCTGCTTCCTCCTCCATGCTACCTGCTACAGCTGCACACCATCACGATGAAACAACTTCTTCTTCTTGTGGCTCGGCTAGTCTTGATGTTGGTAGAAATAATTATCTGCACCATCATCATCATCAGAAAGGTTCCTTCGACTCGTTCGATTCCAATCATACGAATTCATCATCGGTATCGGCTGTTGTGGATGAGCGATTATTATTATCATCATCGAGGAATGATTCCTTCTCTTCCTTTCATTTGATGGAGGAACAGCCTATTTTCATTCATTCACCATCCAATTCTATTTATTCACCCTCAGAGGAACATGTTCTCTCATCAAGCCTTGATAATAATAATAATGCGATAACACTTAATAACAATTCTAACAATTCTAATAATGATAAAGTAAAAGAGTTCAGCAAGTTATCATTTACTAATAACAGTACTAATAATCAACATTACAATAATCCACCAACTATTCGATCATCTCCAAGAGATATCAAATCAATTGCCACAAGTAAAGTTGCCTACTCTCTCAATGATACCAAATCTACTCAATCCAAAGGTCAGATCGAAGAAGGAATATCAGAATTGGAACAATTATTTGCCTCTAGAAGAGCTTTCAATTCACTTTCGAAAAAGTATTCAACAGATAACTTGCTTAAAGAACAAAAGAAGAGAAACAAACATTCCACTGATAAGGATCATTTACTATTGCTACAACAGCAACATCAACCTTCTTTGACAAGTGCCTCTTCATTTACTGCCACTACTTCTACATCATTCCTGGAACCATCCTCCAATGCCATTCGTTCAACCAAGTCAACTTCATGTCTTTCACCATCTTCCCCAATTAGTGATTCATTTGAAGAGATCAAGTCAATAATTCAAGCTTACTATAATTACGAGTCCTTTGTTGAGAGTGCAGATGGGAGAGAAGAATTAAGATTATATTTGAGGAAGAGACATAATGAAGAGATGTTATTAATGTTGGAAACTAGAATTACCTTTCTGAGTTTCTATGAGGAAGGTTCTAATTTCTATGTGGGAAGAAGAGCTCTGTTAAAAGTGAAAGAATTTCAAATGATTTATTCTCAATTCATTGATACCAATTCTCAATTCTGTATTAATATTGATTCAAGTATAAGAAACAAATTTGTAAAGCTCAACCCTCGAGTGAATAAGGTTAATACAGAAGAAGAGGCTGCTCTTCTAGTGAAGGAAATTGATGAATGTTTGGACACGCTTCATTTTAGTGTATCACTTCAGGTCAAGACTGAAATTTTCTCACAATTCAAAAAAACGGAGGAATTTCAAACTTTCATTCTTTCAAAAATTATAGAACTCCAAGGAAAGAAAGCTTGGGAAGGACTTGAACGTCAAAATGGTACATCATTACATGACAGTCCATCCAATCATGGAGGATTTTTCTCCTTCCTAAAGAAAAACCCTCAAAATTCAGCCATCAAGAAATTTGAAGAGAAATTAATTGAGGAATTTCTGATAGAAAATGAGCTCGCTGAATATTGTGGACAATTCAGAAAGAAAAAACTCTACACTCTAAGCCAAATCCAAAACTACTCTTGTGATGATTATCTAAAGTTGGGTGTTATCAAAGTTACTCATCAGACCCGATTAATTCGTCTCGTTGGACAATATTTCAAATCCTATTGTAATAAGAATTAATAAATACATCATTCCCATCACCTCATTCCAGTGTTGTATTCATGAAATTTCTCAATCACTTGATGAATAATTTTCACGTGAAATCTTGCATTATCCTAGGCAATTAATATCACCAAATATGGTCATATTTTTGGTAGTGACATAATTTCAAAAGCACATTTTTTTGCAGTCCAAAGCGAAAAACTCAAAAAGCATTTTTCAACGTATTTGTATGCATCGCTTCGGAGAGATGAACATGTGAGAGAACAAATCCATGTGCCTTATTAAAATTGTTCTGTTTTAACCTCCTTAATGAGCCTATAACTGTAGATTCGTTTTACAAGTTTTCAAATCGTTTTTTGCATCCTTCTCGAAATGTTGGTGTTGTATAGATTTTTATCCTTCACACATGTGTGATCATCAGTTTGATTGTCAAATGTTACAGCAATTGTTTAACTATTTTATTTGACAATCTCACAAATTGAATTAATGAGCTTATTTCGAAGTTATTAAATTCACCGAGATGAAGAATCATCATTTTAAAAAGGTGCCTCATTAACAAACTCAATATCTATTCGAATCAAACGATCGATACAATCTAACAACAACCAATTAATTGTAAGGACCAATTATACATGACGATACAGTTCTTTTGATTCTCAATCTTGTTTCCTAAAGAGATAACATCCCAACTGCTCTACCTTTTACAAAACAGAGTTTTACTGTGGTGATTGTTTGTTCGCCTCTTTTGTCCAAAAACGTTTTTCGCCGTGTTTTTTTGGTCAGCCAAAATACAAACAAACAAATAGATGGCAATAAAAGCAGTTTCTTTTGGAGAATATCATCATAGCACTATAAAAAACAACGAAACAACTCACTCTCTGGTGACAAAGACGACCACAACTCTCTATTCTCTCACTGCATCATCTCTCTCTAATTGTTATAGTCCCTCATCATTTCTCATCGTTCATCATCAGCAGAGCAGTGTTCCCAATCATCAGTAACACCACATCATCAGAGAATCTAATGTCCTCACCAACAACTCACTCTAGTACATCTGGCACTAGCGATGAAGCCATGCCAAATGGAAATCCTAACGATTGTACTTGTCCTACAAATATTAATAATAACATTGTTGGTTCCACTATTATTGATGAAGAACTCATCAGGAGAATTGAGGAGGCTCATCAGAATGACCCTAAAATTATTCAATGTTGTAGTACCAATGAAAAGACTGATATTAAACCAATGCAACAAACCCATGCATTTGAGCAAAAGGAGCTCGATAGAACTCAACAATTACTTGAAACGGCCCTCATTTCTATTATCCAAAAGTATCAAGCACCAAAACAAGAACAACAACCAATTATACCAACACCTCTCCCTGTTACTTTACCTCTACCAATAACTATTAATCCACCTAATGTTCTTCAAGATATGATGTGTGCTGCAGGTGAAAAGAAGGCTAAAGAATCACTTGATCAAGTAATTATCTTGTCATTACTATCCGGTGTTTTTGTTGGTTTTGGTGGTATTGCCTCAATGAAAACTGGTGGCAGTATGGCCGGATGGGATGCTACCAATCCAGGTTTTGGAAGACTGATCTTCTCAGGTGTTTTTACTGTCGGTTTAATGTTGGTTATTGTTGCAGGAAGTGAATTATTTACTAGTAATAGTATGGTTATGTTTGTTGCCATGTTGAGAAGAAAGGTTAATGCTTGGCAATTGTGCAAGAATTTGGTTATTTCTCTCACTTTTAACGTTTTGGGCGCTTTTATTATTTGTTACTTTTTAATGTATTTACCAACTACAGAAAAGGAAATGCACACGGCTCCATTTGTTACGTATGCCAAATCTCTCGGTGAAAAGAAAGTTTCTCGTTCTCATGGTCTTACTATTCTCTTGGGTATTGGTTGCAATTGGTTGGTTTGTCTTGCTGTCTACATGACCTATGCTTCACATATTCTGGTTGACAAATTGATTGCCTTATTCATGCCAATTTTGGCCTTTGTTGCTGGTGGTTTTGAACATTCAGTTGCAAATGGCTTCTTTATTCCATTAGCAATGTTATACGGTAGTCCAATTACCATGTACGATTTTTTGGTTACCAACTTGATGCCTGCCACACTGGGTAACTTGCTTGGTGGTGCCTTCTTTGTTGGTATGTGTTTCTGGTACACTCATGGTGTTAGACTTGAAAATATTTACTACTTTGATACCAAATTTACCTTAAAGGCAAGAGAAACTATTGCTAGACCAATTTTGAATTTGTGGGATAGGGTTGCTGCTCTCAACCCATTCCTCAAGCAAGAAAATCAAGCTCAATCTGCTATTGAGCTTGCTGATCAAAAAGTGTAAATAATTAAGTTTTTTTGAAGAGTGTAAAATAACAAGGTTTTGTAAAATAAAAGAAAATTCGAATGAAATCCTTCTTCACTTTTTACTTGTACTGGAAAATCTATTGGTTGAGTGTGAAAGTGCAATAAACAATCCTAAATTCAATAATGCCAGAGTTGCACAACTGCTCAGTGAATTTGGCCCGACCAAAATATTTCCATACCTCTTGTCATGAGCATTAGAAACGTCTGATAAATATTGAGATAATCCACCCATGGCCTCATAAATTCCTCTAGCAAATGACGATATAATTCCATAATCACGAATAGTATTGGTCTCATTCTTAATCTTTTGTGTTACAAAACAAAGTAGAGGTGAAAGCAAAGTATGACTTAAAACCATTGGAATAACACCCCATCTCGAATTATTTGCTCCATAATTAATACCTGCCAATGTAAGAGGTACATTCCACAAGCCAGAAATAAATCCAATCAACATTGAATTTTTAAAGAATTCTAATGTATCAATAGCATCCTTCCTCTTTTCAAGCTTTTCAATTTTGATCAGTCTATTCCACATAAAATCTCTCCATCCTCTTTCTTCACCCCAATAGCAAAGAGTATTCATAGAAATACCATGACCTAATGATAAAAAGTAGGAGCTTAAAAACAGGGAAGTATATTTTTTCTTCTCTAAGGTTTCTATTAATTGTTGATTTACCACTGGATCATGTTTATATTCATCCAAAACTAGGTTCGATGTGGCTGAATATTTTACATTAGGCACCAATCGATTACCAATTAGAATATTTATGAATGGAGTGAGGGAGGTCAAGAGTAATAATCTAGGAAATGATTGCTCAATAAATAGTTTCTTTAAAAAATTATAAAATCCAGAAAATATTCCCCTTCCATCCTGTTTAGATTTGCGAAATGGAAGAATTGTACTATCTTTCTCATATACAGAGTGGTCATACTCAGAAATTCCAATCCAATCCAATATCTCAGCAATAACAGCTGGTGAGTAAATAGTCGTAAGGAAAAAAGCAATTTTTGTTAATATTCCACTCTTCTCCAATACATGCGAATAATCATGAGAGCAAATAGCCAATCCACTCATCACCACTCCATTACAGGAAATAAATCTAATCACATCCCTCCTCATGCAATCAATTGTTTTTTCCACATTCTTCCTATCGAAAATCATATTCTCCGATTCCCTTTCCCTCATCAAACTCTTCATCATGTAATAAATTTCATTCAACACAGCAACTCCCAAACTTCCCTTCAACATTGCCTTAAGAAGAGTAGAGTTTGATATTCCGTTATTTCCCTCTCCTCCATGCTCCAAAAAACAAATCAAATCAGAGGAAATTTTGGCGAGAAAATCTTTAGCTTGAAGAGACATTTTTTTTAATATATTCTTTTGTAAACTTTTGATCTCGTGCAATTTTAAGGTATTTAAGAAGGACATTTTGAATTCGTGTTCATAATGTCGTCATTGAAACGTGGCATGATGTGGTTTTTCAAAAATTTAAATTCTCTTTATTTTACAAAAAAAGGCCGCATTTGCACATTTCAATATTATTGAAAATGATGATTATTAAATAATGACATTTCCATTTTCTTCGATACTTCTCCACATTTCATTACTCTCCTTACAGAGGAATCCTCTCTTTTCATTAATCTTGATATATTTCGTACCAAGTTTGAGGAAACTCTTTGCTCTATCTTTCAATATAGTCTTCACTACACCTCTTGGAATATTTCCTTTGAAATCCAAATAGAAAATCTGAGAGTAACGACATGTATTCTCATCGATTGCCTGGAATGCCCAACCACCCATTGAAACTGCTCTGACTACGCCCTTCTTTGGTTCACTTGGTGCCTTATTTGTTACACAACTCTTCTTACCAATATAGTAAGTATTGGTTGATGTATCAAATACACCACTGGATGAGACAATAAATTCTCTTGGATTGAATGGCCAAACTAATTTGTAAATTTCTCTTGTCACTGAAGAGGCCATCAATGAAGAACCAGTTACTGGTCCATCTGTTGCCTTCTTTTCAACATAATTCAATTGTTCAATTTCACACAAATTACCATCATATTGCAATCTGTATTCCTTTTCAAAAATTGTATTCATAACATGCTTAATATTAAATGGAAAGGTACAATCAAATTTGAAGAAATTCAACCCAATTGACTCTCCCATATCATAACTCTTTTTTGAAAAGTAACATTTGTGATGTTTGCTACTTCCAATCACTTCCCATTCGTTAGGATCATAATTTGAGAGTTGCATCTTTAAGAACTTGAAATCGTTAATGCTGAAACTTTCATTTTTCAAATCACCCAAAGATTCTACATAGAATAATTGAGAATCTTCTTTAACACTACCAATTTCGTATAAAACTTTCAATGGTTGAGTTTTAAGATAGGTTTTAAAGTAATCACTCTCAAGAAAACTCTTGAAATTATTCTCTTTTAAGCTTAGCAAGACCGATGATTCAACTTCATCAAATAAATTCTTTGGACAATTGAGACCGTTTGTAGAATTTGATGATAAATTTGAAGCAGAATAATCTGTTGTTGGAGATTTACATCTATTTGCTATGGTAGAAACACTTTCCGAACTCACTGATGCGGAATCTGTACTGTTAGTTGAATCGAGTGAGTGTCTGGAGACGAAAGGAACAGGTGACCCATTCGATTGTGGACTATTTGGATTGTTATTGTTAGCATTACCTCCTGTTGAAGTTCTAGCAGAAACGATTGAAATTGGTGAAGAAGAAACATTATCTGGATTGAGAACCTTTTGAATCTTGTTTCGAATATCACCTCTCAAGTTTAGTTGTGTATTTGCACCTTCGGCAATAAACCTCTCAAACAAGTCGTGTGCCATTTGAAATCTCTTTCTTTCATGTTTAACTTTTCTGTATTCATTTACACATTCTAAAAATTGACAACTTTCTCCATTGAAAGTGGCGCCAAGGTATCCTGTGAAACATTTAACAGTTGGAGGATGGTCAAAGATAGCTTCAAAATAAATAACGAATTGGTCAATGTCTTGGTCGACAATGAGTCTATCTTTATCATTGAATGACATTTAAACTATTATGTTTCGAATAAAAATTGTATGGTCAACACTTGTATTAACTTGTGTAGTAGAATGGATGCGCAGTTGTGTATTCAATATAGGTGAAACACAGTGTTAAGAGAGGTCGGTTGTTTTTTTTTGAATTATTTTCTTATACACATATTCGATACCTGCTCAATAGCTTTTCCTCACAGAACAGTTGGGTTTATTAAACAAACTCAGCAATGCGAAATGCAGAATGGAAACGGGTTGATGTGTTTGAGAGATTCCAAAAAGCAATCATCACATCAAACACCTGTCGCCGGTATTTTTATACGAAATTAGAAGGAAAGCCAGAAAATGTCAACTCTTACCAGTTGGGATGTTATTAATACAGATTGTTTGTGCTTTAGATATCGTGGTTTTAGGGGATTCTCTTATCGTCTAATTAACACAAAAACAGTAAAAGCCATTGATATAAAAAAGATAACAATACATTACTGTCTAATGGGTTTTTACAAAGATTTACAGTTGGTTGATTGTAAAGAAATCCACATTTTAATTCAATGGAAGAGAAATGAAGAGTGGAGTGAAATCATGAACTACTTTCGAATGTGAAAAAAGTTTCGTTTTACCATTTAAAATTTTTTTAGTGTCCCAGCTTACCATTACCGTCAACACTTCCAATTTTGTAGTGAAGGCAAAAACTCAAAACCTACTGGACGTGAAACAAGTTTAGCTCCAAGAGGAGTGTAGTTTGTACTATTATTTAACATGATGATGACATCTTGAACATTTGGAAAAATCCAAGTTCCTATTATTATTGTAAACAACCATTCAACTGGACATTAATTTCTAGTGATGATCCTCTCATCATCAGTGAAAATAATGGACATACTCATTTAGTGAGAGATATTAATGATTGTAATGAAATGGTGTCAGTATCAGCAAACTCATGTTCTGTGTTGTTACATAGATGACACAGTGTTGATAAATTTGATGAAAGATTAGTAACAGAAATCTTTTTGTTTCTTCAGAAGAAGAAAACTTATCTTCCATTAAATTGTCATTAATGAATTGTGGCATACTAGGTTTTATTGATCAAATACACAACAGACAACCTTTACATGTTTGCCTTAATAATTTAATATCTAAATAAATGGAAAGAACATAATTTTTTTATTAATATTTAAAAAAAATAAAAGTGTTACGAAAAGTATTCTTTCCTTCAATAACCAACAACTTCTACAATAGAATCGAGTTATTCTCCATTAACTACTTGTTATTCAACAAAAGAAATATTACAATCAATACTACAACAACAACAAATACATACAACAATCAAGTCTTTTCATAGCAAGATGAAATTAATTGATATTGGAGTAAATTTATGTGATGATATGTTTAAAGGAATTTATAATGGAAAACAATCTCATGATTCCGATGTTGAACAAGTTATTCAGAGAGCCTTGGATAAACATGTTGATAAATTGATGATCACAGGAACTTGTTATCAAGATATTCTGGAGGCTGTTGAATTAATAGAAAAATTCAAGGATAAATTCCCTAATAGATTGTATACCACTGTGGGTGTACATCCGACTAGATGTAATGAATTTAATCCATCAAATGATATTGATCATAGGAATGCCTTGTTGGAAATTGTTAAGAAACATAGAGAATATATTGTGGTGAGTATTGTCTTGATATTTGATTCTAAAGGGTGAATTAATTAAATTTATAGGCTATTGGAGAATGTGGATTAGATTATGATCGTCTTCATTATTGTGAAAAGGAACAGCAACAGAAATATTTTGAATTCCAATTAGAAATGGCAAAAGAAACTAAATTGCCACTCTTCTTGCACAATAGAAAGTCAACACATGATCTTTGTGAAATTTTAAAGAGACACTATGATGATTTGGGATTATTTGTTGTTCACAGCTTTGATGGATCTTTGGAGGAATTAAAAGAATTGCTCTCACTTGGTGATAAAGTGTTCATTGGAATTAATGGCTGTTCTTTGAAAACAGCTGAAAATTTGCAGGTTGTTAAGGAAATACCTCTTGATAGATTATGCATTGAAACCGACTGTCCATATTGTGAAATTAGACAAAGTCATGCTTGTTGGAAATTGTTGCAAGAGAGCAAACCATTTGTTTTTGATTCCAAGAAGAAGGAAAAATTTGAACTTGGTCAACATGTCAAGTCCAGAAATGAGCCAGATAATTTAATGTAAGTCGCAATAGTATGAAATTCACTAATTTTCATTGAATAGTAACGTATTGAAGGTTATTTCAAAAATCAAAGAAATATCAGAGGAAGATCTTGCAAAAATCACTTATGAAAATACCATGAAAGTTTATTTCCCAAATCTTTAATTGAGGATAAAAATAATTTATTTCTCATTAAGAGCTAAGGTAATATCCATAAATGATCGTTCACCAGTTGTGGAATCAGCAACATTCTTCAAATTGGATGCTCTTTCTTTCAAATCATCAACAAATTTAAGATTGGAAAAGCAAATTGATGGACCATCATTATGCTCATTCTCATCTTCACAAGAGGCAGCCATTGAAATAGCTTCGGTTTTCCATTCAGAGATTCTACATTTGAGAACATCAACTTTGGCAATCATATTCTCATATTGCCTGCTTTTTAGTTGATCCCTTATGTCAATTAGTGAGTCGTGTAATTCCTTTTGAATGTTATTAGCTTCAGACCACTCTGTTTCAAGAGTATACACTTCTGTTGGTTTGCTCTTTCCCTTAAGTTTAACAACATCGACGAATAGACAGAGGAACTTTGTTTTAGCTTGTTCATATGTTGATTGACCAATCAAAACAGTAGTTTCATATCTCTTATTAAGAGTTTCCAATCTACCCGCAGTATTGACGCTATCTCCAATAGCTGTATAGTTGAATCTTTCCTTAGAACCTACGTTTCCTATCATGGCATTACCTGAATTCACACCAACTCTAATTCTGAGGTCCGGCCAATTTTCTGCCTTACAACGAATCCTCAACTTTTCGATTGCAACAAGTGCATCTAGGGCTGCTTGACATGATTTGTTTTGGTGATCATCTAGCTGTTTGAGAGGGTGAGAGAATAGAGCCATCACACCATCACCAATGAATTTGTCTATTACGCCTCCATTTGATTCAACAGCTTCTGTCATTATTCTGAAATATTCTGAGAGGACTTTGAGTAATACTGAAACAGTTGATGATTCTGAAAAGGTTGTGAAATCAGCAACATCACTGAATAGAATTGATGTTGAGCAATTCACGACGCCTAATTTAGCTCCGATGCCATTTCTCACAATATCTTTAACAATATCTTTTGGAATATATTTCATGAAGGAATGAAGAGAATTCTTGACTAATTTCGTTGATTGTTGCAACAAATCTAATTCATACACAACCTTTAAAAGCTTTGAGGTTTTAACTTCTTCCACTTCCAATTTAGAAATTTTGCTCATATCCTTGGAGACTTTCAAAATAGAACGAGTAATTAATTGAGTGACAATCATGGCTAAAACAGTTCCAAAAATAATGAAAATAATGGATAGAGATAATAGAGCTGGATCACTTGTCATTACTGTCTTGACAAATCCATAATTTACGGTTGCTTGAATAATTATCCAATCTAAACCATGATCATCCTTGATAAATTGTACAGATACTCTGTATTGATCTATCTTGAGAATTATGGTAGAGTTATCAGACGAGAGGGTTGCCATATCTCCATTTGGTCCAATTATTATTTTCTGACTCATTAGGTAATCCGAAATCTTTGAAAAGACACTTGTTGTTTGATTCATATGTACTCTATTATTATTGGCATCTCTAGTTTCATAACCCATACTTGTACTAATCAAATAACCTGTTCTCTCAATAATTACAATGTCAATGGATTTAGTTTGGATATCAAGGTTAGCCTGAATAGTTTCATTAAGGATATAGTCCAATTGATACAAGTCATAATGGGCCCCAATAATCTCTACTACAGATTGTTTTGTGTATGTACCATTACTGAGCTGTGTCATGTTATAATTATCATAATCCAAAGTTGTAGCAGCTCCCAGAGATAGGCATTTGATGAAGAAATTATTAAAGACAGTTGACCATTGATAGCTTGGATAAGGCGCCTTCAATCCTGCCTTATACCATGGTCTAATTGTTGGATCATAATTCGGAATTCTCATTGATTCTGTAACTGGTTCATAATAGGTATTATATGAAGAAATTACAACCTCTGCTTGTGGATTTCTAATTTGAACATAATGTCTCGAATTTGAACCTTCTACAGCAATATAATTTTTCATTGAATTTCCATAATAGAGAATGGTGGTTTGAGGAAATGCAAGCTTTCAAATAGTTATTAGTACTTTTGAATAGTTTGAAAACGAACCTTTGTTGGTGCAAACACTCTAATGACTCTTTTAACCAAGCCATCAAGATCAAATGGAAGCATATCACCATCCATTCTCCTCTGTAACATAAAACCTTCTCTTATCTGATGAAGAATGGTCGAAGCTTGACCCATATGATTCTTAATTTCTTCAGAAATATTATCCTCTCTAATACTTGCAATATCATTGATGGATTTTTCTCCACTGTTTACAAAAAAGTAAGTTGGCAATTAGTACATTTATAAACTAACCTTGAATAAATCAATAATAATAATGAACCAATACAAATAAAGGTCTGTAACAAAAATACAATAATGAGAATGTTTTGTAATGAATGAAATGCTGGACAAAAGAATTGAATAAATCGCCTTGACGCACTCTTGTTTTCCTTATTGAATGCCATTACAGCACCAATCGACGTGTCAGAAAACGATGAATGCATTGATGAGGATTGAGTGTCTGATGATGCAGCACCAATGAATTTGTTATCTGGATCTACGGTGATAGGTTGAATTCTCATTTTTTTTCTTTAATTGTAGATATTGGTTGACAAATTATTGCGGTATAGTTTATGTTTGATTGATGGTGAAATTAAAGAGATACAGAGCGATACTGAGCTTGTTCTATTCCCTTCATTATCCCTCGAAGTATTTACGATTGACATTTATGGGTTGTTTCGGTAGATGAGCTATATTAGGCGTTTGTTATAATAATTAATACAAGCAACCAATATGGTGAACCTAAGGGTAATATATAGACACTTAATCAATAAGTTTCAAACTTGAAAACAAAGCCAACAGCTTTTAAAGCTTTAATAACCAACTACAAAACGTGTCCGATGAGACGGAATCGAACCGCCGACCACAGGATGACAGATTTTTCTTGCTACAGTCCCATGCTCTACCAGCTGAGCTATCATCGGTTTACACTTGTTGGAATTAGTAAGGTAATGACCTCTACATCTGGTTATTAGTGATTTCGTCAACCACCTTAAAATCATAGGATTGACAATCTAATCTTCCTGAATTTATTGAATTTTATTTTGTTTCTTTGTTTTATTAAAGTTCCATTCATTTTCCCAATTTTCATTGTGTTCATTCCATTTCAAAAAAAAGAATCCAGAAAAAAATGCACGACGATGAATGGTATCAAGTTATTGACTTTCTTACGGAGAGTGATTTTCCATCTTTCCTCTGTGTCTGTTCTGAATGGAACAAATTACTAAATTTTTGTATGCAAAAATCCTGGTTTTGGATGGATAGGCATATTCGGTTTCTAAATACTCGAATTAAACTATATTCAGGTTTAATTGCCGTGGATTCGAGTCATTATAGTGGAATGAGAAGATTTCTAAAGATGAGAATTGATCATCACTTGAGGAAACTAAAAGAATTGAGAGAGGAAAGGAAGATGAATTATATTAATTTTAAAGGGAAACATTTTATCGCAGTGAAAAAGTATGAAGATTCTAATAATTGCAAGCAAATGATTGATTATTTGAAATATAGACCCACTGCTGAAAAATTGAGTTTAGAATGCTTTTTAAAGAGGGATACTAGCAAGTTGGTTTCGTACAAGTTTGGTGAAATTTTCCAGTACATGTTTGAGAACTATATGAACAGTTATCATTACAGGAAAGTGACAATGGATGAAATGACCAATTGCATAATACCAGACCTTATTTTACAAAGGGAAGTTTCCAGTTTGCAATTTTGGGATGCACTACTTAACAATCATCCCAAGTTGAGGTTTGATTCAGGATCTACCTTTTTAGACTTTTTCACTTGCATTCTAAATGCAAAATCAAATAGTGATAATCTTGACGAATTAGTAATGAAATTCTTGAAGTCTAATGAATATAATGGATTGGATATACTCTCTGTTCCAATTCAGTTAAGGTTTGCTAGAAGAGTAGCTAAAATATTGAAAGAGAATAATGTATCATTTATACATTCCCGAGTTGGATATAGCTCAAGGAGATTTAGAGATATATCAATCACTAATCCAGTCTTATCTGAATATTTGGAATATCTGTCAAGTAACAGAGTGATGCTTTCAGATTTCCTTCATGAGGAATTTATATTTGTGGGAGGAGTTTACAAGTACTATTTATTTGCCGATTACAAGGTTGATATTTGTGGTAAAAGTTCAAATGGAGTTAATTGGATTATCAATCTTGTTGATAACTTCCCAACAGTAGATGTCATTTATTTCTTTACAAGTACTTCTTTTAAGGGAATGAGACTTGATTGGACAAAAATCGACCCAAGCAGAAAAATACTCGATCGACTTATTCTTGGAGCAAAGGATCCATCAGAAAGATTATCGATCATTAAGGGATTTCACAATAAGAATGTAGACTTTTCAGATTTATTACTTGCGAAAATTATTGACAGTAGTGTGTATGGAAATGATAAGAAATCTTCAATCATTCGTGAGACTATTGAGTATCTATTACCTATTATTACTTTTGAGAATTCAAATGAACAATTTAAACAGTATTATGACATGAATGTCAACAAGGTAAAAGGGAATAATTGGAACGGAACAGATTTCAGATTAGAATTGTGTTTTAAGGTTTGGAAAATTATTGGATGAAATAAAAAATTAAAATTATGGAAAACCAAAAATCGATTACCGACAATGGGCTCGAACCCACGACCCCAGGATTAGAAGTCCTGTGCTCTATCCAACTGAGCTATGACGGCTTCACATTCATTAAGAATATTAAGGCACAACAACACCAAACGAATTATCCTAATTTCGTCAGCTTTCGTGTGTAATGTTTTAAATTTAAAAAAAATGAAATTACTTTCTAATTTCAAAACCTCTCAACCACACAACAATGAAACAAATATCTTTCCCAATCTTTCCAAAACTCTGGTCAAGCTTACTTTCAAGCCTCTTCCCAATCCAAATCTACACATTCCCACATATGTCAAAGCAATAGAATTCAATCATGATAGAACCCTCCTAGCAATTTCTAACTATTACGGGGTTATTAGCATATTCAAAGTTATTGATGATAAAAAACGTGAATCCACCAAATTTGAATATTTTTGCTCCTTTGACCTTTACAAACCTGTTAGATGTTTAAAATTCATTGATCGATTGAAATATATTGTTTGTGGATGTGATTCGAGTAATGTACATGTGATTGATTATGACAATAATGTAGAAATTACAAGATTGCCTTGTGATTTTGGAAAATGTCGATCTCTATTAGTTCATCCTAAATATCCATTCATAATGGCAGGAGGTGATAATGGGAAAATTATTATATGGAATTGGGAAAAGAATTTCGCTATTGAACATGTCCTGGCACCACCAAAATTTATTTTTGATTTATATAGATATGTTATGTCCATGTCTATGAATTATTTCAATTCAGATATTGTAGTTTCTGGTTATTTGAATGATGCCATTATGGTGTGGAATATTCCTTTTAAGGAACTGAGTGAATACAGAAACAAAGATAACACTAGTTTTATCAAAACATCGAGTAAGTTGTTGGAAACATTTTAATGTTAAATGAATAGACAAACCAAAACCAATTGGTAAAACTATCAGGACTAAATCAACAGTCAATTGTGTAGATTGTTACAGAGGATATGATTACAATAGAAGAAATTGGTTTGTTGCTTCTTTTGATGATGGAACCACTCAAATATTCGACAGTAAAACATGTCAATGCATTGTGAAACTATCTCAAGTTCATGAACAACCTGTTACAACATGTATCTTTGAGGGTGATTTCTTATTTTCAGGATCAGAAGATGGCCAAGTATATATGTATAACTCTACAAATGGCTTTAAATGTATTAGAGATATATCATGTTCTGCTTCAGTATGGTGTATGCAAATTGACAAGTCAATTACAAATCATGATAAATTGAGAAATGAGTCTTTTACTAAACTTTCAATTGGAAGCACAGATAATGCCTTACATTATGCTTTTAAGAAGGAGTTTGAGGAGTATCCTGCATTGAAAATTAATCAAGATCCCAAGTTTCATGATGTGGAGATTGTAACTAGAGTATCTAATGTGTTGATAGTTGACTCATTCAAATACCACATGAAACTAGCTGAAACTGATGCAACAGCTCAATATCATGTTGGAATAATGTTGAAAAATGGACAAGATGTAGAAAAGGATGAAAGAGAAGGTTTTCAATGGTTATTGAAAGCTGCCAAGAATGATAACACCCTTGCACAATTTGAGGTTGGCATGTTTTACCTGAACACTGATAAGAATTACGAACGTGCACACAAATGGTTATTGAAATCTGCCAGTAATGGACATGATGAGGCACAATACCAAATGGCATGCATGTTTCATGAAGGAGTTTGGGTAAAGCAAGATTTTACACAAGCATTTGATTGGGCATATAAGGCAGCTCAACAACATCACAGTATGGCAATTCAATTTATCATTGATTGCTATAATGGTGGAATTGGAGTGAAGAGAAACTTATTGGAAGCTAAATTGTGGATGGAAAAATTAAATCAACCAAATCAACAAGTCAAGAGATTTAAGAATGCTTTTGAAACTTTAGGAATTGAATATGATAGTGTGAAGGGAAAAGAATTAAATGAAAAAGCTACTGGAGAATTTGAAACTATTGACAATTTATCCAACCTATTAACACTCGAAACCGAGTATGAGAAGATTACCAATTATACGATTGTATTCTATGCCTATTTCATTCAATTCAACACCATTCAAAGTCCACCAAGAGATAAGTATTATCATATTTTGGTATCATTGTTCGAATTGGCCAACCACTTCAGTAATGATGAATGCAAAAGGAAAATATTACAAGTTTCTAATCAAATCCTGAGATGTTTTTTCCTTTTCAAGATGCAAAGTATGGATTATGTTTCGATTGACATTTTGCACTCCTTTATTGTGTATGAAGATTTGAAATCTCTTGAATTACCACTCTACCTCATCAAATATTTGATGAATGTTCAACATATTGAACTCTTTGCCAAATGGAAATTACAAAATAGTGGTTATCAATTCGAAGGTCCATGGAATGATATGATAATTGGAAATGAATTATCCAATCACAGTTTCTATACTAATAAGTTGGAATCTTTTGAATATGTTCCACCCTTCTTGTCCATTCAACACAAGGATGGAGAAGTAACAATAATTAGGAACACCAAGAATTATAATTTGAGAATCTTTATTGAATTTATTGGATTGGAAAATGTTGGATATCACATTGTAATGAGAAAGCCAAAGGAAACTGTCAAATTGACTCCCTTAATTGAATATTTCGAAATAAGAGGAGTTCTTTTTTTTTACAAGTAATCCAAAACATTCAAACAAGAATCTTTGCTGACGAAATAATCAATTAGATTTGTAGTAAATGAGGAAGCTGACCAAGAAGATTTTGAGAAAATTCGTACACCACATGGGCCTTCAATCCATACAGTCGCCATGTATAACACATATTGTTTGTGCAAAAACATGAACAAATTTGAAGAGGATGAATCGGAGCCCTCACAAACCAAGAATGGCAAATTTACACCTACCGTAAAATTGTTTGTAAACAACCTCAGCCAACTTGGGGATTGTTGGTTTTGCGACTCCAACGAATTCCATCCACCCTTAATGTGAATTTAAAAAAACAACATCAAAATGGATCATTCCCAAGTTAACGTAGAGCTTGCTCACCAACGAAACCAACAAGCATACGTGGTGGCTAATTCACAAGCAAAGATTGCCAACCTCGATAACAATGAATTCTTAAACCAAGGTCTGATTAAGAATGAGTACTTTGCTGATGGCAACACAATTTTTATTCTCATCATGAAAATTCTATTGAATATTTGCACTTTGGGTTTATTTTCACCAATTGTGGTCAATATGATAACTAGAAGATCGGTAAGGAGTATGGTTATTGGCAATAGACGTCTCCAATATGATGATGGTGGTGATTTGACCATGGCCATGTGGTGTTACCTTGATAAGTTCCTTAATATAATAACATTGGGTTGGTGGTACTTGCTCGGATTCAGCCACAAGTATTACTTGTCCAAGTTTGATGAGAAAATTACCTGGGGTCCACCAGCAAAGACCATCAAAACCAATTACTTTAATGATTCCATTGTTTGGGAACCTGTTGATGATGGAAGAGGTAGTTTTAAAATCTTCTCTGCTTACTTGGGTGTTTGGAATGAATTTGCTGGTTTCATGCTTGGTGTTCTCAACTTTTTCTTCTTGGGAACTCTATCTCCTATCAGTGTAAAGTTTTACTTTTCCAAGTTATTGAGTAAGGTTCGCTTGGGTGTTGGTAAATTTGCAGTCATTCATCCACACATGATTGAAAGCATTGATAATCATAATAGGGATGAATTTAGCCCAATTCAAGTTCCGAGAGATCAGATATATAATACACCATACCCAGTCTCTTATTTCCCACAAATGGAAGGCCATGGCATGTATGAGTTAAAGTTGAGATTTGTAGCTGATGTTTGTGATATGTATGGATTTTATTGTGGCTACAATTGTTTAATGTACATTACTTGTGGTTGTTTCAAATTGTGTTCATCTGAATATTTGAGAAGATTTTTGAATAAGAAGGTTGGTGTTCATGTTGAGCCAATAAGTATTACAGTTCAACCTTAATAACTTGATATTAACAAACAATAAAAGCACCATCAGGTCCACTTCCGATTTAAATTATAATTATTAATATATATATTCATTTTCCATAAAAAAAAAGAATTGAAGTAAGAAAAAACAAAGCTTAAGGCTGTTTATATATCTTAGAAAAAACTCCCTTCATATCAACTTTGGCCTTATTCAACATGAATGGTTTTTTCACAAGAGGTAAGGTGAAAACTGCCGAGTCATCAATGAATAAAGTATTCAGGGCAATTTGTTGTGGTCCTGTTTGATTCAAATTTAATCCATTGTTTGGATTGATGCTGAATCTTGGAGAGTTGCTACTAGTGATGGTAATTCTCATTGCATGTCCTGTAATTCAGTATTGAAAATTATAATGTCGAATATATAGAATTGATAACAAACCTGGATTGAAAATGTAAGCAGTTGGCCACATGGAAATAGTAATTGGATAGATTGTTCCTGGCTCCATCAATGTCTTTTTCACATTGCTCTCTCTCCAACGCATTCTCAAAATGGAATCTCCCAACAACATGGATCTACCATCTGGATATCTTTACATAACAATTAAAATTTCCACAAGAATATTAAAACTTACACATCTGAAAATCTAACAACAAAATCAGTATCAGTACAATTGCTTGAAACCTTAAAAGATACAGACATTCTTCCAACAATAAACATTTGATCCTTAAATGTATCAGATGTAAATAAGATGTTATCTGATCTTTTCTCATTTTCTCTTTGATCGTATGGTCCACAAGTTGGAATCATTAAATTATTACCTCCAATCGTTGGAGTTGGATTACTTGGATTGTAAACGTATGGAATTTTACCTGGATTAGTTTGAACTCTTGGTTTTCCAAAGTAGGTCATGGAATCTTGATTGGAAGCAGCTTGCAATTTTTGATTAGATGTCAACACAAATTCAATTGGACGAGTTTCTGGGAAATCCTTCATTGTAACATAGAAATTACCCATTGTACCAGACTCTACAGAATCAGGACCCATCATATAGAAAGTGACATAATCAAGAGATGGAAGAGATCCATACTTGAACAAGTATGGACAAAATATTTCAGGATGCAACATTAAATCAGTACCTACACAGTAAATTAATTTCCAAAATCAATTGTTACTTACCTGGGAAGGAAATTTGAGATTTTGTACAATGTCCAGTTGGTAACACAATGAGATAGGTGTCATTAGGTCTATTCTTTCTATACATATCAAATGCGTTTAAGGTTCCATTAAGGAACAAATCAGCCCATCCAGAAATATGCAAAGAAGGGAAAGTGACATTTTCACCACTCTTCAATGTGACAGGTTCCCAAAATTCACTATAACTTTCATGATCTAAAACTTTTTGAACAAATTGTGGTTGATAGGCATAAAACTTTAACCAATAGGTCAAATCCTGTTGCCTGAAAGCTCCTCCTTGGAAAACAAAGTTATAAACATCAGCCGTACCAACAAGTAAACATTGACCTTTCAACCAATCAACTTTTTCTCTTGTTTGGAAATAGGAAGCAATTGCATTTGCTGAGGCACCAACAGAAAACACATTACCAGAAAATCCTTTTAGATTTTTGGAAAGATATTGAATGGTAGATTGTGAATCTTGCCATTCAGATCTCCACATATCATATTCACCAGTACTATTGTGACAACCTCTCAAATCTTGTCCAGCATACAAATACTGAGCTGAATTTAGAACCATTCTATCATCACTCAATCTTCCTTGACCATACGGTGTTCTCTCAAAGACAAGATCATGTGGCTTATCTGCATTCAAATCAGGATCAGGATACGACACGATAGTATTCAACTTGGCAGTTCCATCACTCGTCGGAATCATAAATTGCAACATGTTTTGCGATTTTGAATCACATCTTGCCACCACTCCAATCAACAAGACAATAATTACCAATATTTCCATTAACAATAATTTGTTCATCCGTGTTGTTGGTGTCATTTTTCGCAACAAGAGGGAGGACTCTATTTTTTTTGAAATTGAAATTGATAACAAACCTTTTGGCTGTTGTGTGTTTTGTTATCTAATCATGATTTTGGTGAAGGTTCAATAATTTCTAGGTCAATGTAATTTCACAAGATGTGCCTTTGGAAATGGCCAAATTCATGATATAAAATGTCTCATCGCTCAAAACATTTTTCATTAATATCACTCTTGAAATTCAAGCTAAAACGTTTTTTCTCAAAAAAGTAATGAATAGTATCCAGTCGTGAAGGACAATTATTGGTTGGTGAGAGAGTTACGGCCATTGGTTCTAGAAATTGAGTTGGAATTTGCATTTCAACCCAAGATTCCAAGTTCTGTATTCCTCCAGTGCAATAGTGCTCTGGTGCATGTTTGAAAAATTGTCCACCACTGAGCATCATTTTGGAATTGGGAATGAGGAGTTTTTCATTGATTACTTGTTGCTGCTTGATTGGATCATTTATGTGTGACAGGGCGGTTGCTATATAATCATTGAGGAATGGTTTTGAAATTGAAAATAGTGCTCCAAAAGGAAGTCCAATAATCTTATTTTCAACTTGTGATAAAATCAATTCCAAAGCAGATGACATTCCTCCAATAAAGTACGAATCCGAATTGTCGAATGTCTCTAAATATTCAATAAAAGAATCAGAATGGATTCTGGTACTTTCTGTAACACCAACTGTCCATAATCCTTTTGAGTTTTTCAAGCATGTTGCGTACATGGATATTTGAGACATTCCAATATCTGAATCGCAAACATAAACTTGAGTAAATCCCTCATTTCTCCAAAATTGTAAAGCGAGATTAACATTTCGTTTCATATCATAATCATTGGAAATGAGTTTCGATCTTGAATCAATGAGTGAGCTAGGTATAATAATGATGGAAATATCATTCCGTTGTAGTGTTGAAACTGAATGTCGTTTGAACATGTATTGATTTCCCCAACTTGTGTAAATAATATCCACCAAATTTTTCATGTAATTAGACACCCTATCGTGATCCATTTGCTGTGATTCCTTCTTTGCCCAATCAATGAAAGGCTTCTTTCCTAATTGTTTCACTCTATTGATAATCTCCTCAATTGTCAAATCATGCTTTGGTTTAAAATTCAAATAGGCATTTACCTGAGTATTCTCCACTTCAGATTTCCTAAAACACATGTTGACTTGTGTGAAAAATTGATCTGGTAAACTGTCCCTCATAATTTTAACATTCTGTCCTTGAATATAATGCAAGTTAGATCCATTTCTAAATCTGGTAAACCAACTCAGATTAGGAACATCATTAAAACTTGCAGGATCACAATAAAACATAAAATTACAGCAATGCATTGAATTTTCATTTCTCAAAATTTTGCATTTCTCCTCTCTTGATTTTGTAATGACATGATTGATACATTTATAAATTGTCAAATCATAATAAGCTAATCCAAACGTATCCAAACAATTATCAAAATTAAATTTCAATAATTCAATTGCCTTTTCATTGAAAATTATTCCAGGACCACCACTCAATTGAGAGCATGATGGAATTCTTCCAATAATGAGTGGTTCTTCCATTGATATTTCACCACTCTTTAATTTAAATTCATACTTGGCAATGACTTTCAAATAATTAGTGGGAATCATTAAATGGTCATCATCAGAAAGGAAGAACCATCTCACTTTCGAATCGTTTCGTATCCTCTTCAACTCAAGCATAATAAACAGAGATTCTATAAATCTATATTGAGCTCCTCCATATCCAGGAGGTAAATTCTGTAATGATGAACTTTTGATAGTCAACCTTGAATAATAATTCATTAAATTCTGATCATTGAGTGGAAGATCAGTGAAAAGAAAGGTATTTTCTTTCAGAAGGAACGGTTTCGTCATTCTGGAGTGAACCATTTCATATATTCCTTTCATTTGTTTTCCATAAAGTGAATCATTATGAGTTAATTGTCCAAAGTATATTAAATCTTCCGAAATGCAAATACTTTCGTCAAGAATATTTTCATTTTCCAATAATTCAATATTCGTTTCCTTTAATCTTTCTAATAATTTAGCTTTTTGTATTATTGTTGGATCATTTACAAGATTTCTTCTCCTTGTTATCATCCTATTCCGTATAAAGAGAAATGAAACAAATAAAAAACACGCTGCCACCAATCCAATCATACAACATTAGAATAACATTTCTTCTTGCCATTTTTTACTATCAAAATGCAAATATTATCTTAAATGTATTAACAAGATCAAACTGTTTGTGTTATTAAATTGCTGAAATATTCAACTTCTTATTAGAAATGTTGTTTATTTTAACCAGTGATTGTAAAGTTTGCAACTCCTGAAGCCAACAATCTGGTATGTGGTCTCTTAATCCATGATCCACATTCTCCTTCACATACATTAACCTTAGCATGATATGCACCTGGGAACCAATCCTCTATTATTATTATTAGTTTAATATTGGAAACAGTTGTGTGTGAAAAATTAAATCAATCATTAAGAAATATTAATAACAAAAGCAACTTACGTCCATCATCTCCACTTGTATCAATTTGGAATTTAATTCCATAAACACCTGGTTTAAAACCACTGGCTTGATAATAACGATAAACTACTTGATTCTTTGCAATTGATGTTCCAGTAACTTCCAAAGTAACTTCACCTGGTCCACTTTCATTCAAAACATTCAATCTGGAATAGAATGAATATTTGCCACCTGCTGGGCCACTTGATGGGACAACACCAACTGTATCAACAAGTGCACAAACTTTGGCAGTACAGTCATGGATTGGACAAATCTTGGCCAATTGACAACCATAAATTGGATCTAAATCAGCCTTCTTGATGACATCAATGAATGCATTGACACCAATTGCTGTACAAATGACATCACATCCTTCGACTGCGTATGGTCCCAACGGAGAGACATAATTACACAAGGATAAACATGAATAGACAGTTCCACTATTCACACACAAACAGCAAGCATGGAAATAAGTTTTTGAATTATGTGAAATATTGCACACAAAATATTGTGATATTATTTCAATGAATATAAAACAAGGATCAAAATCATGTGATGATCAGTTAGAATGTAATGTGAAATACTTACGCATCAAGAGCAGCCATCAAATCAGCCAAACCAAAATCCAACAAATCAACACAGGTTGGACACAGAGCATCATTGATTGGACTCTTGGTATCGTCGCTAATCTTCTTGATGGTAATTGTTGGTTTGATAGCAAAGCCTTCGATACAAACTACTGCACACAAGGCAGCGATAAAAGCAATTAAAACGATTGATCTCATTTTTTTAATGTAGCGAAATTGTGAAAGATGGCACTTAAGGGTTTCTATTTGGAGAAATCGCCAAATTCCAGAGACAATCGGCAAGCATTTTAAAACAGCCAATCATTACACATGTTAAAAGATTACAACTGTTAATTACAATGATGATTTTTTATAATTTTCTAATACCGAATGGATCTGGGTCTGGATTGACCAAACTTCCACATGATGAAACGCCACCAAAGTATTTGCATTGTGAAACTGTCATTGATCTTGCAGTTGTTTCACTAGTTGCTGGAACTCCAACAAATCTCATATTATCCAAAAGGAATTCGACAAAGTTGGTTTGGTCTGCTAAATAGAATACTATTCTTTGAACATTTTGGATAGGAGCAAAACCAAGTTCAGTGAGTGGAATTCTTATACGTGTAACGGAAGTACCATCAATTCTGAGATATTGAGTGTGATTGGATTGGGTGGTGATTTTGGCAAAGTCAACCACTTTGGTATCATTCAAATATCCAAATATGAGGGTCAAACCTGAGACTGGACCTGTATTATTGACAGTCTTGATAAAGAATTCAAAGTATTTGAAGATACTGGTATCAACATTGATTCTATTGGAACCAATCTTATTGAATGAAATATTACCCTTTCTAAAACCAAAATGTATTGAAGAATTTCCACAAATTGCTGGAGAGTAAGTCACATTCAAAAAACTATTTCTAACATCTGATGGAATATAGGTGTACATGTACCATTCATTGGTTAATTTCCTTCCTTCATCGTAAATTGAAATTACATGGGATGAGTTCTTCAGGTTCAAGCTATCACATGGCTTGACTGTGGACACTAATGGTGGTAAATTACAAATAACGGATGTAGCATTATTAATATATAATTGAGCTCTCAAATGTCCATTTGGATTTTGTGTGGTTGACAACTTGACAAACATTTTGCCTTGAAGTAAATAGTTCCATTCATTGTAAGATAAAGTATATCCAAATCTACTTTGGGAGTATGGAACAATATTAGAGTCAGCAATGTACTCCTCCTTTCCAGGAAGTCCAAATCCAATATCAATAGATGTTACAATACTATTTAAATTATGTTGAAGTGTAAAATCGAGAGAATTTGTCCTATTATTGAAAAAAGCAAACACATATCCACCTCCACTAGCAGAGTTGGCTGCCAAAGGTTTTACACTAGCTTGTTGACTTGCTTCTAATCGCCCAACATATCGATCCTCTCTCATTAGAGCCTTGTAGGTACTTACTGGATTAATTGGATTACTGAACTTTGATGGAGCACAGTTATTATTTGGACATGTAGCATTCACATAAAAGACACCACCTGAATAGTAATCAACAAAGGTATCAACCACTCTATATGATGTTCTTGCAGCATTATTTTTGACTTTCAAATACAAGTGCTCAGTGCTATCATCGTAGTAATAAAAAGTATTTTGTTCCTGCAACATGGTTGAGAAACTAGTGGTTCTAGTCATATTAATTGAGTTACCATATCTGATATTGAAAATCGTTCCCTTTGGGTATTGAATAGCAATTACAATCCAATCGTTTGTGGCACCAGAGTCAAGGAAAAAGCTCAAATCTTTTGGTGTTGGAATATCATTAGGCCAACGAATACCGTAAAATCCTCTGGCTATCATATTACTAAGCATGTAATATAAACCATTTGCAATAGCGCCAATAACATTCGATTGACGATTTCTCAATAAATCAACAACGATCATTCTCGTAACTGCCTTGCCTGTGTTAATAATATCAGGTCTACTAATACCATCACTTCCAGTTGTGTTCATGCCAGTAAAGTTATAATTCAAAACACGGAATTGAGAAAATGATTCACCAAAGAATGGGCATTGGTAAGCATTCCAGTCATTTCTTGCTTGACATTGAGGGAATAACATGATTGATTCGTTACCAGTGATCCATCCTCCAATAGATGAAATATTTGTAATGGATCCATCGACATCCATCAATGCAATGGCTTTCTGATTATCATAAGTGGTTGGATAGTTCCATGGGAAAACCATATATCTATTGGCATTGACAAATTTCAAATCAGAATATCTATTCTTTGTTTGAAGCTTAAAGTTGTTATTCAATGATGAGAGTGCACCAGCGTATTTGTAAGAATCGGTTAAAAAGTTAATAAATGTAATATTTCTTAAATATTGTGGACCGCCATTATCATATGTTTCATATCCCTTAATTAAATCCAAATTAGAAGAAATATATTGACCTGGTCTAGTTCTGTTACCATTATCAATCTTAGGTCTAAAGGAATATTCACCAACATTTTCAGATTCACCAATAAAGATACTATCTTGAATAATATTCGGACCAGGTGGAGAATTCATTGCGACTCTATTATCAGCCAAGTATAAATTTTTGAAACGTAACAATCCACCTCTACACCACAATCCATAACCTCTATTCTTGTAAGCAATGAATCCAACATAAAGTGCCTCAGTTACTCCAGAAGGAGGGTAATATCCTGCCTGTTCAGTCGAACCATTGGCCTTTTCCATATCGTCTATATGGAGAGCATTTCCTGATGAACTGTGGCCAACATTGTTTTCGAATGGTTTTGGAGGAGCAGTTCTTGGATTAACAGAACCAGCTGCATATCTGTTTGCACTCAATCCAGTCGGGAATGTTGGCATTGTAAACCAAAATGGGAAACGACCACCAACAGCATGATTACCAACGAATGTATTGTTTGGATTCGTAATCCAAAATACTGAAACATCAGAATCAGATAAAATGATTTGACGAGGATTTTCTCTTGAGATTGGAATGGGGTCAACGCCCAAATTATTGTTAAATTCGTTTCCTACTTCAGAACCATCCTCTAAAAAGTACATATGACCAAAAGCACGATAACAAACATTATTCTTCAGAAGAATATAATTAGTATCGTGAACAACAAAACATCTTTGGTAACTGTGATGAACTGTGTTATGTGAAATTCAATCCAAATGGTTTGTTTTGTAACAAGTGGAAATGGAAACTATTGAAATTAATGAATATTAAATAACAACAGTTAGATAAATTATTAAAAACCAAACATACCTATATCTTCCCATTAAACCTTGTTGACCAAATCTTGTAATTTCAACTCCTTCCATTTGGAACTTTTCAACCAAACGAATAATAAAGTGACCACCAAATAATGAACTCTCAGACGAATCATCCCCTCTAAAGACAATTCTTCTTGTTAATAAACCAACCTCTGCACGGATCTTTCCATTTGCACTTGCAAAGTGAGTAAAGTTCAATGCTCTATCAAGAACAACAGTCTTATTACCATTCAATAATTGAATAATCTTTCGTTCTTCATTTTGATTTGGGAATGGTTCTCCTCTAATCCATCCCAAGGAAGCATTCTTTTCAACTCTATAATCATACACCTCACCATAGTCAGTAGAACTAACAACAATAGAATCACCAACATTCCAAGTAACGGCATCTCTCAACTCAAGTTGATTAATTCCCTTGGATGCATTCTTAACAATTTCTGTCCAACTTGGACCATAAACTTTACCATACATTTGAACAATTGAACCACTTAAGAATGCAATACCCTTAGAACCCAAACTTGCTCCATCATATGGATCTGAACCAATGTCATTAACTGAACTGCTCACACGATCGCCATAGAATGTAACAACAACCTTTGAAGTGATTGGACAACTTGAACTTCCCATAATAAAACTACCATTTGATTCAACTCTAATAAAATTCAAATCCAAGCTCAAATTTACATTATCAAATATTAAAGAACCACCTGATTTGACCGTAATCGAACGTAATCTATTGGGAGGAGAGACATTCATCTTGACAGCGTTTGAGATAACAATATCAGAATTTGCTACATTCCATCCAGTCAAAGTATTAAAATTGACTAGACCAGCTTGTTGATATGGGCATTGTCCAAAAACCAACACACTTTCAATCATAAGTAAACACAATAAAGTGCTCACAAGTAAGATTGTAATACAATGTTTGTTGCAATACATGTCTTGATTTTTTTTTCTGTGTTCTCATACCTTAATTCACACATTCTTGCTTTTCAATCTGTTTTTATGACGACAGTTGAAAGGTTTTAGACAAACACAAACGAATCAGCAATTTGAATTATTGGTTGGTAGGATGTGCTCCTTAATTACAACAAAAATCCTTATTATTATGGTATTCAAGTCTGTTTGTTCTTCACCTTGATACCCAATCATCAATACGGAAGGTCCATTGAGCTGATTTTGGAAATGATGAAACGTATGACAGGCACACCTATACATGTTCATGTGAATACAGTGTTACCAATACTCTAGTAATTTGCTAAATAAAATTACACTACAGTAATATATTCTCTATCTGGTTGAAAAATACAAATAAATTGTTGTATAAAGCTGTTGAGAAACATTTGCTGTTGTTATGATGAAGATCAAAATCCAAGGTTTTGCAGAAGAATGCAAAACATCATCCCGAAGCTGCTAAATTTGTCATTTTTTATTTAAAATCCACAACAGCAACCATTCTGCCATTTCTTAAGGCTCACTCAAGCAGACCAATGCTCCCTTATCGACCACTACTATTATTCAACATCGATCCAAGTGTGATATATTAGCATTACATAATATCAGGGGGGCGGAAAGTTGGTATCAGCCCAGCGAAAATGTTGAGATTCTTCAAAGTGATTCCAAGTTGATATATGTTTTTACAATCAATATAGAATGCTAAACTACAATCGCTTCATAACTTATCATAAAATACTTGAATTTTACTATTATTGATTTAAATATTAAATAAATAATCTATTTTAAGAGAAATTAAACAAACTAGTCCATTCTGGGACGAACATAATATATAATAATATTGTATAGATTTTATTGCATTATTATATATGTTAATAGATTACTTGTCCTAAAATAATTTGTTTTTATGAAGCAGATGTTGTGAACAAGTAAATTTCTTATTTAAATTTTGAGCCATAAAAATATTGACTGATTAGGAAGTTTCAAAAACAATAAATATGGTGAATTAAAAAAATAGCTATCCTCAAATCATTTTAAATTGCATTTACTCCAATATTTGAAGATATGAAACATTTTAACCTTTCTTTCGTGGTAGCTGCGTAATTTTAAAAATCAGTGTTTTTCGCTTGGTTGTTACTTTACTATTTTGAGGTTGATAACCAACATTCGTTCTTGAGATATGAGCAAAAACAAAAAAATAGCTATTCTCAAATCGTTCTAAATCTTGTTTACTGTTAAAAAAGACGATTTAATTTAAATAATTCTACCATTTCGTGGTAGCTGATTACAAAGTTTAATAGTGTATGAATTCATTGAGTTACTTTTCTTGCTGCAAAAAATGTCAAACTCAAAAATAAACTACAGATTACAAAATATTTGTTTATTGTGTTCATTTTTTCCTTTACTCAACATTTTTCTTCACTTTCCGCCCCCCTGCATAATATTTGAACACTCATCTTTTTTTCATAGTTGATCACTGCTGAAAGAACAAGCACTTCGATTTTCCACTCGAACTCTAGGAAGAAAAAAATGCAACAAGAGCAAAAGGCGCCCACAACAGAGGAGAACAAGCAGAACATCAATGGTGATGAAATTCCAAAACTTTTCCATAGTGGTAAGGTGGTGAGAGGTCCTAGACACTTGAAACAAATCAAAAACCAGCAAACATTGGTGAGGGAGGAAAAGAAAAACCAATCATCACTTGAGAAGATACCAACAGAAATTACAAGTGAAGAGGATTATTGGAGTTTTAGAACAAATAAATTGCAACAGCAACGATCTGAAAGTTCTGCAAAGAAGACATGTTTGGATATTTATTCCAATGTAGTTCACAAGTTGAAAGATGGTAGCGAAAAGGAGAATGAAATGCCATTAGCATTAGACAATAGTAATCGAGGGGTGAATACTCAATTATTCAGTGGATTAGTATTTTTCTTCAATAGCATACGAGGAAGTGGTCCAAATTCTCAATATAATCTAGTGAAATTGGCCTCTGTTCATGGAGCAACAGTACTGTAAGTTTTCTCATTCAAAATTTATTGAAACACTAACATTGAAAACAGACCAAATCCATCAAGAAAGAGAAAACTCACTCATGTCATTGCTTCCAACTTGCCAAACTCTAAAATTGAAAGAATGGAAAACAAGAAACACATTTCCAATCTTCATGTAAAATATGTCACTCCTTCATGGTTGACCGATTCAATTACACAAAATAAGGTACTTTCAGAGGCTTCCTATCTTCTCACCAAACCTAACTCTCCATCAACAACTAAATTCTTTACTATCAAAAAATAATAATTATTGTTTTAATAATTGAAATTTTAAGGAACTATCGAATTTGTGAAGTTAACATTATTGAACAATTTCATAATAAAATGATGGGTTTCCAATATTTCTTAATGAGACTATTTGGAAAGTGTGAAAGCCATTACAATACTTCATCAAGAAATAATATTTAATAATTTATTTAAATTAAAAAAAATGTCTAAAAAACAACCAAGCGAACTTTCTATTGATGATTTGCTTCGGGAAATTGATCAGACTGTTTATGAGCAACCAAAGGAAAATACTCGTGAGATTCCATTCCAAATCAGAGGAAGTGGTCTTGTAGGAGATGTTTCCTTGTACAATGTTGGCTTTCAATTTGGCAATGATTACTTTAAACATGCCGAAAAACAAGGAAAGGAAGCCTTCTCATCAACTCACGTTCCATTCCCAAAACAATTGGAACCATCCGAGTATATGAAACAAGCCTATTTGACACCTAAATTGGAAAATGCTCAAGAGGATTATCGTATCTTCCCTAGATTATTTAAACCAAACGAATTGTATTCATTGGCTGTTTCCAAACCAAAATATGTTATTGAAACAGTTAAAGATCCATTCACTGGAAAAATTAAAGAATGCAAAGAGATTTATAGTCCACAAGCAAATGACACTTCAAAATCCTCAACATCATTATTGAGACAACCTGCTGCCAGTAAAGACTTTGTTAGAGGTAGCAGTCACAATGTTCCTTTCCATTTTGGAGGTATTGATAGAGATGAAGAAAGAGGAATTGAACAAGTTTTGGAAGGAGAAGCTGAAGCTAACAATGAACCTACTATTGTCAATGTCTTTGATAGACCAATTGAAGAGGAATTGAAGTTATTATCTCAACAAGACAATGAAAAGGATTACTCTTCAGTCGTTGATGGTTTGGAAACAAGACCAAGTGGATTCAAACATGGTCTCTTCCATTCTGCCAACAAAAGTCAAGCTAATATTGACACTACTGATTTGAATGCTTTGGCTGTCGGTAAAAATCAACAAGGATTATTGGATGCCTACAAGCAGGATATTTCTAATTACAATATTGATGGAAATGAAGAAGTTTTCTTGTCTGTCGAACAACAAAGAGAACTCAGAAGAAGAGAAGAATCTAGAAATAGAAAGGAACAATTACTCAATTTTACAGAAGTCTTTTCGTCAACACTATCTGATGATCCATTTGGAAATATTGAAGAAGATTACAGTGAAAATAACCAAACTAATGGACAAGTTGCTACTTCTGGTAGCTCTCCAACTGTTCAAGCATCAGCTGAAGAAGAAAAACAAAAACAAGTTGCTGAAATTAGAAAAGTTAAAAACAGATCTGAATATACTATTGATGATCTTTTGGATGCCGATGAAGATGTCTTGTATTCCTCATTTATCAAGAAGCAAGGTAAAAGACAAAAAGAAAATGAATATGCCATCATGTCTCGTGTTGATGTTTCTAACTTTAAGCAATTAGTCCCAGAAATGGCTATTCAATATCCTTTTGATTTGGATATTTTCCAAAAAGAAGCTGTTTACCACTTGGAAAATAATGAAAGCGTCTTTGTTTCTGCCCACACTAGTGCTGGTAAAACTGTTGTTGCCGAATATGCTATTGCTCTGGCACAAAAACACTTGACAAGAGTTATCTATACCTCTCCAATCAAAACTCTATCTAACCAAAAGTTCCGTGAATTCAAAAAGACCTTTGGTGATGTTGGTATCTTAACAGGTGATGTTCAAATCAATCCAACTGCTACTTGCTTAATCATGACAACAGAAATTTTGCGTTCCATGTTATATAAGGGTGCTGACTTGATCAGAGATGTTGAATGGGTCATTTTCGATGAAGTTCACTACGTCAACGATCCTGAAAGAGGTGTCGTTTGGGAAGAAGTTATTATTATGCTTCCAAAACATATTAACCTTATTTTACTCTCAGCTACAATTCCAAATACCTATGACTTTGCTGATTGGGTTGGTAGAACCAAGAAAAAGAAGATTCACGTCATTCAAACATTCAAGAGACCTGTTCCTCTTGAACATCATTTGTACTATAATGGAAATATTTACAAGATTGTCGATTCCAATTCTAAATTCCTTGCTGCAGGTTATAGATCTGCTCTTTCAGCTGAAGAAGAAAAGGAAGAAAAGAATAAGAGTAGAGGTGGATTCAAAAAGACACCATATTCCAAGCTGATTGAAACTCTCAATAAGAAGAATTTACTTCCTGCTGTTACTTTCGTTTTCAGTAGAAAACAATGTGAAGATATCGCCATTTCTCTTCAAAATACAGATCTCAATGAGGCTGGAGAAAAGAATGAGATTCACAGATTTATTAATCAATCAGTTTCCAGATTGAAGGGATCTGATAAGGAATTACCTCAAATTGTGAGAATTTCTGACTTGCTCAAGAGAGGTATTGGTATTCACCACTCTGGTTTATTACCAATCGTTAAGGAAATTGTAGAAATTTTGTTTTCAAAAGGTCTTATCAAGGTACTCTTTGCTACAGAAACATTTGCTATGGGTGTTAACAGTCCAACAAAGACTGTAGTTTTCAACACATTATGGAAGTTTGATGGTAGAGACAAGAGAGATTTATTGTCTGGAGAATATATTCAAATGAGTGGTAGAGCTGGTAGAAGAGGTCTCGATACTGTTGGTAACGTTATTATCAATTGTGCTTCTGAAATTCCTGAAGAACCTCTTCTCCAAAGATTAATCCTTGGTAAAGCAACTCACCTTGAAAGTAAATTCAAGTTGAGTTACAACATGATTTTGAACTTGATGAGAGTTGAAGATTTCAAGATTCAAGACATGATTAAGAGATCCTTCTCTGAGAGCAGAACTCAACAAATTGTACCAAACAAGGAACTTTTGCTTAAGAGTAAGGAAAAGTTGGCAGAAATTGAGAATATTGATTGTATTAACGGAGAACCTGCTATCGAACCATTCTATGCTGTTGCAAGAGATTTAGAAGATTTGAACTACAAGATTACAATGGAAGTCATGACAAATTCAAAGGTTGGAACATTGTTAACATTTGGTAGAGTTGTTGTTGCTAGATACAAGCTTGGATATACTTTGGCCATTCTTGTTCGTCAAGATACTTCAACCACCAATAAGGATGACAAATTCTACGTACTTTTGGCTGTCAAACTTAATCCATCATTTGAAAGAAGAAAACAAATCATTCCAATCCCAACTGTTTCTGGACTCCCAGAATTTTCTCCAATCTTGCTTCCTCAAACTGGAGAGCTTAGTACTTTGATTGCTTGTCCTTCCTATGATATTTTAACAATTTGTAATGAAAAACTCAACTTGACATCATCCATGGAAGAATTTAGTTTCCATAAGGAAACATCAGAAATGAGAGCAGCTGCCAATCAACTTATCAACATTTGGAAAGAAAAACCACCAACACCAATGAATATCGTTAAGGAACTCAAATTATCATCCCTAGAATTTACTGAAGCACTGTCAAAGAGACAACAAATTATTCTCAAGCTTCAAGAAAACAAGTGTAACATTTGTCCTAAATTGGAGGAACACTTTGATAAGATTGATAAGCAACACAAGATTAGACAAGGTCTCGATAAATTGAGATATGCCCTTTCAGATGAAAACTTGGAATTGATGCCAGAAGTTAGAAAGAGAATCAAGGTACTCAAATTGTTGAAATATGTAGATATTGATGAAACTGTACAATTGAAGGGTAGAGTTGCTTGCGAATTGAACTCTTGTGATGAAATGTTAGTTACTGAAATGATCTTTGAAAACTTCTTTACAACCATGACATGTGAAGAAGCTGTTGCCGTTCTCTCATGTTTGGTTTGTCAATCAAGAGGAGAATCAGAAGAACCAACCCTCACCAAGAGATTACAAGAATTGAAAGATAAGGTTTCAAACTTGGCTCTCAGTCTTGGTCAACTTCAAATGGAAAATGGTTTAGACACAAGCCCAACTGATTACCTCTCCAAGACTCTTAACTTCTCAATGATGGAAGTTGCCTATGAATGGGCAATGGGACAAGAATTCAAAGACATTTGTTCTCTCACAACCATTCCAGAAGGTACTGTTGTGAGAAGTATTTCACAATTGGATCAAGCACTTCGTGATGTAAGAAATGCTGCTCGTATTATTGGTGATACCAACCTTTACCAAAAGATGGAAGAATCCTCTAGAAAGATTCGTCGTGATATTATCTTTGCGGCATCATTATTCTTATTCCCGACTGATGAGAAATAAATTCCATCATCTTTAATAATAATTAATTATCTTTTGCTGTATCGTGCTGTTAATAGAAATAAATTAATAATTAATTATTTATTTACATTATTTATCCTTCTTATTCATATCCTCCCATTCCTTCAGCCATCCGACAACTCTATACTTCATTTCAAAGTGATTATACATTCCGTACAAGTTATCCTTTTCAAAAGCACCAAGACTAGAAATATCCAATTGATCCAAAAGACTTGGCTTGAGTTCATTCTTGGCTAAAGCCACAGAGCTTTCATGTCCAGCAAACATATCATATGTTTCATTTGGTCCATAGAAGCCACTACCAGTAACATCAAAAATCTTTCCAAGAACACTAACATAGATTTTCTTGTTAGGATTGGTAGAACTTTCAACACCATTGTAGGTGTGTAATTCTTCAAGAGTAAATTCTCTCTCTTCAATCTTTTCTTCTTCTTCATCACTGTCAGAATCTGATGATGAACTGTAGGCATCTCCGGAAGCTGTCTTGCCCTTGCTCTGATTACTATACATATTATAAATAAAAACAGCTCCAACAATAAAAACTGCTATTATCAACACGGTTGTCAAATCCATTTTCTTTTCTCTCTCTTATTTGAAAACAAAATCTTTGGCAATAGATTCACCTAGATACAATTTTTTTGTCCTATCAAGCCTATTTATAGGTCGTATTTAAAAATTGGAGTAGCATCATTTTCCAACATAATGTACGCATACGATTACAACAAAAATTGTGAATACCAGTTGTTAATACTGTAAATCAACAAGGAGAAAATGTCTCCAACGAGTAAAATTAATAATTATTAGTAGATGATGATGATGATGATTTAAAAAAATAATCGTCATCATGATAAAAACTTTTTGATTCGATTTTATGGTCCTACAAAGTACTTACACACGGGAAAATTGGTTGGTGATTTGTTGAAAATGATTTGAGCATTATCAAAAGAAAAGAAGATTGGATTGTTTTCCACAAATCAAAACACGTATTGATGAACAACAAAACACGTATTGTGGTCAAGAATATAGAAAAATGTTCAAACGCTACCTATGCCAATTGCTCTTCTTTTCAATTGCCTTTCTCATCCTATTCTTTCATGTTTATCATCAGCTTGGCTTTGATCTCTATCAACATGATGTTGTTTTGCAGAGAAGTAAATCATCGGAATTAGTTCAACGATGTGTTCTTGGTTGCATCAATCCAAAGACCCATCCAAACACCAAGCAAAGTACAATTAAAATTGGAGATGTATTGTTTCATCAGGGAGTTGTTGATACAGTTGGTTTTCCTCCAAATTTGCCAATTGTGGTGGTGGATTATCAGTTGAATAGAACAAATTTTGTGTTGGAATGGAAGACAGTGCAAAAATCAGATTGGTTGGATATGAGCGAACGATATTCCTATTCGAATGTGGATGGTCATTTGAGAATCAAGGTGTTTGAGAGTGGTTATTTGACTCTGTTGACTAATTGGTTGACACCTTTTGATTCATTCCACTACTGGCGCTTGAATTCGTGTCTTGGATCAAACAAAGTTTTGTAATTGTCACATTTTAAACGTGAGGCCAATCAGAATTGTCCACTCATTCCACTAATAAAACCAAGCATGACAAACAAAACGTGAAACAATTCAAAAAAAAGTATGTTGAGCACCAACACTGCGTCATCGAGCACAGACAACCTTTTCCAATACATTAAAAAGTTGGTGCTTTCCAATAATTTGAAAGAGCTTCAACAAGTTGATCTTTCACAAATAAGCAACGATGAAATGAATGAATTGATTGAACTTGCTATTGAAAATGAATTTTGGGAGATTGTTTGCTTCTTGCGACAATATTTCTTCAATGATAATGAATTTGATAATCTAGACACCAATTATGAAACTGACAAACATAATCAAAAAGGTGTTAAGGATAAATATGTACAAGCCAAAGATACCAAGCATGGAAAGATTGTTGGAAAATACTGCTTGACCAGTGGGAATAGTGAATACTTTATCAACTTGAAGGTTGCCCCCTCTCCATATACAATCCCAATCATTGATATTGATTGTAACGAATTGGGAGAAACTCAATTTGGAGTTAATATTGAGAAGTTAGATCAAAACAACCATGTGGAACAACTATCCTTCTCAAAATTTGATTTGGTTTTTCCCAAATCTGAACATTCCCTCCAAACACTTTTAAATAACAAAGCTTTACCATGTAAAGCAGCGTTAAAGTGGATTTTACAACTAATCCAAGGAGTTCAATTCTTACACAAGCAAGGATTTGTTCACAGAAATATCAAACCATTCCATGTGCATGTTTATAAGGACCCAGTCACAGGAGATAAAAGTGTGAAATTGGGAGCAACTTGGGGAGCATGTCCTATTGGTTATAAAGGAGAAGTTTATGGTTCAAGTGAAATACAAGCTCCAGAGATTAGCCAGCACGATGATGAAGAAGATTTCGAATACTGGCCAAGTTTAGATATTTATTTACTTGGTTGCACCCTTGCTGAATTAATGAATATTGTCATACTTACAGAACATGAATTGGAGCTTGTTAATGCTTTCATTAACAGAATGAAACATGAAAATCCTATGGAGAGACCTGATATTGATGAATGCTATGAATTTTTCCATGATTTATTTCAATCCATGTTGTTCCCATTTTCAAACAAATTTTCAGATTGTGTATTCAAATCATCTCAATAAATGTTCATTCATTCATCATCATCTTCATTCTCTTCAGATTTAACTCGAGTCAAACGTTTGAGAGATTTCTTCAATTTTTGCAATTCTGTTGCCTCAACATACATTCCAATTGTAAATTCTTCCAATCTTCCAAAAGATTCATTCTTTCCCAAAGTAGTCAAGAAACTTTTGACTTTTCCTTGTAAGTACATAATGTACAAACTCTTCAAATTTGGAAAGTGAGTAGATTTTGGAAGTAATAGATTATCCTTGCTTTCAATTTGAAAACCCAAGTGTAAATGTTCCAATTTTGTAAATTTGTCACTTGCACAAAATTCCTTAAATCCAATTTCTGAGTGATTAAATTCTTGGTAGTTAATTTTGAAAGATTTCAAGTTTTCAAATTGGCTTTCTGCTAATAGTTTGAAAACTGAAGATTCTTCATCGATTCCCATATCAATTTTACATTCCAATTCAGTTAATCCTTTCCAGGAAGGATTAGAACAAACTTGTTTGAAACATTCATGTGAAATATCAATTAATACGAGAGATTTGATATTGGAAATACTTTCATTCTTCAATAGAGCATCCAAACTTTGCATTGTACTACTAAATTTCAATCTAATACTTTCCAATTTTGGAAAATCAGATTTAACAAATTCACAAATAAGGCGATCAAAATCTTCCTCTTCTGGAACTTCCTCTTCCACATCCATGAAATATTCATTATTACAAATTTCAAGAGTTTTCAATTGTGGACATGAAACTTTTCTTTTGATAAATGGAATGCAGAGTGATGTTGGTCCATGCATGTTTAGTTTAAAAGTTTCCAATGTTGGAATTGACATAGTTTCGTATATTTGATCTGCTTTCAATGATTTTTTGGTTGAACTAACAGTTGCAATGTAAAGAGATTTGAGGTTTGTTAAGGATTTGAGTGGTGAGAGATCAGAACCTGAAAATGTAATTTGTAATTCTTCTAAATTAGGAAAATTGTTTACAATTTCTTGGCAAGATTTGATTGGTGAATGAAGAGTAAGAGATTTCAGAGTTGGGATTTCACAGCTGAATTCGAAAGATGCTTGTCGTCCTTCTATAACAAGTTTCTTCAATTCTGAAAACTTGGGAATCGTCAACTTTCCAGAAACTGGAAACGAAAGTTCAATTACTTTTGGACAATTTTCCATCAATGTCTTTGCCTCCTTTGCATTGATTCCATTAATAATCTTAATAATTCTAAACTGTTCACAATTTCTATTCGAATTTAACCAACCATTAAATTTGTTTCGAATATCTTCATCTAATTCTTCACTTTCAAACTCCGATTCTTCAAATTCTTCTTCTTCACCTGGGGATGATAAAACTAAACTTCCCAATGTCAATGTGTGTAATTGTTCAACTCCAGAACGAAATTGCTTGCAAGTTGTCATTAATTCGAAAGGTTCGAAATTTGACAGGTAGGAAAAGATGTTTACCATGCAATCATCACCAATTTGATGAAGATTAGTTTTGACAGCTTCAACTTTACGTTTCTTGGTTTGTGGAGCCATGTGTTTAGGTTGTGGTGATTTTTTTTTATTCGAAACTATATCTTCAACCCAATTTCTTTGGATTTAGGTTGTACCTTACGTTTTAACTACATTTCCATTCTTGAATACTTCTCTCGAACTTCCCTAAACTCCACCAATGAAAAGAAATTATAAACGAAAATAGAAAAATTATTGTAAACAATTTAAAATAATAAAAAATTAAAAAAAAAATGAATGCACAAGATGAGATCGAATCGATACAGTTGCACGACGTTCACCTCTCTAATCGTCTCCATTTGAAATTAAAAATTCTTCCGAAATATGAAGATGTTTTACCTGATCAAATGTTGGACAATTTATTTTCAAATCATGATGATCAATTCAAAGATGAAAAAGTCAAGAAAATTGTTAATTTAGGGGGAAAAGCTTGTTTTCTTTATTATTATGGTCAATTTGAAAAGATTGGAGTGATTTTTATTGGATATATGGATGGTTCTATTGAGATGGTTTCAATGCTTAAAACACAAGAGGAAAGAGAAGATGTACAATCTCAACAACCTAAGAGATTTTCTTTTGTAGATAAATCAAGGAAGAGACAGCGTTGTCATCAAGCACAAATTACTGGAATTTTGTGTTTTTCTGTAGTGAGTGGAATGTCACTATTAATGACATCATGTGCAGATGGATTTGTAAAGTTTTGGTTTCTTGATACTGATAAGGTTGATGATGAGATACAACCATGTTTGAAATTATTTGACATTGGACATGAATATAATTTGGAATCAAGTGTTGTATCTTTGAAATTTGTTTACAATGAGGTTTATTATTCAAGTTGTGCAACGAAGGAAGATTTTTCTCTTTGGAGAGTCTTTCATGTAGTAGCTGTTTGTAGGAATGGAAATATTTATAGATGGGATCCAGCATTGATTCCTAAAGTTATCATGACAGAAGTTTCTCGATATGAGGTGCAAAATATATTCACACTCTTAACAGAGGAATATGTTGAATCACCAGAATTAATTAGTGAAATTAAGGGCGGTAATGTGGAGGTTGTTTGTGCTACCTTATCTCAGAAAATTACAACAACTGCGCAAGCATATATTGTTTGTGGTCTGTCAAACGGGATGATAGTATCTGTATCATTGTCATTTAAAGATCCAGATGAGGAGAGTAAAACTATTGAGGAGGATTACAGATTGACTAATATATCATTCATTTCTGACACTTTTTTACAAAGCAATCCACCAACAAAAATAGTTGAAATCTATCCATTCTCTCCTAACAACGGCTTTCATATTCTCTCCCGTAACAAGGTCTTTAATTTTAATCCAAAATCTAAGGGTATTTTTCTATATTTTAGAGAAGACAATTCAGATTTAATTACAATTTGTGAATATTTATACTTTACAAATGGAAGAGAGCTTGGAGAGAATGTCACCATCCCAGTTGACTATGTTTCACAACAATTTACTGTTAGAGATTTGTGTTGGATTGCCAGAGGTAGTTTAATGTGTGTGAGCAGTGAAGAAGGTAATTTACTACTCTACCATAAGGAGCAAGAAAATTGGTACGAGCTGGTTTGTTTAGAACATACTCTTCTGAAATATACCTCATTTTCAATAATCAATCATTGTGCTCTGAGTGATGTGTTTATTATTGCACAGAATTGAGGTTTAGAATGCATACTGAAATGGTATTCCTAATCAAATGGGTTTATGCTCTAGTTACAATTAACCGACCTAAAATGAACTACTTATAAGAACCACCTGAAGATGCAAGAAGACGTGTTAATCTAACATCTGATTCAAATACTTTCTCATAGACCTGTAAAGAATCCAATAATCTTTCCACTAGCTCATCAGGGGAGAGTCTGTCCACTTCTGGTTCAATAAATACAGGATTTTGAAATTGTCTCATATAAGCATCCATATCAATATTGCTATGTCTTGGTTCGACATCCTCTTCTTGATCGACTAATATCTCATCGTTTGAATCATAAACAATATCCACTGGAGTAGATGTTTGAACCTCGATTGATCTTCCTTTTCCACATTCTTCAAAAATTAAAGGTTGAGTCTGACAAGAAGTGGAACATTGTTTGGATTTCAACTTTGAAACAATTTCCAGACCTTGCGGTTTGCATTCCTTGTATTGTTTGATTTCTTCTTTAATTTTCTCCTTCTTATATCTCCTCTCTTTTTCAATTTCAGAATGTGATTTAGCTTTGATAGTACTGATAATGTTGAAGGGATCAACTTCACTGGAAGCTATCTTTGATTTGTTTCGTTTGTAGGATGAAGCTAATTTGTCATTTTTAGAATTTTTAAGGCTCAAGAACACTTGTTTCTTAATTTCTTCCTTTTTCTTTCTAACTTCTTCCAATAAAACTGAAGTTTCAGAATCATTTTCTATACTTAGTAAACTGGCCGAGGAAATATCAGAGCTTACTGAACTTGTTTCATTTGATGTTATTTTACTCTTACTTCTACTTTCTCTTCCATAATCCGAACTTGTTCTCAGTGAACTAATACTTGATGTAGATTGTCTCAATGAAGGTTTGGACTTCCTTTGATTTTTCCTTTTGTCTCTTATTTGCACGTCTTTTCTCGGGTATTTCAGTTTGTTCCTCCTCTCGTACATGTTTTTTTGAAAAATATGAAATCTTTTCAATTTCAGAAGAACCTGTCACTGAAGGAGATGATATCATTTCTATAGAGAATGAGTTATAGTTAGGGTCGATCTGTATGTTTCGTTCCTTAGGTTTAGAAAAATGGAGCTCTATTTCTTTTGCATTGTCTTTTTTGATTAGTTCATCGCTGAAAATGGCTGTTGAAGGATTGAATGATGCATGTTCATGGATATCTTCTATATTATCCAATGAATTTTCACTTGATGAATCAACAATAATTGAAGATTCTGAATTAGTCCCTTCAGACAATTCGGAATTGTTAATCACAACCTTATTTGATTCCGAGTTATGATATGTCTCATACTCAACTGGATTGAAATATCTTTGTTTGGATTCTAAAGTTATGACTATAGGATCCAAATTACTGTTGTCTAGAGAAGAGGACTCACTATCATTTCTTTTAAGTTGACTGGAAAATGGATGGAGAGAAGATCTGTCACTCTTAATGCTATATTCACTGTACACTACGGAAGGTGAAGAAGCAATTGTTTCTGAAAGTGTATCCTGGTGAGGAGAAGTTGGCGCTTCTGTTTTAATGTTTTCGGAAGATGAGGTTTCTTCTAAATTTACAGGGATAGGAGCCTCAACAAGAACCTCTTTTTTTTCGGGTGAGGCCTTTTCCTTTCTTTCTTTTGAAGGGAATTGAGGAAGCATTCTATTTGATATTGACTTTTCGCTTGATGATATAGTAGGTTTTGATTCAGTTGGTTCTCTTGTGTCATAAGTTGTGTCAATCGGTTTAGATGGAACCTCTTCTTTAGCTTTACGGGCACTTGATATCAGTTGTAGGGCATTCTCAATAATTTTTCTTCTCTCAATATCTGCTTCTGTCAACCGTGGTTCAATGCTGGATATATCATTATATGTACAATCAACATGTTTGGGTATTGGAAATGAAAAATCCCTTATTTCAGACTTCCCCTTCAAATATTCCTTATTATTTTCAACTGGTTTTGCTGGTGCTGACCAAAGAGACCACACAGAACTGTTTGTACTCTCAGATTCTTCGTCCATAAATGCATTAAGTGGACTGTCTTTCTTAATTTTGTGAAGGTTCCTTCTTCTTAGTTCCCTAGCCAACTCCTGTGCTGCTTCTTTCAGCTTTTTCTTTCTTTCGTGGTCAACTGCAAGTTTTGATCTCACTTTTTTCCCAAAATCTTTCACTCTTTTTCTACTGTCTGTGTTTTCATTTCCTTCAAGTTGTTCTTTAAGAAATTGAGGCATTTCTGGCTTCTTTTTCTTTGACTTTTCGTCTTCAGGAGGTGGAGGAGGGTTTGTGAACAATTCATGAATGTATTCATCTAGTCTCTTTAGAGCATCCTTTTTTCCAATTTTCTTTTGAATTTCCTCTTGCTTTTTTTGTTCAGCTAGCTTTTTGTCATTAACTTGCTTTTGCTTCATAAACTCTTTCACTTTTTCCTCATCATATGGTTTTTTCCTCATGTTATTATTTCGAGGAGGTCTCATTCTAAGTTTTTCCTTCTCCTTTCTTCTCTTCTCCTTCATATATTCTCTAATTTCATTTTCATCATAGAACTTTTGTCTATTCTCGTAATATGGCTTGTAGATGTATTCTTCTACAGTAGTGAATGGTTTCTTTTTCTCTGTGCTTGAAGGTCTGCTTGATGGTTTCTTTTTCTCAGCAGTCTTTTCTGAGTTTTGAGTGGTAGGTCTTGAGGCTGATTTTGGTCTTTCTCTTACTATACTTTTTAGTTCCTGAGGAGGTGATGATGTGTTAATTACATTAGTTTGTTGATTGTTTTCTTGGTTGAGTTGGGGTTGTTCACATACTTGTTCGGTAGCTTGTGGTTCTTGAAGCATTTCTGGATTTGTTTCCTCATTACTTTCTTGAGGAGCTTGGGTATCACTTTCATAAGATCCATAAGGATCAAAATCTTCAAATTGTGAATCGTCTTCCTGTGTTTCCTCTTGGTTTTTCATTTCTGTTGGAGTGTTTCCCTCGCAATGTTGCTCCTCTTCTGTTGCTTGTGCTACTTCGACTATTTGTTCTTCGTAAGGATTTTCCTCATTCTGCTGTTCCTCCTCTTCATAATTTTCAAAATGCTCCTCCTCTGCATAATGTTCCTCTTCATTGGGTTGTTCTTCGTACGACTGATATGTTTCTTGAGGATGTTCCTCTTCTGTACCAGGATGATACATTTCCTCCTCATAGGGATTATTCTCTGGATGGTCATCGTACACATCACCTCCAAAATTATGTTCATAATCATCATGATGATCATCTCCTACATCCCCTGCATAATGTTGCTCTTCCTCGTCATGATGAAAATCATTGTCATAGAAATCCTCTCCTAAATCCTCAAGTGAATCATCCATTAGTTTTTTATTTTAAATTATTATTATGAAATTGGCGCGGAAACTTGCTACATTTTTGGCGGCAAAACGACAATAAAAAATATGAAAACAAACTCTTCAATTTAACGGAATATGGAGGATGTGAAAAGAATTAGAGAAGAAAATAGGAAAAAATTTAAAGATTATTTGATTGTGGAAAAGTTATTGAAAAATTATTCGGAATACTTTAACAAGAATGATCTGCTGAAAAGATGGATGTTCATTCGTGCTAGTCACAGGTTGGAAGAAAGAAGAAGAAAATTGAGAGTTGAAAAAATTAGAACATTGATGAAGATACAACTCTCCCATCACATGAAATCGAGCACTAAAAAATTGAAAAAATTATTTAAAATTATTCCAGAAGAATTTGAAAGTTTATTTCAACAAAAGTTGACTTTTTGCATTTCAAATATAGAAAAGTATTTTAAAAAAACTGAAAATGAATTTATTGTACTGAGTTCTTCAACATTTAAGGATACATTGCAAGAATCAAATAAGAATCAAGCCATTATTCCAATAGTTAGGACAATATTAGCTCTATCGAAATGGGATGGAATAGATCTTTTGCCCCATCGATTTTTGGACTTTTTTAAAGATCTTTCCCATAGATACTCACCTAATGAAAGAATCAGAGCCCTCTACATGATAGCAAAAACTGGAACAAAAAAGAAGGAAGTAGAGCATTTAGATGAGCTAGTAGAAATATTTAGGAATAATTTCTCAGTCCTAAATATTTTGGAAAGAAAACTCATTTCATGGACTGGAAATAATGATTTTTGCTCATCATATATTGCATGTGCACACTTTATGAAGAATATTCTGGCTTCAAGTACTGTAAGGGGAGGTACCATTGGAATCAAAGCAAAAAAGATGCAACATTTCTATGAGGTTTTGGAAACAGTTGCTAAAGAAATTCAACAACGAACCAAACTCAAACTTTTGGACAAGTATGATGGTAATATAACCAAAGACCTAATGAAGCAACAAGCAATAGAAATGTTAGATGAATATGATGGAATTCATCACTCTCTCTTCAGCTTATTCTCCCCTTTCATTCATGAATTAATGCGTATTATTACAATGAGATCTTTTTTCAAAAAATTGTTGCTAGCAAAGAAACAAAAAACCTTACAAAATCTAATTACAGAATATTACAGTAGGATGAATCGAATAAATAGCAATTTCCATTAATATTACATTTGCGTACAGTACTATCTCATAACCACTAATAATGGGTTCTGAACAAGCTTCATAACCGTTACATATTTCGTCAGCTTTCTTCAATACCTAAAAAAAAAGATCCTTGATGAATCAAACACCCACAAGAAACCAAACTCCAAACAAGCCCCGTCCTTCCCCACTCTCTAATTTTTCAACAACAACACCTAATAATTCTTCTTCTACATACAATGATGATGAAGATTCAGAATTGAAAAGACACTCACGACAATATAATCACGATTTTTCCCAGCATTTATTTCATAGAATTTGTATCGGAGATGATGGGTTTGATTCAACCTATCCATCACACATTCTAAATGAAAAGGAAGTAACTATGAAGGATTATCAGTTATTCATAACCCAATTGAATGGAATTTACTTTTTACAAATTTCGAATAGGACAAAGGCTATCATTCTGGCATGTTGGATTATTGTTTCATTGATAGCTCTCATTATTAATTTATCTATTGGATTAAGTAATATTTCTAACATTTCAAATTGTGTCAAACAAACACATTCAGTGGAGCAACAACTCAGGTCAATTATGATTTTTGAAACAAGTGTAATAACTGCAAACACAACATGTACAGATTTAACCTTACCCTATATTCTAACTTTTCTTCCTGCTGTTGGAAGTTCTATAGCTATTTTATTGATTTTATTTTTCATTATTGGAATTATTTATCTCGTTCACCTTAATATCAGACATTCTAAATTGTCTTCATTTATTGAAAAGAATAGATTTCATTTCCTTAAAATTGGGATTGAATTGAATATTATCAGTTTAAGAATGTTCAATTTTCTTCCAAAGGGCATTTGTATTGAAATGCTGAAAATTACAAATGAAAGAGAGGACAGTCTACTTCGAATGTTTAAGGACGATAATGAAATGAAAAAGAACTTTTCCAAGAGGTTTAGTAGAAATGTTCTTTCACCAACAAATAGAGTTTCTATTGACTATTCGAATTTATATAATGATCACCACCAAGCAGTGAATAACCATCATTCACCATATTATACCTCAACATCTCCAAAATCAAATTATACAAGATTAGATTGAATCCGATTTTGAAACTAGGCATTTTAATATAATTGACAAATAAGTAATGTGATAACTATTATAGAAATTACCGTAACTATGAATAAGGAATATCAACTTTAAATTAAAATATATATTTATTTACAGTTATTTACAATATTTATGTATCTACAAGCTTTGAGATTTTCTATAATAATCTAAAAATCCAGAAAGTGATTTTTCAAAAAGGTCATTCCATCTATTAGAAACCAATCCCTTAACTAAGAAAATTGGCATTCCATGGAAAACTTCAACATTGGTAACTTCCAATTTTTCAGAATCTAAACATTCAAACGACCAAAGGTGGCATGCTGCAATTCCTCCTTCCTCTTTGTTCCACATAATTTTTGCATGATTTTCTGATATTTCATTCACTGCAACCTGCTCATTGGAAACTTGTTGGCCAACAGGGAAACCCAAATTGAGAGTTTGTGTAAATTTTGTACCAACTGAAAGAGTTTTAGAATTGTCATCTGAATATTGAGCACTGGCATGCAATGGAACTGACCATTCTTTCCACAAATCCAATCTCTGGAATAATTTGTAAAGTTCTTGCATTGTCTGTTGTGAATTAGTACATGGAAGAATTGCAGAGCTGCCAACAATTTGAGTTTTCATTGAAGGTTCTTTCAATTTCAATATCTCTAAAGCATATTTGACTTGTTTGTGATCCTTGGTTACTCTTCTAATCATTGTTATTATTTGTTTTTGTTGAATTTGAAATTTTAATAAACGTGTTCAATGCCTATTTATTCAGTTCAGAAATTTGTGCGTTTGAGAGTCGCATCAATGCATTCTTGGTTTATTGTGACCGCTCAAATTGGCGCATACTTTTTTTCGATATCGAAACTGTAAAGAACCATTGTACAATGGTTCAAATAATTGAAAGATTGTATCTTAAGATATTAATGATACTGCAATATTTACTAGAGGCTAAAAATTAAATATTAGTAGTAACCATCAATTAGAATACAAAATGGTTATTGAAGGAAGGGCACCTAGGGTGATGACCGGAGTTCTTGTAAGCCTACAGTCACACACATTAATCTCTTTGATGGATTCTCTCTTGTTGGAAAGTTGTTCTTCTTGTATTTCGAAGGTAGATTTTTTGTAACCACAAAAAAATGAAGACTCGAAACATGCGCCCTGCCGCACTGGTGGCGTGCAGTCTTGCTCTTTTACTTGTTGCTTGTGTTTTTGGTCAACAAGTAATTCCAATCACTGATATTGGTATTTCCCTCCACGGCACTGTGGAAAAGGACCAATGGATTTATTACTCTGTTGATCCAAGCAAATTTGAATTTGGACAAAATGATACTGGTTATGCTACATTTATGCTCACATCATTGAGTGGTGACTCTGATCTTCACGTTAGTATCACTGGTGTACCAAATGGTATTCCTTGCACTAATTGTATATTCTCTGCCGATACTCCTTTCAGTGATACACAAACTGTTGACAAGAGTGATAACACAAAATGGCCAGCTCCTGGTGGTATTTTCTACATTGGTGTTCATGGTTTTAGTGTTGCTGAATTTGTTTTTAACGTTTGGTCAAGCAACAGTAAGTTGATACAATTTTTAAAAAACATATTATTTAACAATATATTGTGATGATGAATATTATTATTTATTATTATTATTGTAATTTTCAGAGTTTGTTCACCTTACCGACGGAACTCCACAACAAGCCAAGGCTCTCAGAGGAACCTACACATACTTTAGACTTGAACTTCCTCACCTCTTGGCAACTAATCTTTCTATTTCAGTCACTCCAATTGATGGAGATCCTGATATTTTTGTTTCTTCACAAACACAATATCCAACTTCAAATAATTATGAATGGAGTTCTAGGAGCTATGGATTTGACATTGTCAACATTCAACATGACACTCAAATGAATCCAGGTCTTGTTTATTGGATTGGTGTTTATGCTTACAATGATGTTCACTTTACCATTGTTGCTAGACAATCCGAAACTGCAGTCCGTCTTCCTGAAGGACATGCTGTTGGTGATTTGATTGAAGCTGATCAAATGGAATATTATGTTTACAATAATCTTCAATTCCAACGTCTTTTGATAAGTCTTATTCCTTTGACTTCAAGAGGTGATCCAGATCTTTACATCAAATTCGGTTCCGTTCCAACTTTGACCGATTATGATTATTCCCAAAGATCTATGGGTAATGATGCTTTTGAAATTGAAAAGGCCTCATCTCAATTGGGTTATTATTATATTGGTGTTCATGGTTATGCCAGAGATACCAAATATAGAATTCTTGTCACCACAGAAGAAGCTAACACTGTTTGTGCTGATGGTGTTTCTTATGCTGGTCGCCTTCTTACTAATGAACTCAATTACTACAAATTCTCTCATGCTGACACTGAAAGTCGTGTTACTGTTACAGTTAAGGTCTACTCTGGTGCTGTCACTTTATACTATGCTTCTCATTCAAGACCAACACCTCAAAAGTATGATAGAATGGAAGTTTTGCAAGCTGGTGAACAAACCATTAATATGATGCTTCCTGCTATTGTTCAAGATTATTTCTTTGCAGTTCATGGTGTTTCTAATGCTGATTACTCAATTATTATTTCTACCAATCAAGTCCCTAGTCCTTTGGTTGATGGTTATGCCATTTACTGGGCTAGAGTTCCTAAAAATTATTATAGACATTTCTACTTTGAAGCTGATGATTTTGATACTAGTGATGTTTCTATTACTGTCGATCCAAGACTTGGTGATGTTGATCTCTATGTTAGTACTGAAGATTATTTCCCAACCAAAGATAACTACACTTGGTCCAGCAACAGCTACAGCAAGGATACTGTACATATCGCTGCCAATGATCCTCTTGCAAAGGGTAAGAAATTGTTCCGTATTTCAGTCTTTGGTTTCCAAGAATCTAATTTCTTTACCATTATTGCCATGCAAACCAATACCACTGTTATTTTGTTAGACGATGTCAGCACTCCTGGTACTGTTACCAGAAGAGATTATATTACCTACAAATACAATGTTGAAGGTACCTCCAACCTTAGAGTTTCAGTTCAACCAACCTCTGAAGGTTCAGTTACTGTTTTCTGGAGTAGAACCAATCCAAAGCCAAACATGTTCCACAATGATGGTACATCAGATGACTTTGGTGGTAGTGTTTTTGAAATTAATTATGCTTATAAGGGTCCTTTATATATTAGTGTTTATGGTAAATCTGGTGCTCTTGTTTCATATGTTATTAATGTCAGGACAAACTATCAACATATTTATTCCAATGGACAATCATACCTTATTGAAGCTGATCAAAGTGAATATACTCAGTTCAGACTTTATGTGGGTTCCCATGTCAAGAACCTCGTTATTTCAGCTACTCTTGTCTCTGGTTTCACTAAGATGTATATTTCAAATGATGGCCAACCTGCCAACGCTACTCATTACACTTGGGTCAACTCTGAATGGCCAGGTAACGCTTTCATCATTCAAAATACTAACCCAGATTTCAAGCCTGGCAACTGGTTCATTGGTGTTTATGGCGTAGTTGCATCTACATTCTATATTTCTGCCTCATCATATCCATATTATGCTTGGTTGGCTGAAGGTGTTCCAATGTTGGGTAAGGCTCCAGCTGATGGTACCCCAATGGTTTATGCTTATTGGTTGCCATACGTAGCAGATGACAAGAAGTCAGATTATGCCCTTCATATTAGAGCTATTGCTGGTCCAGTTGATGTATACGTCATTCAAGATTACAATGTTATTCCATCAAAAACTAACTTTACATTCTTCTCATCAGGCGACTCTGATAGAACTCTTTATCTTCCAAAGACCTCACTCAAATTTAGTTCTTCTCTTTATATTGGTGTTTATGGTAGAGCCGACTTTGGTGTTCCAACATTCCAACTTACTATGGGTACTTCTGATTCTCCTAAATTCCTTGGACAAGATCAACCTCAATCTATCATCCTTCCTCCAAAGACCTATTCTTACTATCAAGTTATGAATAGATATGCTAAAAGCAAGGTATCTGTTTTCACTGAATCTTGTAACAATTCTCCAGCACCAAAGGTTTACCTTTCTGCTCTTGAAGAAAAACCACAAGCTGATTCATCTGATGCTGTTGCCTCAGTTGCTTTAACTGATTATCCTAGAAGTCTTGTTCAATCTGTTTCTGTTGACTCTCTTGCTGAACAAAAGTTCTATCTTGGTGTTGGTAATTTGGATTATGCATCTGATTCATCAATCTATGTCACAACTGGTGATGATGCTAGACCATCTCTCATTAAGAACGTTCTTGAAGGTGCTAATATGGATAATTCAATGACTGTTATGATTGTTCCTACTGCCAAAGCATCCTCCAGAGAAATGCCAGGAAACTTCTTGACATACAATGTTTACATCACTGAAATTGCTAAAGATCAAAACTTTGGTGTTGTTAACATGCACACTACTTGTGGTATCAAGCGTAGTGGTTTGTTGGTCACTTCTGTTGTTGGTAACCCTGCATCTCAAAACATCCAAATCAAATTCAGCGTTGATAAGAGTAGAAAGTACATTGTTAACGTTTTAGCTCAAGATAATATCGGTCTTTCAATTCCTTACACTCCATCTTATATTGTTAATGGTGTTGTTATTGCTGAAAATACATCAGATGGAGGTTCTGTTGCTGCTGCTGTCATCTTCTCACTTTTGGCTGTATTCCTTGTTTTAGGTATTGCTGGCTACATTGGTGGAGGTATTGCTTACAAGCATCGTCAAGGTCACAGAGGTATTGAAATGATTCCTAACATTGATTTGTGGAGAAAGATCTTCACTTGTGGTAGATATGGTAGCTCTTACTCTACATTTGATGATGACAGAGTCAACACTTCTGGTTTCGGTAGCACTAATAACTCTTCAAGAGGTGAGGCTCAACCAATCAACAGCTCTGGTTATGGATCTATTTAAGTCTCTTTAGCGAGAAAACACATTAATTTATTTAATAAAAATATTTATTCATTCATCAATCTATGTCACAACTGGTGATGATGTTGAAATTTATATGATTTGACATCTGTTTCTAGTTAATGTTTGAATAAGGTAACCTTTGTTTGAACTCTTATTCTCATGGAGAAATTACCCAGAGAAACTGAAATAATTTAGAAAGTGAATTAAAGAAGGAAAGGATGAGAACAATAAGAAACAGAGAACACTTAAATAATTTCTTAAGTTATGAAGCCAAATTTCAAGAGAAAGGGAAGTCCAAATTTGGAAAACAAATAATAACAAGCCAGAATTAATGACTAATCTTATTTATTGGTTTTACAACCCAAATCCATTTACATACAATAGAGAAAAAACAATGACCATCAACCACGTTGAATGATGTGATGATTGATGAATCACCCAATCTTTGACTCTCGAGAACTTTTGGTGAAGTTGAACATTCACTTCCTGACCATCCACCCACACAAGCACAGTTATTTGGTGAGAAACAACTGCCGTGTCCAGAACAAACAGATACACTTGTGGAGATAGTTCCATAACAATCAAATTGGTTACACTCTTTTCCATAGTAGTTATTTGCACATAAACAATTATTTGGTGATAAACAACTGCCGTGTCCAGAACAAACTGATGTGTTTGTGGAGATTGTTCCATAACAATCAAATTGGCTACAGTCATTTCCGTAGTGATTATTTACACATGAACAATTATTTGGTGAGAGACAGCTACCATTCAAACTTCCACCACATGCATTATTGTCAATCAATCCAAAACAAATTGGTGTTCCACATTCTTTACCCGTGTATTCATTTGAGCAGGTGCAATTGTTGAAAGAGGAACAATTGCCTTTGAATGGACCATTACAGGCATCACTTCCATTCAATCCAAAGCAAATAGGCTTCTCACATTCAATTCCAAACCATCCACTTGTGCATGAACAGGTATTTACATCACTACATAATCCATTTCCAGAACAGGCAGCAGTTGAGGTTTTGTTGAAACAAAATGGAAGACAAGTTTGGAAATCATCTTGCATTTCATAACCATCTGGACATCCAATCTTTCTTACAACTCTTCCATTTCCATTACTCATATGAATTACACCAATGGCATTTGTCAAAGGTGAAACTGAAATTCCAACAATATCACCAAATGTTGCATTACTCAATAATCCATCTTCCATTGAGGTCGATCCAGATTTTCCAGTCACTAACTTTAACACATTTTCCTTCTCATCAAATCTATAAATTTCATTGTCTCTCACCAAAATAATGGTTCCAAACTTGGTACATTGTATAGTATAACTTTCAATGGATAAACCATCCAATTGTTTTCTCAACATTCCATCTGGTGTTAACTTGAAAAAGTATGAATTAATAAGCAAGTAAACATTATCATCATTTGGACATGTGGTGAAATCATTAAATTCCATAAGTGGAAAGTCAGTTGCTTTGGTAATATTTGGATAAACATAATAAGGATTGTACAAGCCATTGCCAACTATTGTTGAAACTATTCCATTAGCATCAATCTTTCTCACTCTGCTATATTCATAATCATAAATCATCATTTCTCCGCTATTATAATTCACATTAACACCATATGGAGTAAATTGAGTTTTAGTATAGTGAACATTTTCCACCAGTTGACCAATAATAGTGGAAACAGTTCTTACATCCATATCCACAATTCTCACTCTTTTACCATCGAGGAAGTATAAATTTCCATCAATGGATGAAATTCTTGCTGCTGCAACTGTAGCAAGGGTGTTTTCTTCAGAAAGTTCTTTGTTATCCCCACTTACAACAGAACTTCTGGTTGTCTTTCTTTCAACTGAATTACCTGTTAATGATATCTCTATTAATTCATTATCGTAAACTGTGAAAATCATGCCATTGTAGTAACTCAAATAGTATGGATAGCCTATTGAGGCAGTTGAGAGATTACCATTTTGGTAATTGGTGTTTTGGTATTGACCAGCCACAGTAGAAACGACTCCATTAGAAATCTTTCGAATAACACAATTGAAAGTATCTGAAACATATAGATCTCCATTGGTAGTATCTATATCAAGACCATTGGGAAAGTAAAAACGTGCAGTCTGAATTGGACCATCTTGATATCCACTTATCGTTCCTCCAGAAAAGGTTGAAACTATTTGAGATGTGAAATTGTAAACTCTGATTCTATGATTATAAGCATCAACAAAATATAGTTGACCATCAAGTGCATTAAATGTCAAACCTAGAGGGTAATTTAATTGAACATCCGTGCCAATACCACTTTCATAGTTATTGGAAGTTGAAGAACCTGTTCCAATAATTCTGGTTGATTTTTCTAAAGAATCAACTCTATAGATAGAGGTTCTATCTGAGAAGTAAACATTAGAATTTGAATCTATTTCAATTGACTGTGGATTTCCATTGTATAGACTATTACCTGAACTGTCAGCTGTTATGTGAATAGTTGAAATTATTCCATTTTGTGAAATCTTTCTAATTCTGTCCAAACTTAACAAGTAAATTTCACTTGTTTTCTTATCAAATTTGATGTCAATATAGTTTGATGAGGTAATTGCTTGCTCAAACGGGACATTATCAACTCCAAAGTAATCTGGAGCAAATAAAAGTCTTGTTCCATTGGTTAAATACTTGTACATTACTCTATCACCAATGATATAGATATTGTTCTGATTATCAGCATATTCTATTTGATACTTGTTACTTCCAGAAAGACCTGTGTTAAACAGGAAAGTTGTCAATCCATCTTTAAATTTGACAACTTGTTGGTAACTTGAAACCACAAATGAATCCTCATTCAATGAATAAGCCAGGCTGTTTCCTTTGACAAATGATTGTCCATAGGTTGTTCCTGAAATAGTGTATGGATCTGGTGAACCTGCTATAATTGTTGTCCATGCTTGTTGATTTTGTAGATCTACCTTTCTAATAACTCGATTATCAAGATCGGCAATCAATAATTGATCCAATTGTGGTAGATATTGAATTTGGTAGGGTCTTACATACACATCCTTTCCATTTTGTGGAAGATATGTTCTTTCATATGAATTGATATCGTTTCCCAAAAGTGTTGAAACCTGATTAGAATTCATATTCAACACTCTGACACGTTGATTATTCAGATCTGAAATGAACAACTCTTGTGTCGAGTCTTTGAATGAAAGAGAGGGAATATAGTAAAACAGAGCTTGAGTTGCATTTCCATCTCTATATCCATTATTATAATTATTGCCATCTCCTGCAATTACACTCATCACTCCATTACTCAACAATTTAACAATATTATTATAGGCTGACAAGTAAATATCACCATTTGATGGATTAATAACCAATCCATTCATATTTTGATAGTAAGCAATGGTTGAAACAGTCGAGTTGACTTGTGAAATTAATCTCACTTTTTCTCCATCAGCAAGATAAATGTCCTTGTTGGGACCGTGGACAAATAATTGTCTTGGCCCAACGAAAGTTGAACTATTCAAACTACGATCATCATATCCACTAGTTCGGGGAATACCAGCAATATCAAAAATCTTTCCATTCACATCAATTTTTCTAACCAAATAATTATTCGAATCTGTGAAATATAAATCACCATTACTATCATCAAGAAAGAGAGAAAAAGGAGAGTCAATCTTTGCTTTCAAAGCATCTCCATTATGATCAGTGTTATAACCTGTATTACCATAAATACCTGCTATAGTCTGAAGAGTTCCATCTTTTCTAACCTTTCGAATAACTTCATTGGTACAAAAGTAAAATTCAGAACCATCCCTTGATGAGGCAACACATGAAACACTTCCAATATAATTACCCAAAACAGAGGTAAAATCATTATTTGTATTGGTACTATTAGTGAGAGTGGTCACTGTAGGAAGTATTGGATTCAATGCATGTGTCAGTTGACAAAATAATCCAATAACCAAAAATAAAAGAAATTGAACGGTAGATTGGTTCATCTTTGCAATATTTTTTTTTTGAACTGGTAGCCAATTTAACTGTCTGCGTGAATGGAAAATGAACTTGATAGTAGGTAGGCCACAGGTTGCTATTCCTGGCTCTAATGGGCATGATTGACAAGTGACTTATTCACAAAGATGATGCACTTTTGTTTCATTGTATTAAACAATGTCTTGTAATGGTGAATTAGTTATTTTCAGATTTTATTTTCAAACAGTTTAATTCACTCTGTGTTTCGTCAAGAACTTTTTGGGTTTTTGAGACTTGTTTTTCATTGGTCCACCACAAAAGTGTCCTTACAATACAAACTGTAAATTCAAACTTGCATTACAACCATTCCAATGAATCTATTTTAAACTCTCAGCCAATCAGCACAGCCTTGTTTCGTGTATTTTCAACAGCTTAAAATTCCCGCGATTCTCAAAGGCTAAAAAATCAAATCTTAAAAAAAAACAACGAAAAAGTTCCGCAAGGTTACGCAAGTACTCGACTCTCTGTAAAAACAACAACACATAGACGGTTACCCTATGCTAAAAATCCCACAACCACAACAAGAATATAACAACCAAGGAGTAGCATTAGAACAACACCCACCTAATAATCGTACAAATAGTTTAAGTAGTCAAAATGTCGGAATTAAGTTTTTGCAAACAAGTAACAAGACCTTAGTTGAGGTTTGTATTTGAACATGTTATGTAATTTCTTAAACACTGTTGGTGCTATAGACCAAGATTCAAGTCTCTTTGGAGAGTCTCGTAAAATTGGATGATAATACTGTAAAGAATATTCTTTACGAAATGGCAAACTCAAATTTGAGTATTGAAAATTCTTCTATTGAGAATTTTGCATTGATTACTTCAAAGCACTTTTTCAGAGAATTTGATAATATTAATCTTGTAAAGTTGGACGTTGAACAATCTAATTGGCAACAAATCGAAAACAACAAGGCTGGACATTTCCAAGCTGAATGTCTCAGATTTGGTGAGTTTTGTTTTTAGCTTTGATGATTGACATTAATAGTTCGTCTCGCTGATCCAAGAAATGGTGAAATTTCCCTTTGTAGTGGAGTTAAATCTTTGAGTGTTCCAAAGAAATCTGAAGTATCAGAATTCTTGAAGAGTAATTCTATCAAGATGGACGTTTTCTGGAAGATTTCCTCAAGTGGCATTGAAGAACATACAAGAAGCTTGGTTAATGATAGGCAATCTGTTATTGACTTTAATGAAACCTATGATAAGGTTAGAGAATCTATTTGGAATGGTGTAAAGGACATTCAAAACATTGACTTGAAGGATCAATGTAACAATGTATTGGGAGATGTACCAATAATTAAGTGTGTCTTTATCTCAATCCCAAATTGTGGACAAAAGATGGATGCATTTGCTTCTAGACATCAATCTGTTACTCAACAATTCTCATTCCATGGTCGTCCAGCCAATAATATTTTCCTCAACCACTTCCATAGAATGAACAGAGATTTTTATGCTTCCAAGCTCTAAATCCTATGTAAATAAATTCCAAAATATGTCTTATTAATATCATAAAATCTGTCAAATCCTTCACTTGTTTATTTCCAGATAATTTTTAATAATTCTTGTTCTGGTGCTTATATTACATTTGATTCTTTCAATTTTACATATTTGGATAATTGATTTATTTATCAAAAGAATAAGTAGAAACAAAGTAAAAGAAAATGCACGTTAAAAACTTTATGATTCCTGCAAAGCAAGTTATTACAGCGTCACCTTCATCCTCTTTAACTGAAGTTGGATCCCTGATGGTGACCAATCACATTGGTTGTGTACTAATTGTCGAAAACTCAAAACCAATCGGTATTATCACAAAATCAGACATGGTAAAATACTATCTGGAAAATGCTGATATTAAAAAACCAGTCCAAGAATTCATGAGCACCAATTTGAAAACAGTGAAGGATACCTTAGAAACAGACCAAGCTGCAACTGAAATGAATTCTAGCAAACTTCACTATCTCATCGTTAATGATTCAAAGAATAATTGGGAAGGTATTGTTTCAACGAAGGATGTGCTTGAAGAGGAGGTGTTTGAATCAAAGGCATTTCCTTATGTGACACGAGTTGGTATTTCCAGATCATCGCCATACATTAAATATTAATCATCCAATTGATTCAATCTAACTTTAGTATTATAACACTTCTTCATCATTTTACTTATTGATAATTGAACATCTTCAATTGGATAGTCCAATCTAACAGATTCCATCTTAATATAAATCACAATGTATCCATATCACATATAAATACTTACGGCAGTATGTTTAACACATTGAAAATGGATTTTTGAAGGTTGATTTTCATCAGAATCTCTCAATAACGATCCACATTCAGCCCAATAGGATGCCCTAATTTCAGAACATGATCTATCATCCAATTTTCTCAAATTAAAATTCCTAATAGAACACAATGGAGCGTCATCAATGGAATGTATCAATTCATGTCTTAACACTTCATTTAATTCACTCTCATTCAACACATGATTTTTGCACACAATAATTCTTCTCTCTTCCTTTCCATCATTCAAGTAGCGCCTTTGATAATATGCCCTCGCATGATTATCGCACTCTATTACATTCAATTTCACATCTTGTTTACATTCGGAAAGGAGAGTTTCATACAAGAGTCTAACTTTTTCATCACAATTATTTCCTTTTAATTTTAAACAATTATCAAAATACTTTTGAATCCAATCATGATCATCTTTTATATTATTATCATTGTTTTGATTCTTCCCTTCTTCTGAATTTTCTTGATCCGAGCCGAGAAATGAAAAACTCTCTTCATGTTGTTGCATTTTTTTTTAAAACTGTTTTTAAGGTTTTTCAAGAATTTACAAAAACATTAAATATTAATAAACCTTTTCATTCATCTGATTCATCTGTTTTCAAGTTTCCTTTTCGTTCTTTCATACGTTGCTTCTTTCTTTCCTCTTCCATCTTTTGAATGATTGAAATGGATTGTTTCATTAGTTCTATATTCTTGTTGATTTTCTCTCGTTGTGATTTTTCTTGTTCTGTGTTGGATAATAGAACGTTATTGATAATCTTGTCATGGGATTCCTTACTCCTTCTCAATTCGCATATTAACTGGACTGATTTACTTGTCATTGCCTTAACATAGTCTTTACCAAAATTGGGATCTATTGGTGGAGCTTCCCTTTTTTTCAATTTCCTTGGTCTTTTCAAATTTGCTTCATCGATATCAAATATTCCCTCCAGTAAATCATCAACCTCCAAAATCTGAGCTTTCACTTGTGGTTGCATTTGTCCAAAACTTGCCTTTTCTAAAATCTTTTTCTGTGCATAATTAAAGAGATTTGTTTGAAAATCAGGATCCTTTTTAATTTCCTCTCTTCTATTCACAATTCTTCCATATTTTTCAATGGTTCTCATCTTGGATTCCATTTCTTTTTGATGTTTATGTTGATTTTCAAGTTTGAGTCTTCTCTTTGGTGATGAAGATCCATCTATTGTGCCTTGACTGAGAGTTGGAGAATGTCCTCCATCGTCAGTCATGGTTCCATCTTTCGAATAATCAGCCATGGGTATTTGGAGAGCCATCTTTGGATCGAGTAGTTGGACTCTTTTGAGGTGTGCTGCTTCCAAATTGCTAGCATTGGCTTTTAGTAATTGTTTGGAGGTTTTAGGGTCTTTCGGATCATTTTCGAAAAGATTATGAGATTCTCTTGAGGGAGGTCGATATATTCTTGCTGACATTACGCCATTTGTTCTAAGCATTTTATTTTAAAATTGTTGATTTCCTCAACTGAACACTGTAGAGTTGTAATGACAGTTTGATGGAGATGGTGTTATTATCTCATCTTAAAAGATGTATTGGAAATTTCACCTCTATAGTTCATGACAATCTCATGCTTTCTTTGGTTTGTTGTTCTTACTATTTTCAATGACATTCATGACATATTGAAAGACTGAGGGAACGTTTATGTTGGATTTTATGTTCATTTCTTGTTACGATGCAAGGTCAATAAGAGTTATTTTGCTTTGTATTATTGGGAAATTGTATCTGAACTTGAAATAGTAAATTAAACAATTAAAAGTGATTTTTTAATCAACTATGGATTCTATTGGAGGTAAAACACTATCTTCTTCTTGTTTTACCTTTTTAATATTTGTATTGTCATTTGCATAAAGTCTTTCTCTCTTAATTCCACCACTTGTATCTGTCTTGTAAATTAATTGGCTTGGTGATTGAGGAATTGTTTGTTGAGGTGAGGAATGAGAAGGTGAAGGATTATCATAGAAATAGGATGGAGAAAGAGATGGAAATCCTGTCATTGGGGATACTAACATATGAGGTGGTGAAGGACTTGTTGGATTGGTATGATAGGAAGGACTTCTACGGTCAATTCTAGGAGAAGGAGAATTTGAGAAACTATATAATGAAGGACTTGAAGATGACATAAAATTTGGAGAGGATGACATGAGTGAGGAAGATCTCTTTGGATCACTTTCACCTAAAGTAGTATTTGTAGAGGTTGGTTTTGAATAGGATGGAGGTTTTGAAACATGTTGTAAATAATCACTAGGTTGAAATAGAGAAGTAAACTTTTTAGGGGTAGTGGTGGTATTTGAAATGTTGGAATTGGAGCCAATGCTATTCATTGTTGTTGTTGATGATTGAATTGAAGGCATTTGAGATTGTGGATAGGAAGGAACATTTGACTTGTTTGAAGAATATTGATTAGGTGATGAATAAGAGTAAGGTGGTGATAAATTTGGCGATCGGCCTCCAAGTGGAGATGAATGGTGATGAGCAGGTGGACTTAGACCAGTACCACTAGCAATACTACTTGTTAAAATTTCTTGACTTGCAGATCTGTGAAGTGAAGCCATATTGTGTAGTGATGATGATTGAGTTGATTTTGGAGGTGGGTTCATCAGAGTATCAGATGCACTTGGATAACAATTTGAAAGAGATGAATTATTATTAGCAGTGAGCAGAGAACCATGATGAATATTAGTGTTCATATTGCTATTTCCAATATTTCCAATAAGGTTTTGTGGAATATTCATCAAGTTATTATTACTGGACATGCTTGGTGGCATGTTACTACCCATCATATTATTTGGAATAGTATTAGGAATATTATTCATCATGTTAGGAGGCATTCCAGATGACATGTTATTTTGCATATTTGTAATATTGTTTGGAATACCATTTGGCATACCATTCATACCGTTTGATATGTTACTTGACATATTACTTGGCATACTATTCATATTGTTTGGCATGTTATTTGGAATAGTATTTGGCATACTGCTCATTATATAATTATTAGGATTTTGATTGTAATTCAACACCTTATGAGATGCACTTGTTAGAATGTTATCATTTACATTCACTGATGATGGAGGCATCATATTTGGTATGTTTGGTTTCAGTTTTGATGCTGATTGAACACTATTACTTGACGATACTCTAGACATTGGTTGTTTAGTTTCTTGATAAGAACTGACATTAGTGCTGGTATTGCCTGTACTTGATTGAATATTTTGGGGTGTTGTTGGCTTTGATTCTTGATTGAGGTTAATAACTGTCGATGAAGATTTGCTTTGCTTTGCTTTCTTTTCCGTTGTTTGTGATGCAACAATTGCACCATCTGATTCACTCAGTAAAGGATGGTTATGCGTTCCAAGACAAAGTAATAATCTTCTGTTATCAGCCTTATCAAGTGGTACATAGAAATGTAACTTGAAAGGACACTTTCCACTCTTTGTCAATGAATTATTGTTATGTTTCTGACAAGTGTGAAATCTCAATCTACATGGTCTAACAATACACGATTCACTGTCATCATCCTTGTGAGGACAATAATAAACACCCTGACATGTTCTTTCATAATGCATTACTTTACAATTCAAATAACTACAATGAACTTTCTTTTGAGTGGATGGAGTGCCAAATGAATAAGCAATCTTATCATAAAAACTATTCTTATCTGTCCAATTCTCAACATTGTAAATGTATAAAATTCCATGTTTTGGATATTCTACAGGTTCGTTTGGTGTTACACTTGTATCTGCTCGAATATTTCTAGTAATTTTAATTCCACCTTTTTGCCCTGCTTCTTGAGAAGCATCTCCTCCGGTTTCCTCTTCATTTGGCTGAGAATCCACTGCAGTTGCAGTTGGTTGTTGTTGGCTATTAGTAGGACTGGTTTCAGGTTTTACAAGTGTTGGTTGAACTATGGTTGTTTGTTGTATTGTCCATTTTGGTTGGGTATTATTTTGGGCTTTTACCATTGTGGGCGTTGTAAACGAAATGGGTGTTGCTGAAGTGGAATTTTGCACTAGGACTCTGGAACCAACACTTGGATTGGATGATTGTTGCATGGCAGTTGTAGTTGAAGGTAGAGGAGTAGAATTTGGTGCATGTTTCATAGCATTGCCATTGTCATTATTGGAAAGTCGAAAGAAACTATTCACAGAGAATATATTATCTCCATCAACAATACGAGTTGGTGTTGGAGTGGAAGAATTTTGTAATTGGTGTTGAAGTGGTGTTTGATTCTGTTGAATGATCAATGCATCAGACGAAACTAAATTATTAGATGAATTATTTTGCACGTGATGATGAGATGTATCAATGGATTGATTACCCATCATGACTTGGTAATTACTACCATTAAGATTATTCATATTATTATTGTTGCTATTGGTATTATTAAAATTGGAAGAAAGTTGATTATAGGATTGATTAGATGACATTGGATAATTATTGTTCATCATGTTAGTATTGATTTGTTGCTGCATTAAACTATTGAACATGTTTTGTTGTTGATTATTATATAAACCCTGATGATGATTATTCGAATTCCCTGTATTAAACCCAACAGAGTTATTGCCAAGTTGTTGCTGTTGTTGTGGAATATGATAACCTGACCCTCCGTGTTGTTGTTGTGGTTGAGCAACAGTTCTAAACTGTTGAGGAGGTGGTTGATGATGTTGTTGTACTACATTCCCATTACTGTTGCTAAATGTGTGTTGTTGCTGAAAATTCATTGGCCATGAACTTGACACGACTTGCTGCTGATGATGGTGTAGGGAGGAAGGAGTTGTTGGACGTGATGATGTTGTTGCATAGAGATTATTAGAGGTAACAGAATTGTTATTGGTAGTGGAGACTGTCATCATCATGTTGGTATTATTATTATTATGGACTCCTACTGCAGTAATTTGATTAGTAATTGGTAAATTAGAGGATTGTGGTGATGGTGAATTTGTTATTATTTGTTGTTGATGTTGATAGAGATTATGACCAGTATGTTGCTGGTTCTGCATATTTATCAAGTAGAGGAGTGAAGGTATTATTGTTCTTGATCAACTATTAGTAGTCGTGATGGAGCAGTCGTCGCTTCCGTATTACAAATTAATTCTGATGTGGTGCCACAAGAGGGTATAAGCTTTGATATATTTCAATTAAAATTGGGTATTTGATGCATTGACTGAGTGCACTCAATTTTTGTATCTCTTATGTCTGTTGCTACTCAAATGTGTTTGTGTGTTCTTTATATTAAATTATTTGGTGCGTAATGATCTCCAACACAACACAAGAATGTGATGATATTATTTGGTGATGATAATGGTTGCTGTGACTTGTTGTGACTGCAACTCCAAATGGGAGAGGATGATGATGGTGCAGGAGGAATGAGAATCTTTACACAAAACACTTCAACTTAATCGTCCAATACTGATGGAATAAGAACGAAGAACTTGAACACTAGATGATGATGGTGCAAGACGCAGATATCTATGCTTTTCTTTTTCAAAAAGAGAATCTGACAGGAAAAGTCAACAGGAGGTCAAGAAGCTTGTGTCTCACCACTCTATGAAGTTACACCTGACTTTCAATATCTTCTAACAACTACAACTGCAAAGGAGAAGTGAGGAGTTGATTGTCTTGAGATTTTGTTTTCTGTTCAGGAATATTGTGAATGGGGTGTTATTGATGTGATGCTGTTGATGAATTACGTGTTGAACCTTTGTTGTTGGTGGAAGATGTGTAACGAACTACAGCAGGTGATGATAAATGTAAGTTGGTAATTGCTTGAGGTATGCGTGCGCATGGATCATGTGTAAGGTCTAAGAGGCATCGGTACAAACTACCAAGCAGTTGTCTCTTAATTTTGTCCTTCTTGATACCTTGTTTGGAAAGGGTATTAGGAAATGCAGGATAAGTCCCTCAATGGACCGTGTGTTGGTGGCTGTTAAAAGCTCACACATATTGTTTACATGTTCCTTAATGTTTGGCAGATTTTGTGAGAAATAATGTTTTTAGGCATGCATAATTCTCAGTACTATTTTAGAAATGGTGACCCCAAATCTTGTATAAAATCGATTCTCCTTGTTTGTACATGGAACCTTAGACGCTATTTTGGCTTTATTCCAGCTGTATATACGTTCCAATAAAGAATGGAAAAATTACACTTGACTCACTAAAAAGTATATTAGAATTCCATTTGTGGTTGTTATTATTGAATTTAAAGAACAGCATATATGATTGGGTTGATTTTCCAATTTAATCCTTAATTTTCTGAAGTTTGAACTGTCTGTTGCATGTCATATAAAGTAGTGTCATTGCTTCAGATCCAAATATTGAACTATTATTGTGAAGAATTTCTCACTTTGTGGATGTTCTTTCCTCAATAGTCGTCTTTATCCGTCTTCTTTTGACCAGGTTTATCCTTAGAGTTCAGTTTTCATACTTCTTAAATAACCTAATTCCTTAACTTTTTGGATTGATTAATTTGCTCCAATTTATTGATGGTTCCTTGTGGTTTTAATACGATCTTCTGTATGTGGAATTTATAAGCATTTGCTAATCTCAAGAAAGGAGTGATGGAGGTATGTAGTTTTATTGCTTTATTGTTGCAAATTAATATCTGATCACAAATTTCTTGATGTTCCTTATTATTATTTGGAACATCTTTTCATCTAATAAATTTCTTCTTTCTCTACAATCTTTTCCGATGATTTGACGAGATTATTTCCAGTACTCTTTGTTCATTCCTATTATTTAATTTAGAGAGAAAATGTTCTTTTCACAACTGTTTTTTTTGTTCTGTAAAATCTTCATGGTATCATGATCGGATGAAATTCTCTTTTTAATAAATTGATCCTCTTTGAGTTAATAATTGGAAAGGCCATCAGAGAAAATAAGAAGTAATTTCTGCTAGTATTTCTACTCCATTTGAAATACTACAGCTCAAAGAAGAGAAAAGGCGCGAATTAAAAAATAATATTAAATAAAAAAATGAGTCAACAACAAACTAGTGCTGAATCAACAACCCTCGTCGAAAAAGTAACCAAGTTCATCGTATCACCAGTATCTCTTGCTGTGATTTCTGTTGCTGGTGTTGCTGGAGCATATTTATTATATAAGAAATTTTCGCCAAAGAAAAAGACAAGTTCGATAACTGGTGATGATTATAGTGATACTTCTTCTGATAGCGATTCTGATAGTGATTCTGATGAAGAAGAAGTCGAAATCAAGGATTTCACTCTTGATGAATTACACACATTTGATGGTGTTATCAATCCAAAAGTTTATGTTAGTGTTTTAGGTAGTGTTTTTGATGTTACCGGAAGTGGATTTTATGGTCCTGGAGAAACCTACTCTCTTTATGCTGGACATGATGCTTCATTTGCCTTGGCAACTAATGACGTCACTGCCACCAACTTGGATAAATTGGATCTTTCTGAATTGAAGGCAAACGAATTGGATCATTTACAATCCATGGTTGAACACTTTAGAATGAAGTATTTACATGTTGGTAACTTGCTGGAAATGCAATAAAAAAACTAAAATTTCTTCATGTGTAGGTTGTTATTAATTTGCTTACATGTTGAGCTTTCCCGATGCTCATTTCTGAATTGAATTAGAGTTTAAATTCTTGAATGTGAAATGTATTAATGTTAAAAATGGCTTACACACAAATTTGTTAAGCGACATGTCTTGACAATTCATAATATACTATCTTTGTATGAAATTGAAGATTTCACAAGCTGTTGAAATAGAAATTGAAATATTGTGTTGGTACTAATCAGTAACAAATATTTTTGTTAGGTAGAACAAAATTCATTTTTCCGTCCTTTCATTGTGTGACGAGATTTCAATCTATTTTAATCAAAAAAAAATACCATCACACCTAATATTAATTGGTTAGCAACATGTTGGCAACTACAACAACTATAGCAGATATTCAACCAACTACAACAAGTAGAAAAAGAAGATTTTTCAAGAGAAATTCATCAATAACACCAAGTGTTTCTTCTTTGGGAGATACTGATTCAAATCGCAATAGTGGGAGTATAGATCAACAAGAAACAATTCCACAAGTTGTTCAACAGCCAGAGTTGACTTCTTCAAAAAAGGCAAAGAAAAACAGAAGGTTTATTAAGAAGCAAAAAAAGAAATCCACCTCCACCACCACTCCAAAAACTCCAAAGAAATCAGAAACCACCAAAAAGAGAAAAAGAAACAATGAATCAAAATTAGATAAGGACAAGAATCCAAAAGAAGCAACTATCAAAGAAAACAATGGAAATAATGAAATGATTCTTTTAGCAAAGAAAGCCAAATTGATTCTCTCAAAAATCAACAACACACCACTACTCATTCCAGAACAAAAACCCATCACTGAGAAATTCAAAGTAGAAGGTGAAATATCAATCAATGGTAGTTTTAATACCAATTCTCAAGTGAGAGATGATCTATTCATTGAAACTCTGTTGAAGAACAATCATCAAAAGATTCCAGAAGAAGGTGTGGTATGGCCACGAATTCGTAAAATAATTGCAACATGTTACAATGGACACATGCTAAATGGGAAGAAATTCTTCTCTGGAGAGGATGTTTGCGTTGCCTCATTACTCAACTGGTTGATTGAGCTGGTACCTGAGTTTTCCAGTTCCAATGTAGAAATATTCAAGATGGAGAGGCATTCATTGAGAAAGGCAGAAACGACAAGAGTATCTCTGGTTTTGAATATGTCCAATTTCTCTCTGTCATTTGACGGAATTTCGAAACATGATTTTGAAATTGCTGCCAAGCTGGTCGAATTATTGACCCAGTTGTTTTATTCGAATTTGAAACATTTAATTGTAATTGGTATTGAAAAACGCCATTCTCTCTTTACCAAATTTATGGAAAAGGATACAAATATTCCATTATCTATCAAGGAGAGAATATGTAAGTTAATATTAGAAAATAATAGTGGAATGATATCTCTTGAGTTGTATCCGAAACTTGCAAAGGAATTCAAGAATTATTCCAAATTACTTGCTTGTTTCTTTGCTATAAAACAAGATGAATTCAGACACTTTAGTTTGAATAAGGGAGATGTTTCAAAGTGGCCATGTTTCGCCAAGTATTCCCTTTTCAAACATGTTTTTTCATTGGCAATGAAAGAATCAGAAGTTTGTTCATTCCTCCAACTATATTTCCAGTTAAAGAAGGAATCAAATTTAGCCAAAATGGTTCAAAATCAACTCAAAATTTTGAGAAAAGGAAATTCTGATGGTGAATCCACTTTTGAATTGTGTATTATTTATTTGATTCTAAAAGCATCCAAGAAAATTAGAGAAAATTCCAAAGAAGAAACTAATGAATTGAAATTATCCATTCAAGAATTTCAAGATTGTAAAGAGTTTTTAGTGAATGAATATGATAGCATCATTGAAAACTCACCAACTTATCAATACAAGAAATGTGATGCGATTTTTGGCATTAAAATGATTAGAAAATTGAGAAAGTTTATCGAATAAGCAAAAACCAATTTCTTGTAATATTTATTAAATAAAAGTATCTTTATTGTAAAATCTGGATAATTTCTTTCTTTCTCTACAATTGTATGTGTAAATGAATGAATACCAAGCTGTTTCCTGAGTCTTTGGAACTATACTTCCCCTTTTCGAGATATCTTTGCAATTCCATTCCTTTTCAAATTCATGTCGTTGTTTGTGCTCCTGTGATGATGCTGAAGATGATGATGATGTCTTGCTTAATTGCAACAATGACTCAATGTTAGTAGTACTCTAAAATTGTTGTTGGGTCATTTTCTCAATGGGCACCTTTTACAATTTGCCCAAAATGAATGTTGTCTTGTCTTGGGGTGTGTCCTAATGATTTTTAATTTGGTTTTGCTGTATTGGAGTGTACTTGTTTGTAAAGAATATTTTCTTTATTAAGCGAATTTTTGTGAATCCCACAAATGACAGTAAAGAAGGTTCATATTAAGACCATATCACATCTGTCTGCAGCCAATTATTCAATATATTAAGACTCTCCTAATATTAAGGAGAGTCTGATATCGTTATCATAATTTTGAAAACTATCAATATCCAGTCAAGTGTTTTTCATTCCGATGATTAGAATATTCCACATAATATGGTGGAGAACATGTTTGAAACACACTACTGTGTGCAAACCTTATATTACAGCAGGCAGGGAGAATTTATTGAGGAGGAGAAGGGAAAGGACAATTTCAAAGAAGCACACAATTCAATGTGTGAACAAATAAGATCTTAACGGAAAAATTAAAGAGAGGACAAGATTGATACTATATTATTTTGATTCACTCAAATTGTGTCTATATTAAAACATTGTTCTTATCTAAAAGTGTAATGCTCTGTAGCCATCTTGATGTTTCTCCTCAATGAGATTGAATATTGTGGAGAGAAGGAGAGGAAGGCAGCATCCAAAACAGTCAGCACAACACATGAGAGGACTCAACACAAATTGAGTAATGATGAATGAATGAAGACTTTCGAATAGTTCCCTATTTCTTATATTACATTCGCCAGAGTATGTTAATGAAGCAAGGGTTATCAGAACTATAATTAAAACTCCCCATAATAAGAAGGAACAACAACGAAATATTATTTGACAAGGTCTATTCTCATGTTTCTTCTCCTCACTGGAATGTGTTCGAATAGAAAAGTAGAAACGATCCACGTATATTCCAATGAGTGCCATGAATAAATTCACTGCCAATAATAAACCAATTGAAGAAAGTGATAAAACTAATTTTGAAATTGTATTTGCTTTGCATTGTAACGAGTCAACCATTGTAATGTCTGATGTTTTCAAATAAATATAAACTCCCCAGAGCGAAATTCCCAAAACTAAAATCATTGAAATCATCAAATCAATACTCATTAATCCAATCCCTTTCCATCCTTTAAATATTTTCATTTTTTATTCTAAAGTTCAGTGATGAAGTGCCTTGTATCCTTCGTTAGATCTTTCTTGTTCCAAATTCTTAATAAACGAACCGAAACAACATGTTGTACAACAACCACCACAAATCAAACAAACCAAAACAAGCATCATTACAAATTGAGTTATCAAAAATGGATGTAAATCATTGTAAAATTCCACAATAGTACTTTTACAGTCTGATTGATAATTTAGAACTGAAATGGAAATTAAAACTGAAAAGGAAGCAAATCCAGCAATGAAATTCCAACACCTCACAAATAAACTTGTTACTTTGACATTGGAATCATCACCTGATAAGACAGTATTTATCTAAGAGTGTTCCAAATATTGAACAAATGCATAAAACTGCAGAAACATAGCATAATGTATTGTAGGTCAATAAAAGTTGAGAAATTGTTCTGCCTTGACACTTGTCAGACAGATTAGTGGCATTCATTGAAAAATTTCCATGTATTACAAGTCCCCAAGTTCCCATTCCAATAAGAATTAAAAAAGATATGATGGAATCCAAGCTCAATATGCTAATTTCAAGTTAGCTTTCGTTGTATTTCTAGTTAAAAAACTAAACCTACCTAATTCCAAGTAATTTCAATTTTTGCATTTTTTCTTCTACTATTTTGTATTCTTATGAAAGGTATTGATGTTTTATTTTGTAAGTTTTCAATCGGTTTTAGTGTTGATTTACTATCAACCAAGTTAATTTTCACCAATTGGAATGAATTGTGTCATGAGAGGTGGATGTTCTGAAATAAGATTGTCAATATAGACAATTGTGGAATTGATTGGTTTGTATCGACAATGAGTATGATTTTTAGGTGACATGGCAATGTAATCAAATGTTGTGAAGGATTTAGAAGAATTATTTCTAATAATTTCATGACTAATAACTGGATGCATATATGTCTGATTGAAAAAGTTATTGGTCGATTTGAAATTAAGATCTCCAACAAGGAACATGGTTTCAAATTGTCTATTTGCAATTTTGCTTTCCTTCCATTCGGCCGTGAGTAAACGGCTGGCATAGAGAGCTTGCTTATTTTGTTCTTGGTGATTTCTGACAGAGAAACTGCTTGTGAAAAAGTAGAAATTGGTCATGTTAGAAGACATTAATACCTCAGGATCATTCACTCTCACATAGGCCTTTACCATTACAGCTTGTTCACTTTGATCAGAGGGAAGAAGGTAGAAGCCTCTTTCTCCCAGTGGATATGAGGAAAGAATTGAATTACCAAAGGAACCCTCTCTTAAACTTGGCCCATAATATTCATGCATATTAAGGTAGAAGCTCAAATATTCCAATAAATCGTTATTAGATGCTGAAATTCTATTCGTATCGCTGTCTTGTAATCCAATAACACTTGCTTTCAAATCTTTTAAGGTTTGTAAAACACGGTCAAAGTTATTTCTTCCATAAATATCATAACCATTGTGAACATTAAAGGTAACAATGATGAGCTTGTCTCCGTATTGGTTTGTTGGAGTTTTAAGGTACATTAGTCTATATCCTAAACTTGGAAGCACTGAAAATACGCTAATGATAATAATCACAGCCAATACACGCTTATTAATATGAGCAAATGGAGATTCTTTTTTTTCAGATTCATCCTCTCTTATCAACCATTTAACAAAACCCTTAAAAGTATATCTATTTTCCTTGCTGGTTGGCTTTTCAACGAGTGGATCTTCCTTTCTTCCAATAACAGGTCGTCTAATGAGATTTCCCAATCCTATTCCAAATGTAGAAATTATTACAGAGCTGAAAATTAAAAGGGTGTGTGCTCTCTTATTAATAATTGTTGAAATCCAAACAACACTTGGATCTATTATGCTTGAAGGGGAGGAAAACTCCAATAAAATAACTTGAAACATGTATGTTGCAAGAGCTATGAAAGCACAAATTGCAGTTGAAAGATTTGATGTAGGATAGGCATAACCAGTATTTTTTCGGATCAATACATAAACCCATGCAGTTGGTAGAACTATAGAAGCAATAATTGAGCTTGTTAGAATGACAATAGAAAATGAGGAATCATCTGTAGGTAAATAGGATAAAATAAAGCAAAATGTTAGCAATGATATAGCTCCAATTATAGATCTGAAAATAAGTGATACACTAGAAATCACTAGTCCAATATTTAGTGCAATCAAAATGCTCAAATTATATGGAAATCCTGGTAGACCACTCCACCGAACAAGAGTAGTTGAAGAACTGAAAAGCCAATGAGTTAAAAATAATAGACACCCAAAGGCCAATCCTCTAGTTATTGCTAAATAGTAAATTTTAAGGAAAGAGAAATCAAGGTGGTTGACTTCTTTCAATTGCTCATTTTCATCAATTTCATATCTTTCCTGTTCCATAGTGTCTTTTGAATCCTCTTCTTCTTGGTAAAGAATCCATCTTCTCCAAAAGAATACAATTATTTCCTCTGTTAAAGATACAATGGCGAATATAATGCAAAATATTAATGAAACTGTTGATATTTTCCAAGTTCTTTCACCAATGAAAAGAGGATTGAGTGAACAATAGCCAAATCTCAGATTTACAATCAACACCCAACCAATAATAAATGACCAAAGTCCTCTTTCACATTGTTTCTTATGTGCATCTCTCATACAAATCACTAAATGGCCAATTAGAAATACTAATGAAACTCCAAGACAAATTACTCTATTTTGTACTTGTGGTCCATCAAATAAAGGTAAATTAGTTATTAATCCAGCACAACTGCACAAATAAAAGAAAGGCCTTCTACATATATGCAATATGGTATCAAGTTTTTCTCCAATTGTTCGTTTTTTTTCTTGTAAATATTCGAAATTATATTCTACAAAGTTATTTTCTTCGAGAACAGGTGCTGTCTTATTTGTTAAAGGTAATAAAAGTGGTGTCGATGAGCTAGTTACAATCATGTGAGTTGTATCAGTGCTCACACTATGCATTCTCATTCTTCGTCCCCTTATAACAGTATCATCCTCTGCCTCCAAAACTCTCATTAATGATTCATTTCTTCCAAAAATATGTGAAGAAGGAGAAGGATGTTGATAATAATAATCCTGATAGGATCCAGTACCACCTACTGAAATAGGATTACTCGAAGGAATAGTCAGATATGAAGATGCTTTTTTGTGAGGTAATGAATTATTGATACTTGGAGGATCTTTTTGTTCATTTTGTTGAATAGAAGTGTTAGAAGGTTGTTCAGTTTTTGATCTTTCCAAATATGAAACGATCAGTGATTTTGCTTTTGAATAAATAGCTAATATTACAAGTATAATACATGGAATAAAGAATGCAAAAATAAGTGGAATAATTGGTGGAAGACTGGCAAACTCAACTTTGACATAACCTTGAAAAATCAGAGAATAAAACTCTATTAAAAAACTCCAAGTTAAGAATCCTTTCAGAATATCATGTCAATATTGAATCAAATATTGAACTAAAACATACCAAAATAAATATCAGAGCTAAAGCCAAACCAATATAAACAATTCATCAATATCCGATATTTTGTTTGCTCGCTTTCTTTCCTATTTGTGTAATAGGAAAAGTAATTATCATAAAATTCATCTTGATGATTATCACGTGTCTTGTTATTATTATTTAAATTGTCAAGAGATGCCGATGACAAATTGTGCCTAGAGGGTGATTTAGTTTTCAACATTTTAACACTATTTAAATAATAATAACATTTCAAATACAAGTTCGATGAACTGAAAAAAGCAGTTGATGTTTTGTTTCTATCCGATCTAACAATAAAAACAACACTGAACACTTATTGCAAAGCAAATTAGGTATTTTTTTTACTTTGTGGAACGTATCTAAAGATTTTATCGTTGTTGCTTCTTGTTTTGAGTTGTGGTTGTTGGCATCTTAATGGATGTAAACTTGCCAGCAGCAGGAGCAACAGAAGGGGAAGAATTGCTTGTAGAAGAACTAATTATGTCTCTATAAGTTGGTTGTTGAGGAGTTAAAGGCTGTGAAGTGGCAGTAGTGGTTGTGGAAGCACTGTTTGAGGAAGAACTGTTATCTCTTGAAATAATCTTAAATTGTGAATCAGTCACTGGTGAATCAAGCTTACCGGAAGGAACATCTGAATTGTGGAATGAAACTTTCAAATGTTTCTTTCCTATTTTATAGCTGTTCATCTTTGAGACAGCTTCCATGGCAGAGTCAATATTACAATATTTAACAAAGCCATATCCTTTGCTTAGGTTTGTCTTAGGATCTCTAATGACTTTGACTGATTCAATTTCACCAAATTTAGAGAAAAGTTCCATTAATTTTGAATCATCAACATCACCAGGAAGATGGAAAATAAACAAATTAGCGGTTTCGCCTGACTTTGAATTCTTATCTTCTGGAGAGCTACTTTCATTCTTTGAACGTTTGGTGTGGGTTTGTTCTTGATTTTCATTCATAGAAGATTCATCATACATTGGTACATGGTAGTATGGGTTATAGGGTGTATAAGGATTGAAATATGGATTATAGTATGGATTGAAATTATGCAAGAAAGGTCCTTGATTATTTTGATCATCGGATTCATTTGATTTTTCGTTTTCTAATTTATCTTTGGAGAATCTATCGGTAGGATGTGATGATACTGGAACACCCATGTGATGAGGTACAAAGTAGGTCATGTGATATGGAACATCGGAATGATATGTCATATCTTGGGATGTTTCATCTTGTTGATCATCACGTCTCATTGCCATTTGATTGAACATTGGATATGAATAAAGGGATGGATTCATACCATTTGGATTTGAGAAACCAGTATGATGAGAATGGACATATGGATTTGGAACATGTGTTGGAGGTCTGATGATTTGTCTTGTTTTTAACTTTCTCTTTTGTTTTTCATGTTCTGTTTCAGCGAATCTAACAACCAGAGGAAGAATATCCTTTGATGAATCATCATCTAATTTGGAACCATTCATTTTTTGAATAGCAGAGAGAGCATCTTTACGATTTTCAAATTTACAAAAACCGTAACACTTGCTCCTTTGTGTGTTGATATCGATCATAATCTTCACTTTTGAAATTGGACCAAATACTTCAAAAGCTTGTTTAAGTGTCTCTTCATCATAGTGAGGTGGAATATTTCTGATGAAAAGATTAGATTGTTGATCTTTTTCCTTATTCCCTGCACTATTGGAAAGCTTACAGAGCAATCTCTTATTTCCAATAGATTTTTCATTAAGTCCTTGAATAGCATCTTGAGCTTCATTTTCATTTGAAAATCTAACAAATCCAAATCCTAATGATGAATTTTCTCTTGTTTTATCAGTCATAACGTGGCAACTGACAATCTCTCCAAAAGGTGTGAATAACTCTCTTAAATCTTCATCAGAGAAATGAGGTGGAAGATATTTAACAAAAACGTTGCAAAGATCTGAATTTTCTGAATCTAGATATTCTTCCTCATCAATGCTTTCCTCTTCTTCCTCTGAGATCCTCTTTGGAATTTCTTGTTGAATTTTTTCCTTGGAAATAAGCCCAACAGGACGTGTTCCATTGGAAGTCACCAAGTTGTTTGTAGTAGCAGTAGTGGTAATCTTTGTTTGAGTCTCTTTTCTTTGACTACTACCAATTCCAACACCAAGATTGATCTTGATGGCATTATTGTTATGTGATTTGGCGTCTTTTTCTAATTGTAAGATTACTGGAGGTTTTTCTTTTTGAAGAAGTTCAATTGTGTTGGTTGTTTTGTTCTTCTTATCATTTTGTTCAGATCCTGTTGTTGATGACATGTTTTCAAAAGAAGACCACATTAATAAATAATAAATATATTATAGAAGAGTAATATAAAAATTTGATGATGATGATATAAAGACTTGTATAAACTGTTAAATATATAAAGCAAACAGATAAAGTAAAATCTGCTGCTATTCAATATATATTATTATAAAATTTAAACCTATTTCCTCTCCAAATTAACAATATATCTGATGCTAGATTATTGTTACTCTTGGTGTTGATGCAAAGGTGGTGGAGAGAATATTTTTTAGAGAAAGTTTTTTCCACCACCAACATCAAATTGAACAAGGAAGTTTGGACAGCAAAAAGCGAATGAATCTTTTTGGGCGTTTAGCATATCTTGAGTGCTATCTATTCAATCTGGGCAGTAATAATGGCTTTTGTATCAATGAGACAGAACCATTAATGCTCCTTATCATTGTTTCAACAGTTATAATTTGAAAAATCTTTAAGAATATCTGATTGTTTGTTGTGGGGAGTGGATGATGATGTGTATAGGAATTATATTATTAATTAATAAAACTTTTAAAACAAAAATGTCCGAATTGTACCATCCATCACCATCAGACCTCATGTTGGCACCATCAAGTTTGTTGGTGTTTGACTTTGATAGTACATTGGTTAGAGAGGAAAGTTTGGTCACCATGTTGGAGTATGCTTTGAGAGAAGAATACGGAAATGATGAAGAAAAAATTGAGAAAGCTATTGAACAAATCAAGGAAATTACAAACAAGGGAATTAAAGGAGAAATTACAATGGATACTTCTTATGCAAACAGAGTTGGTACAGTTAAACCAACAAGAAAACATTTGGAAAAATATTTACAAAGACCAATTGATCAAATTTTAACTCCAAAAATGGATATTGTGAGTAAGTGTAATTTGTGGAATTAATATTTATTGGAAAATTTAGTTCAAAATGTTAGAGAGCATTATCCTTCTGTTCAAATTCATGTTATTTCTCAAGGACCAAAAGTAATAGTTGAACATTATTCTAAATTATTATTTGGAATTCCAAGTGAAAATATTCATGCTGTAAATGTAAATTTCCCAGAGGATGGAGTAGATGTTTCAACTCATGAATATATTTCTCCTCAAGATGAAATGTTAGTGAAAGGAAAAAGTGGAATTTTACAAAAAGTTATTGATGGAATTAATTCACAATATACCACAACAGGAACAAAGGTTGAAAATATCATTGTCGTTGGAGATGGTGTATCAGATATGAATATGAAACACAAAGGACCTGCAACAGTTGCCATAGGTTTTGGTGCTCACTTACTTTTCCAAAAAACTAAGGAATTGGCAGATTATTATGTAACTGATTGTGATCAATTGAATCAATTATTAATTGAAAGACTTTTAAGAGATATGGTAAGCTATAACTTCTTCCCTGGTCCTGCAACAATTCCAACTGAAATCATGTTAAAAGTCAAAGATAATCTTGTTTGCTTTGATAGAGGTATTTCTGTTTTTGAATATTCACACCGTTCTCCAAAATTTTTAAATGTTTTAAGCAATGCAGAAAAGAAACTCAGAAAAATTGTAGATATACCAGACGATTATGCTGTTCTCTTCTTACAGTAAGTTTTCATTTTACATATTTTGAAATATTTTGAAAAAGAGGAGGAGCCTATACTCAATTCTCAGCAATACCAATGAATCTTTGTGAAAATACTGATAATTCTGCCATTTATTTGGTATCTGGTATTTGGTCAAAGAAGGCCTATCAAGAAGCAAAGGAATTTATGGGTGGAAATGTTCAACAATTGAGTTTAGAAGAAGCTGATACAATTACATCCAATGAATTCTATACTCGTTGCTCTTATGTTTATTATTGTGATAATGAAACAGTTCATGGTGTTGAGAAGCCGAATGACTTCCTTGACCAAGTCTCCAAAGATGGTAAAATATTAGTTTGTGATATGAGTTCAAACTTTTTATCTAGACCTGTCAATGTTAGAAAGTATGGTCTCATTTATGCATGTGCCCAAAAGAATTTTGGTATTGCTGGGCTCACAATTGTAATTATTAGAAAGGATTTAATTAAGGAAAGGGAAAATTATGTTCCTTCAATGCTCGACTATCAAGCATTATATGAAGAAAAATCACTTCTCAATACACCTGTCACTGCAGCAATTTATGTTGCTGACTTGGTATTTGATTGGATTATTGAGATTGGCGGATTATCTGCTCTGAATGAATTGGCTATTAAGAGATCAAATCTGCTCTATGACACTTTAGAAAAATCATCATTCTTTGAAGTTCCAATCAAGGAGGACATTCGTTCAAGAATGAATGTTGTTTTCAAGATTAAGAAGGAAAGTTTAGAAAAGACTTTTGTTAAGGAAGCTGAAAAGGTTGGATTGATTGGATTGCCAGGTCACAGAAGTGTTGGAGGATTCAGAGCTAGTCTTTATAATGGTATGTCAATGAAAGGAGTTGAGAGACTTTGCAAATTTATTCAAGCATTTGAAAACAAGTTCAATACTCAATAATAACACTCACTAATTAGTATAATTTATTATCATTGTGTTTACAAAATACAAAATCTTTAAAGAAACGATTTTTACTCTTAATGAGTTTTACCAGAATTTCTTACTCCGCATCCCCTTTTAGCACTATTTTATTCCTTTCCTCATTTTCATATTTAATTACATGACTCTTTTAATGAAGTTGTCAAACTACACTCGCATAATATTTTCAAATGCAATTCTTTGAATTCAAACAAAATGAACTTGTTATGTATGAATCTTTCTACATCTAACTTCTGTCTGACTCAAAAGTCAAGTGGGAGATCAATGTCTTAGATTCTAAATTTATTCATGGTGAATGGATAATGAATCTCTCAGAGAGTACGATGATGTTCGTTGCCTTTACTCGCTGTAAATCATCGTTGTACATTTTTCTGCAAGCTTAATGTGCAATAAAATCATTTATTAACTGATTTAATATGCAGCATGAATGTTGTTGAGGAGAGAGAGAAGAAGAGTGATGTTATCCATATTTCTCTTCATCAACAACAATAATGAATAATGGATAATGAATCATCTACGAGACAATCATCAATAATCCATCATCCAACTGATGTGATCAATAATAAGCCACACGCTCACACTCCTAACAACAACATCAAAATCTCTTTGGATAATTTTAATAATGGGTAGGATGATGTTCTTTTGTGATGGATGGTAAGCTAGTGGCTAGCTTGTTTCAACAACACAGTGATCGTTACCCAGTGCATTTAATTGATGCTCAACTTCCAATTAATCCACTATTATTATCAACAAAAAAAACAACGACAACCTTGAGTTCAGTCCAACACAACCAAGCCAACTCAATTGTACTATATATAGATATTAAATCTGCCACCTGCCTGTAAAATATATTGTATTCTAATACTAACAGTTTCTAATAACTAGTCCTCTCTAATTTCAAGCTTACAAGTGTCAACAATCAAAAATACTCAAAATGCTTACTAATGAAACATTCTTATTAGAATCCGCTCATCAAACAAGTAGTAAACTAATCAGTAAGGCACCTAAATGTACTATTGAATCCTTTCAATTATTACTTGGTGCAATTGACTATATCAATGACAATGGCGGACAAGAAACCTTCCCTAAATTATTAATTTATGATGACACAGCAGCAACAGCAAATCATCATACTACAACAACAACAATAACCGAAGAACTTTCTAATAGTAATTCAATTGAAGAAGATTATGTACCTCCTTCTCTGACAATTAGTGACGAATCTGAGGATAAATCTTCGGAGGATGAACAAGCATCAACTACACAAACTCAAACTATCACAACTCCAAAATCTAAATCAAATAATTCTAAACATTCGAATAGTAGTAATACAAATGGAAAGGCTAGAGGAGGTCATTACCGTAACGGTGTTGATGATTCTTCTTTAATATGTAGTTGTTGCAAAAGAGATTCATCATCAGTGAGTTTTCTCAAAAACTATAGTATTCATGCAGGTAATATTGACAATTACCGAAACACATTCCCAGACTATGATGTTGTACCTGGTATTTCATGCATGACATGTTATCATAAGAGTTGGAGATATAGCAAGGGTCTCTATGATCCAAACAAAGCAAGAGGAACAGTTAATAAGAGAGAGGGAATTCAAAAGAGTCCTTCTCCATCTTCTTCAACTCCATCCTCCTCAACTCGTAAGAAGAACGCATCTCAAAAGAGAAAATCCAATAGTAATGCAGTTGTTGAACAACAACAACTTGATAATGAAGTAAACTCCTCTGAAGATGTCAAGAGTAAACCAAGAAAGATTTCAAAGAGAAGACAAAATTCCTCTCCTTCATCCAATCAATCTAATGGTAATGATAATTCAAATCAAAATGATTTGGAATTTGAAAATCAAATGAATGAAAATCAATCATACACCACCTCTACATATGAAAATTCTCAGGGGTTACATCATTCTTTGAGATTGGTTTTGAAATTTGTTTGGATAGAGCAAGGTGATGATGGAGAAGTGTATTCTTGCCCAATGAGTTTAGATTTTGTTCCTACCACTCTAACTTCAATCAAATCTCTGGTTATTGGAAAATTAAAGACTAAATTGTCTGGTTATGAATGTGACTCAATTGTGTGGTGTCACGATAATCAGAAAACTCTCCTAACTGATACTGAATTACAGCAAAAAGCTTTGAGAAATGATGATATTCTCATTGTGAATGTAAAATAAATGCATTGAATAGTTCAAATTTTGTGTCTTTATCTAAACAACAAACATAGGAAAAGCTGTGGTAATCGATGCAAAAATGTCCTTAAAGCTGCAAATAATTTATTGAACAAGTTTAAAACGGAGAGTTTCACCTTTTAGGGGATCATTCGAAACATGCTGGAATAAAGATTATTAAGGCTGGTCCAAAATGTGGTATACTATCTGGGAGTATTTCATTCATAATCTCCACATTCAAATTATTATATTTTCAATTTCACAATAGTTTATTCGAATCTATTGTATTCGTTTAGTGGTGTGGAAATGTGAAAGAACCTCTACTAGTTTTGATATCATTTTTTCTAGCCTTTTTTTGAACAATGATTTGTATTGCAAAATAAAGCCTTCTGGAAGTGGCGCCAAACTTTGATTTAAAAAACTCAACACTGCAACACCAACCTGAAACAAACTCAAAAAAAAATACTCAACTCTTTCACTAAAATGGTAAGTTTTCTCTTGTATTATGTGAGTCACTAATCAAGCCTTAAAAATTAGTCTGCTGTTGCACAACAATCAAAGACGCAATCCATCACACATGAAGAGTCTTTGACTCTAATGAGAAATTTGATGAGAACTGCAATATCTTCTGTTTGCTATTTGAGAAATTTATTTCCTGAGGATTGTTTTCAAGACAAGTCTCTGAGTGGAATCCAAATCAAGTCTCTTCAGCCTTCAAATGAGGAGGCAAGAACACTTATCGATTGGTTAGAGAAGGGTGTGTTTGAAGCCTTGAAGAAGAAATATCTGAGAACTATAATCTTTGGAGTCTGTTCTGATCCAAGTAGAGAAATTGATTCAATGCTTGAGAGCTATGAATGTAAGTATTACACAAACTGGTTTGTTCAATTATCTGCTCTATCAGTCAAAGTAACCTATCCGGATAAGGAAGAAGGCCAGTTGAACATCTCAAGAGCAGCTGATTCGAACAAGACTAATAAGAAGATTGGAATTAAAGGAACTCAAACCAAACAAGAAATTACTCAATCAATGGTTATGATGCTTAGAACCCTCATCACTCTTGCTCAGACACTTCAACCAATTCCAGAAACTAGATATATTACCATGAAACTACTCTACTATGAAGATGTTACTCCTAGAGATTATGAGCCATCTTTCTTTAGAGCTTTGAGAGAGGATGAATCCAGAAAATTCAATCAAGATTTTGTCAAACTGAAGATTGGGCAAGTTCAAACTCAATATCACTCGTTGAATATTCGTGTAAGAACCGCATCTGAATCATTTGAAGATGAAGATGGTAAATCAGTCACCTCAGAGATGTTATCCTCCTGCCCTATAGACAAGAATAATTCACATCCAACCTCCTCTCAATGGGCTGTCAATGTACCAGAGAATAAGCTCGAAACAAAGAAGGAATATGATAGCGATTCGACTCAGCTTTCCCAACAGGATGACAACACTAAGCAATCAAGCAGTTGTGAAGAGAAATTATTCCTTGCAGATTTGGAAAAGATTGGTTGGTTCAATTTCCAACTCAAATCTGTCAGTAAACTATTATCCAACAAGTATCCATCTGTCACGGGCGAAATAGCTAAAGAATTGGTAATTGCCAAGAGAACCAAACTGGTCAAAGATATGGAAGATCATGAGAAGACCTATTACAAAGCACTTGCATATGTTTTAGAAGAGGATCATATTACAGCAAGTTCTCTATCCAGTGAATTAGATATCAGTTCCTACTCAGCAACCAAGTTAATCTCCCAAATGGAAAAGGAGGGTCTCCTTAAAGCTGCCTCAACAAAGAGAAAAGGGAAGAAGGTAATGCACAACAATAAGAGACTTGAAGAAGCAAAAGAGTTCATTGAATTTGAACAGTATTTGAAGCAACCTAAGACTGAATCCACCTCCTCTCCATCCAAATCACCAGAAGCTAAAAAGAAGCAAGAATTTGATTATTCGGACTCTGATTCAGAAATTTCAAATCATGAAGAGAGTGATATCAAACCAACTCCCAAAAAGGCTGTTCATTCCTCACCAACCGTCACTAGTCCACCAAAGCAACCTGAATCAGTTGATAAAAGAGGTGTAAAGAGAAAGACTATTTCTCAATTTGAAGTCAGTCACAGTCAAGATGAAATAACTGCCAATGATAGAGAGAATGAAGAAAATCCATCATCTTCTAAGGTGGATTTGGATTCAATCAACTACAGTTACTCAATTTTGTGAAGAGAGAAATTGGCTGAAACACTGTCCCGCCAGCTTACAACGGCTCAAAATTATTTTTGTGGTGTTGAAAAAAATATTAGAACGATCTATTAGGTTGTGATAAACTAACAGCAGCGAGTGCCATCAAGTCTATCATCAAAACTTGTATCAACAGTTGTTTCAAGACATTTGTAAAATAGAATTAACCTTTCAACAACAATTGTAGTAGTTGGATAATTTAAATCTACATTTCGATACAACACGAACATCAAATGAATAGAAACGACAAATTAATACCTGGTTACCCAGTAAAATCGGCAACAATCACTATTGATAATAAGAATGTTTTAATCAGTGATCTCTCCGAAACTCCTGGAGGTACAATTTATGGCACAACTCCTGGTGGTACAAGACGTATTTACACTAGAAACGCTTTGTTGTTATATCGTAATTCACCAATGGCTAAAAGTCCACCGATTAATTTACCAACCATTCCAGGTATTACCACTGATGAGGATCAATCTTCTTTGTACACCAAGAAGAAGAAGGAAGTTGAACAAAAAGAAGAAAGTGATGAAGAAATTTTGAGTGATGATGAAGATCAATTCCAAATGGATTAATTTAATTGAATCTTATTCTAACACCTAACACATACATATTTACTTTTTGAATTGGTTTTCATCATCTTCCGTAATATATTAGGAGTTTTTCAACAGGCCTACAATTCCATTTCCCAACCCTAAACTTTTAGTCAGACTTTTTTGATAGTACTAAAATACTATTCAAATGATTTTACTCTCTACCCAATAGTTAACTCCCTGACTACGAAATTGTAAATAAAGAACCCTTTTTGATGATGAAAATTATTAAATGTTAACTATTCTTCTAGAGTTTGATAAAATCAAAAGTATCTTTCTCATCAAAATCTAAAGATATTATCCAAATAATGAATATATTTTGAAGAGACACAATGAACAGTTATCATCATCCAACACAAAAATTCTGCACATGGTGATGATGGCCCAGAAGATATTGTACGTTCAATAATAGAGGTTGCAAGTAGTGTTGGGAACAAGCAGATAATTGCAACAACGGAGTGGATGTGAAGTTGAAATAACAAAAAATGAGTGAAAAAGCTAGGTTGAGAACGGATGCTGTGAATAACAGCTATTCCAACTCTGCTGATGATCAACCAATTCAACAAGAATTATCACCTGAAGAGATTTCAAAGAAGCGTCAACAACTTTTTACTAAAATTCTCTATATAATTCTCGGACTTGCTATTGCTGCTATTTTATTGACTGTTGTTATTGTACTTGTTCTCACTTATGAGGAAAAACAAGTTAAAAGATCATTGGTTTTTAATGATATTTTCAATGGAACCTTTGCCACTCAAGGTTTATCTGCAACATGGTCAGCAAATCCATCAAAGGAAGGAATCTTTTATTATTGGAAGAATAGAAAGACACAAGCAAGAGAAAATGTTGTTAGAAATGTTTTTGAAAATATGATTAGTGTTACTTCATTGAAAGAACGTGCTGATCAATCAGGTTGTGATATCATCAAGTATGATACTGCCACAAATTCCGAAAAGGCATTTATTTCTTTTGAAACACTTTCCAAAGCAAACATTCCTTGTAATACTAACTTTTTAATTCAAGGTGAAGAACGTTTTGTTTCATTTGAATTGGATATTGAACATGTTTGGCGTCATTCTAGTTTAAGTAGATTTGTTGTTTTGGATACTGTTACATCCACTATTACTGACCTTTCTCCAAATGCTCCAAAGCAATCTATTATGAAATGGTGTTCTTCAAGTGGTAACTCTGCTGTTGGTTCTGATGCTGTTGCTGCTTTCATTCAAGATAACAATATTTATGTTAACATTTTTGATTCAACAACTGGTAAATCAAAGTCTTTCAGACAAATTACTAGTGATGGATCATTTGAATTGATTTTTAATGGTATTGCTGATTGGGTTTATGAAGAAGAAGTTATTGCTGGTGTTGATACTTTTTTCTTCTCTCCAGATTGTTCCAAGATTTCCTATCTTAGATTGAATGATTCTCAAGTTCCGCTTATTCAACTTCCTCTCTATGATATGACTCACTCAAATCCTGAATATCTCAAGATTAGAATTCCAACTCCAGGTGATCATAATCCTATTCCATCTATTCACGTTTATGATATTAATACTGACAAGACTGTCAAGGTTGATATTGGACAAGATGAAAATCCAACCAAGATTGAAGATGAATATTATGTTTATGATTTATTGTGGGCTTCTAATTCTCAAGTTGCTGTTGTTCGTGTTAACAGATACCAAAATCAAAAGGATATTTTACTTGGTGATTTGAGTAAGGTTGTCGACGGTATTGTTCCATCATCTATCATTCATACTGTTACAACTGACAGATGGATTCAATATGCTCAAGGATCATCATTCTTCATTTTGGATTCAACTATGTTTGTTGATATTATTCCATATCATGACCATTATCATGTTGCTCTCTTCGATTACAGCAAGGGTACCAATAATACCTTTGTTAGATATTTGACAAGTGGTGATTTTGATGTTACTACAGTTTACAGAAAATTCTCTTCAAACATTAAGAAGATTTATTATCAAAGTACTGGTGATTCTAATGGTATTAACAGAAAGATTTATGCTGTTGATTTGGAAGCTACTCAAACTATTGAATTGACAAAGAATTCAACTGCTGAAAATGTTCACTTTGATGCCTCAATCAGTGCTGGTGGTAATTATGTTATCCTTACTTATAATGGTCCTGACTTCCCAACTAGTACTTTACATTCTGTTCAAGGATTGATTTCTGGAGGTGATAGTGGTGTAACTTTGAGTGAAAATAGTCAACTTCAAAAGAAGTTAGAAAATGAAGTTTTCATGCCAAAGTCTAAGGTTACTCAAGTTCAAAACGATAACGGTGACAAGTTGAATGTTCTCTTTGTTTATCCACCTCATTGGAATCCTCAAAATGAAGTCAAATACCCAGCTGTTATTTATTCATACAATGGTCCTGGTTCACAACTTGTTAACAATGATTGGCACTCAATGCACAATGGATTCTCCCTTTATTTGGCTTCTTTGGGATTCATTGTTGTTACTGTTGATGGTAGAGGTACTGGTTACAGAGGTGTTAACTTTATGACTCAAACCTATAAGAATTTGGGTTATTATGAAGTTTTGGATCAAATTTCTGTTGCTAAATATTTGACTGGATTGTCCTATGTTGACTCATCAAAGATTGCTATTTGGGGTTGGTCTTATGGTGGTTATTTATCATCCAAGACTATTTCATTCTATGAAAATGCTACAAACTCTGAATCTTCCCCATTCAAACTTGCTCTCTCAGTTGCTCCAGTTACCGATTGGAAGTATTATGATACTGCTTACACTGAAAGATATATGCTTTGGCCAGAAGTTAATCCAACTGGTTACAAGAGAAGCAGCGTTTTGAATCAAGTTAAGAATCCAAAATGTCCAATCTTGCCAACTGCTCTCAGTAATGGAGATGTTCAACAATCATCCAAGAAGTTCGTTCTTGCCTTTGGTTCTAGAGACGATAACGTTCACCCAATTAATAGTTTCAATTTAATGTCCATCTTGCAAGATAGTCTTGTACAATTTGATTTAATGGTTTATACCAATAAGGATCACTCAATTGACAATAGAAGACATATCTACAAATTCCTTTCTCAACATTTAGTTGATATTTTGGACGTTAGTGCTTAAATAAATAATAAAAGTTTATACAAATACATCTTTAACAGAATATTCACCAGACATTGCTAGAGCCATCAATTCAAGTAGAGAATCAACACCACTGCTAGATTTTACTCTATTCGATCTTACACTTAATGTTACAAGTGAGGAATTATTTTTTACAACATCCATTAGTGACCTAACTCCTTCTTCTCCAATTCGATTTCCAGTCAAATCTAAATGTTCCACACTTCTATTGACATTTGAACTACTGCTATCCTTATTATAAAATACTTTTATCAATTCATTTAATCCTTCTGCTCCCATATCATTCATTGATAAATTTAAATATTGTATTGTTGTATTTTGTGCTAGTATTTCTGCTAAAATATTGCAACTTGCAGCATTTCCTAATCTATTTCCTGTTAAATCCAAATACATTATTTGACACACATTGGCTGGATTAATATTTAATTTAGGATTTAAAATAAAACTCTTCTCATATAAATAATGAATATCATCAAAATCAATTAATTGAAAATTTAATTTAATAAAAGTAGGATTTTTCTCCAATTCCGATTCAAATAATTTTAAAATTCCTTCCGATCGTTTTTGTTTTGATTTTTCATCAAGTGGTTGTTGTTTAGTATTACTTGGGCTTCTCTGCCGTCCATCTATGATAAGTCTTGTGGGTGTGCTTGATTCCTCCTGTACAGACATTTTTTTTAATATTCTTTTAAATGTTTAATAATAGATTTAATGATGTAAGAACGAACACACAACAATTAAGAAAATTAATAATTTACAAAAAAATGTCTTCAAAAGAATTGAAAAAGTTATTGAAAGGTCTTCCGAAATTAAAAACACCATCCAAAAAATTACCCTTCGCATCATCAAGTAATAATAAATTTAATTTATCGGAATCTTCTAAAACAAAAGCTACTGTCGGTCATATCAGAGTTTCAGACAAATTAAAGGATTGTATCTTTGATTCAATCAAAATACGGAATTTAACAAGGGATATATTGAAATTTACACCACATAAAGATTATGGGGTGACAGTATTATTTTGTGGAAATAAGTATATTACATCTTTGAATGAAAAGGATAGAAAGAAGAAAGGCCCAACAGATATTCTCTCATATCCTGTTTATTCTCCAGATTTGGATCATAATTTTGCATTGATGGAGAAGGATGCTGCTTTTAATGATGATTTGGCAAAATTACTAGCTGATGAACATAAAATCTTAATGGAAGAGGAAAAGTTTTTAGGAGATATGGTCATTTCTCAACCTTACATTGTTGATTATTGTAAGGAAAATAATATTTCATTGGATCATCATATGGCTCTTTTATTGACTCATGGAATTTTACACTTGATGGGCTATGATCATGAAACTGATTCAGATTATGCAATTATGAAAGAAAAGGAAGACGAAATATTGAGTGGTTTAGAAAAGAAGTATGGCAAAGAAGAATGGAGTAAACTTAAAGTAACAAAAAGCTAATAAAGTGGAGAATATTTCTATACCCAATATCAAATAATTGGAATTGCAAATAATTGTCTACTTAGTAATTCTTACACAAAAGAGAAGAATTTACCTGATAATCAGATTTTGTACACACCAGGAGTTGTTTATCGACATATTTACTTTCGGATCGCCTGTCGCTCATGAATTATCATCATTAACTGTACCAGATTTATTTCTATGCAGAAAATATTTTACTTGTGCTCAATATTTTTAATGTTATGGTTTTGATAAATATTCCTTCAATTTGTTAATTAACAAATTAATTTCTTGCAAAAAGAAGAGTCAGACAAGACCGAAACTATACATTTGAAATGTTGTGAAATTTCATGGTAGGATCAAATATTCATTACGTCATCATCCAGAGAATTTTCTTAATATTAAGAAAAATATCAATCTATCATTGGATTCATACCTTCATCGGAACCAAAGCTTGACAAAATCATGAAGCAAGTTGGTTAAAAATTATTTGATGATTAAAATTTTGTCATCATAATTGTTGAATTTTAAAAAAATCAAACAAACGTTTGAAGAAATTGATACTAACGAAACAATACCACTTCATCTCAATGAAATGTATAATTTAGAGGAATCATCAATAAGTGCAATTTATTCATCGGATGAAGATGTGTTCGGAAGTGTGGAAAAATTAACAACATTATCAAGCAGTGTGAATAATAATCAAGTAACAACTGCCACTTCAACAACAACATCAGAGTTTAAACCAATTCTTTCCAATGAACTCTTTAGTGAAAATATGCAATCATCATCCAGTGGTCTGGGTAGAAGATTATCCAGAAATTCCTATGCATGTGTAATGTGTAATTGTACATTCCATAAGAAATCACAATTGAGAGCACACGTTTTAGATGCCCATCGTGAAGCATCAGATGATTCTTCCTCTAATAACTCGGATGAAACTGATGAGGAACAAATAATTCCAAAACCAAAGGATGTTGTTGTCACAGTTTATAAATGTCCTCATCAATCATGTGGAAAAGAATTTTATTCTGAAGGAAAATTGGATAAACATTTAAAAAAACATGAAGACAAACGACATTTATGTGGATTTCCTTCTTGTGGAAAACAATTTTCATTTAGACATGAACTGCTAGATCACATTAAGGATATGCATTCACCAAAACAGAGTGTTTGCACAATTTGTAATAAGGAATTTAAAGACCTACAATCATTACAAGTACATTTAAGAACGATACACAAGAATGAAAATAGAGTATTTAGATGTCATTATGATGGATGTAATAAGTTTTATACCAATAAGAGAAACTTGGATGATCACATCAAAACAACACATTTGAAAACTAAACAATTCAAATGTGATATTTGTCAGCGAATTCTCAAACACAAAGCAAGTTTAAGAAGACATTATAAGAATATTCACAATCAAGTTTATGTTGATCCAGTGTCGACACCAATACCTTCAGATAATGAATTCAGTGAACTTTCACTCTTTACAGATGTAAGCAGTTCAAAGAATGAAGATGCCTTCTTTAATACAGAACCAGAATTCAAAAGTCCTGACAATATTGACTCTAAATCCACCTCCAAAAAACGATCCAAACCAAAGTCTTCAGACACTGCCAGCACTAGTAGTGAATCTTCTAAGAAAAAGATTAAAGTTGGCAATGTCTTTCTTGATAGAATTTTGGGTGATGACATTAATAAACAACAATAAGGTTCCTTGTTAATTTGTTCAAATTATCTAACATTCTAACATTATGTTCCAAAGTTTGCTGGAGGAGTTAATTCTTCCCTTGTCGTATTAAATATTTTCAGGAATGTAATCTCTTGAAACATCCTCTACCTCCTATTTTTGATAAGTGAGGAAAGAAGGATGTTTTGAGCTGGTAACTGCGTGCGCATTTTCTAGTAAGTTGTTACGCCAACAAAATATTTTAAATAACAATAAGCTCTTCTAATCACTAACAAAGAACAAATACAAAAAAAAATGTCATCCACTACTACAACTACTATTGCTAAAAAACTCTTCACTCCATTGAAACTTGGAGGATCAAAAATTACTCTCTCTCATCGTGTTGCTATGGCTCCATTGACTCGTTCAAGAGCTTTTGCTGGTGATTGTGAAGTGCCAGAACTTGGCCAATTGTATTACAGTCAGAGATCAACTGAAGGAGGTTTGATTGTTAGTGAAGCAACACAAATCAGTAGAGAAGGACAAGGTTATCCAACAACACCTGGAATTTACTCTGATGCTCAAGTTGAATCATGGAAGAAGGTTTTGGAAAAAGTTCATCAAAAAGGAGGAGCTATGTTTTGTCAATTGTGGCACGTTGGTAGATTGCGTTGGGAAGGAGCTGTTTCTGCATCTGAAACACCACTTCTTGAAACTAAAATGACTGATTTGGCCAATTTGCAATCTGGAATTAATAATGTTCTTCCAAAACCACCTCGTGCCTTAACTCTTGAAGAAATTAAAAGAGTTGTTGCTGATTTCGGTAAAGGAGCCAAGAATGCAAAGGCAGCCGGATTTGATGGTGTTGAACTTCATGGTGCTAATGGTTATTTGATTGACCAATTTTTAAGAGATGGTATTAATAAGAGAACTGATGGATATGGTGGTTCAATTAAAAACAGATTGAGATTCCTCCAAGAAGTTTTGGAAGAAACTGCTAAACACTTCGATTCAGGAAGAATTGGTGTGAGACTTTCACCTTATTCCACACTTTATGAAATGAGTGATTCCACTGGAAAGGAACTTTGGGAAGAAGCTGCCAAGCTTTTGAATTCATACGATTTGGCTTACTTGCACGTCATGGAACCAAAGGGTGCTGGTGAAGCATTCGTTGCAGCAGAATTGAGACCTCACTTTAAGAATCCAATTATGGTTAATACTGGTTTTGATGCTGAAACTGGTGAAGCAATTGTTCAAAAAGGTCATGCTGATTTGGTTTCATTTGGAAGACCTTTCATTGCTAATCCTGATTTAGTTTATCGTATGAAAAATAATTTACCATTGAATCAAGTTGATTATCAAACCTTGTATTATTCCCCTAATGTTAGTGGAGGTTATACTGATTATCCAACTTATGAACAAACTCAAAAATAAATTGAATAAAACAATCACTCAATTTTAGATATTTCCTTAATATTATTGAATGAAAACAAAAAAAGGAAAGATTAAAAAGGTGTAGGAAGACAGGGAATCGAACCCTGATCTTAGGAACCACAATCCCATGTTCTACCACTGAACTATCTCCCTTCATGTCATACCTTAAAATATGTCAAATGGAAGTTATACTCAATTTGATTGTCAAGATTTAATTGGTTATTGAGTGCAAACTTACTGCACCTTCGATTCTTCCATAAGCCAAAGTACAAATGGATTACAATTGGAACATATTTGCTTTCTAAATTTAAAAAATAAGTCAAAATGGCACTCACAGATGACGAGATTTCTTCGTTGGTTGCCTTTGTGATTTGTGCCGTTTTGTTGATGGCTTTTATTGTGTAGGTTTACATGTATCGGAACATGACATTAATCGTATCTAATTTAGAATTTATGTATTGTTTTCGAGTAGAATATTTGCCTTCGTCATCAGCAAACTATTGTGGTATTGGAAATTGAAGGCTAACAATGAATATTTATCAATTGGTATGTAATAGAAAATAATTATAATATTGAAAATATATAGGATCTCTTACGTTTGCACCACTTGGAGGAAAGGTTTGTTTTGTGGATTTGGATTTTTGTATTAATTCCGATGTGTAATAGATTTTATTTAGAGGAGTACAATATACTACCAAGAATGGATCTTTACAAATTATTGATGGATATATAGAAGTTTATTGGTGGTTTATAATTAAATCGACTTGGCAAAAAACTAAAAAAGAATCAAGATTTAGATGTTATCTAAATGGTGTGGAATGGCTCATTTATAATAATGTGTCACGTTATGATCAAATTAATGCCAAAAAACTAAATTATAATTTAAGTGATAGTGAGGATGAGGATAATATGCAAAATGATGATAGAATTCATGATACCGAAGATGAAGGAAATAGAGATATTATGGAGGAAGATAACATTCAAAGGTTTTTCAAATGGGCTAAGAATGTTGGTGTGGATGTTAGAAGAGGTTGTATAGCTATTGGAAATAGTGAATTGCCAATATCTTTGAGAATTGCTTTCAGAAGAGCATTGGCTACTGTTGGATTGGAAAAACCAAACTCTACATTGGACAAATACAAACTTAAAGCAGATATTAATTTTGAATATTTCAAAATTATGTTTATCGAGAATAATAACGTTCCACAGTACAATACTCCTCATTTCGAATTATCAAGAAAGAAAACTGAAGAAGAGTGAGTATTGAAATTAATTGTAATGTTTTTAACATAATTTAGTATCATTAAGGAGGTACAAAGACAATTTAAAGTTATCTTCAAAAATTCCAATTTTGATTTTATGAATGAGTTAAAAACAATGACAACTGAGAAGATTGATAAGGAACCTGAATATGTTTTTAATATGAAGGAAGCATCAGATAAAAAGTCAACAATAGTAGATCAAAAGAAAGTTTGCCTCTGTACAAAATTAAGAGTATGCTATTACTATGAAGAAGGAGGAGTCACTCCAGAGGATGAGAGTAGATCTCCCAATTTAATGAGAAGTAACGATGATAACGTGCGAAGCAATTCTGAGCCATCACCAGTACATGGTGTCGAGTTGCATTTTGATAGATTTGTAGATGGTGCAGTTGTATATGGACCTTGGGGAGACCACCAGAGAGCATTGCTTCAAGCTTTCTTCTTCCCTCCTCTCTATGAGAATGCAAAGTACTATAGAAAAACAGCAGGACGACAAAGAAAATCTGAAAAATTTGATGTTGAGTTCTATTTTAATGAAAAGACAACTTGGGTATTCCCTTTTATTGCAACACCAAAAACTTTAAGAGAAAAAAAAGAAAATAAGGGCGACGAACAAATTTTGACAATGATTTTTGACAAGAATTCCTTCCTTCACTGGAGTGGTGATATGTATGCTTCTTTAGCAACTAATGAAACAATTACCAATATTGATTTCAATTTCCCAGGAATGAGTCTAATTACAAGCAATACGCAAGCCACCTTTGGTGAATCAGAGATAGGAAAAGGCCACTTCATTATGAGAAACTCTGCTGAATGGAATGGCAGAAAGGACTGGACTTTCAATTTTGAAGCAAACAAGTCTACAGTTTATTACACGGCAGGTAAGTTATCAATATATTTTCTAATTCTAAAATCATTTATAGAACACATTGGATTCATTATGGATTTAATTAGGGATTGGAGAAATTATCCAAACCAAAAACAAGCAACTTTACTCGATTTTATTCCCTCTGTATATACATATAATTTTAAACTTTATAACTCAATGCTTAAGATGCATACTAACGACTTGAACATAGTGGAGTTTCCTAATGACAGCTCCAAGAATCACTTTTTCTGTATTGATTACCCTCTAATGAGTATCAGTTTTACTGCTCCTGGAGAAGTTTTTTCCCCACCTTCTGTAGAATATTCATTCAGTGTAGAGGTTAAGGGTGATGCACAAGTTGACCCTGGAGTACATATGGAATACCCAAAAGATCATCCTGTTCACGAAATGCAAATGGAACCAGGAAAAAAGTTTTTATGGGGCGAAAGAGCTCATGTACATGGAACCTATACAGTCCATGACAAAATCAATGTCGAAAATGTGGATTCCTGCATAATTAATGTTGATTTATTCAATGTAAATTTAATGGTGAACGGATATCACCTCAATTATTTAATTACTATGTGGTTTGACCATTTCACTGCTGAAAGATTTTGGATGTCAGAATCTGAATACATTGCAAATGGATATAAGAATGACAAGTCAAAGCAAATATCCAATTTACAATCCACTGATTTGTCGTCCATTCCTTATCCATCTAACCCAACCGAATACTTTGTTACCATTAATATCAAACGAGGTATAGTACATTTGCCTCACTCTCTTTATTCGAGAGAAGAATGTACACAACTTATGGGTGAAGAATTTACTATGGATATTAGATACGTACCTTCCAGTATTGATTTGTGTTTCAATCTTGGTCAACTTATGGCTGAAATACCAATTAACCCAGATGAAAAAGTAAGGCCTTCAAAGAAGTTTATTGGTTGTGAAGGAATCAAATTTTTAGCACAATTACCAATTGGACCAAATCCTGATGGGTTACTTTGGAGAAGAAAAATTCACTTTGATATTGGAGCAATAACTGGTGAAATCACTCCAAGTCAAATTGGTAATATTGTAAATATTGGTCTCAATTTTGTCTATCAGTGGAAATTGGCCTACTTCCCTAAACCTGACATTACTTTTAAAAAAAGTGATTATTCCAGAAGACAATATTCTTCTGAAGAGTTTGATGAATACTTGATTTGGGATGTTAGAGTAACCTTTGTTTCTATTTCTGCTGTCATTTCAATGACCAACGGTATGGTCAATATCGATTTAGACAAGGGAATTGATATTAATTTTGATTCACTCAATAATGGATCATCCAATTCTAGGCTCAATGTATTGGTACCCTCCATACATGCCAGAATAATGAATGCAAGAGAAACAGGAATGAAAGTAGATGGTGATTGGGTTCAAATTGGAGAACTATTGTCTGGTCTTAAAGTTGGTATGGAAAAGAAAACTCACGACCTTAAAGAGCACTATTTCAGACAACAAAGGTTCATTCAAAATATGAACGGAGATTCGTTTGGATTGAATTTTAGTGCTGATAAACAAATGGAAACATCTCTTAACAAACGAGAGATGGAGACAAGTGCTTCAACAAGCAAGAAAAGGTCCAAAAAAAAGAATCCTTCAAAGAGATCTGTTGCTAAGACTACAACTGAAATTAGTGAAACAGATATTAGCGAAACAGACACAGATGCTGAATTTTTCGATATAGATGATGACGAATTGGAGCTGGAAGAGGAAGAAGAGAAGGTTCAAAAGGTCAGAAAAGTGTTTAATGGTCTAACTTTTCATGATACCGAACTGGGTAAAACAATTAGTGTAGACTATATTGATAGTATAATTTCAGAAGATGGAAGCCAATTTATAGAAAAGGATGTATTGGACGATAGAGCACAATGGAATCTTATTTCGAAATCATCACCAAGTTTATCTACATATTCCAGTTATTTGAAAAATTATTACTATGAACAAGAAAGAGAAAGTCTTATGCCTTTAACATATAATGCTAAGCAATTTCTTACAGATAGATATCCTCACCATAGAATGGGAATGTACTCTCCTTTCCCTGAATATCACTTAAGAAGAAATAAGAATACTGAAGATTCAAATGAGTTACTACCAATAGTATCAAAATTCAGCAAACTTGACATGAAAGATTTTAGAGGACAATTCTATTCATTTTCTTCTGGAAAGGACCGTGAGAATATTGAGAGAATTTTGCAAATCGAAAGTAACTTTACCTCCCAAGAAAAAATTGATCAACAACATATCAACATTGAATTTTTAAAGAATATTGATATTAGCTTTTCACCAAATGTAATCTCTCTAGTACACCAATTAATCAAATATATAATACTTCCAGATTCAAACCTTCATGCTACAGCTGATCATATCGAAAAGTCAAAGAAAGTATTCCATCAGGATGTCCCAGAGGAATTATTAGAAGAGAAGAAAACTATTCCAAAATGGGATTTAAAGAAAATTATCTTTTCTGGTGGTGTTAAATGTGTTAATGTTAACGTTTTACAATCACTCTCTGTACCTAATATTATACCTGAGTCACCTTTACAAGGAACAGTTTCTGCATATTCTATCAAACTTTTTGCTACTGATTTTGTAGCTTCTGGATCTGTAACTTTGAGAAAAGTGGAAGAGGAAAAGAAAGTAAGCTCTGAACTATTTTCTATTGAAGGTTTTGGAAAATGTCTAGAGGTTGGAGGTATTTCTCAGTGCTTAGATAGTAAAACATACCATTACAAAGGTATTGATCCTTCTGAGTTACCACTTTACTTCTTACAAAGGGTAAATCTAATACCAGACGCACCAATAGTTGCAGCAATTCTTGTAGAGGACGTTCATTTCCAAGGTAAAAATAATATCAAGGAGGAAAACTCTCAGGGAAGATTTACCTGTACAGTAGGAAAGCAAGGTTCTCTAGGATCAGGTGTTTCTGTACTCTTTACTCATGATATAATTGTAATTTCATATTCACTTGTAGAAGTGTGGAGAAAAGTTATCACAGATATGGTATTGAATGTTAGAAACTATTTGAGGTTACGACACGTCTATGATTTGCTACTACTTAGTCAAGTTTCAAAGAAAGCTGTATCCAATACATCAGAAAACCTCTATGGAGTCTTGGAAAAAAAGCAAGCTTTGAAACATTTAAGAGCTTCTCTCTACTCTTTAACTTTTGCTGACTGTAGAAGTATTCAAAAGTTTATGCATTCTCATATAGGAATGGAAGTTGATTCAAAGGTAGAAATGAGAGCAATAAGAAATGAATACTCTGAATTGATAGAAGACGAAGACCATGCCCCTCAAATTCATACAAGCAAAACCTCTGTGAGATTGAGAACTGATATCTCTTTCCACTTGGAACGACTTGACCTTTCAGTTCATTCTGTTGATTTTAAAACAAAAGTTTACACAAAGAGTATTGCAAAGTTTAATGATATTTTAATGAGAGGAAAAGTAGAACATAGTTTGAATCCACTTTTCGAAACTGAGTACAAGAAATTTGAATCAGAAAATGCACAAAAGATAAGAGATATTTCTCTTATTTTATCAGTGAATTGTAGAGCCTTTAGTATTGATATTCACTCTCAAACTCTCATCCTTTTAACTTCAGCGCTTGGAGTATTCTTAATTGTTAAAAACAAACCTTTCATTAAAAAGTTGAGAGAAAAAGAAAAAAAGAACAAAAACAAAAATCCTCAACAAAACCACGGAGAAATTAAGGAGATAACACACGATGTTTCTGCATCAACCCATGAACCAGAGGGTGAAAAAGAAATACCAGTGTACCAAGAAAAAGTAGTCCTAAAACTGAATGTATTTACAAATGTTAATGTACAAAAAGCAACCGCTAGAGCATGGATGGACAAGAATAGTTTTGCAGAACTCAGTATTGATAAGTTTTCTCTACTCTTCAATCAACCTAAAAGCTCAGAAGAGCACATGCTAGCCATCAATAATGAGGAAAACAAGTCAGAGAAGAAGAGTAATCTTAAAATGGTACATAGTAGTAATATTTCCATTAACAAAATTCTATTCCAGTTCAATTATACAACTCCTGAAAAAACAAACGAGAGAACAAAAGAGTTTATTTCTCTCTTTGATGTTACTGTGAATGATATTAGACTTAATGAATTTTTATTCAAAGAAAAGGACTTGAATGTGCATGCCTATTTTGCATTTGATAAGCTTTTAATTAATCTTCCATTTGCTGATGTTTGGTCTGCATCTTCAGTACAATTTAGGCTGTTTGTGAAAACATGGTATGAAGCTATCAAAAGAAAGCCTAATTTACCAAGCTTTGACATTTCAAAAGATTCTTCTCAACCAAAACAAGACCAAGAGCAACCCAAATCACCTATTAATTTCAATATTCCTGCAATTAATATTGTTCTTGATTTGAATGATATTTCTGCATACTTCAAGTTGGTAGATTCTTTCCAAATGAGATATAGTCTCACGAAACTAACAGCTCACTTCAAGCAAAATTCAAAACTTGACAATAACTTTATGGTACACTTGTTCCCGCATTCGTTTACTTTGAAATCAAAGAATGATGAAGAATTTCCAAACTCCAACAAGTGGGAAGGTCCAAGAAGCACAACACTTGGTTCGAATGAATTCAGAAAGATTTTCATTCTTCCTGAAGTTATTGTTTCTGGAAGTTTAGAAAATAAGGACAATAATGGTACTACACAGAGAATACTTTCCACTTTAATAGCTATTGATTACTTTGAAAATGTGGTTACAAGTGATTTGTTAAATCATGTTATTGTCATTCAATCCGCTGTTACAAAAGAGATTAACAAGATCATTGAAAGCTTGAATAAGGGTGTTGAAGATTTAGAAAAAATCAAAAACGAATTACCAAAAGCTAAAAAGAATGTCAGATCTCTCAATCTTTTCTTTGATGTAAAGCTTTTGTTTGAAGGAATTAGAATCACAGCTCTTGGACCATCTACAGCTCTGGTTGTTGACTCTGGATCAGTTAATGTTACAGCTTCCAACATTGAACATGTACGAGTCAAGATGTCACTCAAAGGTCTAAATATTAATATGGTAGACACCCACAACATCAAATGGGCAAGTACAAGAAAGTACAACAATAGATATTCTGAAACAAGTGAGTGTTACCAGTGGGCCCAATTCCAATCAAACCTTCAAGTTCAAAACTTCCTGGATACTAAATTATCTACAACAGACAAACAATCCACCAAGAATTTCACTCTCGATATTTCAAATACCCATCTATACCTTAGACCTGGATGTATAGAGCAAGCACTATTTTTATTTAAAGATTACAAGCAATCAGTCCAAACTGTGTTTGAAAAGTTAAAAGAGGCTAGACAAAAGAATAGATCTGAAGCTTTAACTTCCCTCATCAAGACTGGAGAAGAATATTATTCATTATATTCTCATCAAATCAAAGAAAAAGTTGCTTCAGATGCTAGTACATTTATTAATTCAGGAGTGGTAAGAATTATGAATACCACCCTATCTATGCCATTCGGAGATAATCCATACTTTGGATTCCTCACAAATGAGGGTCCTAATTTCAAACCTACATGCTGTTTACAAGTAATTATTCCAGCAGTTGGTCTCTCAACAATGTCAGAATCAGAAGATGATGTTAGTGCTACACTAGATACATTGATTTCAACAGGAAAAGACAGTGTTTCCAGTCAAAGAGTTGCCACTTGTAAGGTGAAGTCTATCAATATTTATCTCGATGAAAAACCCCTAAAGAAATCTAAATATTCCTTTAGTATGCCAACACTTCATGACTTTGATCAAGCAAAAACAAAAGGAAAGATTGAGAAAATAATGATGAGCTTGAAGCTAAGAGTCACAACCAACGAAATCAATGGTTCTGGTGTTATTCATGTACCTGGTCCTGATTTGAATATTTCACCAGTTATAGTTAGAAGAGCTCTTGAACTTGGATATGATTGGTTTAATCCAAAACGAAAAATTTTCAATTCATATGTTGAATCTCCTAAGACCCAACCACAAAAACAAGACCAAGGTGTAATTACGCCAACGAAAGTAAGAGAACTCACAAAAAGAAAAATTTATTTCCTCATTACTGCCAACATTCAACCTGGTGTATTTAATTTAGTTCACAATATGACACCAAATACACTCGTTAGACGTAAAATTACAGACGAAACAGCTGTTGCAGTAGAAGGAAAATTGCCATCAGTTACAGTTACAGCCTTACACAAAAATCCAGGTACGAACACAAACCGATCTACAACACATATTCAAACAGGCATTCATTGGGATGGTGTTAAACTTCTTCCAAAATCATTATTCTTTGTATTGGAGGCAGTTCATGAGTTTAAACTTTGGTCAAAGGAAGAGCAAAAAAGAAGACAAAATTCTGCAACCTACAAGTCAAAAGATCAAAATACTACCGAAATTGAGGATACCAAGGAGGTATTCAAACCTGTTGCATGGATGAGAATGCTTAAATCCGTTCTCCTTGTACAAAGAATTTACAGAGGGTTTAGAGCAAGACAACTCGTTAAAAAACTCAGATCCGACAAGAACTTGAGAAGTACTTATCTTAAAAAAACAACAAAGAAGGAAATCAAAAAGAAAGAAAATGCTTCTCTCCAATCTGATTCCTTCAGTTTGCAATGTAGAATCAATCCTTTTAGAGTTGAACTTTCTTGCTTCCCTCTTGCAGAAACGGTTACTTGCTTTGAATTCACATCTCCATTCGATATTATTTTGAGTAGAACATTGAGAACTGTACAAACGGGTAATACCAAGGGTACTGCCATTTACCTTAACGTTTGCCTTTCTTGCCCTATTGCCTTGATAAGATGCTACCATCCTCTATCTCCTACACCATTTGTTATTTTGACAGTAGCAGGAATTATTGGAAACTTGGGCAGTGGATTTGGAAATTATCTTAGATCTGATGACACTCCGGTATATTCAGGAACTCTTCACGTAAAAAAGGTTTCAGTAGAGGTTAGTCTACCACAAATGAACCACTTCTTTATTATGTACACAATTTGGATGGATAAATATGAAGAAGCCAGGAAGTCTCTCAAGATTGTAAGAGGAGATATCAAAACAACACCTAAAACTCAATTAGTTGTTCTGACGAACGAAGAGAAAGAAGAGAAAGATCAAAAGAGAAAGAAAATTATTATGGAAGAAATATCCCTTGAATCTACCTCATCTAAATTTGGTCAATTATTAATCTCCTCATTCGAAATTGTTAGTGATATGGGTCCAACTCTTGGTAAGCAGAAATTGTATGCTGAAGAAATTTCCTTGTTCTGCAAAGATAAGGGACGTATAGTTAATGAAATTGAAAGAGAACCATTACATATTGGTGGATACTTAGGAAAATTTGAGGGAACATTTGTTGGAAGACTTCAAGGTAATATATCGATGAATGGTATTGTAGTTGGGCTAAATAGAACATTCAAGAAAGGAGGTTCATCTCCTACGTATAAGGGATCTAGTGAAGTGTTTATTACAGCTTTACCAACTCTAATAGATTTGGAGCTCAACTCTGCCAAGATACTCAACATCTCACTCAACACATTATCCATTACATTCTGCGATATATTTGACTCTACAGATGGTAGACAATACCATGTGGAAACATCTGTAAACTCATCTGGAGCAACAGTTCGTCTTTCTAAAATATCTGCATCTGCTTTCATATACGTATTCTATAAGATCAAAGAGTTAGCCACTGAAAGAAAGAAAGCTGCATTAGATACTCTCCAAGGATCTGTTAATTTTTATAATACAGAGGATGCCTCTGAAAAAGAAACAGAAGAAGAAAAATCATTCGAAATCAAATCTCTAAAAATTCAATCTCCAACGAAACAATTTTTATCACTCATTCCAATTGGTGATATAGTTTTTAAGGGTGTAAATCTCAAAGTTTACCTTTATGAAAAGTTTACAGTTGAAAAAGATCAATTCGTTCCAGCAGGAGATTGGTTAGAGTTTGGAATGGATGACTACCAACTAAAGTTCAAACGTAAAGGACTTATGGAGGATAAATCTGTAGAAAGGTCACTGACATTGTTTTTAGCCAAAGTAGCTCTGGATAGAATGACTACTCCAAACAAGCGATCATTTATTTTGGAGGTCCCTGGAGCTCACTTAACAATGAACTCATTACAAACAAGATCTATTCCAGATGTAATTAATTATACATTCAAAACCAAGTTCCCTAAGGCCATTACAGTCACCACCAATTTGAATGAATATACATTCTTACAAGGTTTGATGAAGCTCTACAAATCAGAAGTTACAAACGAATTGGAGGAACATAAGAAATCTGTACAACAACAATCATCATCTGTAATTTCCCTCACTTCTCAAAAACAAACAACAACAGATACTCAAATATCCATATTTGGAATTCCAAAGAGAAAATTCGAAGGTACAATTCAACTAAATCCTAAGCTAAATGTTTTAGGAGATTTAACTCCTCAAGTTCAAACAGTTTTGTCATGGCTTGGAATTTCTGAAAGTATTATACCAAGAGCAGCTCATGAAGGAGTATCTGACTCTCTTGAGTCAATATTTATCATTTGTTATAGAGCTTCTGAATTGATGGATAATTTATTTGTTGAATCAACTTATGAAAAATAAATAATTTAATTACTCGATATGCATTTAGTCTGAAATTCCTTCATTCCTCTGCCGCACTATTTCTTTAGCTTTCTTCACTCTCTTGCTAAGCTTTGCTTTCATCTTTGAAAGAAGCATAAATCTGTCTACAACTTTCATTTCACGACCAACAGTAATAGCGCCAGCAATTTCTTGGTCTGTTGAAATTTCAATCTTATCAACTTGAGTAACAAATGGCCATTTACCATTCATTGTTATCCAAGCATGTTCCTTAATCTCCTTAATTGTAATTCTTCTATGTGGATCCTTGCAGAATAACCTAGTTAATAAATCTTGCAGATCTGGCTCTATATTTTCAGGTATTTCTGGCTCGTCATTAAGAATAGCATTATACATTCCAAGAATACCTGGTCCAAAAAATGGCAGTCTACCATACAGCATAACAAATAATGTAACACCTGCTGCCCAAATATCAGATGCATAGCCACTGTACGATCCAACATGACAAGCTTCTGGCGAAAGGAAAGCCGGAGTACCGGGTGCTGTGTTAAAAGTATCATTGTCTCCTTCTAACATTGAACTAACACCAAAATCTGTAATCTTTAATCTGTCATCCTTTGTTACTAACACATTTTCAGGCTTAATATCTCTATGTACAATTTTGTTTTCGTGCAAATATTCTAATCCGCAAATAAGGTCTCGGTAATATCTTCTACACGTTTCTTCTGTAAAAGCTGGTCTATCGGTTTTATCTTTAGATATAATTTTCATTAAACATCCACTTTCAATATATTCAAAAACAAGGAACAGCTTATCAATCTTTGGATCGTCTATCACTTCATAAAGTTCCACGACATTTGGATGATGAAGTTTCTTAAGAATTGAAACTTCTTTCATCAATATCATTAAACTTGAATTATCCTTATCCTTAACTGGCCTTCCTAGCTTGTCCTTCTTTTTCAAATCTTTCAAAATGGACTTGTTAATAATTTTCAAAGCACATAATTCACCAGTATCACTCTTCTTACAAAGCTTAACTTTTCCATGCATACCTCTACCAATCTTTTTAATAACGACATACTCATTGACAGTTTTCTTACCATCTTGATCTACACCTGTAGATAAAGTGGTTGTCATGTGAACTTGTCTCTTTGTTCTTGGTGAAGACCCTTCGGTTTCAGATCCACCAGTTGAAAGTGCACCTGAACTACTGTAACCTTCTTCATCAGAATAAGGTGAGAGCCCATTTGGAATATTCAACTTTGGCTCTTGTAGTATAGTAGATGAAGCAGGATTTTCCTTTTCTTCCTTTCCAGTATCTTCTTGTTCTGGTTTATCATCTTCAATTTCAAACTTTTTCAAGCTCCTAGATTTTGGACTAGCAATATTTACAATTGATTTTCTATCATCTGCATCCTGACCATTATCAGAATCGATGAATTTATCTTTAGATATACTTCTATTCACTGAAGAAGCATTAGATCGTTTCCTTCTTAATTTCTTGCCTGAATTCTTCATCGATCTTGTTGAGGTTCTTACAGGTTGTTCAATTTCCTCCGAAGAAGATGAAGAATGAGAAGCTATTGGATTACCAATAGCAAAATCATCCTTAGTGAATGTGAATGAGCTCGCCTGTTGTATTGTTTTATGAGACCAGAAACGTCTTAATTCCTGTGGCGATTCCGTTTGAACACCTTTATCTTGTGGAGGTCCTTTTGATATTAATTGTTGTAATAATTGCAATTGCTCAGAATTTATCATTACTAAAATATTTTCCAATCCAACAACCTCCTGATTTTGTTGAAGGTTAATATATTGTGAGCTTGAATTTGGTAAGTTACTATTTGTTGTGGGAAGTAAAAAAGAAGATGAAGAGGATTCATGTTGAGTTGATGCACTAATCCCCTTAGTCGGGTGATAACGATGAGAACCTCTCTCTGATGAATCATTATTTAGAAAAGGTTGGTTAAGTTGAACGTAATCGTTGTCATCTTTAGCCTCCCCAGGAATAACACGATTAGAATGATGTGGAACACAGCAAGCTTGTCCCATGATACTTTGTTCCACACAATATAAACTTTGTTTTTTTTCTTTTGATATTGATATACAGTTATCAGTAAGGGCCGAGCGAAAATGTGGTTCTTTCAGTTGGTGGCAGTTTGGTAATCCTTATTCTCCAACTTGCCTATTTTTGTTGAAATATGTGAGTAGTGTGTTTGTTGTTGAAAACTTGGAAGCGAACTGAATTGTAATAAGTAACATGAACATTATATTTACAATGTCTCGATAACCATTAAGGTTTCAAGTAGGTTTTATAATCAATGTACAATATTGGATCAATAATTTGATTCCATAAAAAAGAATACAATAGATATTTGAATTAGATGTTGTAAAATTACTCAACTTCTTCCAAATAATCTTTAACTTCAGCTGGTGTCAAAACACGGAAAAGCTTATCCTTTCCAACAATACCAATTTCAATATTCTTACTGTTGATTTGTCCATCAAAACCTTCTTTCAAGGTTAAAATAGCTGTGTGAATAGCATCTTCCAATTCAATATCAGAGGAATAACGCTTTTCCAAAAATGTATTAGCATTGACCATGTTCTTTCCAATTGCTGAAGCTTTCCAAGCCCAATATGATCCACTAGGATCAACTTGATACAAATGTGGACCAGTATCATCAAAACCAGCAATTAATAAACTCACTCCAAATGGTCTGACACCACCACTTTGTGTGTATTCTTGCATCACTGAGGCAAGATGTTTGACTAATTGAGAGACTGGAATACGTTCCTTATAAATTCTATAGTATTCTTCGGCGTGTTTTCTTCCTTGTTTTGCCAGAACACGTGAATCTGGACCCATTCCACTGTAAACCATTCCAATATGATCAGTGAGTGGAGTAACCTTTTGAAGAGAATTATGATCAACAAGTGGAGAAGGAAGCTTCTTTTCAGTTGCAACTACAACACCATTTGTTGCTTTTATAGCCAAAGATGTACTACCAGCCTGTACTGCATTAAGAGCATATTCGATTTGTACAAGTTTTCCGGAAGGTGAAAATGTAGTTAATGAAAATGATGTATCAGACATTTTTTATGATTGATTAAACTAAAATATTTTATTGTATGAATTAAAAATAGCACATTTTTGCGGTCAAGTAAAAAAGACTTGGTACAGCTGGATACAAATGTTTGATACTATGTGCTAATTCTGAAATAAAATTAGCATGTGTTGTTTTTTTGTTTTAATGTTAATTGGTTCATCATCACTAGCAGGATGAGTAAGCTGTAGATTTACAATGCATCTTTTCCGGAAGGTGAAAATGTATTTAATGAAAATGGATGTTCTCAAGACGTTTCTGTACCAACCTCATCAACAATAAAAAATGGCTCCAATACCAGAGTTAGAGGATGATGGTTCACTTCATGATTCGGAGAGAGACGTTTCTATGAAGGAAACACCTGCTCCTACAAGAAAGAAAAACCAAAGCCACAAGAGAAAGAGTACAGATGATGAAGCTGTAGAGGATGCTAAAAAGAGAAAATCAAACCCTACGGAAGAGGAACAAACAATATTGGAAGAGGAAACTTTTAGAACGGATACACCTTTCCAATCTCCTGATGTTAGGAGAAAATCAACAGGATTAAGAACTAAACCACAACAACTTAATCAACAAGTATTCGTAAATCGCAAACATAAAAGTGTGCCTAGTAATGTTTTGGATGCAAACACATCCTATCAAACCCCTAAGAAAACTAATATTGAAGCTGAAGTTCCCCCATCCATTTCAACATTCATTCCAGAGAAACAATTCGCTATTTCAAGAAATAAGGCATCTAAAACGGGCACTTACACTATTTTAGCATCTCTAGTAGCTATTATTTCTATTGTATATTTAATATACGTTCAATATGTAACATTAGATATTCCTAAAACTAACGTAACTGAAGAAAGTAACTTATCCAATAATACTCAAAACTCTGCTCCAATAATTAAGTACTTTTATGTAACTAACAATGTTACTAGTAATGTAAATCACTCTGAAATCTTTGAAAAATTAATTGAAAAACATTCAAAACAATTCAAAAATAATATGCTAGATTTAATTGATACTAGATTGTATGAATTAGAAAGAAAGCTCAATAATAATATTAGAAGTTCAATCTCAAGCTCATCTGTTTCAGTGAAGAAGGAACAACAAAAAGAATTGGAAAAATTGAAAGAATCTCTTTTATCTAAAATATCAACAGAAGTTGACATTATTTTAAGTCAAAAACTCAAATCCATTAATGATATCAACGAACAATCAATCAGCGAAATCAAAGGAAGACTAGATACTATCATACCAGGTGTTAAGAATTTGATTGATGAATCTCTTGATAAATATGATGCTGACAAGATTGGTTTGACAGATTATGCACTCAGTAGTCTTGGTTCAAAGATTGTTGAACATTCTCCAACTTATTCACCATCAAAGTTTTGGCCTCAACTCTTTGTTCCTGTAAAGACACCCGACATGATAATCAAACCAGATACAACTATTGGTAATTGTTGGCCTATGAAAGGATCTAGTGGTTTTGTTGTTATTGAAATAGCTCATTCTATTATTCCAACCTCTTTTTCAATTGATCACGTTCCAAAAGCTCTTTCTCCAAATATTTCATCTGCTCCTAAACAAATTTCAGTCTTTGGATATGAAAATGAAACTACCTTAACTAAGCTGTCTGCATTTGAGTATGATGTTCATGGCTCTCCTACCCAAACCTTCCCAGGTAAGCATTATTTTTGTTTTGAATTGTTTTACCTTATTTTTATTTAGTAAATGAAAGTACAAATAAGAAATATAACAAATTCAGATTCCAAATCAGTGGTAACTATGGAAATAGTTTTTATACATGCATTTACAGATTCAGAATTCATGGTGACTCACAAGCTATGATGTTACATTAAAATTGCTCAACTGAAAGCCAAGTCTGGCTTTAATAAAAATCTTTAAAAAATGAACGAAAGTGATAAAACTTTTGCTGATGGCTTGATAAGAGTTTTGGAGGTTTGTGATCATTTGTACTTGTTAACATGACAATTCCGAAATAAAGCCTCTAACAACAGAATATGATTCAAAAGTGAAGGATATTCAAATCAGTCAAACTAAATTAGCTGAAGAAATAGATAGACTTGCAAAGAAATTAGATTCATGTAAAGAGGAAGCACAATTCGTTAACGTTGCTCCATACCTTCAAAAATTAGCAAATTCAAGAAAACGTGTAATTAATATATCAACAACTCTAGGACACATATCCGATAGATTATCAAGATTGAACAAATTAGCAAAACAAAAGTATGTGTTAATAATTCCTTACCTTTTAATCAAACAATCATAACAGATATCCAGAACTCGAACAACTTCGCCAACAACGTGAACGATTAAAACAACAGGGATCATCGGGTAAACTTGTTGTCCAGCAACAATCTTCATCGTCTTCTGAAGTAGTGCCTGCAACAAGTACCACTACTCCATCTTCTACCACCGAGCAACAATCATCATCCACAACAACACCAACCGAACAAACACCACCAGAACAATCCAGCACAACTCTGTCAAATGAAGATGAAACAACCAAATCAACTCCATCAACTTCCGAAGAAGCACAAGATACTAATACCAACATTACAACTTCCTCTGCAACAACAGAAAACCCTGTTGAAGCTGTTGATCAGCAATAAATGGACTTTGCCGCCAAAAACATTTACGTTTTTATCATCAAAAAATGCAAACAGTGCATAAACTCAAGTCAATCAAACAATTACGAGAGAATCAACCCTACAGTGGTTTACTATTGGAATGTATTCCCAATCCTGTAATTTTTGAATACTATGAGGAGTTTGGAAAATATGAAATGGTATTGGAGATTTTAAATAGATCTGCAATACCTACAGCAATCCGACAAAAATCAAATTCTTCCAAATATTTCAAAGTGAGAAGAGTGGATGCTAGTGAGGGTAAAATTGCTCCAGGATTATCAGCCAAATTCTTAGTATCTTTTTTCCCTGATTCACTTCTGGATTTTACTGATGAAATAACATTTATCAGTGCATCCAAAGATGAAGTAGTTTTACCACTTCTAGGGAGAAGGAAAAGACCTTTACTTACCCTTCCGAGAATAATTAATCTAGGTTATTGTTTAACAGGAACTGAAATTAGCAAGCAAATAGTGTGTAAAAATCAAGGAGGAAAAGGAAAATTTATATTTCAACAAGAATACTCGGATCAAACAAACATCAAATTCCTTTTCTCAACACAAAATGAATTTGAGAAGGATATGGAAATTGTGGAAAAAGCACCATTTTTCGTTTCCCCAAAGTATTTCAGCCTTAATGAAGAAGAAGAGGCGCTCGTGACAGTTACCTTTAGACCAGAAGTAGTAGGGGAACAAAGCCAATCAATATTTATTATATTTGACAATGAGCAGGTATTTGAAATTCAATTAGTAGCTGAGGCTCAATATCCTAGGATTAATCTTTGCTCAATGGCAAAGAGAAAAGACTTCTTACCAGAAAGAGATTCAACTCTATTGTGTTTTGAAACAGTCTATCCATATCAAAAATCAGAATCCCAATTACTTACTCATTACAATAGCAGTGATGTGTCAGTTGAATTCGAGTGGAGATATATCAATGAATACGCTGACACTCCAATCTCATCGAATGGGATTAATCTTCCTTTCATGGTTAAACCAAGTATTGGAAAGATTAAACCAAGAAGTTGTATGGCATTTGAAGTTACATTTACCCCTCAGTCATTGGGAGTATTCTCGGGATACTTCATTCTGTTTGTAAATAATGTACCTTTGCCGGTTTCCTCTGACCACCCTTATTTTTATTACTTTAAATCGGGATTTTCATGGTTTAGAGACAGTATTCTAAATTCTCTAAAGACCTCTGATCCTCTCAGATACTTTACCCCTTACAGCTCTGAGGTTGCTGAAATTGAGAATGAATCAAAAGCAATTGCCTTAGGAGAGTCAAACTTGGTTAGTTTTGGTTCTGTACCAGTGTTTCATTGTAGACTATTTGGTGACACAAAGAAATTGGAGGTAACTCTAAATCCACCAATTATCAATTTGAGCAATAGTATTTTTATTGGGGAAATTGTGGAAAAACAAGTGGTGATTGTGAATAGTTCTGATTTTGATGCTTATTTTAGATGGCTTGTTTGTGAGGAGGATGATGGTCTAAAGACAGAATTTGATCCTCCTAGTGGAGTTATAGGGCCAAAAGAAAGAGTTCCAATTAAGATTTTCATTTCATGTTCAAAGCCTCAAGCATTCAACCTTTCTTGCATTTGTGAAATTGCAAACTCCGAAGAAATAGAGCTACTGTTAAGAGGAGAAAGCAAGCCTCAGACTTTAAGAATTGACACACCATGTCTAGATATGGGGATAATTGAAACTGGAAAAGTTGTTACCGATTGTGTGCAGATAACAAACACTTCTTCCTTAGATTTAAATTGGGCTTGTTCAACAATAGAGAATAATGCTGTCACAGTTATTCCATTCGAGGGATGCTTGCCAATAGGTAAAAGTTGTCTTGTAAACGTAAGAGTTAAGTCAGCTTATCCTCAATTCATTCAACAAATATTACGATTCGATGTTGAAAATGGAATTTCTCAATATGTTGGTCTTAACGCCGAAATCCAATCACCTCAAGTGGTATTGGAGGAATATTTCTTTAATGTTGGAGAAATAACAATTGGCGAGTAAGTATTTATTGTTTTTGTTTGTTACTCACAACATTTTCAGTGTTGTCACAAGAACTATTAGAATGAAAAGCGTTTCTAGCATTAGTACTGAATTCTGCTGGTATGATCTCAAATTAATAGAAGACAGACCATACGAAATAGAATTCATAAATGAGAAAGGAAAATTGCAATTGGGAGAGGAAGCCGAAACAATTATAGAAATAAGAGCAATTGCAAAAGCAGCATTATTCGAAGAACTTTTCCCATGTTTTCTTCAAGATAGCAAAGATAATTATTTTGGAATCAAGATAGTAGGAAGTATAAAGGAAGAAAATACACTAGATTAGATTATGAGGTAATTGTTATATATTTTGTCCTGAAAAAGGTGAAATGAATTGGCCTTGAATAATCAAAGAATCCTCAGTACTAAACAAATATCCATTCGTATGTTTTGTTGGTGGAGCGAGTGATGTCGTAATTGAAAATGAAACAATATATTCACTCAGTGAAAGTGTTTTCTCATCTTTTGTTAGCGAAACTCCCACTAAATCAATAAGAGGATGCAAGGCAATTGTGAATAAATCAATATTACAATAGCCAAGCAGTTCATCCTCTTTTTTATCTTTCGTTTTCTCGAATACTCTAATACTAACATAATCCTTAGTCAGATCCGAAATCATTGACTTGCTCGGAATAATTAAATTTGTGAAATGTTCATCAGCACTACTTGCTTCCTCCATCTCTAGTAAGTCCGAGATTGAAACGCTGGATCTCATTAGTTTTTTAGAAGTTACTTTGTCATAAACAAACTCCACATCACAGTCTTTCCACTCAAGAAATTCATTCTTGGTTAATAGAGGGAGCTTGTAGCAAAAATTGGAAAATTCATCACCTTGGTTAAGTTGGGCAATTATATAAAGTTCAGAGGATGGACTTGCTGTTTGAGCTTCCTCTTTGATATTCAGTAATTTCAAATCTCCAACTGATATATATTTAAATGGCTTGATTGGCTTCGTACTAGTGTGTTGACTTTCATGACTATCTGCAATATAAGATGAATAGTATCTTGGTGTTTTTTGATTTTGAGGAAGTAATTGAGAGTCAATAATATTATTTAATTCCTCTTCATCTTCATCAGATTCTGTATCCTTTGGAGGTTCAATTATTTCTTCAGTCCCCTTCTTTTTCCTTCTAAAACTAAGAAAACTCCTTCTTTTCTTTTTTTCAACCGTTGATGTGCTATCAAGACTTTTTCTTGTAGGTTCAATGGTATCATGAGCTGATGGGACGTCCAAGCTTTGTCTTTCCTCGAATCGGACCGAATTATTATTGTTGTTATTATTTCCTTCATTCGGAATGTCCTTGTTTTTTTTAGACTTTTTCTTTAAACCTAATATTCCTCGAATCATTCTTGTTTATTGTTTTTTATTGTCATTAAAATTGAAAGATTGCTTCCTCCGTTGTGTTGATGTTGTTGATGATTGATCTATTTTTTTTGATTATCTTTTTGGTGACCGTTTTGGCTTCTAATGATGGTTCTGATTTTTGCTTTGAGCAGTTGAACAAGTGCGAACAAAACCTATCAGTATCAATGCATGTTGGTCGTCACTTCGACATTGTCAAAAAGGAAGGCCTTTGGATTTCAAATTGATGAAGACTATTTGTTTACTAGAAATCAATTCTCAACCAACTATTGAATACAATTTAGTATTTTCAGGAAGCTTATTGATTTTGGCGCAAAAAGAATAAAATTTGGCGGGAACAAACTACAAAAAAATACAAACAAAAGCTTTGCTCACTTTTTCTCCAAGTAAATAACACAAACATCATCAAATCGAGAATGAGTCAAGTTTGTTATAAGAATCGTAAAGGAGATGCGGAGGATGAATTTTCGAGGTTTTCTTCCTTCACTCTTGACCATACAACACTTCGGAAGTTGTTAGTAAATTATGGTGAATATCCTTCAAAATATAGAATGCTAATTTGGAGGTTTTTATTGAATATTCCTGAAAACAAAGAGTCCTTTGAAGTACTCTACTCTAAGGGAATTCATTTTACTCAGTACAGCCTTCACAAACGATATCCAATAAGTAATTCATCAATATTTAGGAAAATACAGAGAATCATTTCAGCTATGGCAAATCTATCACCAATTTTTGGTGCCGTGGAATATTTGCCTGAATTAATATTTCCGTTCTTAAAAGTGTTCAATCAAAGTAGCTCAACTATCTTCGAAATAGTATTAACATTCTTTGGTATGTAACAATACTTTAAAATTACGTATTAATTGATTGAATAGTTAATTGGGGAAAGGAATGGTTTGAATTCTTCCCTAATCCACCAGCAACTGTTCTTAACTATGTTGCTTCCTTGCTTCAAATTTATGACAATGACGTACTGGAGCATTTGTCATCTCTTGGGGTGTCTTCTGCTTCTTTTGCTTGGCCAATGTTAAAAAGCTTATTTACTGAGCTCTTTACAACTGATCAATGGCTAAGAGTATTTGATCATATATTTTCTAATCCTCCCTCTTTTATATTTATGTTTATTGTATCATATCTGAATTATTTTAGGAGAAGTCTTTTCCAAATTAAAGAAAGAAGAGAAGCAGAAAACTTCTTCCACAGTATTCACGCTTGTGATCTTGAAAAGATTCTAGCTTTTGCTTATGACATTCAAAAAACTCAATATGAAAGTTCTGTACAAAAGTTGATTGCCAAATCATATGGTTCATTTAGTTTCTTGCCGAAAGGTCATTATAATATTTCTATTCGCTTTCCTGAATACTCTGTAGATTATCAATTAAAGCAAAGAGAAAGAATTGTAAAAAGTGAAGAGGATTTTGATAGAGCCAGAAACAATTATATTCAATTGAAAAAGCATAATGAGGAGTTTGAAATAGAGCATAGGAACTGGTTAATAAGACAAAAAGCATTAATTGAAGTAAGCAAAACGCAAGAAGAAGCTTCAAAGAAAATGGAAAGAGAAATATTGGAGGAAAAAGAGAGAGTTAGACAAATGGAATTGGAGGAGCGCTTAAAAAATGTAGAATACTTGCAAGAAAGAAGAAAGATGTTAGCCAATTTACATGAGGCTGAATTGAATGCGAAGACATTAAATCAACAAAGATACATGGAAAATCTAACAATTGACACACATAATGAGATCAAACACAAAATGACGGAAATGCAATTAGGGGAAATCGAAAAAATGGAGCAAGCTAAATTGCAAGATATTGAGTGTTTCGTAAATCCTCCATCCAATTACTATTTTACAAAGAACCCATCTGCAACTTCACCAAGAAAACCAGAAACTGTAAATATCAAACCACTTGCAAAAGAGGTTATTATCCCTGTATTTATCCCACCTGAACAGGCAAAACAGCCAGTTTCAGAAGCGATAACAAAGGACACGACAGAGATTAACTCTCCTGAAATGTCAGAGCCGAATTCTAAAGAATCAAGTTTTGCAGATTGTCTTCAAGTGCATCTACTAGGAAATGAAATTAATTCCTTAGAAAAAGAAATAGAATCAACAGGAAAGAATCTGACTCCAAAAGATATCAAACTTCAGGCCATCATACAACCTGAAATCCCTCAAAAGAAAAAAGTGAAAAAAAAGAAAAAATTGGTAGAAAAGTCTAATGAACAAACATTAAAACAGAAGAAGAAAGAAGCATCTCCAAAAAAGGCTGTTACACTTCCTTCGCTCAAACAGATGAACTCACGAATGAGAAAACAAAACAAAAAGTATTACCAGAAAAGCAAAGGCAAGCAAAATCTCCAAAAAGAAAGAGCCCAAAGAAGAAGGAAATCAAAGAAAGCAATCTTAAGGAGAAACCACAAGAAATGGTCACCCCGTTAGGTCATACTTCCCAAATTTCAACAAGTTCAAACTCATCCCAACCGGATGAGGATCGATTCAGATTATTACAAGAACAAATATCAAAACAAAAATCAGAGCTCAAAAAATCAGATAGGACTATGAAACATATTGAATCGATTGCATCAAACATTTCCAAACCATCAAGTAAATCCTTCAAACATTTCAAGGAGTATTTCATCATCCCCATCTATTGAGAGCTTAAAGAACACCAATGTTTTTAATAGGTTTGATTATTTAAAGAGCGTAGATTCTAGAGTTGATGATTTAATTCAAAAGAAGTTTAAGGAGTTTATTACAAGAAAGGTTGAACAACCAAGAGAAAAGAGTTTTAATGTTGAAGAGCAAAACCTTTCGTTCCCTACAAGCATATCAAACACAAACAGCGCATCAATACTTAACTCCTCTGCATCAACACAGTCACCAAATCCAACACGAAATAGCACTCTCAGAGGAACAATATCTGCCACTCTTAACCCAAGTTTTTCTCAAACTTCTTACTTGGCTCCTTCTTCATGTATTGATAAATCCAGTGACAATGAGAGCTCTTCAGATGTGAACTCTTTATTAAGACATAGTAGCGAATTTGAGACAACATCCTCTAAAAGAATGAACCTTTCTTCTGATTCACATTTATACTCAGCATCCCCAAGATCCTATTCTGGAAGTTCAGGTTACAAATCGAAGACTACAACAGGTACATCCGGATCTCATGTAATTAATGCATATGTTTCCATTTCTGAAGCTCCTTATCATACCAAGACATCAGATGAAATAGTTAATGAGATTTCAGATACAAGAAGTATTGATGAATTACTTGAGAGTTTCAACACGTCCTATCCTTCAATTTCAAGCAGTATAGAATCAATTAAGATCAAGCCACAAGACTATTCCTCCCTTGATCTAAGTTTTTTTAGTGACGAAGATGAAGTTACGACAAGTGTAAATACTTCAGCATTAATGACAGAAAAAGAATTTTAATTCTTAATAAATTTCTCAGCTTCAAGTTCAGCATCAACATTGTGAGTTTCAATAATAGGTATTGGTTGTTGGTTTTGCTTCATGTTATCGTCTCCTATTGGAATAACAATATCATACTTATCAATATCTCGTTTCATACTCTTAGACATTTCTTCTAAAGAGATGTCCGTTTCGTTTGGAATAGGATGTTGGTAATGTTTCTCTTTGAGAATGTAGGTAGTAATTTGTCCTTTACCTTTGATTTCAACACCTTTTCTCTCATCGAATTCAAAGATATCATAGACTCTTTCGTAGGTTTGTCTGGTTACTTGGATTTTACCTGGAATACCAGTTGATTCCATTTTAGATGCAAGAGTAACATTTTCACCCCACAAATCATAAGCAAATTTCAATGTACCAATACAACCAGCAATTACACTTCCTGTGTGTAACCCAATTCTAATATTTAAAGTTGTTTTCTTTTCTAGATTATACGCATAAATAACAGAATACATCTCCATAGCAAATCTTAATACTTTTTCTGGATGGTCTGATTGTTGAAGATGTAAACCTCCAACACAAAAGTAAGCATCACCACTAAATTGTAATTCAGATTATTATCTAATTTTCAAGCAACTTACATTGTTTTAATTTTTTCGAGTCCAAATTTGCTAATACCTCTATCGAATCCGTTAATAATAGCATTCAACATTTGAATCAAATCAATAGCTGACATGCCTGATGACATTTTGGTAAAGTTAACCATATCACTAAATAAGCAAGTGGTATCATCAATTTTTTCTGAAATGTAGGTTTCACCAGCTTTTAACTATTATTTTACAGTAAATGTTCAATAACAAAACTTACTCTTGCAGCTACTTGCTCAGGAAGAATATTCAAAAGTAAAGAATCACTCTTCTTCTTTTCTTCTTCAATTAACATATTATGTTTCTTCTCTGAAGTGATATCTTTGATAAACAAACTGATTAGGTTACTCTTTTCAAATGATGAGACACTCATGGATACTTGAGCAGGGAATGTTGTTCCATTCTTTCTTTTAGCTTCCACCTCAAAAGACTCTCCATAACTTCTTATGGCATTACCCATCGATGTTACTGTATCTCTTATCTTATTAGAGCTTGCATCTGTAAATAAAAGAGATGGTGGCTTTCCTAATATTTCATCAGCCTTATAACCCAACATATTCAAAGCACTTGGATTGATAATATCAACAAACCCTGTTTTGCTATTCAACACAACAGCTCCATCAACAGCAGCATCTACAAAAAGTTTAGAACATGAGCAGGCTTGAAAACTTACCCAAAATAGCTTTTGTCTTTGAAAATTTCTCTCCTTTTGCAGCCTTCTTACCATCAGAAAATGTAAAGTATAAAATATAGTTCCTAATCTCCTCGAATTGCTCCAAAACATCATATTGAATGAAATTAAACATCCTTCTTAATTGGTGGTTTTCATTATCGAATCTTTTGACTTGTAAATACTTTGTGTAAGTCAATATAAGTAATATTGCAACAGAAACGCTTGTTATTGCTGGACTGATAATTCTAGTAGGTGATTTGTAAGTGTCTACATATCCAGTAAGTACAGAATACATTTTGGAAGTGAATTCACTGGAAATGGCAAAAATTCCAATAAATCTTTCTACCAAAACACTATTAATATATGTATGTCTGTATGCATCCTCATTGAATCTATCTGCTGATAAAGTATATGCATCCATGAGTTGATCCAATCCATAACAAGTGTAGTTTTCTGCAGTGCAGTTTTGGCTCAAAATCTTGATATCTAAAGAAGAAACTCCTGTTATGCCAGAAAATCCATTCTCAATTGTACCGTAACGATAATCTAACCAGGCTTCCATCATCTGTTGTGAATGTTGAATTATTTCATCGTGGAATGATTTCATGCTAGTTTGTAATATTGAAGAGTCACCTAATAAAAGTTCTCCAAGTTTAAATTTAGCTCTTTGTGAAATTTGTAATACCTTTGTACCATGCTCTACCTTTAACATAGTGTTGAATGAAGTCTGCATCATGTCCAAGCACTCATAAAGGAGTAAAGCACTTGCAATAGCAGTGAAGAGGAAAATAGCAATAATGAGTGCTGAAATTATTCTCTTAGGAGTGAAAATAGATTTTTGGATTTTCACAATCTTATCCTCGGATTTTTGTTCCAAATGGTGAAATACTGTACCCACAATATCCTTAGGAAGCTTTGCAAAAAGCTTTGTTAATTTTTCCATATGAAGTAAGTGAATATAAGAGAAAATTGTGTAGACAATAATGAATAGCACGTATACCACAAACACACCAACAAGGGTAAAAATGAAAACATTCTTTTCCTGATTAAGAAAAGTGTCACTTCTTGCGATCAAAGTGCCACAAAAACTTTCCAGACCACCAGTAATGGCTATTCTGTTTAGCCATATATACAAGAACTCATAATTTTCATAAATATTCATGTAATCATCAAGTTTCCAAGCATATAGCTTTGTAGCAATAGTGTGGAGCTCATTTGTAATATCAGATAAGGAAGTATTTTTAGGGGTTGATATAAGACTGGATACAGATCCTGTTTGTAGTACTGGAACAAGAACTATTTTGTCTGCATAAACAAACTGCTTCATACTCTCTACCTCAAATCTTTGTTCGTTCATAATATCTTTAACCTTTTGTGTAATTGTCACTATGCTCTTAACTCTTGCCTTGTGGTTTGCCCATTCTGATTTAAATCTATTGGTAGTGTTGGTTGGAGATAATATCTGAATGTACCTAATACCTGAAAGAATTAAGTAGGGAACAGGAGACACTTGGCAAAATTGATTTACAGTAGTAATACGGTCGCTATCATCTGCAAGTCCCAGATTCAACCCTAAAACAATTGCAATAATAGCAATTGATATAAATCCCAATGATTGAAGGAAAATAAATTTCTTTTTGCTTTCGTTTGGCTTGTTGATGGCTGACCTGTATATAGTTTGTTTGTCTTTTTTGTAATCTCCATATTGACTAGCTGATTCCAAATTTTCCATATCGTTCTCATCTTGTTTTGGTTCTAAGTAATTTGGACCATCATCTACATAATTGACAGGTAACACCTTGTTGCCTGGTAAATTACGTTTCTTAAATTCTGACTTTGAGTCAGAGGAAAATCTTCGTTTCTTTGATTGTTCATCCTCCAAAATGTTTGCTTCAGCATAAAATTCATCTGCCAATTCAGCTTCAAAAAGGAATTCTTCTAAAAACTTTGCATAGCTTCTCAATACTTGGGCGTTATTATGGAAATTAACAAGTAAGTTATTGAACGTTGTACTTGAATTTTCCATGTATGTGTGCATCATTTTAACCAAACTATATACCTTTTCCGAGTTTTCCTCATTAGACACAAAGTGTTTCCAGAATAGCTTTTGATATTGTCTTAATCTTTCCTGTTGTTTCTCCACAGTGTCAAGAATGTGTCTAAGTTCTAAAGAATTTTTTCCTGTTGAAATTGAAGCCTCTATTTCCTTAGTTCTTTGGTAAACAAGGTAACGTAATACAAGATTAGAGTTCTTTTTACCTGCCTTTGCAAGTAGGTGAAGGCAAAAGCTTGGTGAATATTGATCTCCCATCATTTTCTTAAATATATATAAAGATGAAATTATCAGAGTGTAGGTATCTAATTCTAATCTTTGATTTGTAGCAACCTTTATCAAGTTGGTTATTAACTCATCTTCTTTAGTTTTGATAGAGAATTTCAAATATAAGTTTAAAAATTTTGGATTGACTAATTCATTAACACTAGTTTGAACGGTGATATTCTCGTTCTTGAAATCAGTTAATCTTCTTCTGACATATCTCATAACTATCTGTGTATAAATTTCAACAATAGAAAATCCAATAAAGAAAAATATAATCACAGAGCCAAATCCAACACCAAAAAGATAACCCAAACCAACATCTTCACTTACAGGATCATTCGCTACAATGGCCAGTATGCTGGATATTGCAGCACCTGCTTTAGATAAGTACAACCCACCAAAAATCGAATTCACAATTCTATAGTGAAATGGTAAATCATAAATTAGAAAACCAAATATAAGGAGTGTGAAAAATAAAAAGAGTAAAGGTCTTGCAATAAATGCTTGGGGTGGTAATATTTGAGAAATGATTAAGTGGATTTGGTTGATTACTACAGCAGAAGCAAATACAACAGGGCTGTCCATACTTAGCCAAGACTTACCCTCAACCCATGTGTCACACGATAGAAGTATTCCAAGAAATGTGAGAGGTAATTGTAATATCATAAATAAAAGTGATATGGCTGCAAAGGAACCATTTAAAGGACTCCAACAACCTATGGTAGGAAACCTTCTTAGAGCATATTGAGCAACTCCATCCACTACTAGACCTTGTTTAGAATAATCACAAGCCCAAAAAGCGGTCAAGCAAAATACAAATCCAAGTCCGAACACTCCAAAGAACATGCATATAGCTCTAATTGTATTCTTGATTTTTGATGAATGCTTACTTCCTCTATGAAGAGCTTTATAAGCATAGTAGATTGCAACCAGAGCTATCAACTCTAACACAGCAAGTATTACAGCAACGGCAAGAAAGAGCTCATAAGGATACCAACTGGCACCTAATGTTCTTGGAACTGCAATAATCCTAACACCTAATTTTGCAGACTCACCCCAATTAAATTCTAAGATGGTTAATAAATACATTATTTCAGGAATACTTACCAGACTCCCAACCTAGAGCTATTGATTGCTCGACCAATACTATATTCAATAATATGAAAAGCCAATTTGGTAATGCTTTTGGCAATTTTATAGAAACTAGAAAGAAGAATAATGTATCTTCTAATTTTCCAACAATACTACTACCCCGAGTGAGGGTTGTATTACTAGTTTTTGATCTACTAGAAGAGCCTTTTGAAAAAACCGACTCTCCATCATGTCCTACGGGTGAATGATCACTAGAGTCTCGCATCGAGTAGGCCATTTGTTATAAATTGTAGTGATATTATCCTATTGTTAATGTTGTGTATTTTTCTTGTAGTTAAAATTGGCGGTATAAAAAATAACTGTTTTTAGGTTGGCTTTTTTTGGGTGAATTTAAGTGAGTAGATTTATAGCGTATAAATCGGGTTATTGAGTTCTTCATTAACTTCGCACTGTATTTTGTCCTACTTACATGAGCCTTAGAATTGGTATCATTAACAGTACTCCAATATTAAATTACAACAAAATATTCATGGTACTGTTAATAACGCAAATTATTATCATCAAAATTAAAAAATGATGCGCTTCAGAGCAAGTGTAAAGTTATTGAATAGGTTTGTTAGTGATTACACAAGCACAAAATACCTTTCGGAAGAAACTGAACTTCTATGCAAAATAGTTGCCAATTCAACTTTAGGAAATTATAAGAAATTAGAAAATGATTGGAAATTAATTCAACAACATCCAACAAAGAGCAGAATGTTATCCATGATGGCCATAGAATTAATTTCAATGAATTTTTGTTTTGTTGGATTTCCAAAAGTTTTAAATTCCTTGTCAACTTTAAAATCCATCTCTACTAAATCACATGACAATCAAAAGCCATTTTTTACCGAAGATGAATGGCTTGAATTGACTAAATTATCGGATTCTGATTCTTTCCATCAAGATAGAATTAAGAGACAACATTTAGGAGAACAAACAATGAAGAAAATTTATGGAGAATCAAATTATTCAAAGTTAGCTGCAAAGTTTAAAACACTTCATCCATTAGTCAACCAAAATATTCACATGAATGCTTATGGAATGGTATTACAAGATAGAAGTCATGTTTTTCTTGCAATGAGAGAGCTTTCCTCGGTTGTGAGTTTGTGTTATTTTGTAGATACATGTGGCCCTCAATTAGTTGCTCATATGAAAGGTTTTACCAGAGTGTACGATGAAAAGGAATTAGGATATTCCATCCCACTAATGAATCCTCATGTTATTGAAACAGAAAGTCGTGCCAAGTTGTGTTTGAAAGGAGTTTTCGAATTGACCAGTGAAATGTATGGCCTTAAAGAACCTTTGAATGAAATGTGGCAATCTCTAGAAACCTCAAATAAGAAATATACTCTCTAGTGAACTGATCGCCATCCTCCTTATTGACCTCCTTACTCTATTCCTTCCGTAATACACATACAGTATTGTCTAGTGATAAACCTTATCGTCGTCAACACACTTACCATTCCAAAAGGAATATGATTTTTGGTCACCTCCAAAAGAAAGCTACTTTCCAATTGGGTTCTTTGTTCTATTTTAAGATTCTAAATTGTGATTCAAATAGAGGCAACATTCCAATCTCAATCAAAAAACAACACGAAAAAATATTTCAACCGATAAACAATAACAACAATAATGGAACAACAAGCTGAAGAACAAGTGATAATTAAATTATATCTTTCCAAAGAACATATTAGAAGATTTACAATTCCAAAGATCGCATCTTATGAAGATTTAAAGAGTAGAATTATTCAATTCTATGATGAAGTTGGTCAGACAATTAACCCATCCGAAGATTTAGATTTACAATATTGTGACGATGATAATGAATGGACTGTGTTGAGAAATGAAGATGATTGGTATTGTTGTAAGGCAATTTGTCCAACAAATATTAAAATCAGAAAGCCTTCAATGTGGATGAAAGCACAATTTACTTACAAGTCAGGGCAACAAGCTGTTATTCAATCTTTCAACAAGGAAAAGAAATATTTGGTAGAAAAGAGCAAGCAAATCTTCTCTCAAGTTAATGAAGAATTCCAAAAATTGAGTTCAAATCAAGAAGTTAAAAAGCTTGAAAGTACTATGTCACATGCTGTTAATGACTTTATTGAAACTGTCACACCATTATTACAAACAGCCACAAATACCACTTGTGAATTCATTTCATCAGTTGAAAACTCACTGAAAACTAGTGCTTCCTCAAGTGAACCTCAATTGATCAGAACTGATGATGTAGTTGAGGAACCAATTGATGAAGAAGAAGAGCAATTAATTGCTCAACAAACTGTACAACCAACCGTTCAAGGTGATACTATGGAAAAATCAGGATATGTCTGGGTTTTAGCTGATAATGAAAAGACTCAAGTCGTTGCTCAACAACAAGCTGAACCTGTTGTTGAAACACCAGTTGTTGAAGAACCTGCTGTTATTGAAACACCAGAAGTTGTTGAACCAGTTGCTGAAGAACAACCTGCTGCTGTTGTTGAAACTATTCCTGAACCAGTTGTTGAAACACCAGTTCAATTCGCTGAACAAATGAAGATGTTAAGCTTAATGGGTTTCACTGATGTCCAAAAGAATATTGAATTATTGACCAAACACAATGGAAACCTTTCACTCGTTGTTGATGCCTTATTAGCTATGTAAATATTCGTGTAAAAAAACAATAAATATTTATTCAATTAAATCAAATACACTTTGAACAACCTCTGCATGTCTTTCAGAGAATGTGTTGATTAAGAACATGATAAGCTTCTTTTGCAAGTCTGGAGTTAATTTCGATTTTCTATCCTTATTATTATTAATAATTTTGTATAAAATAGAGTCACGAATCATATTTTCCTCATTTCCAGAATTAGCCTCCTTGATGAGATGGAGGAGTTGAACTGAAACATAGAATGATGATGTGTAAATATTGAGAAGAATATCTAGTTTGGTTTGTTCCTCGACTTCTGTTTCCTTTTCATAGAAATCACAATAAATATCTGTTGCAATCAAAAGTCTATCCAATAACTTTTGTTGATTTTCCATAATTACCCTATTATCTGATGGAATACCTTTGTAGATAGAAATTAATAAATCAACAGCACCCTTATAGCTCTCATTTGCCCAATTTTGGTTTGGTTCCTCAATAGCAAGATCAGTTGCAAGTTGGGCTTGATAGTATGTTAGTTTGAGGAAATAAGAGGCAGAATTTGCTGTGTTAAAATTATTGTTAGCAACGGATGCAAGTTTCAACAGAGATAATCTGTTTCTGGTGGTTCCAAGCTCTCCTAATGGAAGGATGTTTTGTGAGTAGTCATCTGACAAATCAGCCAAAGAGGATTCAACTTCACCCAAGTTTCCAACTTGGATATAGTGCAACCATTTGAGGTTGGAGTTTGGTTCAATAACTGAGGCCATTTGTTCTCCACATCTGAAACTCCAATTGTTTGCCAATAACTCGTGATACTTTTTAGAATCTCTAAGATATGTTAATAGATATGTTGCAAAGTCTTTGTATCTCTTTACATAATGAGAATATTTAACAGTTCTTTCCTTTTCAGTTGGATAGTTCTCCTCTGCTATTTGTATCAAGTGTTTGAAATCTCTATATTTTTCTGCTAAGGTTAAGGCAAAAGTCTTTGGTGAAATTTCTCCAACATCCTTCATCTTTCTGAATGTACCAATTATTAAATCTCTTTTAGCCTCAAAATTGAATGTCTGGAAATGAGAAACCTCTTTTTCTTTCATGGTTTGAAGAATTGAAAATGTAAAATCTGCTATTTCATACATTTGGTTGAGTATTTGAGGGACTGATTTACTTTCTGAAGCGCTAAGATTACTGGCTGATCTTTCAAATTGTTCAAAAAATCTTGTAATAAGGAGACCTGGCTTATCAATTGTCCACGTACTTCCACATTCTTTAATATTGGTACCAAATCTATTCAATACCTTCCTAAATTCAAGTATCCCTTCTGAAAAGCATAAAAAGACTTGATTTACAAGAGATAATGTGTTATAAGTGGTTTGACTAGAAATAATCTTTTCAGATTGAATTTGATAAATCAAACTTTCAACTCTTGAAACAAGAATGTAGAAATTTTCAACATTACATTGCGATTTGGTAAAATTAGCCTCTTCACAGCATAAGTTCATAGCTTGAATAATCAAATCTTGAGATGATTTTGATCCAAGTTGATTTTGTAACTCTCTTAACTTGATGCAAACAAAGAGCTTTTCACCATTTTGTAAAATTATTCTTAAATCCTCTTCTGAAAGGTTTTCAATAATTTGGTAGTCAACTAGGTATTGTAAGAAGTCCATATATTCATCCATCTTTTTTTGCAATGATCTTAAAATCAAAATAGATAGTTTGTCGTAATAAATCATTTCAGCATCAATAATCAAACTACCGGATGTTGGAATGCTATCTACCAACATTTGACTAGCTCTAACAATAGATGGTCCAAAAACAGAGGAGCGAATGAAATTTAAAGAGCTGATTTTCTCACGTTTTCTAAAATTGCTTAAAACCTTATTAGCAAGAGTAGTTTCTGCTTCTTTTGGATCAGAATCCGATTCTTGATCCATGGATTGATCTACACAGTTTGATGCCAGACTCATACTATCTTCCAATTTAACAATCCTCAGTGCCTTGAAATTTCCTGATTTATCAATTAAGCAACCATCCAAACCATCAATCATAATATCTCCTAGAGAAATAATACCATTGTAATCACATTGTGTAATAATTTTGTTGTCTTCAATTACAGTAATACTATTCAAAGTATGTACATAAAGTCTATTGCAACTCTTCATAATTTGACATTTGGAATAGAATTTAGAGTTGATTTCACTAAAATCACACTTATCTAAGCGGATAGGTGATTCTACAACAATATTGTCGTTAATTTGGATTGGCCATAAAAGATATTCGATAGTTGAACTACTTCTGGCAGTATCAAGTGGTTCTGGAACCATACATGTTAAAAGATAAATCTGTTCAGTTTGTTCATCAAAATTAAAATCTAACAGTCTCAATGAATAGTTTCTTATCATGTTCAAGCTTTGTAACTCATGAGAAATGTCCTTTCTCCAACAAAGATCCTTTCCTTGCTCTGTATATTTCGAGATACATTTCTCTGTTAAGATAAGCAAATCAGTCTTTGAAGATTGAATAGATAGTAATGATTCTGGTTCAAAATACTTAATAGTTGTTGGTTTAGTCCAAGAGGTGAACCAGCTAAACAAACCCTCATTAGAAACTGAAGAGGTATTTTGATTTCCGTAAACTTTCTTTTCCTTAATTAGGTTGACAGCTCCATTTGATAGTAATTCAATTTCAATGAAATGTCCACATTCAGTACCAATATAAATATTATTGTTTGAACTTAAACTATTCACAATGCAATTAATATTTAATTTTCCATCCGAACTGAATGATGTAAAATCTAAAATATTTCCAATTTCATATTTAAATCTTGAGTCGTCATTATTCAAACTCAGATCATACCAATATTTAAATTTTCCTTGAGCAGAGCAAGTGAAAATAGAAAAGTGGTCATCACTGCTTCCTAAAATAGTAACAAAATATTTGTCTGACTCGGAAAGTGGAACATTCTCCAAGCATAAAACAGGAGAGTTTTCAGATTCCAACAAAAACTTTTTTACATTCCAAACATAAAGCTTATCACCATCCAATACCCAAGTAATTCCACTATGATGAATACCAGCATTGGTGATGTCATTTCTAATGTGAGCAGGAAATGGGTAAGCCATTATTGTTTTGGCATCATACAAAAATTGATTATCTACTGCGGAAGACTCTAAAGAATTTAATTTTGTCTTCTTCATCAAGGATTCATCTGATGATGGAAGACCTTGTTGATAGCGTTTCATTTTTATTCTTCAAAAAAACAATTTTTTAAAAGAACAACAACAAACAATACGATGAAGACTGATGCCATTGTTTTACTCTATAGGAAAATGTTGAAGCAATCTATATTGCTACCAACTGTGGAAAAGAGAGTAAATGCTATCAATGAAATTCGTTCAACATTCCGAAAATTTAAAAACGAAACAAACCAAGAAATTATTCAACAACAACTCAAGAAGGCTCATGATAAATTTGGTTATCTGTGCATGATAACACCAAAGAGATTACATACTGAAACCTCTCAAATTGATGGTAAAACGCAATTAGTAAAAATTGATGGTGAATGGAAGGATGTCAATGCTATTGGTGAAGATGATAATTTAACAAAGGAAGAAAAAGCAACATGGAGCAATTGGGGAAGAGGAAATTTAGATCCAGACCAAGTTAGAAAACATGAACAATTGTTGAAAAGACAACACTTTATGGATGGTCCAATGAAAGGCTATAAACCAATCTATGAAAGAAATTGGATGAACGATTAATTTGATGAAAAATAGAAAATCTCTAAATTATGGATTAAAATTGAAATTAAATGTTGGATGTAATACTATTCTATTAGTATTGCACTCATAAAAAACAGAGAGAGACTTATCCCGACAATAAAAGGCCAATATTTGTTAATTGATTATTAAATAAATTTAAAAAAATGGAAAAGAATCGTAGAGAAGAATATGAGCTTACTTTAGATCCAAAGGAAATTGATGAAATGTCTCCTGAGGACTTGAAGAATAGAGTGCCAAACCAAGCCGATGAAGCTCTTAAACTTAGATTAAAAAAGTACGGAATGAAACATTGCAAAGTTGAAACCAAGAATTTTGCTGATTGTTCAAAGGATAAATTAATTTCTATTGCTTTAAAATGTAAAGATGAAATGCAAGCATTAACGGATTGTATTACTATTTAGTAGGTTTATTAATATTTACTATTTACCTATATTGATAGTTTAAATGAGGATAACATGAACAAAATGAGAAGAGCCTACTTGAAGGGAGAATTGGTTAGAAAACACAATTATACTGATTTGAAATCCGAATTAAATAGAAGAGTGGAAGAAAGAATGAAACAACTCTCTGAACAAAAACAATCAAATCAATAATATCAAATTATTTAAATAATAATAATTGAAAAGGAATAAAAAATGAAAAAACTCTCTAATGCTCTCAAACCTTTAACATTGCTCACTTTGGGAGGAGCAAGAGTGAGTTTGAGACCTACTAGTTTAATTATTAATAAACTGCAAAGTAAGACAACTTTTGGATATCATTCAACACACAAAAATAATAGTACAACAAAAACAACATTAGAAGTTCCACAAACTTCCGATTCAAAAGAAAAACAACAATATGATTTTCAAAAATTACCAAAACTTTATTATTTATTTGTGATTGGAGGCAGTCTTGTGATTATAGCAAATTTTGTAGCAATTTATTTTGCAAAACAAGAATTTGATGAAGCAATTGGAAAATTCTCTTTGGATTTTATTGGAAAAGAATCATTTAGTGATGAAGAAATTGAACAATTAAAATCATTGATTAAATCAACTACAGGACTTTTAAAAGTTGGATATTACCAAAAGATTTTCTATGAATCAAATTTATTGAAAGATTTAACATCACTTCAAGGAAAAACAATTACAAGTGAAACATCTAAACAATACGAAGTTCAATTGTTAATTGATAATTTACTAAAAATTTTGGATAAGTGTCCTTCAGATGAATTAAGATCAAAACAATATTTATATGTTTCTCCAGACGATAATGAACTAAACCAATGGGTGGAAAAGGATGCAGATACTTCTAAACAAGCTGGTATTTCTTCCAGTTTCATGACTTTACCTGCATTTTACAAAACTCTATGCTTTACTACTATTGCATCTCTTTCATTTTTAAGACTTAATAGAATGCCTTATATTACTCAAAAGGGAAGAGTTACAATTGTTTCAATGATTTTACTTTATAGTGCATGGGTTGGAATGTTCAGACCAGCTTCAATTAACAGAATTTCTGGAATTTTCAGTTCATTATTCGAATCAACCAAAGATGATAAGACTACAATTAGAGCGCCATTCGTTCATTTAATTTTCCAACAATATCTTACAATATTTTCCTTCATTATATGGTTGATGATGTATAGAGCAATCAAGTTTGTAATTCTTCCAGAATTATTATTAGGGTCTGATGAACCAATCAAGTTTTTGGAAGCTCAACAAGAAAAAGAGAAGAAGCAATTAGCTCAATCAACTTCAGAAAATGAAAATAAATAAATTATTCTTCCTTAAGTTTGTACGGATTGAGGGGCTTGGCAAATTTAGGCATGAACACAAATAATTTGATGTAGAGAGGAATGAAGAGAATGATTCCGATAATTGCAATAGCCACAAAAACATATCTTACATAGATGTAAGTATCCACTTTTTGTTGTGATGTAGTTAATACTATATAATTTTGAGATGTAATATCAAGAGGTAATTTGGGAGAAAGAAGGAAGAAGAGAAATATAAAGATAGGAATAAAGAATCCAATAAATATGACACATCTAAGCATTCGGCATGAGTAAAATTATTGTTAATCATCCTTACCCTTTCCTGAATCTTTTTTTTACAAAACAACAACAAATCATCAATAAGAACCAAATCACAAGAGAAACAATAAATATCAAAACTCCATATCCAATTCCTAAACCAGGGACAATAGCAGTAACGACCTCATTTGCCATTTTTTTTGTATGTTGATTTACAGTTTTAATATTGCTGATTCCCATACAAGCTTTTGTATTTCATCAAATTCCATATTCAATTTTCTGAAGGTTGTTAGAGTTAGGGGTAATGGTGTGGCTCCAATGTTGAGGCAATAATAGCTGTTTAAATACTCAATAAGATTGCTTATTCAATATTCACTTGGCAGTTGTTCCATCAGATTTCAACTAATGAATACAATTCAGTAATACCCATTTTGTTGTTTCTTTTTAGTGGTCTTCTTCTTTGTTTTAGGTGTCAAATCATCTTCAGTTTCGTCTTGATTTTTACCTTTTCTTGGATTTGAAACCTTCAGTCATAACGCGAGATCTTAATTTTTCTCTTTGAGAGGGAGCTCCCTTGAAAGCATCCAATAACAGCTTGTCTTTTCTCAAAGCTTATCAAAGCCTTCTACATTTCAAGTCTGGATTGTTCCTTCATATTCTTCATATCATATTAGCCCAACTGGACTTTTCCAATTCTAGTTTAATGAATACGATCTTCGGCAGCTTAAGAGATACGTGCAAAGTATCAACGTTTCAAGATCTTCTTTAGGGGCAATCCTGTAAGTGTTACTCCTTAGTATTATTTGATGAACCATCCACTCTCAAATTAGCTCCTAGGACAACCTTGAAACCCCGATTAAGATGGATAAAATCAATAAAATTAAAATTTAAAAAAAAATAATAACAACAACACATCATCACAAGATATTTGTTATGATTTTTAAAATGTTTATGCGTGCGGAAACAATACTGGAGTCTTCCGAAGACTTTCAAGTCGATGAAATTGGTTATACATATGATAGGATTATTCTAGGAATTATGACATCACTTGTTTGTCTTTATATTTTATTACAGATTGGTCTTACTTTCTACCACAAGCACAAAGTACCATCATTCCATTTCGGTTTTTTGGTGCTGTGTTGCATTTGGATGATTTTGAGGACAGTTTATTATTTTTCTGTTATTGAAAATTGTGGTGTTTTCTTCTTGTACTACCTTCCTATTTGTGTAGAATTTGCAGTGTTTACTTTACTAGTAGTTTTCTTCTTCAAATTATTAAATTATGGAGGAGGTTGGGATAAATCAATTTTCTCCCGTTCTCATAACAATTCAACACCTTCTAACAGTATTTTAGTAGGTTCTGGTGTTCAATCTCCTCCGGAGAGAAGAAGATCTTCCAGGAATAGAATCAATGATAGTTATGGTGCTGTTTCTAATCACCATCACGTCTCTGTAAATGCTGCTTCAGAGGATGATGACACAAAATCTGATGCTTCTTTTGTGAGTCAAAATTTAGAAGATGTTATTTACGAAGAAGACTCTAAGTCAAGTTACTATAAGACATCAACAGGTGCCAAGTATTACAAGAAACTTCTTAAATCTATCTGTACAAAAAAGGTGATTTATATGGTAACATGGTTGATTTCCAATTTTGTATTTTTGGCAATAATCTTATCTTTCTGTATTACTTCATGTACTACTGCAATAGAAATAGAGCAAACTAATTCTATTATTGGATTTGCAAGTGCTTGCTCATTCACTATTTTGATGATTATGTTATTAATTATTGGTATTAGAATGGTTTACATATTTAGAAGAAGAAATGATATTCCTGTGAGCTTAAAAGTCAGTAGAATTACTGGACCAGGAATGATTGTCGTCATTATTGTGAACTGTTTTGTATTCACCAGTAGAGCTATATTTGATTGTTTGATTTTAATTCCTAATTTCCCAAAAGATTATTTGAAAATTCAATTCTTAAGATCTACTGATTATGGAAGAATCTTTATTATTGTTACTAATTTCTTCTGGGAAATTATGCCAATTCTGAGTATTTTAATATTCTTTAGCAAATTCAGTTTCGGTAGAAATGTTGTGAATATGAGCTTCAAAAGACAAGTTCAACCAGAGGACGAAACTCCAGAATCAGAATCAACAAATGTTGATCATGTTTTTGATCCTAACACTCCTTTGGTTATTGGTACAAACAATAACAGAAATGGAATGTCCAAAAGAAATGCGAGTTCAGGGTATTTAATTCAGGAGGGAGAAACAACAGAATCATCTCTTTATGATGATATTGAAACAGATAGCTCTTACAGTGCAAACGATTAATTTATTTGAATAGTTTAGAAAAAGTGTGCTTTTCCTTCTCCTTATACTTTTCCAATTCAGCTTTTGCTTTCTTGTGCCAAACCTCAATTTCCTTATTTCCTAAATTATTTTCAAGCAAGTCTGAAAAATCCCTCTCACTATTTTGCCAATCTCCTCTTGAAAAGTATGAAACACCTCTTCTAAACTTGGCCTTTGTCTCAATTGCACTGATACCTTCCATCTCATTATGATGGGTAACTAGTTGAAGAACTTTGTTGCACAATTCTATAACTGTTGCATATTCTGATTGTTTGATTTTAACTGCTGCAATATTTCCCAAAATAACAATCTCTTTTTCTTCCAATAATTTTCTTTCATTTTCTTCTCTCATACCAGGCGCCAAATATCTAAATGCTTTCTCATATTTTTCTAATGCTTTTGAAAGATTTCCTTGCTTGAAAAATTGATTTCCTAGTTCTTTCAATTGTTCTGCAATTTCCATCTTTTTCCCAAGAGAAACATCTTCATTATCTGCTGGGTATTGAGGATAAATATCTCCTTCCTCAACATTTTGTTGGTCTAGTATTCCATCACTCTGACCATGTTCAAGAACTCCACAATCCATAAAGGTAATTTCAATACTTGGATAACCAGTTGTTTCAACGACAGGAATTCTTTCAATTCTACTAAGTATGGAAGTTCCTTTAGTTATTTTTCCAACAGGTAACAATTCATTCTTCATGTAAGAAAGGTTTGTTGTAGAAAACAAGAATTGTGACGATGCTTCTTTTGTTGATTTCTTATCAATGAACATAAGGAAATCCTCGTCACGTTCACTATCATAATAGTCATTTGCAAAATCCCCATCCACAACTTGTTTTCCTCCTTCTCCAGTGTTGAATTCATAATCACCAGCCTGAATCATCATCTTTTTAATTACTCTAAAAACTTTACTTCCTTTGTAGCCTACTGGTCCTTTGCATAGAGTAATTATATTATTACAAATATTTGGGCATTTGTCTCTGAATAATTCTACTACAATTCGCCCTAATGAATTTCCTTTTACCTCAACTTCGAAAAAAACTCTATCAATATCCTGGCTCATGGTTTGTTGTATTTTTGTTTGTATTTTTATTTAGGGTTTACAAATTTCGAAAGTAATTGATCTTGAATACAAAACCAACTGTTTTGGCCTGGAAGCTTCTCAACATTTTCAATTTATTTCCTTAAGAAACTAGATTTTTCGAAAAATCATGGAATCTTCGGAATTTCTCTAATAACTCAAGTTGACAAAGCATGTCTCCCTTATTTGAATTTTCTCGATGTATTGAACTTTGAAGAAAATGATCCAAGCAAATCATTCTTCTCTCTTGTGAAGATATCATCGTGAGTACAGGGAAGATTGGTTAGTTGAAGGCCTCTTCGTCGAAAGAGGAGTTTGTACATGTGATGGTTTGTTGGGTTTCTTTTTTCTATGTTTCTTCTTTTTGGTGCTTTTCACTTCATTTAATTCAGGTAAAAATTGAGAAACTGGTGAGGGACTCTGATTGGTGTCAGAAAGAATTATTTAAATTGTAAACTTACTCTTTGAGGACCATCTTCTTCTGGTTGTGACAATTCTCCCTTATCCCCTTTTTTTATATCTGAAAGATAAGGAAGGCCTACCAATCCTCTTGCTTTCAGACTTGTGATATCTGGAAGAATTTCATGATGAACTTCTTGAGGTGGTTCTACTTCTTCTTTTCTCGTGTGTTTCTTCATTGTTTTAGCGAATCTGATTTCACAAATGTTACCAAAGTAATTAAAACCAACTTACTTCTCTTCATCAATGTAGACAACAGAACCTTTTCTTTCTGTTTTTTCCTTCCTTGGTTTTTTCCATGAATTAAGAGAAATATTGTCTTGATCTAATAGTTGTTGGAAGTCAGTATTGTACCATTCTGAATATCCCTTTAAGTATGGGTGTTCCAATAAATCCTCATATGTACCTCTCTTGTTTGGATCAATGTTGAGACAAAATTTGATGAAAGAAAGAGCTTCTTTGGAAATATTTGTTTTGTATCTACTATCTAAGGAAACTATTCCCTCTGAAGATGGTTTTGGTAGATCTACATCTCTATACATTGGGTTATTATTGTACACTTCAATTTGTCTCTCTGACAATTTTCCAAAGCAATTAATAATTCTTGAAAGCTGATCAATATCAGAATCTCCAGGGAATAATGGTTGTCCTTCCAATAATTCCCATAACATGCATCCAATAGCCCATATATCTACAGCTTTTCCATATTCTCTATCACCTACAACTAATTCAGGAGCTCTATACCATCTCGTTGACACATAATCGGTATACTTTGCACCAGTTCCCTCCAATGCTCTGGCAAATCCAAAATCTGCTATTTTCATGACTCCACTTTTCGATACCAACAGATTTTCTGGTTTCAAATCTCTATGGATAATCTAAGCCCTTATTACAATAACAAAGCCGAGATGAACTTACATTCAAAGAATGACAATACTCGATGCCTTTCAACAGTTGGAATAAATATTTCTTAGTCATATCTTCATCAAGACCGTAAGGATATTTTTCCTCTAGTTTCCCTAGAATGGTAGACTCCAAAAACTCGAACACAAGATACAGTTTTCCCTTTTTCCGAAAAACCTCCAACAAATTCACTATGTTTTCATGTCTTAATTGCTGCAAAATTCCTATTAACCTGTCGATGATGATTACGTACCTTTAGGATTCTAATCTCTCTTAGTGCCGTTTTTTTGACTTGTTCATCTTCATCAGATTCCTTAAACTTCTTAACGGCGACTACTTGACCTGTTTCCTTATGCCTACATTTCATAACAACACCATAGGCTCTAATCATGCCGATCAAGCAACAATTAATAAGAACAAAGACCGCCACAAACAAACATACCCTTCACCAATGATTCCAAGGTTCTCGTAGTTTTCCATTTTTTTTTTGGTGTTGTATCCTATCAACCGTTGTAGCCGAATGTTTTTCCTCTTTGTTTTCCAGGGTTATTTTAGTGATCTAAAGATAATAATTTCAAAAATATTGTGGTATGATGGGGGCAATCAGTATAAGGCCGCCAAAAAATTGATGATTTAAGGATTTTGAAAAAATGCAAACAACCTCCTCGAGCGAAAACTCTTTCTTGGCTGATCATACAACACTATCATACAATGATTCTTCAATAGTATCGGAATCATCAAGTGCTATTTTGTCAAGTTTATTCATGTTGGCAATTTCGTTAGGAGTTTATTCCTTATCACAAAGAACCACTTCTACAAAAACTAGTAAAAAATCGAAAAAGTTAAAAGAGGAACAAGGCAATCAGGAAATAGATCAAAGATTTAAACAAAGTAAGAAACCAACAAAGGAGGAAAAGAAAATAGCCAGAGAACTCTACAAAAATAGAAAACCAAAATCAATTGACCAAGTTTTGTGTCAGAAAAAAATGGATTTAATCAAAAACAAACAAAAATCACTATCATATGGAAAAGAATTGGCTTCATGTCTAGGTGAAAGAAGATTTATTAATCAAAAGAAATGGAACTGCTTATCCAGACCACAATACAAGTATTCTTGTGGAATTAGCTCACTAACATCTGTTTGGAATTTTCTCTTCTCATCATTAGGCGAGGGAAGTTTACCACCACTCACTCAAGAAGAAGTTCTTTTAATACTTGGATTTAGTGAACCATTCGAACAAATAAGGTTTGTAGTCAAATAGATACAATTAGACTCACAGTTCAAGGTTTGGACCCTTTACTGGAAATCAAACATTAATGACATGGTTTAAAGAGCTCCTGGCAGCTTTTAACTGTAAAGGATCCTGTTCTATATTTTGGAAATGTGCAGGAGAGTCTGTGGCAATACCAACCAATGCAAAAGAGGAGATGAAGAGTGGTATTAAAGATACGAAGGTTGCTTTTATTTATCATTGCTACAACCATTACATGGTACCAATCGGATATGAAGAAAGTTCTGAAATGCAATCCCAAATTTATGAAAAGGATATTGAAAAAACAAATACATGGTTTTTAATTGGAGATAATAGTAGGCTGCAAGAACCAGTTGAATGTGTTAAATTTTCAGATATTGAAAAGGATTTAAAACAGGAAGGACCTAAATTTTTCAATATTAGACATCCAGAAAGAGGAATTCAGAAAAAAGAAGGAGGAAAATCACGTGGTAATGTAGATTGTATTCTCAAGTTCACATGTGATTCCACACAAGTAAATATTAGACCTGAAAAGAGAACAAATTTTGACAAAACAAGGAAACAATCCTTTGAGCTTGTGTGGGCTGAAAAGTAAGCCAAAAAATGTGGATCGAAACGAAAAAAAAAGCCGCAATGTTGCCCTGAAATAATAAAATCAATCCACACCTGGAAAAAATATTTTATTAAAAAAATAGACATACAATTAACGGATAGTTTAGCCACTTTCCAGTCATGTTTTTGGAATTTGCTTTACTTTACTTTCCTCAATATTATTTATTATTAAGACTCACTAATTGTTATGTCCAATAACGCAAATACTCCCAGGAAACATCGCTTTTCCTTTTCACTTTCTCCTTCCTCAAACAAGCCTAACATCTCTCCTTCATTCTTATCTTACAGACAACCTGAAACAATATCAACTGCTTCATCTAGAAACAATTTATCTAACACTGTTCCACTATGTGATAGGTATGTTTTTCATCAAAGTCATTACCATTGTTAATCTTTTTTTCAATGTTGTTTTTGTTTAACGTCCGTTATTTTTCATCATACAATTTTAAATATTATTTAATTTTAAATAACATTATTCGTGATGAACGGTAACATAGATTCATCTCTAATAGAAGCTCCTCTAACTTGCGGTTTGGTCTCTCCTCTCCCACAAACCATTACTCACCACAAACACAACAATCATCATTGCAACTGCTCTTTGATGTGTCTGATCAGAGTTATCGCCACTCTGTAACAGACTCCTCCATTAGAACAAGCCTTACTCCCTCCATATTTGATGGTAGTAATGTACAAGATAATAGAATTTCCCATCTCCCACTCAATCGTCCAAGATCAGCCCCACTTGTGAATAACTCTTCAACCACTACACAAACAACACAACAAACTTCTCCTGAGGTAAGCCTTAGAAGAAGAAGAAGCCAAAGTTTAAATTCGTCATCAAATACATCCACCACCATTGTTGATTCCTCTCTTTCCTACAATACTGTATCCTTGCATCAACATAGAACGTACACTACACCGAGCAGAACTTTAAGCAGAGCTGGTTCTGGTTATTCATCTCCTAGAGGCACAACAACTAGTAACAGCAGTACACAATTAAGTATTGGGTCGCTTTCAGAATCGGGAAGAAGTAACTCACTGAATAATAGTTCGAACTCTTTGAGCTCAATCAATTCCATACTTAATGATGGCTCTTTTGATGATTCAATATTCAACTCTAATGGGTTAAGCAATGATTATGATCCTAATTTGAGAAATTCTGGGCAATCTGATAACTTGACATTTATTGATGATTTTTTGACCTCTACTCATTCCCACACAACCCTTTTTGATGAAGAACAAGAAAATTCAAATACATGTGAGGATACAATACCTCCGTCACGGGTACCTAATAGTTTTAACTTGGATGGAGTTCTTGTTGGAGGAAAGGGAGATGCATTTGATACTCTTTTAATGTCAGAGCTACTACCTAATAGTCAACCAATTAATAATCACCTAACAGTTTCTGAAACACCTAACCCTGTATCTTATAATAGACGCACTCGAAGCTCTAACTCGTCACCTGTAAAAAGAATTAATACTAACAGCACACCTAACTCTAACATTTTGAACTTTAGCCCACATAACAAAACATCAAACAGTGTGGTAATAAGTAGGCGGCAGACATATAACAGTAATAAGGGAACCCCTGAACCTGCATTCAGTATGCTTATTCATCCAAATAACACAGTCCTTACGAAAAATGGAATTAATCTGAAAACTAACAAAAAGATTGCTCTTCCAAAATCTAACAGAACAATACCAGAAAAACCAATTAGAGTTCTGGATGCTCCTGGTCTCAAAAATGATTTTTATTTGAATCTTTTAGATTGGGGAGAGTCAGACCTTTTGGCAGTAGTTTTAAATACTAACGTTTTCCTTTGGAATGCTAATAACCATTCTGTATCCTCTCTTTTGACCACACCAGAAAATAACACAATAACGTCAGTATCTTGGATGAAAACAGATCCATACGTTTTGGCAACAGGTAATGAGGAAGGATTTGTTTCAATTTATGATGTGCAAAAAGAGAAAAAAATTAGAGATGTACATAGACACACTGACAGAGTAGGAAGACTTGTATGGAATGGGTATTCTTTAACATCTGGATCTAGGGATAATCAAATTATTATAAGTGATATTAGAAGCAAAAAGTCAATAATTCAGCTTTCTGGTCACTCCCAAGAAATTTGTGGATTGAAATGGAATAATACTGGAAAACAATTAGCCAGTGGCGGGAATGATAATAATCTATTTGTATGGGAGCCTCAGCATAATAATAGATATCCAATGTGGAAATTTAATGATGGTCATAATTCTGCTATCAAGGCTCTTTCATGGTCTCCGTATGATAGTAATATATTAGTATCAGGAGGAGGAGTGAGTGATAGATGTTTAAAGTTTTGGGATACTTCTAATGGCCAAGTACTGAGTACAAAAAAGACCAGTAGTCAAATTTGCAATATTTATTGGTCGAAATTTACAAATGAGATTGTAACAACACACGGGTTAATGAGTCAAAATCACATAACGATATGGAGTTCCTATCCGGAACTTAATCCAGTTTCTACTCTCTATGGACATACTGAGCGAGTGTTATACTTAACAGCTTCTCCTGATGGTTCTCAGATTGTAACAGGTTCTGGTGATGAAACTATTCGATTCTGGTCCATTTTCCCAAGTAAGGAAAAACAAAACCAAGATATTCTTTCCAGAGTATCCCTAAACATTCGATAAATAAAACTAATTGATAAGCAATATTTACATTTATTCTTGGAGCACAACTTCAAAACTATGAACTGTCTCAGGATATTCAGAAATCATCTTTGTAACGACTGATTGCAGCTTTGATCCTTGATTCTTTTGATTTTCTAACTCTTCATTTACATCTGTTGGTTTTTTGGCAGTTCCTTTCAGAATATTTTGACACTTTTCAACCAGTTTCTTCAGTCTTTCTCTATCAAAGCCAGTCTTTGTCTTTTGAGCTGACATTGTTTGCAGCTCCTCCTGTAAAGAATTAATGTCATTTCTAACAGAATCAATCTTTTGTCTTGCTTCCTCAATAGCCATTCCACTTTGTTCCGCAGCCATTTGAAGGGATTTGATAGCTTGGAACGCATCAGCAGCTTTTTTCTTTTTCCTTGTAATTTCTGATTGGAGGAAAGACAATTCTCTTTGAACATTTGCTTTGGTATTTGTAGAGTTCTTGGATTGAACAACCCTTCCTTTCGTAAGAATTAAATCTCTCTTCTCAATTGCCTTTTCCATTTCCAAAATCTTTCTCTTTTGTTCTCGCTTCAAATCATTTAATCTTTGTTCCATCAAGTGAATTTCCTTCTTCATTCTCGTTATTTCTTCTTGACCAACATTTGGATCAAGTGCTTCCTGAATTTCCTTTTGGATTTCAATCTTCTTATCCCAGAATAGAATTTGACGTCTTGGACATGTTAGTATGAAATCAAGGTAATACTTACTCTACATCAACAAGCTCGTTAATAATTGTTTTCTTTTGAGATTTGGTTTCTTCTATGAGATCTTCCAATCTGAAAGCCTCTCTTTCACTTTCTTTCAATCTATCAAGAATCTTGTTTTCCAAATCATAATTGACATCAGCCAAACTATTTTGGGTTAGGTAGTTGGTTGAAATTTTCTTATTAAGTTTTTCGAGGACTTTGTGCATTTTTTGCATTTCGCCATTAAGGGACTTGATTTGGTTTCTTTCTCTAGTTGCTGATCCATCACTTCTACCCTTTCTTTGGGATAAAATTGTTTGTTTGCTCTTGATAGATTTAATCTCATCAGAGAGTTCTTCGGATCTATTCATGAGCTTTACCAATTCGCTTTGGTATCTTGTCCAATCTTTTTTAAGTTGTTCACTTTCTTTCTCTTTAGCCTCAATAGCTTTAGAGATATTCTTGATTGTTGCTTCTAATGGCCCTTGGTTCTCATCTTTTTGATTTCCTAAGAGTTTTTCCATAAGTCTATTCAATTTATCCAAATCGCCTTGTTTCTTTTCAATATCGTCATTCTTTCTTCTAATCTCGAGCTCATACTTTTCAATCAAACTATCCTTTTGTTTTAGGTCCGATTCAAGGTCCTTAAGAACTTGCTCAAGTTGAATATTATGATCTTGAGTTTGAAGTCTGTCAATTGTGATTCTTGCTAGCTCATTTTCCGCTTGTGAAAGCTCAACTTCCTTATCAACAACAGCATTCTTCTTCTTTTCAATGTCCTTAAGGGTGTTTTGACAATCCTTCTTGATGGTAGTGTTTTCACTAAATAAATCAAGGATTTCTTCTTCCAAAAGCCTAATATCATTACTTGCTTTAGCCATCTTCTTTTCAACTACGTCAATATCCTTTCTGATAGTCTTAATATTCGCTTCCTCTTTAGCAATTTCTTGATCTGTCTTATCCAGAGTATTTCTAAGTTGCATATATTGTTGTTGCTTATTTTCCAAAGTTGCATTACTGTCGAGTATTTGTTTTTCCAAATATGTTTGCTCATTTTCATTCTTGATTAAAATTGAGGTAAGTTGTTCGTGCTTTTCTTTTTGTTCGTTAATTGACTTTTTGTAGCCTTCAATTTCATTTTGAATCTCAATAACTTGCTCCTTTTGTTTGCGTAACCCTTCTTCAGTAGCTTTAAGAGCCTCATCTCTTCTTTGCATACCAATCACACTTGTTTTCCATTGTTGGATAAGTCTCTTTTTCTCAAACTCAAGAGCTTCCATTTCAGTTGTTGCTTCAGCGAGAGTTTCACTAGCAACTTTATACTCCTCTTTTTGAGCCTTGTGCAATTCCTCATATTCTTCAAATTGGTCTTTGAGCTTTCTAACTCTATCCATCATTTGATCTATTCTAAAATCTTGTTGCTTTTTTTGCTTTTCAACTTCTTCCATTTCCTTTTCAATTTTATGAGTTTTTCTCTTCTTGATAGCAATATCTCTCTTTGTTTTTTCATTTGCTGTAACTAACATTCTGAGAGTTTGTTGAGATTTTTCCAACTCATCTTGATATTTATACACTTTAAAACAATGTAAATAGAATATTTCTATTAGAAACCTACATTTTTTTCTCTTCTCATCAACATCGGATCTCTTAGCCTTAGCCATTTGAAGTTGATCATTTCTCTTTCTTTCCATTTCTTCTCTGATTTGAGTCATCATAATTAAATTATCGTGACCTTTATCAACATTCTCTTGAAGTTTTACAAGTTTTTGTTGTGTATTATAGAGATTGACACCCAAAGCTTCCCTTTCTTCCCCAATTTTTCTTTGTCTTTCATCCTTTTCAAAAGATTAGAGTTATCGGAAATGATGAAAACTTACAATTTCCTTATGTTGGAGAGTGAGTTCCTCTAATTGTCTTTGATATTGCTCTGAGATTCTGGCTTGGAGTGTAGCCAAAATTGGCTATTAAGAAAAAAGTATTAATCAATAAATCGTCATCATAAAACCTACACTATTTGGGTCTACTCCTCCAAAGTCTGCAATATTTGGATCCATTTTTTTTAGAACTTTAAATCGTAGAATGACAATAATTTGGCGGTTTTTATTGTTGATTAATTTGATGGAAAATGGCGCCAAATTTTCACTTCATAAATCAGCATAGTGTTTTGTTCCATTATCACATCTCATCAAATAAATTATGTTATTATTCGTAATTGAATATAATAATATTATAATAATTTGTAAACATATAAGAAAATTATCCTTCCTTCCATTGATGACCACATTTACAACACTTGAAGAATTGAGTCATAGGTTCATCAGCAGATCTAGTTTGGAACATTTGGAAATAAGCCTTGTTATGGTCACATTTTCCACATTTTGTTTCCACTGTTTCGGACCAGTTGGCTTCGTCATCAATAACATCATCAACTTCCTTCTTTTCCAAATTCATATCAAAATACATTTCACTCTTAATATTACAAATATATGGGCAAGTTTTGCAGACCCATCTATAGACTGAATCTGTTGAACGACCTGCTGCTTTTTCGATTAGCAGGATGTTTCCGCATTGTGGACAAAAGAACATTTTTTTCAAAAACAAATTTGCATTTAAAAATTCAAATTCAAGCAAACAACCATCAAATAATAATAAATAACAACAATTAATGAATTATAATTTTGTACAATGTTTTATTTAGATACATCTGATCAAACCACCAAAACCCAAGAAACAAGCAAAAGCACCTCCTCCTTGTAACACAGCTTTAATTCCGGTTGTTTTCAAAAATTGTTTTCTGTTTCCTCTCATGGATGGCATTAAAGAATAGCCTAAAATTGTCTATTAATTCATTTTGTCTGTATGAATAAAATTATATACACTAATAACCTACCAATCCAGCCATACCACCTCCGACAAGAAATCCTGTCAGAGCTCCCATACCAACAGATGTTGGACAATCATTAAAGTTCTTCTTTTTGGCCATTTATTATTAAATTTTTTTATTACTTGGTTTTTTCAAAAATTGATTGGATTTCTCCCCAATTTTGGATTTAATCAAAATGTCTTTATTCGTCTTAATTTAAAAATGATTTTAATGAAAATCCTTCATTTTCACAACCTTCCTTAATATTTAATAAATTGGTACATAAATCTGCAGAAGAAGGTCTTTGTTCATGGTCAACTGAAAGAGTTTGCATTACTAAATCTACAAGTGGAGCTGGGTAAAATCCTTTTTGAGAAAGTTTTTCTTTCACTGTTTGAAGTCCACTTGCTCCTTTAGTAAGTAATTGAGCACAAATATTAGTATCCATTTCCTTTGTCATTAATTGATATAATACAACACTATATTTCAAAAATTAAAATAATTAAATTATTAACTAAACATACCCTAAACTCCAAATATCAGCCTTCAATCCATACGGTTCATTACTAAACACTTCACTATTATTTCAAATAACTAAGAAAATCATATCAGAAAGAAACTTACGGACTCTACAAAATGTTAATGTGAAAAACATTATTAGAAACTTACCATAAAAAGAAGTGTTCCAGCCTTTGTTTGATTTTGGGTGTTATCAATTTGTTTCGACAAACCAAAATCTCCCAAAACAATATTTATCACGGTTGCATCCAAATTCTTGACAAAAATATTTTGTGGTTTGATATCTCTATAAAATAGGTTTAGAAATTAATAATTTCTATATTTACCTGTGAATTAATCTTCTCTCGTGTAAATAGCTCAATGCCTTTGCCATTTGATAAAATACAGCAAAGACTATTTGTTTTGGTACCATTGCTGTACCAATTGTTTTTCTATTTAAAAATTTAAATTCCAAAGTTAATAATCTTATAAAACAAACCTTATATATGTATCCTATAATATACATGTTTAGAAATATTCTGAAATTTTAGAGTTTAAACTTACTAAATCACCATGTGAATAATATTCCATACAGAAACAAAGTCCTTTGGTAGGTTCATATTTGAAAATTTCATAAGTTTTTAAAACATAAGGATTATCCAATGACAACATGGCTGTTGCTTCTCTATTTGCATTTTCCATTTCCATTTCATCATCGAATGTTACAACTTTAACTGCTCTAATATCGTCACCAATTCCACTTTGAGTAATTCTAACTTTATAAACAACACCAAATCCACCTTTACCAATTCTTTCCAAAATTTCATATTTTCCATTTAACATATTTGCACTATCCGTAGGTGTTTGAGCAGTTAGCTTATTATCTTTAACGTGATTTAAAATTAGTGTTTTAATATCAGGATTTTTTGTCCATTTATCAGGTGTACTTCCAAATGTATCTGTTATTGATTTGTTTGCTCCATGATCCAATAGACATTTTACAACCTCTTTAGAACATAAGTGAGCTGCCTAAATTTTGAAATTAATTATTTGAGAAAATTAACAAACATACCAAATGAAGTGGTGTTTGTTTTAACTCATCTTTTGTTGTAACATTCAATTGAATATCGTTAGCTTCCAATAATAATTTTACCATATCATAACAATTTTTCTTACAAGCAGCATGAAGAGCTGTCCATCCATTCTACTCAATGTAAATATAAATTGAAATGTGAATATATGAAACAAACATTTTGATCTTGAATATTAACATGGGCTCCATGTCTGATTAATAATCTTGCTGCTTCCACTTGATTACTACTCGCTGCTTCATAAAGTGGTGTCTAAATAATTGATGATCATCCTCATTAATCAAATTATAAAACCTACATGCTGTTATTTTCCACAATTTAATATTATTTCATTAATAAGAATATAAATCAAACTTACTCCTTTCTAAAACAAAATATAAATTTGAACAAATAATAATAAATACATACTGGTCCATATTCATTGATTAAATTAAGTGCCTCTTTTGCTTTCAACGTTTCCGTAAGTGTTTCTATTCAAGTCGGAACAATATGAACATCATATCCAATCAATCATAATTGATTCAACATCATTTTCCATCAAATAACTTACCAATGTCACCTTCTCTTGACGCTTTACTCAGTGTTTTTTTAATTTCACGTTCCACAGAATTTGATACTCCCATTACTTTGTGCAATCCAAACAAATAATTCGTTACTGAGTTCGATATTTTTTTAAAAAGGTGACTTTCATTGAAAAGGTGGTATGAAGGGATAACGCGTTATTGGAAGCTCAAAATTGAATAGTAATATTCCATGATCAACTCAACTCAAATGGTCACATTCAATATTTTCATTTCTCCCCACATTATTGGTTAATAATTAGTTGTATTGAATGAATATTGGTGAAAAAGTTCATAAGGAATGCAATAAAGAAACTCAAATCCAATAAAGCTCTGATTGATCTCATAATTAGATTCTCCATTCTGCAGAATCTACTGATATGTTCTTCATTACCAAATATCTATCTTAAAATTCAATAATAATCAAATAGCAAACAAGGTAGTTGTTTGTCCAAATTCAATTCTGAATTGTGATTCATTCACAACGCATCAAAAAAGATCCAATCATATGAAAACCAGCATGTTTGTATGATGAAATTCCTCATTCGTAAAAAGCATCTTCTTGTGCGTGTCAGTAAACAAGCAAATTCAATGGAGTAAACGGCGCTTGAGAATAACTTCGGGGCACTTGTGGGACTATAAAACTCGACACCCAGAAATACAATGCACTCATATTTAGATAAACAAAAAGAAACAAAATCAATTCAGCTAACAACTGGTGTTTTATTATCCAACTCACACATTTGTTACTGCTGCTTATCTAGCTTGCGTACCGCCCCACTAAAATAGATTACAACAAATCTTTGAAAAACAATCGACAACAAGGCTTTTGAGAGATGACAGTCACAATCCTTAAGGTTAAATTTGTCTCTGAAGAAACATTATTTGAATATGGATCACTTCCAATTGAGTTTGATATTTGTTGTTCCTCACCTAAATCTTCATCATCATCTTCAAATTCCAAATCAAAGACAAACTCAAAGAGAAAACAACAAGTCAAATGGTCTGAAGAAGATGATAGAATTTTGAGAATGTATGCAGAGAAGGAATATTCATGGAAGGTAGGTATCAATTTATAATACTCAATATCTCATCATCATCACAATAATGTTATTAATTTAAAATTCAAATAATGATTAGGAAATTGCAACCAACTTTTTAAATGATAAATTTACTCCACAACAACTTCATCAAAGATGGAAGAGAGTTTTAAATGATAGTATTAATAGAGAGCCATGGTCTGAAGAAGAAGACAAGGCCATTATTGAATATGTTAAGAAGGTATGGTATCACTTTTTCATCTCTTAACTTAAATTAAAAACTAATATAGTATGGTTGTACTTGGTCAAAATTGAGAACTCTGCTTGGAACTCAAAGAACTGACACAATGGTCAGACAACGTTGGTTAAAGATTACAAATGGTCAAGGTCTAGTTGGTGTTGCATCAAAGCATAATCAACCAACTTCATTGGCATCACTCTCTAACTCTTCTACTAATAGTGAATCTAGTCCTAATACTATTTCTCAACCACCTAATAATATTCAATCCATTGTAAATAGCTTCAATGAAGAAAATGATGTCTTCGATTTTATTAAGAAACATCAACTTATTACTCCACCTCAACAAGTTCAACAACCAGTTATTGAAAAGCAACCAATTAAGAAACCTGTTCAACCAATATCACTTGATAGTTTAACATGTGATGAAGAATTATTTGATCAGAGATCAGCTCCAACTGAACCAAAGTCAACTTGTCCACCATCCATTAAGGATATTGATCCAGCCATAACTATTGACTCAACAGTTTCTTCTTCTTTAGGGACTTTATTAGATAATAATTATGATTTGATGGATTTCCATTCATCACTTCAAACCAATTTGGAAAGAGAATGGTTGAACCAAATCTTTTCACAAGATTTCTAACTGTATTATAACTCAACTCTTATATAATAAAAACATTTTTGTAAAAAGAAGACTTGTTCAACTTGTAATAATACAACCCCAGATAATGAAATCACTCGATATATGGTTTCAATCATGACTGAAAACAAGCGAATTGGTTTGATTTCCCTTTTGAAATTTCATGAAATGAAAAAATGGCGCCAAACAACGTACAGTAATGAATAATCAAACACAAGTTTAAAAAAAATGAGACGAGTTAATAACCCTAATCAAAGTCCCGAAAACAAGAAGTCGAAAAACTTCCAGGAAAAGGTAATTATTCTTAGCTATTGTACAACTTGATAATCCTGTTAGTTTAAGGATAAAATTAGTGTAACAAATAAGGATGGAACAAGAACCAAACTTTCAAATGGAGAAGTGGAAAACAAATTTAAACCAACAATAATTCAAAAAACCTCTCCATCTAAACCACCAAATCCTTTTAATTCTCAACAAAAATCACAAGAGGTTCCCACACCTTTCAAGCCACTTTACAAAATTCCAAACTCTCCAATACAAATAGCATCAAATAAGGATAATTCAAAGGAAACAAATATTTTAATAGTGAACCATACAAACCATGATCGACATGTTGTTGGTGATTCTGTTCCATCAACAGCTTGCGTATCGGAAATATCTGTTTCACCAGAAACAAATAATCATCAACCTGTAGTACATCATATCGTCTCTACTACATCATCGAGATTTTCTTCAAGAGAAAGTTCAGCCTCTTCAAGAAATAGAAAGAAACCAGTTATTACAGCTCAGCAATTTAAGAATATGGTGGAAGAAAAAAAGAAGGACAATGATATGTTAATTCCAAAAATTGAATCTCCACCTTCTCCTCAACAACCAAAAGTAATTACTCCTCCAGAGAAGAAAATTAATGTTAGATTAATTCATGAATATGAAAATCAAGAGAATGAATCATTTATTTCCTCAATTGATCATGTCAGCCCTATCAATAAGCAGAAAAATGTTGGAGCATATTCTGATATTTATGGAATGCCAAAAAAGAAGAATGAAGCTGACTATGATGTGGAATCTGTTCAAAAAGATCCAGGATACGCCAAATCTAAAAAGGAAATCACTTACAAACCATATTCAATGAATGATTACAACAAAATCAAATCTCAAGGTAATATTAAATTAGGGGGTTTGGGAGCTGATTTACAAAATGAACAATTGTTGGAAAAGAAGGAAAAAGCGTCCAAGATGAAAGAGTACGCAAAAGAAATATCTCAACTCAATAATAATAAGATTAAGAAACAAAAGACACCAACGACAAGCCAACCAACCCCTCAAGAAATTGAAGCTGCCAAACTGGCAAGTGTAAGAGAGAAAGCGCTCGAATTTGCATCAAAAATACCAAAGCCAAAACCTAAAAAGAAGTACTCTGGCTCAGCAACAGCCGATGCCGAACCAGAACCATTATCTGAGTTGGAAATGTTGGAATTACAACATGAAAGAGACAGAGAATGGTTGAAAAAAGAGTTTGCTACTCGGTAATAATAAAAAAGCAATACCAAAACTATTTACTGGAATAGAGCAGTACCAACTAAAATAGAGAAGTTGGGAAAGAAAGGAATTTTAGTTTTGTGTTTTTTAAAATGTATCTCTTATTATACACAACGAATACGCATTAGTAAATGCAGATATTGGTTGTTTATAATAAGTAATATCATTTTAAACGACACAAAACTAAAATTCCTTGCTTTCACCATATTTGATTGAAAGTAATTTCTCTCATTTGCTGGTACTGTTTCTATTTTTTTGACAAAGGATTGTAAAGGTAAGGAGGTATAGCTTTTTTGAGAGCCCCTATTTGGTCTAGTGAAATGCATGATTTTGTACAAGCATTTTTTTTTGCTTCCTTTTTTGTTTTTCCATCTCCAATTTGATTAGTAAGTTTTAAAGCAGACAGATCAATTTCACAACGAAAACTTGTAATATGTGATGGACCGTAGCATGTTTCAATATATGTAGGTTTCATATTTTGTCCAAATGTTTGACTCCAAAAATATTCCAATATTTGAACGGACCTACTTTCGTCAAACTCAGGCTCATCAGAAATTGTAGGATTAATAGGAATAAACTGGTTTGTTTGAGGTTGCTGAACCAAATTCTTAGCTAGAAATGATGCATAGGATTTAATATGTTTTCTTCCCTTAATATGATCTTGAAGAGCATCCACGCTATTACAAAACATATCACAAGCAGTACAAATATAACCATCCTGTTTTCCAATCCTTTGTATAGTAACAACTCCCTCTGAAATTAATTGTTGAATTGATGGTTGTTCAACATTGTCAACAAAAGGAGGAGAAGTACCTTTAGAATAATTCTCACTAGGTACTGATGATGATGGATGTGAGGGTGGTGGTGATGTATATGTGGAATATGAAGATATTGTTGGTGGTGGTGATGTATATTGAGCATTAATTTGTTCTCTATTAACATTTTTCAAATGCTGTTTTCCATTGAAATGAGTTAATAAAACATCAGGTCCATTACAATCCACATTACACAAAGTGCAAGAGTAAATTTCCAATGTTCCAACAACAGTCTTAGAATAATATTTAGCATGAATTCTAAATGCTTCAGGAATAGTAGGTGGTTGAGCCTTAGGGGGATAATTATTTTGAATTCCAGGAATTTGTGGATTGGAAAAAGGTGGAGTGTGTTCTCTCTGTAGTTCTTCAGGGCTAGTACTGCTCTGAATTGGATTTTGAATTGGATTAGAAGAGCTATACGGTGTAAAAGCTGATTCTTGATAGAATGTTTTCTGCTTTTTTTGATGTTTAGATCCTCTTACGTGTTCATCATATTTCTCTTTACTATTGCAACTAATAGAACAAAGGCTACAATACCAATTATTCAAATGTTGAGAGACTGATGGATTATTACTCAAATTTAAACCATTAAAATTACTGATAAGATCATCCTCTTGACTACTATAAGAATTTGTAGAATTTGTAGAATGTGTAGAATGAGTAGAATGTGTAGAGTTTGAATAATTTGTTCGACTATCATTAGGATAATATTGATGGGATTGATGATGATGATAAGGTTCTTGAATCCTTGTATTTCCACCCATCAAATAGTTCCTACTATCAGTATATACAGGCTTTGTTTCTGGATGATAATTCTGTGTTGGATAAAAAGGTGTATAATGAATATTACTACTAGTTGGAATATTTGAATATCCTAATTGAGTATTACTATTTGTATATTGATGAGGATTTGTATTGTTGTTATTGCTTGCAGTCGGAAATGGTTTTGAAATTATTTGATCGTTTAGAGGAAGGTTTGTTGGATGTTTTTGAATATTTAAATGCTTAATAGGTTCAGAATTCTTAATATTTAAAGATGATATGGGTATGTTATTACTATGTTGAATAAAAGATAATGATGCATTCGTTGTTGTTGGTGGAGGCTGTATAGTTTGACTTGTTGGTTTCTGTTTAGCCTCAGTTTTCCTGATATGTTCAGAACTTTTGAGATGTTCTCTATATTCTGAAGAGGAGTTTGTTGAGTAATTGCATGTATTACATGTGAATGGCATTTTGTTGAAACTTTAATAACTTGGGAATTCTCAAATTACTTGTTTTAATGTTTTTTAATCTATTAATAATCAGACACTAGTGCAACCAGAGCTTTACTTGGATCGGATTGATTTCGGATGCTACACTGTTGTAAGATATTAATATTTGGTTGTTCCAATGTATTGTTGGAAATGCGGAAAGAAGAGGGTCACTCTTCAACTGCAATAATACTTATTTTTTTTAAAGGTGTTTTTAGAGATTGAAAGATTAAATATATTATACTAATAACAAGTATATTATTGAACAATTAAATAATTTTATATTTATTATGATGATTAAAATTATATGTTCCAATATTGTTATTGTCGTTCATTGAAGGTGTAGTCAAATATAATTATTTGATTTTTAAATCATGATGAATGTTTTGTGAGTTGTCCCATTGGAAGCTCTTTGGTCAAACAAAGCCATTGAGTACTTGTTGGTTAGGTTAAAAGCCAAGTATCAATAATATCCGAGAAGTACGTATCTGCTACATTATTTTTTGCAAGGTAATTGTTGGGTAAAAATTTTGATTGTAAAATAACAGGCAACCACACATTTTAAAGTTTTGTTGAAAAAAAAATACACTAAATGTAAGTCTAGTCATCCTCATCTTTGCTTACGCTTCAAATCTTATTACTTTTCGTACAGCAAAATGGGCCGTATGCATGGTGCCGGTAACGGTAAATCTCAATCTGTCATTCCATACAGAAGATCTCCACCAACATGGTTGAAGGTTACTGCTGAAGAAGTTGAAGACAAGATTGTCAAGCTCGCCAGAAAGGGTTACACTCCATCACAAATTGGTGCTATCTTGAGAGATTCCGACGGTATTGGTAGAGTCAAGTCTGTCACTGGTAAGAAGATCTTGAGAATGCTCAAGTCTAATGGTTTGGCCCCAGAAATCCCAGAAGATTTGTACCAATTGATCAAGAAGGCTGTTGGTATCAGAAAGCACTTGGAAAAGACCAGAAAGGATAGAAAGGCTAAGTACCAATTGATTCTCTGTGAATCTAAGGTCCACAGACTTTCAAGATACTACAAGAGCACTAAGGTTTTGGCTCCAAACTGGAAGTATGAAAGCGCAACTGCTGAAGCTTTGATCAATGCTTAAATTTTAATCACTATAAAAAAACAAATATTTAAAATTCAACAATTTACAAATTTATGCAATTTTTCAGAATGTTATTTCTTTTTGAACTTATTTTTACCTTCACATCTTGAAAGATTTCGACTTAGTTTGTGTTACAACCAAGAAATGGATTTATTAAAGATATTTGACTAATAACTTGACATCATGAACTTGTTTGTTAATTCTATAAAATGGTCTTAATGTTCTACCCAATAATTCAAGTTGTTCATCTTCTCCTTGTTTGAAAATGAAATACTTGTAACAATCAATTGGATTCCATTTCAAATTCAAATCACAAATTAATTGAGATTCTTCCAAGGTTGATTCATTGAATGACTTAGTAATTTCAACTTGTTCAATTGGTTTCAAGTTCAAATCTAACAATTTTTCACCAATATTCAAATAACCTAATTTCATTGCATAATAATCTTCTTCATTACTATCAATAATGGAATGTTCATCAGAAGGTGATGGAGTTGAATCACTTTGAATACAATCAATATAAATATTTGTAATTTCATCATCGAATTCAATAATATTATTCAAAGAATAAGTTTTTAATATCCAACCACCATTCATCATTTCAGATTTAACATTTTGATCCATTTTACTCAAATCAATTAAACCTAATTTTACAGTTTCAATTAATAAATGTAAAGAAGAATATTTTTCATTAAATTCATTACTATATTTAAATGCATATTGAATATTTGTTATATTATTATTTAAATTATTATTTAAATTATTTAATTTAATACTAGTTTTAAATAATTTAAATCTTGTTAATTTTACTTCATCTTGATTAAATTTTCCATAAAATTCTAAACAATTTCCACCTAAAAAGGAATCTAAATAATTAAAATTCCAATTAATTGAATATTCTTGTCCAATATTTAAAATTTTATAATTTCTAAAATTAGGTAATAAATCTTGTTCAGAAATATCATTCCATTTTAATACATTTTGATTATTTCCATAAATGTAATAATTTAATCCAACACCTGAATTAAAAAATGTTGAAAATAAATTTTTAATTAATTTTTCATTTAAATAATTTGAATTATTTTCATTTTTACTTTTTAATTTTAAATTTAAAGAACAATTTGAAATTCTTGATCCAAAATTTCCCGCCCAATTTTCAACATCCTTTCCACCATGTTCCCAAATTATTGTTTTAATTAAATTTATATTTTTTAAAATAAAATTAAAATTAATACATTTCCAATTAGAGTTACAAATAATTTCACCAGAATTAAATTCTTTAATAATTTTATCATTTTTATCTAAAAATTTAATTTTTAAATAAAATAAATCTTGACAATTTGGTTCAGTTCCTTTTATCCAACATTTTGCATTTAAAATTAAATTATTTAAATTATTATTATTTCCATTTATATCAATTTCATTTAATATAAAAGGTAAATTAATTAATTGTTCCATTTTTGACCAATTAAAAGATGAAATAAAAGATTTTGATTGATTAAAATCATTATTTAAAGATTTAATCCAATTTCCATTTATATTCCAACCTTCAAATTCATTTAATTGTCCATTTCCATTTTTTAATAATTCAATAATTTTATAATTTCCATTCCAAAATAAATTTTCAATATTTTCATATTCATTTCTAATTAAATTTAAATTTTCAATATTTTCTAAATTTGTAAAATTATTAAAATAATTTTCATAAATAAAACCTGGAGCAAATAAGGCAATAGATGTTTCATATTTGTTAATTTCATTTAATGCTATTTTAGTATTAAATTGTCCACCACCATATTGTCCTCTACCAAATATATCTATACCTGTAAATATTTTATATTTATTTAATTTTTTATTTAATTTTAAATTATTTTCTATTAAAATATTTTGTAATAGATTTAAATTATTTAAATTATTATTATTTTGTAAATTATTTTCTAATAAATTAATAAAATTATTTAAATTAATTAAAGAATTATTTAACATTTCAGGTTTCCAATTATAATTTAAAAAAATTCCATCACTTTCATTTAAAAAAATTAAATTTTTTTCATTTAATTCATTTTGCCATTTTAATTCTCCATTTGGATAAATAATTGAATCATACCAAATTATTTTAGAATTTTTAATTAATTCTTTACATTTTAATTTTAAATATTTAATAAAATTAATTAATTTTAAACATAAATCTTGATTTAAATTACATTCTATATTTAGAAACCATCCATCAAATTTATAATAAATTGCTAAATTTATCAAATAATCAGCAAATTGTTCATAATTTCCATTTAAAATTTTAGAAATTTCTTTACTTCCTTCATCCCATTCAAAAATTAAATTTCCTAAAACTAAAATTCCATTTTTATGTGCAATTTCAGTCCAACCAACAGGTGGTATTGTAATTCTATTTAATATTTAATATATTTAATATTATATAATATTTAATATTTAAAATAAATTTAAAAAATAAAAAAAACAAACCTTTCATGACTAAAATAAATAAAAATATCAACAAATTGCCAATAATTAAAATTAAAAGTTAAAAAATCATTTCCACTTTGAATAAATTTATCATTTAAATATCCACCTTTCATATCATGACATAAAATTACTTTTTGTCTATTTTTAGTAAAATTATTTTTAAAATTAATTTTAGCAATATTTAAATCATCTTTAAAATTAAATTCTTGATTAATTGAATAAATTGGTTCTGAAATTATTTTAAATGGTTCATTAGATATTTCTAAAGATGGAAATGAATAATTAAAATTAAAATTAAAAATTTCATTTGAAAAATAAAAAAATAAATTTTGTAAAATTCCTTTAAATGGTTTTGAATTTTCTAATTTTGGTGGAATTATAAATGGATTAAAATTATTTATAATTGAATTTAAATTATTAAAATTTAATTCTTGTTCATATTCTAATTTATTATATTTAGTAATTTTAATTAATAATTTATTTTTAAATATTAATTGAATATGATACCATTTATATAAATTAAAATTATAATTAATTATTAAATCATTAATTATTAATTTGTTATTTAAATATGTTGATAATTTAATTAATAAATCTCCTTTTTTTAAAATTGTAAAATAATTTGAATTTAATAATTCTAAAAAGTAAATTGAAAAGGAAATATTTAATGTAGATTCAGAATTAGAAATTATTATTGGTGCATGAATTTTTAAATTTTCATTATTATTTGTAATAAAATTACATGATGGAAGTAAATTAATTAAATTTGATGGTAATGAAAGTTGTAGATGTGGATCGGATAGATGATCACTATCATTACTAATACTTTCATTCATTTTATTAGTATTATTATTATTAACAACTTGGTGATGAATGTGAAGAGGTTCACCAGCAAGCAAATCGAGAGATGATGTAAATTTTTTAGGCTTGATCTTTCAATACAATTTCAGCCTTGTTTTCGTAAGTACCCGGCAGAGAAGATAAAATTCAGTGTCAAACATAATTGGCGCCAATCAAACTACAACAACAACAATAACACTAAGAAGATTAAAAACAAAGAATTATAAAAATGGCTGACGAAGTAACACAAAAGAAATTGAAGGAGGCTTTCAGATTATTTGAACGTGAGGGGTGTATTGAAGTGGATGATTTAGGTATTATTATGAGACACTTGAATCTTAATCCTACGGAAAAACAAATTTCTGCATTAAAAACTGAAATGGGTCCAAATGTTATTGATTACAATGTTTTTGAAGCAGTGATGAGTAAGATTGTCCTTACATCAACCTATGATGGTGCAACTTTAACTTTGGACACTGAAGATCAATTATTAAGAGCTTTTGAAATTTTGGATCCGGAGAGGAATGGTTTAATTCCTTCAGAGAAATTGGTTCAATTACTCAAATCACAAGGAGAACCAATGACTGAAGAGGAAATTAATGAATTCCTTCAATTTGCTCAATCCAAAGATTCAGCAATCATTCGATATGAAGAGTATGTCAATTTGTTATGTAGTCATTTAAAGAAATAAACTATTATTATGATTATAAAATTTTTCTAGATGATTTATTGAGTTTCACGCAAACGTCTAATAGTAGATCTAACAGTAGCAGCAGCGACAGTGTTCAAAGTCCAGGCACCACCAGCTTGAGTCTTATTACACTTCTTGCAGTTCCAGATACCAACAGCAACTCTCTTAACGCTGTGCTTACCACAGAATTGACAGAAGTGCTTTTGCTTCTTGGCAATTTCGTATTTCTTGGCTCTCTTTCTCAAGTTAGCACCATATCTAGTACCGAATTTACCGCAAATACCTGCTTTCTTTGTTCTCTTGGCCTGTTATTGGTGTTACTATTTAAAAAAATAATGAGTACGAAAACTTACCATCGTTATGTTTTTGACTTTTTTTTTCAACAAAAATTTTTAAAACTTGTGGTTGTCTAGGCACTACATACTTTACAATGAAAATAATCTTCAGCAGCTTCAAAAATATTCATCAAACAAATGTGAAGCAGTCATAACGGACATTCAGATAATCGGATCACTCAAGGAAACCTCTTGTGCCATTCATCATATTAACTATTATGTGCCATTCATCATAACAATTACACTCTTCTTAAAACAAGAACAATGTTACTTTGAATCAAAATTAATTTACTTTAAAAAGAATTCACAGAACAGAATAATACACTTAAACCATTCCTTTTCTTCTTCTACTTTTTCTTAAAGAATGAACTGATAGATTGTTGTTTTGTACCACTATTACTAGCCTTGACCACAGACTTTTTAGTTGTTGCTGCTGTTTCCTTCTTCTTTTTAGATGCATCAGTTGTTGTTGCTGCTGTTGGTGCTTCGTCATCCTTCATGGCATTATCATGATCTTCATCATCCGAAGATAATTCGTAGTACACTATCATCATCATCAACAACATCAACAATATCATCACTTCCATGTAGAGAAAAGGAAATTGAACAAATTAAAACATCACTATCAAATTGTATACAATTATCATGTCCTAAAACAATGTACATTGCAGGAGAACCAGGTACAGGTAAAACAGCCTGTATTAAACAAGTATTAAATGATTTGGAAAATGAATATAATAATACATCATCAAATAATAGTAATAATAATAATAATAATAGTAAAAGTAATAGTAATAATAATAATATACATAAATTTAAATATATATTTATTAATGCAATGAAATTAAATCAACCATTTAAAGCCTTTGAAATTATCTATGATCAAGTTATTAAAAATTCCAATAATAAATTAAAAATCAAGCCTAAAAAAGCGCAATATAAACCACGTATAGAAAATTATTTTAAAAATTCCAAAACATTTAACAAACGTAAATATTTAATTATAATAATAGATGAAATGGATTTTTTTGTAACAAAAACATCTAATAATACTAAAAATATACATTTATTATATGATTTAGTTGATATAACAAGAGATTCTAATAGTAAATTATGTATAATTGGAATTAGTAATACAGTTTCATTATTAGATCAATTAAATAGTAAAATTAAAAGTAGATTTGATGAAATGATAACTTTTTTTCCATATGAAAATGATCAAATTAGAACAATAATTGAAAGTAAAATATTAACAAATTATGATAATTATTTTGAAAAGGGTGCAATTAAAATGATTGGTTCTTTAATTGCTAGAAAAGCAGGTGATATACGTCAAGCTATTGATATTATTAAAAGATGTATTGAAATTTATTCTATAAAAGGAAATTTACAAGAAAAGAAAATTGATTCTTTATTTGTTAAATCAATTGCAACTGATTTTACAGATAGATATCCAATTTCACAATTAAGTATTTATCATAAAATATTTTTATATTGTACTATTTTGGAATATGAAATGAAATTAAAAAATTTAAAAGAAAATCAAAATTTAAATAATTATGAATCAAATCCAAATAATTTATTATTTGAACGTATTGTAATGAGATTTCAAAATTTATTAGCAATGTTTGAAAATTCAATGAATATAAATAGTATTACTACTACTACTACCACTTTCAATAATAGTAATAATAATAATTTAAATAATAATAATAATAGTACTTCCAATAATAATAGTAATAATTCAATGAATAATAATAATTTAAATAATTCCAATAATATAAAATATTCATTTATAAATCCAAGTTTAGATCAATTACAATTAATAATGTTTACATTATGTGAATTGGGAATAATTTCAATTGATAATGATAAAAGAGAACGTTTACCAATTATACATTTTGAAACTGAATATCAATTATTATTATTTAATTTAGAACAAGATGATGAAATGAAACCAATTATGAAATTAAATAAATAATATTTTTTGAACATCACATTAATATAATTTATTTGTTCTTTTTGTAATAAATTATAATTCATCTTTATTTTCTAAAGCAATAATTGAATTTGTCTCATCAGATAATTTCCATTCCATATTATTTTTATCATTTTTATCATTTTTATCATTTCCATTATTTTCATTTTCATTATTTTCATTTCCATTTTCATTATTATTTAAATTAGATGAAGGTAATAAAAGTTTAAAAGGAATGTCTAAACATAAATGTTCAATCATTTCTCTTCTTTGTGGATCATGTTCTAATTGTTGATATTTATAAATTCTTAAAGTAGCTTCATGTGTACCATTTAAAATGGAATATAAAGGTCTTTCTATATTAATATGATATGTTTTGTTTAAATTTATAATTGGACAATTTGAATCTTGTAATTTACAATTAATTTCTAAATTATTTTTAGATTGGTTTCCTAAAAAAGAACCACAACAAATATCATATGGTCCTTTATATTTAATTTTTTGACCTGTTTCTTCATGCCATAATTCTAAATTATAAAATAAATGATTAGTTTCCATAATTGGTTCATTAAATTTAATATCCATTTCAATTTTAACACCAGGTGTATTATATCTAGTAGGTACAATTGTTAAATGTGAAGTAATTAATGAAATTAAAGAATCTTCTTCATCATAACAATGTTTCCATTGTATAAATTTAGTATATGGTTTTGTAAATTTATTTTTTAATGATTTAATTTTAATATTTCTATTATTAATTTGATCATTATTTAATTTATTTAAATTTTTAACATTGGAATTTAATGTTTTAAATTTTACTTTTTCTTTTAAACTTGCCTTTTCTTGACAATTTATTTGTATATTATTTAATATTGTTGTTAATAATAATAATAGTGATAATAATAGTGATAGTATTGTTGTTGTTGTTGT